TGAGAAGAATTTTATCAAACAATTTAAAAATAATTGAATTCCTTCGAAGAATTTTATCAAAATATTTAAAAATAATTGAATTCCTTTGAAGAATTTTATTATTTATGAAAATAATTGAATTCTTGCAAAGAATTTTATAAAAATATAAAAATAATTGAATTCCTTCGAAGAATTTTATCAAAATATTTGAAAATAATTGAATTCCTTTGAAGAATTTTATTACTTATGAAAATAATTGAATTTCTTTGAAGAATTTTATCAAAATATTTGAAAATTATTGAATTCCTTTAAAGAATTTTATTATTTCTGAAAATTATTGAATTCTTAGGAAAAATGTTATCAAAATATTTGAAAGTCCTAATAGAATTCGTTTTTTTTTTTAAATATTCTATTGTAATTTTTTGAAAATAATTGAACTTCTTAAAAGAAGCTTTGTAAAATTTTAAGAAAAGCTAATTACCTAATTTTTTGAAGAATTTTAATTAAAAATTTTGAATTATGATTATTTTCTCCAAAAATGTTAAAAAGTAATTCTAAAAAATTTTAATCTTACTATTTTGTGAATGTATTTGAATTTTCGGAATTATTGAAAATGTTGAATATCGAAAATATTGAAAATAATTGAATTTAAAAAAATTAGAATAATTCAGAGAATTACTTTTTTCGAAACTATTTTAATATTATTTTTAGAACCTAATTTTCATTAATTTTCATTTTTATTGAATTTATAAATTAACACTTGAAGATTATTCATTAAAATTTTTGAAAATTCAATAATATCCAAAATTTTCAATTAAAATTCTATAAAACTTAATTTTCAAAAATTATAATATAAAATACTTGAAAAAAAGGATTTATTTTCAATTAAATTTTACAAAATTTCAATTATTCAAAATCTTTTTAATATTGTATATTTTAAAAATTTAATTAGAAAAATTATTGAAAAATAAATTTTCAAAGATTTGCCTATATAGTTATGCTTTTCACACAATAAAAATCGAAAAAAAGTTGCATTTTATACTAAAAATATTGTATTTTGTCGCAAAATTTGAAAGAAAAGTCGCAATTTTGTAATAAAAGTCGATAAAAGTCGCATTATTTGAAAATAGTCGAAAAAAGTCGAAAAAGTCATAATATCCAAGGCCTGGAAATTTACAATTATTTTTATTTATTTTTTTTATCAAAATTTCCTCTAATTTTTTTTCTCTAAATTAAAATGAATTTAAAATTGAATGTATTTTTCAAAAAATTCATTTTCACTTGCACTGAACGTATTTGAGGATAAATTTGAAAAAATAGATCACATTTATATAAAGTTACGTTTGTTCGTAGAACGGGGTCGAAAAAAAGATACCTTTATATACTACCAGTATATATAAAGTTTGAGGCGATTTAATGCGAATCTATATCACTAACTCTTTTCTTTTTTTTTTTTTTCTTATTGTCCAATATATTACTAACTTCCATGACACTCCTCATATAGAATGAAAAATTCATGACGTGAAAAGTAGAGTTTCTAAAACATCAACCTTTTCCCTTTATAATGTCAATTTTTTAAATGAGGTGTCACTAAGATTTATAATATACGATTTCACATGAGATATATTCCATATATTTTTATTGAAAACTGCTATGCTCTCTTGTTATATTTATTATATAAAGTGTCGAAGGAGAAAATATACTCATCATAATAATCGATATATTGTGATTGTGAACGAAAAATGTCCATTTATTCTTGAGAATTAATTTCAAAACTTTATTCCTTTGAATATAATATTAAATATTTATTTTAGTATTTAATATTTTATTATTTAATTGTTTAATATAATATTAAAAATAAATGAAATGTTTCAAAGTGGACTTTTTAAATATTTCATTCAATTTCTTTTTACTTTTTTTTCTATTTAATTCACTTTTTCTCAATAAACATTATTTGTGTAATTTTATTCTTTTTAATTTTTTAATATATATTATTCAATTTTTATTTTAATTACTAGGCTTTTAATATTATATGTGCATATTTTATTAGCATATGAAAAAAATCATAAATTTAAAATTAATTTATTGAAAACCATCGAATTCTTGCAAAGAATTTTATCAAAATATTTGAAAATAATTGAATTCCTTTGAAGAATTTTATGAAAATATTTGAAAATAATTGAATTCCTTTGAAGAATTTTATCAAAATATTTGAAAATAATTGAATTCCTTTGAAGAATTTTATCAAAATATTTGAAAATAATTGAATTCCTTTAAAGAATTTTATCAAAATATTTGAAAATAATTGAATTCCTTTGAAGAATTTTATCAAAATATTTGAAAATAAATAATTGAATTCCTTTGAAGAATTTTATCAAAATATTTAAAAATAATTGAATTCCTTCGAGGAATTTTATGAAAATATTTGAAAATAATTGAATTCCTTTGAAGAATTTTATCAAAATATTTGAAAATAAATAATTGAATTCCTTTGAAGAATTTTATCAAAATATTTGAAAATAATTGAATTCCTTTGAAGAATTTTATCAAAATATTTGAAAATAATTGAATTCCTTTAAAGAATTTTATAAAAATATTTGAAAATAATTGAATTCCTTTGAAGAATTTTATCAAAATATTTGAAAATAAATAATTGAATTCCTTTGAAGAATTTTATCAAAATATTTAAAAATAATTGAATTCCTTCAAAGAATTTTATGAAAATATTTGAAAATAATTGAATTCCTTTGAAGAATTTTATGAAAATATTTGAAAATAATTGAATTCCTTTGAAGAATTTTATCAAAATATTTGAAAGTAATTGAAATCCTTTGAAGAATTTTATTATTTATGAAAATAATTGAATTCTTGGGAAAAATATTATAAAAATATTTGAAAGTCCTAATAAAATTCTTCTGAAAAATGTTATTATTTGTGAAAATAATTGAATTCTTGCGAAGAATTTTATCAAAATATTTGAAAATAATTGAATTTCTTCGAAGAATTTTATCAAAATACTTGAAAAAAATTGAATTCCTTCGAAGAATATTTGAAGATTTTCTCTGAATTTTTTTTAAAACAATGGAGTTTCTTTAATAATTTTAATAGAAAATTTTGAAAGTAATTGAATTTTATGAAGAATTTCTTTCAAACTTTCTTAAATATTCGTGTTTTTTCTTAATAATTGAAATTAATCATATGTAATTATGGAATTTTTTGCCTTTATTAGAAAATAATTAAATTTTTCTCAGAATTTTATTACAATTTTTTTTAAACAATTTAATTCGTTCAAGGAATTTTTTCTAAAATTATTGACAATAATTGAATTCTTTCGAAGAATATATAGTACTATTAAAAAATATGAGAATAATTGAATTCTTTGAAAAAGTTTCTTTAATTTTTTTTAATATAATTAATTTTTGTTAATAATTCTAATTAATAATTTTACTATTAAATTTTATTAACATTATTGATAGAAAATTAAATTCTTTTAAATAATTTTATTCAGGTTTTTGTTAATAATTCAATTCTTTTGAAGAATTTCTTTAAGTTTCTTGAAAATAATAGTTTCTTTAATAATTTTATAATTAAAAATTCAAAATAATCGAATTAACAGAGAATTTAATTTTTAAACTTTTTAAAATAATTGTGTCTGTTAATAATTATAATGCAAAATTTTATTATTAATGTTTATGAAAATTGTATTGAAAATAATTGAATTTATCAGAAGAATTTTTGAAGAATTTATTAAAATTCAAGAGAATAATTGAATCCTTTCCTGAGATTTTATTAAAATTGCATTAAAAATAATTAAATTACTGCAAAAAATTTTACGTTTTATAAAAATAATTGAATTCTTCCGGAGAATGTTATTTATTTATGAAAATAATGGAATTGTTTCGAAGAATTTATTAAAATTGAAGAAAATAATTGAATTTTTGTGGAGAGTATTTTATCAAAATATTATTGAAAATAATTGAATTCCTTTGAAGAATGTTATTATTTACATAAAAAATAATTAAAATCTTACGAAGAATTTTATTCAAATTTTTGAAAATAATAAACAATAATAATTAATTACGAATATTTAATAAGTCAAATTTTTTAAATTTGAAATCTGAAATTATTCAAAAATTAAAAATTATTTTTGAAAATAAAAAATTTTTTTATTTGACAAAATAATTAATAAATTAAATACCATGTTTCGTGCGTAACTTTAGCTAATTAATTAATATTATAAATCAAAAAGAAAAATATTTATTTGGTAGTTATTCAAGTAAATTTTTTGTTTTTAAAAAGAAATTTTTTTTAAATATATCAAAGCTAAAATTTTAGCGAAAAATTCAAAGTGAAAATAAAAATAAAACAAGTTATAAATCTTAAAAAAGGGATTCATTAACATAATCAAAAAAGCTACTTTTGAAAACTGAATTTTTTTTTCTAGTTACACGTGATTTAAAATTTCATTTTTCCTGGAGGAAAATACTTGACTCTTTTCCGGGTAAATATTTATAGAACAACATTTTTTTTCCTTATATAAAATAGTTTTACTTATTTCTTTGCAATCGAAAATTTTTGGAGTAAAGAAAATCATGGTATTTTATTAAGAAATAATGAATTAAAAACATTTTTGACGACATAAAAAAAGTAAATATATTGAAAGAGCAATAAAAAAAACAAATACAGATAAAAAATAAAATTCTAAAAAATAATAAAAATATTGATATAAAAAATTTGTATAGATAAAAATTTCAACCTATATTTTTCTTTCGCTTTTATCACACACGTGTCTCACACGAAATACTCACAAATATTAATATACAGTGTATTTTTTTTTTCTGAAATAAAAACAATGTTTTCAACGCAGTTATTTCTAATTTGATTTTGTCACGAAAAAACAAGAAAATAGATTAAAAAAAAATTCTTTTCGTTTATTATAGTTTCAATAATAATCGTTAGAACAGTCGGTGTATAATAAATTTAAATTCACAGTATATTTGTCATGTTTGTCTAAAACTCACTTTTTTCCGATAAAGAGAGTCGTTCATAAATTCTTCTTTATCGGGAATTCCGTGTATGTCTGCCTTTCATTCTTTGCACTATTACTGCTACTCTATACTATATGGATTGAAAGTTTTGTAGCTCTCAGGGATTTCGTTTTCTACGTTTCTAAAAACCCAATCATTAATACTAATGGATCCTATTGACATTGGATTGTTGTTTTCTATTTTCTTCTCTAAAAACTATAAAAAAAATATTTTCAATTTTTTTTTTTTTTAATTGCGTATTTTTGATAACAATTTCAAATTATTTTTTAACAACCCAAAATATTTTGTTCTCCAATTTATTATACAAATGAAAAAATAAGAGCTTTAAATTTGTTTGCACAGTAACTATTTTTTTTTTGCCAAAACATTTTTTGTTCATAAAATTTACAAATAAATAATAATTTAATTAAAATTTAATAAATTTTTGCAATTAAAAGTTGATTACTGGAGTAAAATTTCGTTAGTGAATTTAAACTCCAAAGGAAATATAAATAAATAAACGAAAATAAATAAATAAGTAAAAGATAAAGTTCAGGGAATTACGAGAAAATGTTTATTTTGTGAAATCCCCTCGTTAATATCTCATTATAAAAGTGTTTTCCTGCTTTAAATGTTACGTATTTATAGTTTGATTTTCCTCATTTGTAAATAATAATTATATATTTTACATTCAACAGGAAACAACTATGACAGAAAAAGGAAACAAAACAAAAAAATAACAAATTTCTGGATCAAATATATATATATATATATATATATATATATATATATATATATATATATATATAAATACAAAGAGAATAGAAACGTTAATTATAACTATCCATAATTAATTTACCTTCAATTTAACGAAACTGAGAGAAAATATTATTTAAAGAAGACAAATGAATGGAAAATATTTATCTATTGACAAAGGAAAATTTTTTTTACTTCTTTTTTTATTTACTGCTTATCTTTTCTAATTTAAAGACAATTTATTTTTATAGGCAATATTTTATTTATTTTTATAAGCTATAATTTATTTATATTTATTATAAGCAAAATTTTATTTTTTTTTATTCAATAATTTTTCAAATATATTTAAAAAAAGAAGTTGTTTTTAAGAAACAATAAAAATGTAAAGTCCTTTTGAAATTTAAGTACGTGTAAAAATTTCTCAAAAATCCAATTATTTTTTTTTTATTGAAATTTTTAATTAAATATTATTCAAAACTATAATCATTTTATTTAATCGAAAATAATCATTTTATTTAAAAATAAAAATTTAAATGTTAAAAGAGTTTTACAATTAAAATTTTCAGACTTCAATTTAAAAAATCTTTTGAAACTTATTTCTCAAAATTTTCACTATAACGTTTCAAATATTCAATTATTATTTCAAATTTTTATTGAAATTCAATTTTTAATCAATTTTTATTTGAAAATTCTAAGAGAATTTCAATTATTTAACTGCAAAAATAAAAAATTTATTTAATGATCGAATATTTCTTGAAATTCAATTCTTATAAAGAACTTTATCAAAATTTTTATTAATTGAATTCGTTCGAAGAATTTTAATGAAATATTTGAAAATAATTATTGAATTCCTTTGAAGAATTCATTTAAAATTGTATTTGAAACAAATTGAAATTAAATAAAATTAAATAATTGAATTACAGCGATGAATGTTATTAAAAATTTTTTTAAATAATTGAATTTTTGAGAAAAATTTTATATTATTTATAAAAACAATTGAATTCCTGTGAAAATTTTTAGTATATTAAAATAATTGAATGTTTACGAAGAATTTAATTCAAATTTTTTCAAAAATAATTCAATTCTTTGGGAAATTTTTTATTAAAATAGTAGATATTAGAAATCATTGAATTAGGAAAAAATTTTTGAAAATAATTGAATCGTAAAGAATTTTATTAAAATTTTTAATTACTTTTGGAAAATTTTTTTATTAAAATAGTAGATATTGAAAATAATTAAATTTGGAAAAATTTTTTGAAAATAATAATTGAATTGAAAGAATTTTATGAAAAATTTTTGAATTTTGTTTCTATAAGAATTTTATTAAAATTTTGAAAAAAGTAGCTTCTGGCAAAAAACGCCAAAAAAAAGTATCCAAATAGTAACAAATTGTAAAAGAAAATAGTAAATAATAGGTTTTAGTGGATGAGTACGAAACTTGAATTATATAATCCTTCAAAAGTGTCAAGGAAAAAAAATTTCCCAAACCGTATTCGAAAAGGAAAAAAAATAAAATAAATCCTTTAAAAATTACAATCAATCAAAAAAACCTTGAAGTGATCGTTTTAAATTAGTTTTCCATTAACTGTCTATCATAATACATCAAAAACAATCCTCTGCACGTGTTACCAATTTTTTTCATCTCTCTTTTTTCTTTATCATCTCAACAATTTTCGCAAGGCATTCACGAGACAAGATAAAAAAACAGAGACTTATTATTATTTTTAATAAAATTTTTACAAGAATTGCCCAAAAAATTTAATTATTCTTAAAAATTTGATTTTAATTCCTCGAAATAAAAATCAATTATTTAAAAAAATGTTTTTTAAAAATTCTTTGTAAGAATTCAATTATTTACAAAAATATTAGAATTGTTCGAAAGAAATCAATTATTTTAAATACAATTTTAATTAAATTTTTTTTTTAATAATTCAATTATTCTTTCAGATTTTAATTAAGGGCATTTGAACCTTGATGACGTTACAGATTGTGCAAAGCATGTGTGACGTCATCAAGGTTCAAATGTCCTTAAATTTTTCCAAAGAATTCAATTATTCACATAAATCATTCTTCGAAAGAATTCAATTATTAAAGATAAATAACAAAATTATTCCCGGAAATTCAATTATTTTGAGGCATTTTAATAAAAATGCCTCAATTATTTTTAAAAGTAATAATTTTTTTCTGTGCAATTCAATTATTTTAATTTCAATTCTGCTGAAATTAGTTGAATTTTTTAATATATATATTTAATATAATTCCAAAAATTTTAAGGCAATTCTTCAAAATAATTCAATTATCTTGGCAAATATCAAAATTCTTCACAGAAATTCAATTACATTCAAGAATTTTAATAAAATTTTTTTGTAAAATTCAATTATTTTCAGGAACTTTAATAAGATTCTATTAAAAATTTAATTGTTTTCAGGGGATTTTAATAAGATTCTTTACGAAATTCAATTATTTTTAGGGATTTTAATCAAATTCCATAAAAAATTCAATTATTCTTCAGGAATTTTAATAAAAATCTTTGTAAAATTCAATTTTTTTCATGAATATAAATAACATTCTTTTGCAAAATTTAAATATATTTTCTTGAATTTTAATAAAATTCTTTGAAAAATTCAATTATTTTCAGGAAATTTTGATGAAATTCCTTGAAAAATTCAATTATTTTCCAAAATTGAAATGACATTCTTCTGCAAAATTTAAATATTTCCTTGAATTTTAATAAAATTCTTTGATAAATAAAATTATTTTCAGGAATTCTAATAAAATTTTTTGCAAAATTCAATTATTTTCGAGAATTTTAATAAAATTCTTTACCAAATTCAATTATTTTCAGAGATTTAAAAAAAAAATTTTTGAAAAATTAAATTATTTTCAGGAATTAAAATTAAATTCTTTACGAAATTTGAATTATTTTCAGGGATTTAAATAAAATTCCATGAAAAAATCAATTACATATTTTCATGAATTTTAATAAAATTCTTTGCAAAATTCAATTATTTTCATAAAGAACAATATTCCTCACAAGAATTCAATTATTTTTAGGAATTTTAATAAAATTCTTCACAAAATAACATTCTTTTGAAAAATTTAAATATTTTCTTGAATTTGAATAAAATTTTTTGCGAAATTCAATTATTCTTAGAAATTTTAATGAACATCTTTACCAAATTCAATTATTTTCATGAATTTTAATAAAATTCTTTGCAAAATTCAATTATTTTCATAAAGAACAATATTCCTCACAAGAATTCAATTATTTTCATGAATTTTAATAAAATTCTTTGGAAAATTCAATTATTTTCATGAATTTTAATAAAATTCTTTGGAAAATTCAATTATTTTCATAAAGAACAATATTCCTCACAAGAATTCAATTATTTTTAGGAATTTTAATAAAATTCTTCACAAAATAACATTCTTTTGAAAAATTTAAATATTTTCTTGAATTTGAATAAAATTTTTTGCGAAATTCAATTATTCTTAGAAATTTTAATGAACATCTTTACCAAATTCAATTATTTTCATGAATTTTAATAAAATTCTTTACTAAATTCAGTTATTTTCATAAAGAACAATATTCCTCACAAGAATTCAATTATTTTTAGGAATTTTAATAAAATTCTTTGCAAAATTCAATTATTTTCATAAAGAACAATATTCCTCACAAGAATTCAATTATTTTTAGGAATTTTAATAAAATTCTTCACAAAATAACATTCTTTTGAAAAATTTAAATATTTTCTTGAATTTGAATAAAATTTTTTGCGAAATTCAATTATTTTTAGAAATTTTAATAAAAATCTTTACCAAATTCAATTATTTTCATGAATTTTAATAAAATTCTTTACTAAATTCAATTATTTTCAGGAATTTCAATAAAATTCTTTACCAAATTCAATTATTTTCATAAATTTTAATGAAATTCTTTGCAAAATTCAATTATTTTCATAAAGAACAATATTCATCACAAGAATTCAATTATTTATAAAAGTAATAAATTTCTTCTTGGAAATTCGATTATTTAAAAAAAATTCGAATAAAATCGTTAGTAACAATTCAATTATTTTTACAAATAATAAAATGCTTTTTAGGAATTCAAATTATTTTTAAAAAAAATTCATTAAAATGCCACACAGAAATTCAATTATTGTGAAAAATTTGAATAAAATTCTTTGTAAAATTTAATTATTTTTAAAAACTTTTCGCAATTCAATGATTTTCAATATTTACTATTTTCATAAAGTTTCCAAACAGAATTCAATTATTTAAAAAAAATTTTTGTAAAAATATTCTTAAGAATTCAATTGTTTTGATGAATAAGAAAAATTTCTCAGAAATTCAATTATTTAAATTAGAATTTTCATAAAATTAGTCGAAAGAAATGAATTACATTTAAAAGTTTTTATAAAATTCTTCACAAGAATTAAATTTTTTTTTCTATAAATATTTAAATTCTTTCGCACGAATAATAAAATTTGTTGCAGGAATTGAAAATTTATTAGCATCAGGATAAGAAAGAAGTAAATATTTTTGATGAAAATTAGGAAAAAGTCAGGAAAATAAAATGTAGAATGGAATTTCTGTTTTGTAAAGTGTCTAAAACGAGTTTTTTTCGTCAAGTTTAATTTTTCGATAGATACTTTTTTTCTACTTTTTTTCAGTTTGAAAGCTACTTTTTTGCTACTTTTTTTTAAAATTAATTATCGAGAGCAAAGTCTGCAGTGTTATTTCTTCAACAACAAAAAAACCCAGTGGCAAAGATTTTATCTATTAAAATATCATTTGATTTTATAATGAAAATGAAATGTGTGATGAAAGAAGAAGAAGAAGAAAAAAAAAAAAAAAAAAAGAGGAAGGAGGAAGGAGAGTAAAAAAAGGGAAATGCCATTCCAAGATCCAAGATGAGTCACGTTGGATCGAAATGGGGAGCCTTTGGAGCACAGAATATTCTGATTCCAACGTTCCAATGGCGATAGTCCGCGTATTTCCCCATATCCTGGGGATATTTCTGGCAGATACCAGGAACTCGTGCTCCATATATCTATATATTCGTGTGTAATGAAATAACCACGACTCGGTGGTAGCATTCTACGTATGTTAAATCCACCTTCTATATGGACTTGGAAACTTGTTCCCAGTGGGTGGGGATCGACCAGTTAATAAAAGAGAAGCGCGAGAAGTGCGAGGTCATTCAATATCGTATCTTCGCTTGTTAAACGTGCTCTGTGTGTGTATAAATATTCTCTCGACAGAAAAAAAAAAAATAAAGTGTGCTCTACAGTTGGTGTACTGCATAAGCCAATTTTATTGTGTTTCCCATTTTTTTCCAACGCAAACTGAACTCCTAAAAAAGTGCAAAATTTTTAACAACTCCTGTGCTATTTTGTGTAAAATTTTCAAAAACTATTGTTTTTCAAAAACAATAAACTTGATAAACTATTGTTTATCTGGATTCTGGATTAAAAAAAGAAGAAGAATAAGAAAAATTCTTTCTTTCGAGGAAAGGAAAATTCAAGATACAAGAAAAATTTGTTCCAAGTGGAATTCAGCAGCGAATAAAATAAATAAACTATTGAAGGAAGAAAAAAAATCACTTACCAATATGACTTGCGAGGAAGTACAGTGCATGCCGCTCACAAATTTCGCCGATAGGTAAGAAAATCACGTGATTTTTCTCCTGCGATTGAATTTTGTGACATTAATTCAAGGTTGATTGTATCTCTCAAAAAGTCAAAACAAATTTCACACGAGTATGGACCCAAAACAATTTGAAAAAAGAAAGAAATTTTTTTGAAACTTTTTTTCTGAAAGATTGCATCAGCTTGTGAAATATAAATTTCTTCGCTGTAAAATATTTAAGTCGTAGCGTGTTTTAATAGCTCAGATTCCATTTTAAAGTGGAATGGGATTAAAAAATTAATCTTCTTATCACGATGACAATGTTGAAATTTGTCGAAACAATTAAGAGAGGAAAAAAAAAATTGATGGAAAAATTTTTTAATTACAAATCTATTAATTTATTTGGAAATATTATTAATGTTATTATTAATTACAAATCTATTAATTTCTCTCGAATTATTATTATTATAAATATTGTTAATTGATAATTATTATTTCTCTCAAAATTAAAGCTTCAATTTTCCAAATATTAACTGATTTCTTGTTTTTGTTCGATTTGAATTAAATTCGTTTTATCATTTTACTCTTTTTTGTTTGTTATTCACAAGTTCTGAACGTTCAAATTATAGGAAATTTTTTAATAATAATAATAATAATAATAATAATAATAATAATAATAATAATAATAATAATAATAATAATAATAATAATAATAATAATAATAATAATAATAATAATAATAATAATACTAACAAAAAAAAAATGAAATGAATATAAAATCAAAATAAAGTCAAAATCGAAATAGAAATAAAACCAAGAATTAAAATTAAAATAGAAATATCGAAATAAAATTAAATGAAAATATTATATCAAAATTAAATTAAACGAGAATTCAATTATTTAAATGCAAAAAAATAATTTATTTAATAATTGAATATTTCTTAGAATTCAATTCTTATAAAGAACTTTATCAAATTTTTTTTAAACAATTGAATTTTTTCGAAGAATTTAAAAAAAATATTCAAGAATAATTGAATTTTTTGAAGAATTCATTTAAAATTGTATTAGAAACAAAATTTAATTAAATTTAATTAAATAATTAAATAATTGAATTCCTGCGATGAATTTATAATAATTTATTTATTAATAATAATAATAATAATAATAATAATAATAATAATAATAATAATAATAATAATAATAATAATATTAAAAAGAAAAATAAATAAAAGTAAAATGGAATGAATATATAATCAAATAAAATTAAAATAGAAATTCAATTATTTGTCTAGAAATAAATAAATATAACTGTGAGTCGAATTTAATTAAAACAATGTGTCAGTTTGCGAAATTAAGATCTTGAAAAAATTTCCCTCTGACAAGAAAAACAATTTGTTTCTTAATTATTTGTAAAAATTAATTTTTTTTCCATTACAATTCTCACATTTTATATTAATTAAACAATCGATTTCTATTTTATTTTTTTTCCAATTTTCTTCACGTTAATAACAAAAAAAATCAATTATTATCAAACCTAAGAACTTGAAAATAGAATAAAAAAAATATGTGACAGAAAATCGTAAATTTCAAACTCTTTAGAAAAAAAAATCGATGTGACGTTAAATTGACTGCCACTTGGTGTTTCATGAGAAATTTTTCACCGAGAGAATCAATCTTGAATGAACATCAGAGAATCGAGAAAAAATGTTTTTAGAACTAAAATTAATTTAATGAATTATTCAATTAAATTTAAACCAGAATTAATAAATTGAATTAATTGAATTAATTGAATCAATTATTATTTAATTTTAAACCAGAATTAATTAAATAAATTATTAATTGAATTTAAGCCAGAATTAATTATTAGTTCAGTTTTAACCAAAATTAATTTAATGAGTTATTAATTAACACTAAACCAGAATTCATTATTAGTTAAATATAAATCAGAATTAATTGAATCAATTATTAATTAAATTTTCACCAGAATTAATAAATAATAAATAAATATAAATTTAATAAAATAAATAATTAGCTAAATTTAAAACGGAACTAATTGAGGCAATTATTATTTAATTTTAAACCAAAATTAATTTAGATGAATTATTAATCAAATTTAAAGCCGAATTAATTGAATTAATTGAATCAATTATTACTTAATTTTAAACCAGAATTAATTGAATTAATTGAGTCAATTATTATTGAAATTTAAACCAGAATCAATTATTAGTTAAATTTTTACCAGAATTAATTCAATGAATTATTAATTAAATCCAAACCAAAATTAATTATCAATTAAAACATAAAACGAAATTAATTGAATCAATTTTATTAATTAATTTTAAACCAGAATTTATAATTATAGTTAAATTTAAAACGGAATTAATTGAGTCAATTATTATTTAATTTTAATCCAAAAATTAATTTAATGAAATATTAATTAAATTTAAACCAGAATTAATTATTAATTAAATTAAACCAGAAGTAATTTAATGAATTATTAATTAAATCTTAACAATAATCAATTTTATTAGTTAAATTTAAAACAGAATTAATTATTAGTTAAATTAAAACCAAAATTAATTGAATAAATTATTAATTAAATTTAAACCAGAATTAATTATCAGTTAAAATGTAAAACAGAATTGATTGAACCAATTATTAATTAATTGAATCAATTATTAATTAAATTAAAACCAAAATAAATTTAATTATTAGTTAAATTTAAACCAGAATTAATTATTAGTTAAATTAAAACCAAAATTAATTGAATCAATTATTATCTAAATTTAAACCATAATTAATTATCAGTTGAAACATAAAACGGAATTAATTAAATCAATTATTAATTAATTTTAAACCAGAATTAATTTAATGAATTATTAATTAAATCTTAACAAAAATCAATTTTTTTAGTTTAATTTAAATCAGAATTAATTATCAGTTAAAATGTAAAGCAGAATTAATTGAATCAATTATTAATTAATTTAATGAACTGTTAATTAAATCTTAACAATAAATAATTTTATTAGTTAAATTTAAACCAGAATTAATTATATTTATTAGTTGAATTAAAAAGCAAAATTAATTGAATAAATTATTAATTAAATTTAAACCACAATTAATTATCAGTTAAAATACAAAACGTAATTAATTGAACCAATTATTAATTTTATTTGAAACCATAATTAATTTAACGAATTATTAATAAAATTAAAACCAAAATAAATTTTAAAAAAATTCTTAATTAAATGAAATAATATGAATTTTTGAATTAAAAAATGTTTTTTCCAACTTACAGAACAAAAATGTGGAAGCGCAAGAAGAGCCGTGACAGAATTCAATCCGCATCGGGGAGAAAAATCACTTGCGGTTTGCTGCCAACTCTACGCGTATTAGCAACAACGCGGCTGTGCAGCAGCAAAAGTAGCGTGTGCTTTTTGCCAAACGATGGCCAAACAGATTCAGCGAGTCATCTTCAAATCACACTTCTTGAAGCTTATTGCCGCGAGAATGGAATTGAAGTTATCCGCGTCTCCAAGGATACACTGAAAAATATGATGTGTCCCACGGCAACAGATTTATCCTGCGTTCTCGTTACATCCAATGAACCATATTTCTTGGAGTCTCCCGAGTGATTTTTAAGTAGCTGAATTATATTCTGGAAAAGAAATTGAAGAAATTCAACATTTATTTTATTTTCGAGAGAGAGAGAGAAAAATTCTTCACCTCCTAGTTCCTGTGGAGGAGAATTGCTGCTGCTGCTGCTGTGAGCGGGGGACAAAAAAAAATGGGAGTCACTCAATCCTTTTCGCCTATAAACAAGGATTGAGTTCTCAAGAGAAACAGAGAGAGAGAGAGAGAGAGAAAGAGAGTGTGGTGTTACTTCAATCTGTCAAAAGGATCTTGGAAGCTTTATCAAGTCCTTGATTATGTGACTCGGCGCGAGAGCGCATCTATACGATTTGTCAAAAAAAAAAATAAAGGGGAAATAATTCCTTTTTTATTACTGTCACGACAATTTGAGCTTAGGGAAAATATTCTCTATTAAATATACAAATAAATATGGGAATATTTTTTCCTTTATTTTAAAAACCTTGTTTTCTTTAATTTTCGAAGTGAAATTAATTTTATTGGAAAAATGTTTTCTGTTAAAAAAATTATCCTTAAGTTCCTTATTTACTTTATTGTTATGTAAATCGTTTTTATTATGTAATAAACAGAAATTCAATCTGATCTGGGTTTTTTTTCCTTGTCACCTATTAAATGAAGTTCATGTGCGTCATTCACTGTCACAACTTTAATAGTTCAAATAACTATTAAGTTTAGATTCAATTTCCATTTATTGTTATTGCTCCGCTATTTCTATATTCTCAATTTACGAATTCAATTTTTTGGCAAAAGTAGGAGAGAATAGGAGAGAATAGAAAATGAAAAAAATAAATAAAATTATTAAAATTATAAATTTTAACTGAAATTCAATTTTAAATTAATTCTTATCAGCAAGTTCAACGAGAATTCAATTATTTTGATACAAAATTAAATAATTGATAGAATAATTGATTATTTCTTACAATTGAATACTTATAATGAATTTTATCAAATTTTTTGAAAATAATCGATTTCTTTCGAAGAATTTTAATGAAGCTTTTGAAAATAATTACATCCTTCGAGAAATTCATTTAAAATTGTATAAAAAAAATAATTGAATTCCTGTGAAGAATATAATTGTTTATAAAAAATAAATGAATTCTTACAAGGAATTTTATTAAATTTTTTTAAATAATTAAATTTTTTAAAAATTATTTTATGAAAATTGAAGATTTATCTTTATATTTTTATTATTGAAGAATTATTTCGAATAATTTAATTAAAATTGAATTAATTGATTGAATTCTCGAGAAGAATTTCCAAAAACTTTTGAAAATAATTACATTTTTTGAATAATTGAATTTCGACAAAAAAAAAAAATTTATTAAAATTCCTGAAAATAATTGAATTTCTGGCAAGCGAATTTTGATATTTATTAAGATAATTGAATTCTTTTGAAGATTTAAATAATTTGTAAATATAATAATTTATAAAAATAATTGAATATTTCTTAAAATTGAATTCTTTCAAGAAATTTTATTGAAAATCTATTTTGCTAATAATTAGTAAATTCTATTAAATATATTATATCAACATTTTTTTAAATTTTTAATTTTTTTTAAATTCTTAGAAAGAATTCAATTAAAATTTTTAAGAATAACTGCGATTTTCGAGAAATTCATTTGAAATTGCATTAAAAATAATTGAAATCCTGCGTTGAATTTTATTAGTTATAAAAATAATTGAATTCATGTGAAAATTTTTTTTATGAAAATAATTGAATGTTTGCGAAGAATTTTATAAAACATTTTTTTAAATTATTCAATTCTTTTGGGATTTTTTTTTTATTAAAATAGTATAGATATTAAAAATCATTGAATTACGAAAAATTTTTGAAAATAATTGAATCGTTTTACAGAATTTTATTAAAATTTTTAATAATAATTGCGATTGTCAAGGAATTCATTTAAAATTGTATTTAAAATAATTGAAATCTTGCGTTTGGTTTTGTTAGTTTTGGAAATAATTGAACTTTTGCTACCAAGTTTATAAAAATTATTAAAAATAATTGAATTCTTGAGAAGAAGTTTATAATTTTTTTTTTAAATAATTGAAATTCTTACGACGTATTTTATAAAAATATTTTTAAATAATTGATTTTTTCGTAAAATTTCATAAAAATTGTGTTTCAAATAATTGAATTCCTCTTAAAATTTTATTATTTAAAAAAATAATTGAATGTTTGTAAAGAATTTTAATAAAATTTTTTTAAGTAATTAAATTTATGCAACGAATATTATTAAAATTTTCAAAAATAATTGAATTCTTACGAAGAACTTTATTAATTTTTTTTTTCAAATAATTGATTTGACGAATTTTATAAAAATCATTTTACATAAATAATTGATTTTTTCGAAAAATTTTATGAAAATTGTGTTTTAAATAATTGAATTCCTTTGAAAATTTTATTATTTATAAAAAATAATTGAATGTTCGTAAAGAATTATATTAAATTTTTTTAAATAATTGAATTTTTTAAAATTTTACGTAAATTGAAGGGAAGAATTAAATTATTTCTAATAAATTAATTAAAATTGTATTAAAAATAATTGAATTCTTTTGAGAAATTTTATTAAAATAGCAAATATTAAAAATATTCGAATATCAGCGAAGAATTTTATTATTTGAAAAGATAATTGAATTCTTTAGAAAGATTTTCCAAAAACTGTTGAAAATTATATTATTATATTTTTCGAGAAATTAATTTAAAATTGAATGAAAAAGAATTTAATTCCTTTTAAAAAATTTTATTATTTATAAAAATAATTGAATTCTTGCAACGAATTTTTATTAAAATATTTTCAAGTAATTAAATTTTTTGTATCATTTTATGAAAATTTAAAATAATAGATAAATAATTCAATTATTTCGAATAATTTAATTAAAATTATATTTAAAATAATTCAATTCTTGCGATAAATTTTATTATTTTTGAAAATAATTGAATTCTTATAAACAAATGTTATCAAAACTTTACAAAATAATTAATTTCTTTTATAAAGAATTTTATTCAAATATTTTAAATAATTAATTTCTTTCCAAAAATTTCCTTGGAAATTGTATTTTTTAAATAATTGAATTCCAGCGAAAATTTTATTATTTAAAGGTAATATTAATTGAATTTTTGCGAAGAATTGTATTAATTATTTTTTTTATAATTGAATTCTTTTGAGAAATTCTATTAAAATAGTAGATAGTGAAAATATTTGAATATCAGCGAAGAATTTCATTTGGGAAAATAATTGAATTATTGAGATAGATTTCCAAAAAAAAAATTGTTGAACTTATTTGAATCATTTGAAATTTTATTAAAATTTTTTGAATTTTTCTCTAAGAAGAATTTTATTAAAATATTTTTAATTCTTCTCTAAGAAGAATGTTATTAAAATTTTTTTAATTTTTCTCTAAGAAGAATGTTATTAAAATTTTTTTAATTTTTCTCTAAGAAGAATTTTATTAAAATTTTTCTAATTTGTTTCTAAGAACAATTTTATTAAAATATTTTTAATTTTTCTCTCTAAGAAGGATTATATGAAAATTTTTAAGAATAATTTTTTTATTTCATCTATCAACAGATTTAAATTAGTGCAAATTAAAGACAAACAAAAATTTACCTTTAGTGTCACAAATTTAAAAAAAAAAAAAAAGTAAATAATAGGTTTTAGTAGATGAGTGCGAAGCCAGCTTGAACAAGGAATTAAAATCAATTGATAACAAATGAAGCATGACCTTTCTCTGTAGCAATGAAATGCTTTGATTAACACTTGAAAATTATACTCTCAACATTTATTATTTATTGTAAATATTGTTTTCACACGGAGAGAATTATTTTGCATATTTACGCACGTGTTACAGTATAACGAAATGAATTAACATGGAAATTATTGAAAATTATTAGTTAAAATATCTTTGTGTAATAACTGTGCAATAAAGAATATTAATAATTGTGTGCTCCATTTCCCCAAAGTGCAAAAGCTTTCGATTCGACCAATAAATAATGTCACTATTGACATAAACACTGAACTCATATGTGTTTGACATAAAAATCGAACATAAAATTTTATTTATGATACAACTTATATGTGGCTTATCGATTTGAGCGTGTACACATTTTAGATTTTTACAATCTCATTTCTAACGAATTTAGACTTTTTTTCTATATATATTCTTTATTGATTAATGTGCGGAGAAAAAAAAGTTTCAAATTGTCGTTAATTTTTCGAGTTCGTTTGTGTTTCGAGACATTTTTTAAAGTTTTGAATCTTTGAATGAATTCAAACATTAAAGGTTTTAAAAAATGTCTCGAAACATTAAAGAACAAAATTAAACACAAAATTTCTTCTTGAAATTAAATTTTTATTTCCATAATTTTGCGTCACTGGCAGAAAAATTAGTTTCTAAATGTAAAAATAGTTTGTAACTTTTCATTGCAATCGGTAATTTATAAAAATATATTTTCGTAGAAAAAAATGTTTCCTGAACCTCAAAAAAATGTCGGAACAATTTTTCATTTGAGTTTTATTTTTTTATTTACTAATTCAATTTTTTATTCATTATCTATTGCACTTATTTTCCATTTGAAATCCATTTTTTACTTATTTTTTGCAGTTTATTTAAAATTTTATTCGAGTTAATAAATAATTAAATAAACAAATATTTAATTTATTTTTATTATTATTCTTTATACTTTTGATTATTTTACTTTACTATCGTTTTACTTGTTCCAAAAATTTTGAAAAACATGTACAATAAATTAATTAAGTTAAAAAATTCGTTACCTGGAATATTAAAATTTTTTTTCATAAAAAGAAAAATGAAATAAATTTAATTTCTAAAATGGAAAAATTAATTTCTAAAATAAAATTTCCTTTTATTGCAGCTTACAAAGTATTTAAAAACGGCGAGCATCACTTCAATGGAGGACTTAAAAATCCTGAGCGTGACGTGAGTAGGTACACTAAACTTATAAAACACCAATGAAAATTGAAAATTCAAAAATACTCACTTGAAAATTTTTATATTGTTCCTCAAGTCGTTTTTTTTCTTGCATCATATTCTCTTAATGTGGGAGAAAGAAAATTTTTTCCTTTTGTAACGATTTCGAAAATGATCCTCTTAGTCTGTAAAAAAGAAAAAAATTACGTTAATGAGAAAAATACAAAAATTAATTTAATATCGAGTAGAGAAAATTGTATTATTTACAAAAAATAAACAGTAAACGTTTCTTGAATATGAAAAATAATCTATTTAATATTTTTTGTTATTTTTTTATTTTATTACTGAAAAACAAACTAAGAGGGTGTTTACTATTTTCGTTCAACAAAATTCTAGTTTATTTCCCGGCTTTGTCCTAAGTTTTCCCAGTTTTTTTTCTCATCAAATTGAAATTTATTAGATTTCGAACATAAATAAATTTACAAATGACTTCAAAAATTTTTATTAGAGTTTTTATGAATAATTAAATTCTTTTGACGAGATTCTTTAACTTTTTTGAAAATAATATTTTTTAAATAATTTTAATTAAAAATTTGGAAAATAATTGAATTAAACAAAGAATTTTTTTTCATTTTTTAAAAATAATCTTTTCTGTTCATAATTATAATTGAAAATTTGATTAATTCAATTTTAATAAAATTGTGTTGATACTTATTGAATTTCTGCAAAGAATTTTTCTATTTATAAAAGTAATTGAATTCTTCCAAAGAATGTTATTATTTATAAAAATAATTAAATGTTTGCATAGAATTTTATTAAAATTCAAAATTTTTGAAAATAATGTTTTTTTTTTTTAAATTTTTAAACATAATTGAATTTCTAATTTCTAATTTCATAATTTAATTTCATAATTGAATTTCTAAAATTGTTTTTTAGAATTTTATGAAAATTTATGAAAATAATTGAATTCTTGTGAAGAATTTTTTTTTTAAATAACATTCAAAAGAATTTAGTAAATCTGAAGAATTTTACTACTTATAGAAATAATTGAATTCTTGAGAAGAAATTTTTTACAGTTTCTAGAAATAATTGAGTACTTCCAAAGAATTTTTAAATAATTGATTTTTTTGACGAACTGAAATTAAATTTTTAAGAATAATTACATTTTTCGAACAATTCCTGTAAAATTGTATTAAAAATAATTGAAATCCTGCGATAAATTTTATTATTTATGACAATAATTGAATTATTGCGAAAAATTTTATTTTAATTTTCAAAAATAATTGAATTTCTGAAAAGAATTTTATTATTTGTGAAAATAATTGAATTATTGCGAAAAATGTTATTCAAATGTTTAAAAATAATTGAATTTCCAAGAAGAAATTTCTTTATTTTTAAAAATAATTGAATTCTTGTTATGAATATTTGTTATTTATAAAAATAATTGAATTTCCAAGAAGAAATTTATTTATTATTAAAAATAATTGAATTCTTGTGATGAATATTTATTATTTATGAAAATAATTGAATTTTTCAAAGAATTTTATTAAAATACCTCCAAATAATTGAATTTTCGGGAATAATTTTGTTTATCATCGACATAATTGAATTCTTTCGAAGAATTATTTATGTAAATAATTGAATTCTTGGAAAGACTTTTATTAAAAATCTAAAATAATAATTGAATTATTTCAAAAAAATTTAATTCAAATTTTATTTAAAAATAATTGATTTCTTTCGAACAATTTTATTAAAATATTTGAAAATAATTGAATTCCTGTGAAAATTTCTAATATTTTTGTAAATAATTGAATTCTTCCAAAGAATTTTTAAAAAACTTTTTTTCTAAATAATTGATTTTTTTGAGGAACTGAAATAAAATTTTTAAAAATAATTCCTTTTTTTGAGCAATTTCTGTAAAATTTTTTTAAAAATAATTGAAATCCTGCGATAAATTTTATTATTTATGACAATAATTGAATTATTGCGAAAAATTTTATTTTAATTTTCAAAAATAATTGAATTTCTGAAAAGAATTTTATTATTTGTGAAAATAATTGAATTATTGCGAAAAATGTTATTCAAATGTTTAAAAATAATTGAATTTCCAAGAAGAAATTTCTTTATTTTTAAAAATAATTGAATTCTTGTTATGAATATTTGTTATTTATAAAAATAATTGAATTTCCAAGAAGAAATTTATTTATTATTAAAAATAATTGAATTCTTGTGATGAATATTTATTATTTATGAAAATAATTGAATTTTTCAAAGAATTTTATTAAAATACCTCCAAATAATTGAATTTTCGGGAATAATTTTGTTTATCATCGACATAATTGAATTCTTTCGAAGAATTATTTATGTAAATAATTGAATTCTTGGAAAGACTTTTATTAAAAATCTAAAATAATAATTGAATTATTTCAAAAAAATTTAATTCAAATTTTATTTAAAAATAATTGATTTCTTTCGAACAATTTTATTAAAATATTTGAAAATAATTGAATTCCTGTGAAAATTTCTAATATTTTTGTAAATAATTGAATTCTTCCAAAGAATTTTTAAAAAACTTTTTTTCTAAATAATTGATTTTTTTGAGGAACTGAAATAAAATTTTTAAAAATAATTCCTTTTTTTGAGCAATTTCTGTAAAATTTTTTTAAAAATAATTGAAGTTTCACTATTTATGAAAATAATTGAATATATTGTAAAAAAATTTTAAAAAATAAAATTATAATTACGGTGACTCACTTCCTTTGATTATTTTCGAAATATTTAAATAAAATTCTTTAAAATTTAATTATTTTTAATAGAATGTAAAGAAATTTCAATTATTCCAAACAATTTTAATTATTTCAAAAATTTGCAATTATTTGTTTATAAAAATTCAATTATCGTGAAACAATAGAATTGAAAAATTTCAAAAGTCTTATTTTTTAGAATTTTCAAAAAAACTTTGCGAAAATACAATTTTATTAAAAAATTTTAAGTGTTTTTTTTTTAAATTATCTGATTTTTTATTATCAAAATAATTATTTTTAACTAATTCAAATATAAAGAACAGTATAAATATCTATAAAAATTGAAATAAAAAAAACGATTTTTTAAAAACAAATTAAAATAATAAAACTTTTTTTAATTTGATGAAAAAATTCCCGGTTTGGCATAAAATTCCTGGCTTATTCCCGGTTTTTCCCAGTCAAATTAAATTCCCGGCTATTTCCCAGTTTTCACTGCCTAAATATTTAATTATTTTTAAATGGAAATTCTAAGTAACGGAAAAATTTAATAATTAAAAAATTCAATAACATGGAAGAGATTCTGATTTTTAAATTTAGTAAATTAACCTTTAAAGTGCTATGCCGGTCTGACAGACCGCTATTAAAATTTTCTTTGCTTGTAACTTTTTTTCAAAGTATAATAAGAACTTGAACTTTTTAGTAGCTTCATATTTTACGAAAATCTGTTAGGAGACAACTTTTTCAAAAATTTTTATTCGTTAAATTTTGTAATATAAATAAATATTTGAAGTATAGCGGTCTGTGAGACCGGGGTTAGCTTTAAGTGAAAGTATATTCCAGTATATTCCCATGAGTGACGTCTGCGCAACTTGACGCGCAGCTAGTTCTACTGACAGTTCTCATAAACTGCATTTATAAAATAAATAAAATAAATAAATGCATAATACAGAAATGACTTTTTTTGTTAAAGAGTAAAAAATATTTATAATAGTTGTCTTTTAAAAATTATAAATGACTAAAAAACTGTCAAAAGGGAATAGCGGTCTGACAGACCGGGGTTAGCACTGACCGTGATTTTTCAACACTTAGCACTTTAAAGGTTAAATATTGACACAGTAAATAAATATTATTGTCAATAGATATTGCGATTTAATTAATTCCAATCAAATTAAATTAAATTAATTTTAATAAAGTTAAACTAAATTAATTTTAATTTTTAAATTAAATTAATTTTAATTTTTAAATTAATTTCAATAAAATAAAATAAATTTCAATTGAATTACATTAAATTAATTTCATGAAATAATAATAATAAAATTAAATCTCAGAAAAAAGCAAAATTGCCCCTTTGAATAGTAAATTTATACTGAAATTGAAAAATAATTTTTTTTTTTCTGCAGACCTTCGTCGGAAGTGACTTTTCATTTTTTCGGAAACTCTCAGGATGGGGATAAAATTCGAGAAGCACTTAATCGTCTCGTTCAACTACGACGTCTAAACGAAATCACTCTTGAATCCACACACTTCACCTTTCAGCAGAAACCATCACTCAGACTTCAGGTAGTAAAATGTTTTTTAAAGGCGCTGCAAAATAAAGAAAACGACTTTTTTATAGTGTCAATTTTTCTTCACTAGAGCTTACGTATCAACCAAGTGAACGAGCATCAGGTGCGATTGGGTGACCAATTCATTTTATCTTGCGTTGCACAGGGAAGTTATAATATTGCCTTTACATGGTACAAGGACAACATGCTTGTCAATATGAGTAAAGCCACCAGGTAAAAAGAAAAAGAATATCTATTTTTTTTTTCTTCTTTTTATTATTTTCTCAGAAAACTAATATTTTCTCTTCAATTTAGTACTGAACACATTTTTCTTCTTCTTTTCTATTTTATCAACATTATTTTTTCTTTTTATTTTCACTTCGTTAGAATTGAAATTGATATTTTTATTTCTTTTGTATATTTATTTTTTGATCAATTCTAGAATATACTTTTTTTCAGTAATTTTGATAAACTTTCTTGATTCTTTTCTGATTTTCTTAATCCATGGCAAACCTTGTTTCAGTCTGGAAAAAATTGTAATTATTTAAATTTATCTTCTTTTTGTTTTTGCAGAGAAATTTGGTACAGGCACTTACCGAATGATGGATCGGATTTGCACACATCTTTATTGACAATAGACAAGGCGACGCTCCTCGACGAAGGAAAATATACGTGTCAAGTTGTCGATTGGGGAATGCAGCAATGCAAAAGTATTTACATTGAAATCAAAGATGAATCGGACGTTAAAGTTGTTCCAATGAGTGCGACTCTGGAAAAGGTGTAATAAATTTTATTGAAACATGTATATAATTTATTTCTTTATTTTTTTTACTTCTTTATTTTTTCTTTACTTTTTTATTTTTTTTACTTCTTTATGTTTTCTTTACTTCTTTATTTTTTTTTACTTTATTTTTTCTTTCATTATTTTTTTTCTTTACTTCTTTTTTTTTCTTTACTTGTTGCTATTATTCATATAAACTTATTTCAAAATTACGAAATGATTTTTCAATACAAAAGGTATTTAATTTAGAAAATTTGAGACCAGTTGGCTCCCTTCTACACATTCCATTTGTTAAAATGCAATGGCTTTTAAACCAAATGCGCCGTAATTTCAGATAATAAATTTCCAACAGCTTCAAATTGAATGCACCCGAACGTGTATAATGCTTTCGAATTTAAAATCATCTCTCTTTTAATCAGACAATTTACAAAATTGAAAGTACAATTTTCGATAAAAATTAAATGACGGCAAAAAATCATTCAATTAATTTAATTAAGATTATTTAAATAATTTATTTCAATAAATAATTTTATTTCCGGAGGACAGACTTTGCACTCGATAATCAATTTTAAAAAAAGTAGCAAAAAGTAGCTTTCAAACTAAAAAAAAAAAAGAGTAAAAAAGTAGCTATCGAAAAATTAAACTTGATGACCAAAAAAAAAACTCGTTTTAGACATTTCACAAAACTGACAAAACTTTCATTCAATATTTTTTATTTTTGTGACTTTTTCTTAATTTTCATCAATAGTTATTTTCGTAACAAGGGCGCAAAATAGGTGATTGCGACGATGGCGAAATGAAGGGAGCGAGGGGACACAATTTCGCGCCCGAGGCGAAGCCGAGGGAGCGAAAGTGTCCCCGAGGTCCCGAAATTCCGCCAAAGTCGTAATCACCTTTGCGCCCATGATGCGAACATAATTTTTTGTCCTAACTGCATGGAAAGTATGGCATAGAGGGCACGCACGATTAAACGCTCATATTAGTTAAAAATTAAGCTCTATATAAACATTATATCGAATGAAGTCTATAATGATAGAAGTTTTAAAATAGAAATAAAAAACAATGTATTCTGGAAACATAGTATTTATTTAGAACGTAGTAATTAATAATTAAACAAAACTGAAACAAGAACTTTTAAAATTGACAATTTTGATAAACGAAATGGGAACAAAACCAAATGTCTCATTATTTTTTTAGAGAAAATAAAAAAAAATTGCAAATTTTTATAGACAAAATAAAACAAGTTGAAAATGTTTGCAGTTTTATAGTCAACACAAAAAGAAAGTCGAAAATGTCGCATTTTAATGAAGAAAATCGAATAATTAACAAGCGGGCGGTAAAGTATTTTCCGCCCGCTCGGAGGTAGGCGAAGCGGGCGGAAAATACTTTACCGCCCGCTGACGTCATACAAGCGGGCGCAAAATACTTTTCCGCCCGCTTCCCCCACTCCCGGGCGTAATGTGTTACTTTGCGCCCGCCTTAAGTGCCCGAAATGACATACTTTCCGTGCAGGTAGGACAAAAAAATATTTACTTCTTTCTTTCATGCTGCTAATAAATAAAATTCTTGCAACGAATTTTATTATTTATGAAAGAATTTTAATATTTATACAAATAATTTAATTCTTGCGAAGAATTTTACAAAAAAATTTTTTTGTCCTACCTGCACGGAAAGTATGTCATTTCGGGCACTTAAGGCGGGCGCAAAGTAACACATTACGCCCGGGAGTGGGGGAAGCGGGCGGAAAAGTATTTTGCGCCCGCTTGTATGACGTCAGCGGGCGGTAAAGTATTTTCCGCCCGCTTCGCCTACCTCCGAGCGGGCGGAAAATACTTTACCGCCCGCTTGTTAATTATTCGATTTTCTTCATTAAAATGCGACATTTTCGACTTTCTTTTTGTGTTGACTATAAAACTGCAAACATTTTCAACTTGTTTTATTTTGTCTATAAAAATTTGCAATTTTTTTTTATTTTCTCTAAAAAAATAATGAGACATTTGGTTTTGTTCCCATTTCGTTTATCAAAATTGTCAATTTTAAAAGTTCTTGTTTCAGTTTTGTTTAATTATTAATTACTACGTTCTAAATAAATACTATGTTTCCAGAATACATTGTTTTTTATTTCTATTTTAAAACTTCTATCATTATAGACTTCATTCGATATAATGTTTATATAGAGCTTAATTTTTAACTAATATGAGCGTTTAATCGTGCGTGCCCTCTATGCCATACTTTCCATGCAGTTAGGACAAAAAATTATGTTCGCATCATGGGCGCAAAGGTGATTACGACTTTGGCGGAATTTCGGGACCTCGGGGACACTTTCGCTCCCTCGGCTTCGCCTCGGGCGCGAAATTGTGTCCCCTCGCTCCCTTCATTTCGCCATCGTCGCAATCACCTATTTTGCGCCCTTGTTACGAAAATAACTATTAAATAATTGATTTCTTTCGACTAATTTTATGCAAATTCTAATTTAAATAATTCAATTCCTAAGAAATTTTTATTATTCATGAAAATAATTGAATTCTTACGAAGATTTTTACAAACATTTTTTTAAATAATTGAATTCTGTTTAGAAATTCTTTGAAAATAGTAGATATTGAAAATCATTGAATTACGAAAAGTTATTAAAAATAATTAAATTTTACAAAGAATTCAATTAAAATTTTTGACAATAATTGAATGTCTGTGTTTTAAAAATAATTCGAATTCCTAAAAAGCATTATATTATTTATGAAAATAATTGAATTCTTGCGAACGATTTTATTAGAATTTATTTAAATAATTGAATTCTTGTAATGAATATTGTTATGTATGAAAATAATTGAATTTTGCATAAAATTTTATTAAAATTCCTTAAAATAATTGAATTTTTGAAATTTTTTTGTTATTTATCGACATAATTGAATTCTTTTGAAGCATTATTTATGTAAATAATTAAATTCTTGGGAAGACTTTTATTAAAATCTAAAAGAATAATTTTATTATTTCAAAAAGATTTAATTAAAATTGTAGTTAAAATAATTAATTCTAATAATAATAAATAATAATAAATTCTAATATTTTTGTAAATAATTGAATTTTTCCAAAGATTTAAAAAAAACATTTTTTTAAATAATTCATTTTTTCGAGGAACTGAAATTAAATTTTTAAGAATAATTACACTTTTCGAGCAATTTCTATAAAATTGTATTAAAAATAATTGAAATCCTGCGATAAATTTTATTATTTATGAAAATAATTGAATTATTGCGAAAAATTTTATTTTAATTTTCAAAAATAATTGAATTCCTAAAAAGAATTTTATTATTTATGAAAATAATTGAATTATTGTGAAAAATTTTATTAAAATGTTTAAAAAGAATTGAATTTCTGTGAAAAATGTTGTTATTTTTGAAAATAATTGAATTCTTTCGAAGAATTATTATCGACATAATTGAACTCTTTCGAAGAATTAATTATGTAAATAATTGAATTCTTGGGAAGAATTTTATTAAAATCTAAAAGAATAATTGAATTATTTCAAAAAAATTTAATTCAAATTTTATTTAAAATAATTTTTTTCAAAAAATAACATTCAAAAGAATTTAGTAAATCTGAAGAATTTAGCTATTTATGGAAATAATTGAATTCTTGAGAAGAAATTTTTTACAGTTTCTAGAAATAATTGAATTCTTCCAAAGAATTTTTAAATAATTGAATTTTTTGAGGAACTGAAATAAAATTTTTAAGAATAGTTACATTTTTCGATAAATTCTTGTAAAATTGTATTAAAAATAATTGAAATCCTGCGATTAATTTTATTATTTATGAAATTATTGAATAGTTGCTAAGAATTTTATTATAATTTTCAAAAATAATTGAATTCCTAAGAAGAATTTTATTATTTATGAAAATAATTGAATTATTGCGAAAAATTTTATTAAAATATTTCAAAAGAATTGAATTTCTTTGAAAAATTTTGTTATTCTTGAAAATAATTGTATTCTTGTAGAAAATTTTATGTGTGAAAATAATTGAATTTGTCGATAAATTAAATTAAAATAGTATTAAAAATAATTGAAATTCTTCGATGAGTTTTATTATTTATGAAAATAATTGAATTCTTGCTTAGAATTTTATTAAACATTTATTTTTAAAAATGTTTTATTTGAACCTTTAATTAATATAATTGGAAAAATGTTATTATTAAGTGAAAGTAATTGAATTATTGTGAAGAATTGTATAAAAATTTAGTTAAACAATTAATTGTTTTGAAATTTTTTTTGAAAATGCTATTCTAAATTAATTTTATTATTTATGAAAATAATTGAATTTTGGATGAATTTAAAAAAAAATGTTTATAAAATTTGAAACTAATACCGAATTTTTAATTTTGTTTTTTAAATAAAAGGGCGGAAATATTCAGTTGATGTGCATTACTCCAAATATGAGAAGTCTGGGAATTGGATTTGGCTGGACGAAAAATCGAGCACTTTTGAAATTAGAACCAGGAAGTGAAGTTTGGGAAGATCTCTATCCAGCCGGAAGTATTTTAAATATTACAAACGCTCAGGTTATTTTCTTTGAAAATCTCTCTTCTTCTTCTTCTTCGTCTTCTTAGAAAAAATTTAATTACAAAGAAATTCCAATTTAGGAAAATTTAATTAAATAAGTCTCAATTTCCATTTTAGGAAAATTTTGATTAAATTATTTAATTATTGTTTAAAAAAAAATTATTTAATTAAATTTTATAAAAATTGAAACAAATAATAATGAAAATAAAAAAACAGAATATAATAGAACTAGAGAAAAAAATTCTAATAGTAAATATTCGATAATGTAAAAATATCGTTTTTGAATTGAAATAGATTCAATATTGCAGGAAAGAGAAAAAAAAAGAAGTTGCAATAAAAAAACATTTGATACGGAAGATCGTTCTTTTCAATTTCAGAAATCTGCAATATATACCTGTAACGTTGCCTTAAGGTCAATGTCAGTTCGTGTGGAAGTTGTGAATCGAACTTTGATTCCTCTTTGTCCGAAGGAAAAATCCTGGGGCTTAGAATGGTCCGAAACTGGTCCTGGAACGGAAGCACTTCTTGATTGTCCTCGACATTTTATTGGACGTCACGCGTCCAGACTTTGTTCAATGAAAGACGCAACTTTAACTGGTTGGCAGAATCCTGATTTTTCCAGTTGCCTCTATGAACCTTTAATATTTCCTTATAACAAGGTAAGCAAAAAAATGTTATTAATGTTTTTGACATTTCGAAATTTAATAAATATTAATTTTTAATTTTTTTTATTCTTTTATTTATAGTTTCGTAGTTTGACACTTGGCTATCAAAATACAACTGGTTCAGAAACAATAAATGAACTGTGGAATATTTTACGAAATCGATCATCCTCATTCTATCCGGGCGAGGGTGATAGGATTTTAAATATCCTCGCTGAGATAGAATTATATCAATTTAATATTGATGATACGAGAGATTTGGCCAACTCGGCAGAGGCTATGATTGGAATAATAAATAGAATTCTAGAAGAAGAAAGTGCGATATACAATCAACAGGTAGATTCAATAAAGATTCGTTACTTTAATTTTTCTTTCAAAGACACAATAAATGTATCAATTCATCAAAAGCGGGGAATATGTTCGTGAATTCGTTTTTTCTTTCTGCATATTATTTTTCTCGAGTTTAGAAAAGAGAGGAAAATTCCGGTAATCTGTTCGCAGTTTGAAATTAGTTGTTAATTACTTTATTGTTTCCTAACTTTTTTTTTAATTTTTCTTTTTAAATATTTTCAATTTTAAAATTAATGTATTGAAAATCATTGAATTCTTGCAAAGAATCTTACCAAAAAATTTGAAGCGAATAATTGAATTCCTTTAAAGAATTTTTTTATTTATGAAAATAATTGAATTCTCGCCCAGAATTTTATTAAAATTTAAAAAAAATCCTAATTAAATTCTTTTGAAGAATTTCTGTGAATTTTTTTTTAATAATAGAGTTTCTTTCATAATTTTAAATGAAAATTTGGAAAGCAATTGAATTCTATTAAAATTGTTTTAAACAGAATTTAATTTCTGCAAAGAATTTTACTATTTATAAAAATAATTGAATTATTGCGAAGAATTTTACTATTTATAAAAATAATTGAATTGTTCCGAAGAATTTATTAAAATTTTAGGAAATAAATGAATTTTATGTAAATATTTGAAAATAATTAAATTCTTTCGTGGAATTCTATTAAAATTGTTTTGAAAAGAATTTAATTTCTGCAAAGAATTTTACTATTTATAAAAATAATTGAAATGTTTCGTAGAATTTATTAAAATTTTATGAAATAATTGAATTGTTTTGAAGAATTTTATAGAAATATTTGAAAATAATTCAATTCTTTCGAAAAATTCAATTAAAGTTGTTTCTACAATAATTGAATGTCTGTAAAGAATTTTATTAAAATTATGTATATTCAAAATAATTGAATTCATCAGAAGAATTTTATTATTTTTTGAAAATAATTGAATTCCTTTAATTTTTTTAACGAATATATTTAAAAATTGCATTGAAAGTAATTTAATTTTCATATAAAAATTATTTAAAATATTTTGAGAATAATTGAATTATTTGTAGAGAATTTTAAATTCTTCTTAAAATTGAATTTTATGCAAGTTTTTGAAAATAATTAAATTCTTGCCTGGAATTTTTTTTAAATTGGATTAAAAATAATTTGATTCCTGCAAAGAAGTTTAGTATTTATAAAAATAGTTGAATTTGTTTCAAAAAATTTACTAAAATTTTAGGAAATAATTGAATTTTAAGGAAATATTTAAAAATATTTTATTTCTTCGGAGGAATTCAATTAGAATGGTTTTAAAAATCATTGAATTACTGCAAAGAATTTTACTATTTATAAAAATAATTGAATTATTGCAAAGAATTTTAAATTCTCTAAAAATAATTGAAATTTTACGAAGAGTTTATTAAAATTTTAGGAAATAATTGAATTGTTTTGAAGAATTTAAAAAAAATATTTGAAAATAATTAAATTCTTTCGAGAAATTCAATTATAGTTGTTTTGAAAATAATTGAATATCTGTAAAGAATTTTATTAAAATTATGTATATTCAAAATAATTGAATTCATCAGAAGTAATTTAATTTCCATATAAAAATTATTTAAAATATTTTGAGAATAATTGAATTATTTGTAGAGAATTTAAAATTCTTCTTAAAATTGAATTTTATGCAAATTTTTAAAAAAAATTAATTTTGCTTGTAATTTTTATTTAAATTGGATTAAAAATAATTTGATTCCTGCAAAGAATATTAGTATTTATTAAAATAGTTGAATTGTTTCAAAGAATTTACTAAAATTTTAGGAAATAATTGAATTTTATAGAAATATTTAAAAATATTTGAATTCTTTCGAGGAATTCAATTAAAATTGTTTTGAAAATAATTGAATTACTGCAAATAATTTTACTATTTATAAATATAATTGAATTATTCCAAAGAATTTTACTATTTATAAAAATAATTTAATTGTTTCGAAGGATTTAATAAAGAATTTAGAAAATAATTGAATTTATTCGAAATATATTTAAAAATTTTGTTTAAAAATTGAATTCTGCCGAGGAATTCGATTAAAATTGTTTTGAAAATAATTGAATTCTTACGAAAGATTTATTAAAATTTTAGAAAATAATTGAATTCTTTTAAAAAATTTTATAACAAATTAAGAAAAAAAATTTGATTCTATCGTGAAATTTTGTTAAAAATAATTGAATTTTTGCAAAGATTTTACTATTAAAAAACAATAATTGCATCGTTTGGAAGGATTTATTAAAATTTTAGAAAATATTTGAATTCTTTTGTGAAATTCTATTAAAATTTTGTTAAAAATAATTGAATTTTTGCAAAAAATGTTACTATTTTTAGAAATAATGGAATTCTTCCGAAGAATGTTATTATTATATTATATAAAATTATATAATATAATATAAAAATAATTGAACTCTTGCGAAGAATTATATTTTCAAAATAACAATAATAATTAATTTTGTACTTAATAAGTCAATTTTTTTAAACCTTGATTTTGAAATTATTTAAAAATTTATATTTGAAAATAAAAATTTTTGTAATTTGCATAACAATAATAAATTGGAATATCACGTTCTACGCGTTAGCTCGCGTAACATTTGCTAGTTTAATAATATTTATTATTTACCACTTGCTCAACTTTTTAATTAGTTAAATATTTGTTTTTGTTGTTCAATAGGGAAAATCGTTGAATTTCTGTTCCAGAAATTACATCTTTTGAAGCACTTGACACAGAGAACTTTGACCCACTGGACCAAGGAGTCAATGGATGCTCATAAACATCTGAGCATGTCTTCTCTAATATTAGATATGCAATCTCTTCAAGTGAGAAATAATTATGGAACAATGATTGTACCTTCCGATAATTATGTGTAGGTATTCAGAGTTAATTAATTTCATTTTTTTTTACATTTATCGTAATAATCGTCTTTAATATTTATTGCAAATCTTACACGAAAAGAATAATTATGAAGCAAAGATCATATCTTTCGACAAATTACATGAAGGTGAAAATTTACTTTAAATTGTATGAATATATTCAATGGTCCTTAATTACATTGTAAATTGAAATTCAAAGCTATTATTAATTTTACTTTTTTGAAATAATTTTATGAATTTTATTTCTATTTTCTTTATTATAAATAATTCAGGGTTGACATAAAAATTTAATTTTGTTTTTACCTGATTTCCAGACAAAATTCTGACCTTTTTCCTGACCCTAAATACTGTTTTTAATTTTTTCTATTAATTTCATAAAACTTTCGTCATTAAAATTATTTTTTTTCCAATTAGATATCCAAGCTGGTATGATGATAAAATTATGATTCGATCTCTACGACAACAAATTGCTCCGACATCAAATTTTTCTGTCACTGGCAGTGTCATCGTTTTTCGAAACTTAACACATCTCATGCCCCGAATATTCGAAAAGAAATTAGAGTAAGTATTTTTTTTTCAATGCAATATTATATTGAAGACAATTTGTTAATAAATTAATAATAAATTTCTTAAAACACCAATTTTTAAACCGTCTAAAAATTGCTTTCTAAAATAAAATTTAATTCTTGTCTTCTTTTTCTTTCATATAGCGATGGAAGCGATTTAAAATATCAAATTGATTCTCGAGTGATTATGGTAACAGCTTCGAATCATTTTCCAAAAGATAAAGATAATATTTGGGTCGATTTGCAAATGCGCCATTTAAGTAACCAGACATTAATGTGGAATGTTTCCTGTGGTTTTTTGGACAATTCCGGATTATGGGATTTAAACGTTTGCTCACTAACTCCATTGCCAGAAGAAAGAACTGTTCAATGCCTTTGTCCAAGTACAGGGATATTTGCCGTATTTCTCACATCCCGTGCTGCTAAAGTAATCTCTTTGAACTATTCTTCTTTTTTTTCACTTATTTTCACATAAACAAAATTTTTAACTCATTGAAAAATTTCTATTGAAATGTTTTTAAATTCAATTTTGCAAATTTCTAACACAGATTACTGAATCGAAAAGTGAGAAAACACAATTAATTGTGGTATTTGGCTGTGGCAGTTGTTTACTTCAGTGTCTATTTTCTTCTCTAATTATCGGACTGTTCTGGTGGAATAATCGAACGTGGCTCAACTTTCTTAAATTGCAATGTTGCGCTGCAATTATTGCAGCAATGGGAATGTTCATTTATGCAGTGAACAACAATATTCCCGAGGTAAATTCTTCTTTATTATTCGACAATTTATTTCTTTTCAAATTTATTTTTAAAAATTATTTTAATTCTTGGCAAGATTTTTCTTAAAATTCCTTGAAATAATTCAATTGTTTTCAAGAATTTATTTCAATATTCTTGAAAATAGTGGAGTTTTTTTTAAAATAATTTTTACTAAAAATTTTGAAATTTTATCAAGATAATTGAATTTTATCAAGAATTCAATTATTTTCAATAATTGTAATAAAATTATTTGCAGAAGGTCAATTTATAATAAACAAAAATCTTCGTGAAAAAATTCAATTATTTTTATGTAAATAATAAAATTCTTATCAGGATTTCACTTATTTTCAATACAATTTTAACTGACTTCTTCGAAAATTGCAATTATTTTTGAAAATCTTGTAAAAATTTTCCGAAAAAATTTAATTATTTTAAAAAATAATTGAACTTTTCATAGGAGTTCTATTATTTAAAAAACTGTTAATAAAATTCAATTCAAGAATTCAATTATTTTCCTAAAAAATAAAATTTTCGCTGGAATTCAATTAATACAATTAATATTAATACAATTTTAATTGAATCCCAGGGAAAATTACATTATTTTTAAATTCTTCGTAGGAATTCAATTATATCAATAAATAGTACATTTTTCTCAGGTATTCAATTATTTTAAATAGAATTTTCATAAAATTCTTCTCTAAAATTCATTTAATTTTCTGAAATTTTGCAAAAATTCAATTATTTTTAAAAATAATAAATTTTTTTGTCAGGGATTCAATTATTCAAAAAAGTTTTAAGAGAATTCTATTCAAGAATTCAATTATTTTTAGAAATAATTAAATTTTCGATGTACTGAAAATCACTGAATTCTTGTGAAGAATTTATAAAAAAATTTGAAAATAATTGAATTAATTTCAAGAATTTTATCAATATTTTTTTCAATAATTAAATTCTTTCGAGAAAATATAATTAAAATTGAATTAAAAATTACTTTAATTCTTGGCAAGTTTTTTATTAAAATTCTTTAATATAATTGAATTTTTTTGAAGAATTTATTTCAATTTTCTTGAAAATAATGGAGTTTTTTTAAAAATAATTTTTACTGAAAATTTTAAAAGTAATTGAATTTTATAAAGATTTTCTTTTAAGTTTTTAAAATAATGGTGTTTAATATTAATTGTAATTAACGATTTTCCTATTAAATTATTTTAAAATTATTCAGGGAAAATTATATTCTTTTCAGCAATTTTATTAGAGTTTATGTAAATAATTAGGTACATTTTTTTAAGAATTTCATTAGATTTCGTAAAAGTAATGTAATTTTTCAAAGTAATTTTAATTAAAAATTTTGAAATTAATTGAAATTTACAAATAATTTTATAAAAAAACTTTCGATTCTTCGTAAAAAAATTCAATTATTTTTATATAAATAATAAAATTCTTCTCAGGATTTCACTTATTTTCAATTCAATTTTAATTGATTTCTTCGAAAATTTCAATTATTTTTAAAAATCTTGTAAAAATTTCTCGAAGAAATTCAATTATTTTAAATAATAATTGAATTTTTCTCAAGAAGTTCAATTATTTAAAAATTCAAGAATTAAATTATTTTCAAAAATAATGAAATTTTTACTGAAATTGAATTATTTTAAATGCAATTTTAATTGAATTCCAGGGAAAATTAAATTATTTTTAAACTTTGTTTTTTAAATTCTTCGAAAGAATTCAATAATATCAATAAATCGTAAATTTTTCACAAGAATTCAATTACTTTAAATACAATTTCAATAAAATTCTTCTCAAAAAATTACTTATTTTTAAAAATTCTTTATTATTTACAAAAATAATTTAATTCTTGCCAAGAATTTTACAATTTATAAAAATAATTGAATTGTTTCGAAGAATTTTTTATCAGAATTCTTGAAAATAATTGAATTTAAATAATATTTTTAAAAATAATTGTATTTTTTCGAGAAATATTATGAAAATTGTGTTGAAAATAATTGAATTCATTTATAGAATTTTATTATTTTTATGATAATATTTAAATTTTTGCGAAGAATTTTCTTATTTATTAAAATAATTAATTTCTTGAGGAGGATTTTACAATTCATAAAAAGAATTGAATTGTTTTGAAGAATTTTATTTGAATTTTTTGATGGAATTTTATTTAAAATTTTGAAAATAATGTTTTTTTCAAAAGAATTTCAACAAAATTGTTGAAAATAATTGATAATTTATATTAAAATTCTTGAAAAAAATCGAATTTAATTAATATTTTCAAAAATAATTGTATTCTTTCGAGAAATTTCATTAAAATTGTATTGGAAATTATTGAATTACTCTAAAAAATATTATTATTTATGAGAATAATGAAATTCTTGCGAAAAATTTTATTTAAATTTTTGAAATAATAATAAACAAGAATATTTAATATTATGTACTTTATAACTGAATTCTTTAAATTTTAAATCTGTAATCATTTAAAAATTGTTGTTTATTCTTGAAAATATAAAAAATTTTTTATTTACAAAATAATAATAAATGGAATACGTTTCGCGCACGTAAAATTTACGAGTATTGAATAATTGAATAAAATATTGAATAACTGATTAAAATATTAAATGATTGATTAAAATATTGAATAATTAATGAAAATATTGAATGATTCATAAAAATATTGAAAAAATTGGATAAAAATAAAATATTAAATGATTGATTAAAATATTGAATAATTAATCAAAATATTGAGTGATTCATAGAAATATTAAAAAAATTGGTTAAAATATTGAATGATTAATTAAAACATTGAATAATATTTTGTTGGGAAATAAATTTTCCTTTTCGAAAATACTCACGAATTGTGGAATAAACAAATTGGTTGATTATAGAGTTCCTGGTCCATTGTGGCATTAAGTCTGGAGACTTTTCTCCTCGTTGCTATGACAGCGCCAATATCTCAAGCGCTAATCATTTACGCCGAGCTTACAAACATCCGTCCTAGCCACCACCTGCAACCAACAGTAATTGCCGTTATTACTGGTGAATATTAATTACTACAATTTAAAGTTTTTTTCTCTTTTGGACATTCTTTTTTCTATTAATTGAACATTTCTTGTGATGGGATATATTCAATTTTGAAAACATGTAATTTTCTTATCTTAATAATAATATAAATCTTAATCCAGTGGTATTAATGAAAAGATTTTAATTACACTCTTGAAAATATATTGTATACTGGAAAAATCTATAATTTGTATAAATATAAAGAAATAAATTAATTCGTGATTAATAAGAATATTTTCTAAAAGAATAATTAATTAATTTAAAGTTTAGAATTCTTTTAGAAATAAGAGAATCTAGAGAATTAAAAGAAGAGAAAGAATATTGGAAAAAAAGGGATTATAATTTTTGCAATAAGTTTTTGTGAATATTTCCAGGTGTTCCAATTTTGTCAGTATTGGCAACGGAATTAATTCATCAAAGCGCAGGTTGGCGACATGAATCATGGTGGTTAATTTTCGGTAGTGGTGTCTATAATATATTTATAACTTGCACAGCCATGATGCTACTTATTTTCGGTTTATTATATGGTGGTGTATTGCTCAGAAGTCAAGCCCTCGTTAAAAGGAGTATTGTAAAAAAAGAGTCTATTATAACGAGGTAAGAATTGGGTCAATTGACTCTTTATCACTTTAGAAATAATTATTTTAATAGAAGGCCTATAATAATTAAAAAAATCAATATAAATAATACAAGGTTGCCACAAAAAATTAATTTTCTGTTTCCCTGACTTTTTGTTTTCAAATATAAATTTTTATATAATTTCAAAATCAAAAATTAAAAAATTCACTTATTATAAGTACAAAATCAATTATTATTATTTATATTTTCAAAAATTTTGAAATATAATTCTTCGCAAGAACTCAATTATTTTTATATAATATAATAATAACATTCTTCGGAAGAATTCCATTATTTTTAAAAATAGTAAAATTTTTTGCGAAAATTCAATTATTTTTAATAAAATTTTAGTAAAATTTTACAAAAGAATACAAATATTTTCTACAATTTTAATAAATTCTTCCAAACAATGCAACTATTTTTTTAAATAGTCCAATTTTTGCAAAAATTCAATTATTTTTAATAAAATTTCACGATAGAATTTAATTTTTTTCTTAATTCGTTATAAAATTTTTCAAAAGAATTCAATTATTTTCTAAAATTTTAATAAATATTTCTCAAGAATTCAATTATTTTCAAAACAATTTGAATCAAATTCCTCGGCAGAATTTTATTTTTAAAAAAATTTTTAAATACATTTCGAATAAATTCAATTATTTTCTAAAATCTTTAATAAATCCTTCGAAACAATTAAATTATTTTTGTAAAAAATAGTAAAATTCTACGCAAGAATTCAATTATTTTTTTAAATAGTAAAATTCTTTGCAGTTATTCAATTATTTTCAAAACAATTTTAATTTAATTCCTGGGAAGAATTCAAATATTTTTAAAAATTTCCATAAAATTCAATTATTTCCTAAAATTTTAGGAAATTCTTTGAAACAAATTCAACTATTTTTATAAATACTAAACTTCTTTGCAGGAATCAAATTATTTTTAATCCAATTTAAATATATAATTACACGCAAGAATTCAATTATTTTCAAAAATTTGCATAAAATTCAATTTCAACAAGAATTTGAAATTCTCTAAAAATAATTCAAATATTTTCAAAATATTTTTAAAAAATTCTATATGAAAATTAAATTACTTTTAATGCAATTTTTAAATATATTCGTCAAAAAAATTAAAGGAATCCAATTATTTTCAAAAAATAATGAAATTCTTCTGATGAATTCAATTATTTTGAATATACTTAATTTTAATAAAACTCTTTACAGAAATTCAATTATTTTCCAAACAACTTTAATTGAATTTCTCGAAAGAATTTAATTATTTTCAAATATTTCAATTTCTTATGAACTATAAAAATTTTATTTTTCCAGTACTTTTAATAAAAATGTGACTTTTCCCTGAATTCCCTGACCTGTGGCAACCCTGTAATAGTTTAAAAAAAACATTCATAGTAAAAATACAGTCAAGTTGAATAAATAAAAAATATACAAAATTAATTAATTAATTTTTTTTATTTTTACTTACAGTGTGCATATGGTTCATCGAACAACTGTCATTGTTTGTGGAATTATCATAATGGAAGCATCGTCAGTATTTTATATAAATTCTTCATCAATTATTTTTCATTACGTGTTCGCAGTCTCGGCAGCTTTGCTCGTAAGTTTTTTAATGTTTAATAATAACTTCATTCACTTCATTATGATTTAATAATTTTCTGACCGTTTCTGTCTCTCTCTCTTTTCTAGGGGTTCATTATTTTCATGACATATGTTGTAAGCAGCGAGCTCAAGTGCTTGATTTTCAAATGTAAAGCGAGGCATAAAGGAGGCATTGAAGAGGAATGCATCTCTGATCAAATTAAAGGTACTTTCAACCCTTGAATCCCAAGTTTAATTACTCTTGAGAAATAATTAGGTGCAAATTTCAAATTATCACCTGCTGACAAATTAATCATAATATTTATATATTTAATCTACTAATTAATTAATTAATTAATTAATTAATTTGTATTCATTGCATTTTTTCTTAATCAGGGTTACCACAAAGATAATTTAATTTTGTTTTTCTCTCACTTTTCCCTGATATTTAGACAAAATTTTCACTTTCAATTCAAATTCAAACTTTTTGAAATTAAATAACTTGTAAGAATATTTTATTATAAAACATGAAGATAATCAATCATTTCGAGCCTTCGATTCGGAATAATCGATTTCTTCATGTTTTAAAATAAAAATTAATTATTTTCTTTAAATTTTAATTTAAAACCTTTCAAAATTCAATTATTTCTAAAAATTCAAGATATAATGCTTTTAATATTCAATTATTAACTAAAATTTTGACTAAAATTCATTTTAAAATTCATTTTTAAATTAATTTTTAATAGAAAATTCTACGAGAATTTAATTATTTAAATATATAATTAAACAAAAATTTTTTTAAATAATTGATTACTTCTTAAAATTTAATTCTCATAAAAAATGTTATCAACAAATTTTTAAATAATTGAATTCTTTTGACGAATTTCAAATAAATTTTTTAGAATAACATTTTTTGAGAAAGTCGATTAAAATTGTAATAAAAAAAATGAAATGCTGCGTTAAGTTTTATTATTTATGAAAATATAATTGAATCCAATCAAAAAATTTTATTATTTATAACAATAATTGAATTATTGGGGAAAAAATTTGTAAATAATTGAATTCCGATGAAATTATTTTTATTTACGAAAATAGTTAAAAGTTTGCATAGAATGTTTTCAAAATTTAAAAAAAAATGTTATCATTGAATTCAGGAAAATTTTAGAAAATAATTGAAATTTTATTGAAATTTTGGAAAATAATTGAATTTTGGTGAAGAATTTTGTTATTTATAAAGAATTTTTAAGTATTTTTGAAAATAATTGTATTTTTTCGTAGAATTTTATTACTTTTGAAAATAATTTTATTTTGAGAAGAATTCTATTAAAATTCCTAAAAATAATTGAATTCTTGTGAGGAATATTGTTATTTATGAAAATAATTGAATTTTTGCAAAGAATTTTATTAAAATTCATGGAAAAAATTGACTATTTCATGGAATTTTATTAAAATCAATGCAAATTTTTATTAAAATTCCTGAAAATAATTGAATTTTTTAAAGAATTTTATTAAAATTTCTGAAAATAATTGAATTTTTCAAAGAATTTTATTAAAATTCCTGGAAATAATTAAATTTTGCCAAAAAATTTTATTAAAATTCCTGAAAATAATTCAATTTTGCAAAAATTTTTTATTAAAATTTCTGAAAATAATTGAATTTTGCAAAAAATTTATTAAAATTCCCAGAAAACAATAAAATTTTTTAAACAATTTTATTAAAATTCTAGAAAATATTTAAATTTTGCAAAAGAATGTTATTTAAATTCATGAAAAAAATTAAATTTTGCCAACAAATTTTATTAAAATAATTGCATTTTGCAAAAAAAATTTATTAAAATTTCTGAAAACAATTACATTTTTTAAATAATTTTATTAAAATTCCTGGAAATAATAAATTTTACCAACAAATTTTATTAAAATTCCTGAAAATAATTGAATTTTGCAAAAAAATTTAATTAAAATTCCTGAAATTAATTGATTTTTGTAAAGAATTTTATTAAAATTTCTAAAAATAATTGAATTCCAAAAAAAAATTTATTAAAATTCCTGAAAATAATTGAATTTAGCAAATAAATTTTATTAAAATTCCTCAAAATAATTGAAATTCCGTGAAGAATTTTGATATTTATTACGAAAATTTAATTTTTTTTAAGAATTGCCTTAAGATTTTTGAAATAATATTTAAATATATATTAAAAAATTCAACTGATGTATTTTATTTTATTTCAAGAGAATTGAAATTAAAATTTTTCAAAAAAATTAATTCTACAGAATTATTGTTTAAAATTATTGAAAATTTATAAGATTATCCAAAGATTTGAATTTAAAACTTTTTCAAAATTCAATTATTTGTAACTTCTTCAAAATTTAATTGTTCTAAAAGTTTTTGACATTCTTTTTAATAATTAATTAAGTAAAAATTAAAATTAATTGAAAAATGTTCATAAATCTAAGTTTATTTATTTATTTATTGAAATTCTTTAAAATTTCTAATTAAATTCATTGAAAATTTAAATTTTCTAAAATTTCAAATTGAAACTTTTTGCTGTATTTTTAATAAAAATCCCTGACTTTTCCCTGACCTGTGGCAAATAATTGCCTTATTAATAATTGTAATTGAAAATTAAAATTTGACAACTTCAATCAGACAAATTTGAGTTTGAATATAAAAACGTCGGTAAATTGAATTTTTAATTCAATAAAACTGATTAAAATTTAAATAAAATATTCAAATTCTCACCTTGATTTTTTTGGTAATATTATTTTTTATTTATTATGAGCCGTATTCGAGCAGTTATTCAATAAATAATTTTTCGTTCGCAGTGTGCTCGAAAATGAATCCCGAAGTGGAGAACGATTTGGCGCCAACGCATCTTCTCACTGAGACATATCGGGAATCACGTGGCATTGCGGCGGGCAGTCTCGACATGAGGGACTACATGAATGAAATAACCGCCTACCCAAAGTCTTCCTCCGTCCCTGTAAAAAGTAGATTTTTACCCGAGATTCGTATCGACAATTCGGACGATATAAATCTCGAGAATTACAATACAAGTCCACGTAAATATCAAGAGACAAAATTAGATTCAAAATTTACAAATCGACATTCAATTGATCCTTATATTACCGAGGCGTATACAATGAATGAATGTTGTACCACTTTTCGTGACTTTGCCAAATATCCAACGTCCCAGGAGATACCAATTGTTCAAGTTTGTCTACCATCGCGAAGCGTTACACCAGAATGTACGACGACAATTTTATGTAGTGCCGACGTTGAAACAACGACAACGACAACAACAACTACGACGACAATTGGAATGAATTCAATGCCCGACGTGACTCTTGCTGTAAATAGTGAAGTGGAATTGTTAAACAACGTGAATAGTAATAATACTGATATTGTAAATAAAATAGAACACGTTACTGTTATACCTGACATTGCAAACACCATGGAACGTAAACAACCAGATGGTGAGGAAAAAATAGCCGAGCTTAAATTATTAAATTGTGAAGCGAACAGCGCCAGTGGGATGTTGGATCGAATATCTCATGATCTTGATTATCTGCTCAATCGTACACAAACGAATAATGAAGAGAAAACGTAATTCTTGTTCGATTTTCACTTTTTTTTTTCTATAAATATACATATTATATATTTGACAACAAAATTTCTTTCCAATTTATCTCATTCATAATATTTATTAATTATACACATATAAGAAATGTTATTAATACGAATTCAGAAAAGTATTTCCCATTTTTCATCTTCATCTTTATTCATTACATTAACATTATTCTTCTCGTCTCATCTCTTGTATCTATCAAAAATCATCAGAAAAAAAATTTTTATACGCTTCGAGATGTAAAACAATCTTTCATTAAAAATTAAGTGTAGAATTAAAATCAAATTTAAGATATAAGGAGAGTAATTGAGAATAATTTTGAGACTGATTTAACGTAATTTTTATGTCATTCGACGAGTAAATGTGCAAAATTTCCCAGATGGTATATATATATATATTATATTAAGAGTTTTATAAACATTAAAAGCGTTTTTATTTCTAATCCCCTCGATTTAGCGAATATTGACAATAATTTCCATATTTATTATTCCATATTTATAATAAATATTCCATATTTTTAAATTATGTAAGAATTTTATTATTTAGAGGCCTTTAAGATTCTTTTTCTTAGAAAATTCTAATTGAAAAAGGTCGAAAAAACGTTCTCAAAAAAATAAAACTTTTTTTTTTTTTATTTTCCTGACTTTTCACTGATTTCTAAATTCAATTATTCAAAACTTGAATAATTTTGTTGAACAAATATATATGTATTTAAATACTTATTTGTTTTTCCATAGAAAATAAGCTTAAAGAAATTTTACTTTAAAAAACCTTCTGAAAATTAATAATTTCTAGAAATTAAAATTATTTCAAAATTCAATTATTTTCATAAAATTATTAACTAAACTTGACTATTTTTAATAATTTTCGTAAAGTTCTTCCAGAATTCAAATATTTAAATACAAAAATTCAATTTTTTATTATAATTGTAATTTTTAATTTTTTCTAAGTCGTTAACAATATTTTCAAAAATAATAAATATAAGAAATGTAATAAAAAAGTAATTCATAAAATTAATTTTTTAAAAATATTTTAAAATATTTTTTGGAAGATAATAGTTTTTTTAATTATAATATACAATTGAAAAATGTTCAAACAATTGAAATTTGATAAAATCTATTAAAAATAATGGAAATTCGGTAAAATCATTTAGAAATAATTGAAATTTTGATAGAATCTTTTAAAAATAATTGATTTTTTGAAAAATATAAAAAGAATAATCAAATATGTGAATTTGAATTATAATAAAAAAAATTATTTCCTCGAAATTTAAATAAGTCTAAAAAAAGTATATTTTGAAAAATTTTAAATTACTTTTTTCGACGATAATTGAATCTTAAAAAATTATGATAAAACAATTCTAAGAATTCGTTTTTTCAAAATATTCTAATGTAATTTTTCGAAAATAATGGAATTTCTTAATAGAATTTTTTTTTTAATTTTAAGAAAAGCTAATTACCTAATTTTTAGAAGATTTTTAATTAAAAATTATAAACATGATTGTTTTCTCGACAAAATGTTAAAAATAATTCTAAAAAATTTTAATGTTATTATTTCTTGTATATATTTGAATTTTTGGAAATATGTTATTGAAAACTTTGAAAATAATTGAATTTTTAAAACAATTAAGTATAATGAAAAATTCTAAGAATTACTTTTTTCAAAAATATTGTACTTTTTAGAAAGTAATTTTTATTAATTTCAATTTTTAAATTAACACTTGAGGATACTTTTTTTAATTTTTGAGAATTCAATTACTTTCAAAGTTTGCAATTAAAATTCTTGAAAATTATTTTAATACAATTTTTAGAAGCTAATATTCATTAATTTTAATGTTTAAATTCACAATTGAAAATTTTTCATTAAAATTTTTGAGAAGTCAATTATTTTCAAAATTTGCAATTAAAATTCTTCAAAAACATTTTAATATAATTTTCAGAAGCTAATTTCCATTAATTTTCACTTTTAAAATCCACAATTGAATATTTTTCATTAAAATTTTTGAGAATTCAATTATTTTCAAAAAATTTGCAATTAAAATTCTTCAAAAATATTTTAATATAATTTTTAGAAGCTAATTTTCATTAATTATCACTTTTAAAATATACAATTAAAGATTTTTCATTAAAATTTTTTGAGAATTCAATTACTTTCAAAGTTTGCAATTAAAATTCTACAAAAATATTTTAATATAATTACACTTTTTCAAAAAGTGTAATTAAAATTCTTCTAAAGTTGCAATTTTCAAAAAATTGTAATAAAATACTTGTAAAAATCAATCATTTTTAATTAAATTTTACAAAATTTCAATTATTCAATATCTTTTCAATTGTAATCAGAGTTTTCGAAAATTTAATTAGAAAAATTATTCAAAAATAATTTTTGAAAGATTTGTCTATAATTATTATACTTTTCACACTATAAAAATCGAAATTAGTTTCATTTTATACTAAAAATGTGATATTTTGTTATAAATTGTAATATTTGGAAGAAAAATCGAAAAAGTCGCAATTTTTGAAAATAAGTCGCAAAAAGTCACATTTTTTAAAAATATTCGAAAAAAGTAAAAAAAATCAATATCCGAGGTCTGAAATTAAGTAGAATAATTTGTTATGTATAAAATTTTAAAACTATTAATTAAACATTAAATCTAATCAATGAATTCAAAAATTGAATAAAAAGCAATCGAATTATTCGAGTTACATTATTTATTTATCACTGTTATTGTACAGCCCTTTTATAATATCCATGATTCAGTCGTACTCTTTTTTTTACCTGGTTCGTTATAATTTTATTTACTGTAAAGTTATACATTGTTATATATAACCTACTTACATATTTAAGATCGAAGTTTATGGTGTTGGTAATAATTACCTCTAGTACAGTTAGTAAAATGCGTCACAGTAGGTGATTCTTTTTTCTTTCGTTCTGTTTTTTTTAAAATCAAAGTTTACGAAAACTGGAGCAGTTCCTTTGACTAAGCACGTGTTATAAATGCAAAAAAAAAAAAAAAATAACAAGGTCTGTGTTAGTTCATTAGCACTCGAATATAGCTATATGACTAGTTTTTCTGTTTCAACAGATTCTCTTAAAAATATAAATTATTTACAAAGATTTCAGCTAATTTACATCCGAGGCTTTATAATCATTGTGATTATTTTCAAAATCACATTAAAACAAAAAGACCCAGGTTAATTACCTGTAACATTTTTTTTCTTCTTTCAATATTGCTACTAGTTTTCATTTTCATTTTCATTTTTTTGATTTGCAAAATTCTATATTTGCAGCAATTCTTAATTGTTTAATTGAATTTTTCTACAATTGTAATTTTTTAACGTTTACAAAAATTGTTAATTAAAAGTTTGTGCAAAAAAAATGTCTAATCTGATGTCCCGATTTTTGTTTGCTCTCGTAAAATAATCAAGAACTTATATTCGAAGCTATCTCATAAACATGATTCTTGTATTTTTTTCTATTTTCTTTTTTCAATTCAGCAATTATTACACAACGACCACATTTGTCTATTTCAACATCACAGCGATCTTTTTTTTTTATAATGATATTGGATCTTGACGATGATCGCAATCTAAGACTTAAAATTTGAGAATTACAATAAAAAAAAATACCAATACTCGTTATTCGTCCGGGCTTATTTTCTTCTCGCAACGAAGAAAATAATCTACACTTTCTTTTATTTATTACATTTTCTTTTATTTCTTTTTAAATATTCCAATTTTTAAATAAAAAATTTCAATAAATAAAAACAGGAGAAATTTATTAAATTCCTGTAATTTAATTAAAATATTGAGAAATAGAATTTTCTTTCAGTTAATAAAATTTGAATATCAAATAAAATTTAACTCTTTCTACTAAAATGTATTTCTATTAATTAAAAAATAAAAAGGCGCTTTAAATAATTTTGCTAAAATATATTTTCGTTTGAATTTAAATAAATTCAGAGAAATATAAATAAATTTTTTTTTAAAAAATCCACAATTATAAATATTGTTTCTATAAAATAATAATCGAATAAATTATTTAATTTAAGAATCTAATAAATTCCTTTCATGGCAATTAAAATTAAATTTCCTTTTCAACACAAAAGGAAATAAAATAATTTTTCAAAACAATTATAAATAAAATTATATGGCATTTTATTTACTGACACCTGACAATTTTTTTCTATCAACTAAGTTGATTTTTATCTTTTCTCACTTAGAAATAATTTAATTCAAATAAATACGTATAAGTAGTTTACGTAAAGTTTGGTCAAAATAGTCGGACGAACACGTTTTCGAAGAAAAAAAAAATAATTGTAATCACTCAAATTAGATATAAAGTAATTCCAGTTTTACGAAGTTTTACATAAATACAATCATCTCAATAATGCGGTTTGATTCATTAAACTTTGGTCAGTGGAGTCGACGTTACATAAATAATGCGCTTAACTGAAGTCTTGGTTTTCTTTCTTTTTTTTTTCATTAAAATAGCGTTTCGACGAAAGTCTTTATTTTTTTCCACTGTAAAATTCAAAAAGAACTGTTGGGCGAGCAACAATTTTTCCGGTTTCTTTTTTTGTGCGAGATTCCAAAAACACGATTTGTTTCGCGATAAAAGGAAACATAAGCATTTTATTAGCGGCATTACTGTCGATTAAATTGACAAATTTCTAGGTCGGAACAAATATCACATTGAAAAAAAATTCTCTTTCAATTTTTTTCTTTTCTTTAAATAATACAATAAAAATAATAAAAATAATAAAATAATAATAATAAAAATAATAAAATAATAATAAAAATAATAATAATAAAATAATAATAAAATAATAATAAAAATAATAATAATATAATAATAATAAAATAATAATAAAAGTAATAAAAATAAAATAATAATAGTAATTCAATATAATTTCAATTAAATTGAAATTAATATTGAAATTTAATTTAATTTAATTAATATAACATTTTGACTTTGAAAGTATTTTTTTTTCTCGAGATTTTTTTTACAATGGAGAAATATTTGTAGAGGCCTAAGAGAAAACCTGATAATATTGATCAAAGGGCTCGAAAGAGGATTAAAAATACATATACTTAAAATTGATACGACGGAGGGAATATTTGAGTTACTGGCGGATGTTTCAAAATAGAAACTTTTTTTAAGAATAAAAAAAGGCACATTAAAAAAATTAAAAATAACATGATCGTTTCGAGATTATTTTATTCTATTTTTCTTTGCGTCTTGATTAAATAGATACCTAAGATTAAACTTAAATCGAAATCGTTGTTTTTTTTCAAGCCCTTCGATTTTGCTCATTCACACTTGGAAGTTCATGTTTTCTTTAGACGGTTTAGAAAAATGAAAACAATGTATTCACACTTATTTTTTGCATAGGAAACATACATGTAAACATGCTTAAAATGTAATACAGCCACGGCACCCCTCCACCTTCTCCTTTTTTTTATATACTTTCAGTCGAAACGATTTCTTACGTTTTTTTTACACACACACACATTCTCTCTCACTTACTCTCTCTCTCTCTCTCTCTCACTCTCGCTATTTTTTAAATTTACTTAAATATAAAAATACATAGCCAGTCTATACAAAGGGCGTGCAGAGTGGCACAGTGAACTGAATTACCAATTGTCCTCGATGGTTAACTGCCAGTTTCAGTAATCGTTGGCGGTTCTCCTTCGTCTTGGTAAATTTTCATTTTATTAATTGAATCTGAATGTCCTGAGGTTTTTGGCGGGATGCTAGACACACTATCACTACTTGATGTCACTGCATTTCCGGCAATTGTATTATCATTATCATTTTGTAAGCGTGGAAATTCTGGACCCGGTAACAGTAACGTTTGAGAAGGAAGATTTGATAATGACAATAATTCTGGTGTCATCATTTGTTTATTAAAACAACATCTTAACGCTTCTTCTATTAAATTCGCTATTTTGTCACGGTCACTCTGCAAACAAACAAACAAAATTTTTTAGACAAAACAAAAACAGACTCTTTTTTCAACAATTTTTCGATTAAAAAGTTTCTACTTACATCGTTTATAAAACCAAAATGTACAAGTTCCTGAGCGAGGAGCATCGGAGTGTCCGTTTGACTCACTGGACAAGTCAATTGTCGATTCATTTTATCATCCATTCGAAGTAATATGGTCATCTGGAAAAGAATAATAAATCAAAAAAAAATTGCATATATATAAAAAAAAACAATCTTCTATGGAACTTTTGGCTATGAAACTTCCGCTTTCCAGGAGACCAATTTAATTCCAATTCAAAAATAATATTCAATAAAGTAATTTAAGAAAAAAAAATTAGTAAACTAGAATTAAAGTAATAATAATGACAATAAATAATATAATTTTACTTACTAGGGAATGTAAATTGACAAAAAATGTCAATTAAAAAGACACAAAAGAGAAAAAAAATTCATGGATAATTTTCTTTCTGGGTTTTCAGGCCTCGGATCGACTTTAACGAACAAGAAAAGTCGCTTTAGTCGATTAAAAATAGAAAAAAGGTCGAAAAAGTCGTTTATTTAATTTAGCATTGTCACAAAAATCTTATTTTCTATTTCCCTGATTCTTCACTGATTTCTAAATTCAATTAATCAAAAATTTTATAATTTTGCTAAATAAAATACTCAAATACCTCTTATTTCTTTTTTCACAGAAAATAAAATATTAAAAAATGTCAACTTCAGAAATTTAATAATTTCTACAAATTAAAACTATAATCCTTCCAAAAATTCGATTATTTTCTACCATTTTTAACTAAAATTCATCAATTATTTCAATACAGAAATTAAATTTTTTATAACAATTGAAACCATTCATTATTCTTTTCAAAGATAATAAGGTAGAATAATTTCAAAAATTTTAATAAACAATACTTTTACAATTACATACAATATTAAAAAATGTCAAAAAAATTGGGTAAAGTCTTTTAGAAAATAATTTAAATACATATAGTAAAATCTTTAAAAAATAATTGAAATTTGATGAAATCTTTTAAAAATAGTTGAGTTTTTAAAAAATATTAAAAAAATAATCAAATTCTTGAAGAATTTTAATTATATATAACTTCTCAAAAATTTTATTATAATTCCTAAAAATAATTGAATTTTGCAAAGAGATTTATTAAAATTCATGAAAATAATTGAATTTCGCAAATAAATTTTTAGAAAATTCGTGAAAATTGAATTTTGCCAAAAATTTTATTAAAATTCCTGAATATAATTGAATTTTGCAAAGAGTCATATTAAAATTCATGAAAAATTTGCAATTTTTTAATCAAAATCAATAAAAGTCGCATTATTTGAAAATAGTCGAAAAAGTCATAATATCCGAGGCCTGGGTTTTCGGTAAAATCGCCAAAAGTAATTTTTGCAATTATTAAGACTTACATTTAATTCATTACTGTCTTCCTTCGGTTTCACATTACACATCATATTGACTACTCTACGAGCTTCTTCGTCGTACGGTTCTGGAGTTACAGATTTAACAGATTCCGTAACTTCAGGCGAAATCGCTCTCGGACGAGCGGGAGGCGGAAGTTTCGCGGCAAATGCAGTCAAAGGATAAATCCCATATCTATGTATAAAGAATACGCATTTAATTACTTTGTTAAATCAGCGCCTAAAAATTTTGCACCCATTTCATTTCAATAAATTTACATTATTTAATCTCTACTGACTTTTTTGTTTTAATAAAATTATGAAACTTGAAAATAATGACGTTTTCAAATTTATTTTCTTGAAAAGAGAATTTTTACAAGAATTTTTTTAAATTAAAAAAAAATTAAATTAAATTAAATTAATTTATTTAATTTAAATTTAAAAAGAATTTTTCGAGAAAATAAATAATTTTCAACAATTTAAATTGAAAATTTCTTTTTTTCACTGTTTCGTAAAATTTCTTTTCAATTTTCTTTCCATCTTATTGAACAAATTTGACTCTCAAAAGAATATTCCCTTGAATATTGTGATTTGAGTTGATAATTTTGCTCATCAGTCAGAAATTTAGTGTCGTAATCGGTAAACGAGACAAATATTCAGAATCTTGAAATTCATCAATAGTCAAAGGTCAATTTAAATAAATTTAAAGCAAAAAAAAAAAATACACTTACTTTACATCTTCAACAAATTTTTCTAATTTCTCAGCAACTGGTATATCACTGAATCGTATCTCTTGGGGAGGCCGATTCTTAAATCGTAATTCAGCAACTATCGTGTCGGGTCCATATAACCTTTGCAAAACTTCGTCAGTTATAGTTTCCGAAATATTCGCTGAAACATCAAATCAACGATTATTATTCGTCAACATTTTATTAAATTACACGCAACGCACTCAATAATAACTAAAAATTTTTATTTTTTATTAAATTGTTTTCCAAACTTTTAGTTAGAGATTTAAATAAATATTTTTAATTTCTACGAGAAGTTAAATATATTCAAAAAATTTGTATTAAAATTTATCAAATAATCTAATTTTTTTCATAATATCTAAATTAAATTATTCAATTTTTGTTCAATAAAATAAATAAACATTTATTTTTCTACGGAAATTGAAATTTTAAATAATTTTAGTGTAAAAGCTTTTTGAAATAATAGATAATTTCTTCGAACAATTTCTTTGAATTTTTTTTAAGTAATGGAGCTTCTTTAATAATTTTATTAAAAATTGAATTCTTTCGTAAAATTTGTTTGAAAATAATTGAATTTTTGCAAATTTTTTATAATTAATTTTTTATATTAAGAAAAAATTGAATTCTTTCGTGAATTTTTTTGGAAAATTATTCAATTTTTGCAAAGATTTCAAAAATTAAATTCTTTTGTGAAATTGTTTCGAATATAATTGGATTTTTGCAAAGAATTTTACTATTTATAAATAAAATTGAATTGTTTCGAAGGATTTATTAAAATTTTAGAAAATTGTTTTTGTTCGTGAGATTTTATTAAAATTTTTTTGTAAATAATATTGAACTTTAGCAAAAAATTGTATTATTTATAAAAATAATTGAATTCTTACGAAGAATTTTATTTAAATTTAAGTAATTAATTAAAATAATTAATTAATTTAAGTAATTAATTAATTAATTAATTTAAGTAATTAATTAATTAATTAATTTAATTAATTAGTAAATTAGGTAATAATTACATTTTTTTCAAGTTTGAATTTGAAATTATTCAAAAATTCATATTTGAAAATAAAAATTTTATAATTTGCATAATAATAAATTAAATATCACGTTCAGCGCGCTAGCGCGTTTAATTAAAATTCGGTTATAAAATTTATAAATTAGTGATAATAAAAATTGTGAAATTAAAATATAGAGGAGAGAAAAAAAAGAAGAGGAGGAAAAGAAAATTAGAAAGAAAAAAAAACTCACTGGCTGAATTGACGAGGGCATGTGCCGAAAGTAATTTGAGCGAATGGACTTCGAATAAGACAGGGTGAAACAATAATTCCCTGGCACTCGGTCTACTGAGTGGATCCGATTGAAGACATTTACTAATGAAGTCCTTTTGTTGAGCATCATCTAATGATTCTATTGTTTTCCTAATATTTTCGTCAGTGACAACCGTTCCACTCTCGCCATTTCCTTGAATTTCTAACGCCGCCATTTCCAAAGCACACATTCCAAATGAATAAATATCTATTGCCGGTGTTAACGAACCTGTTCATTAAAAAAAAAAACAAATAATTTACCGTATAAACAAAATTTTATTTACAATACCAATAGAAAAGAAAATTAATACTCACTTCCATATTCGGGAGCTACAAAATGTATATTCTTCATGTTTTCTCTACAAGTTTTCACGTGCTGGTGAATCGCATCAGGTGCAACTGTAATCATTTAAATTTCAATTTAATTTCAATTTAATTTCAACTTAATTTCAATTTAACAATTTATTTAAATTTGAAGAAATTTATATTGAATTTTCCATTTCTTTTTTGGACATTAATTTGTCATTCGTGTATTAAATTCTACTCTATATGTTAAATAAATATTTACACAAAAAAATACTAAATTAAATAAAAAAATTGTTATTTTTGCATTTTTCTTCATATGTATTTAGTATATTAAATAAATATATTCAGTAAATTAAATAAAAAATTGTAAACTAAAGTCGATTAGAAATTCGGTAAAATAAAACTTTCTCGCAACTATATAAAGATTATACTCAATAAAAATAGTTATAAATTTCAATTCCTCGGACGTAACGAATTATTTTTTAGGGGAATATTCATGCGTCTCGTTAATCATTCTAAATGGTAAAATTACAATGATAAATAATACGTGTAGGTAGTGTTAATTTGAGTTAAGCAACTCGCGTTTTTCAACCTTAAATTCCCGACATTTGTTAAAGACCGTCATTTATTTTCCCCCATCGTAAATTAAATATCATTTTTCAAAAACATTCAACAATCTTCAATATTTCAATCATCGCTATCTGAAATACGTATATTCACAAATATTTATTTTAAAAATGATTATACAAAATTCTTCTGATTACGTATTAATATTAAGTAATTTGAGTAAATTGTTTTTTTTCCCCTTTTTATTTGTTCTGAATGAATAATTATATTATCAATCTAAAGCTCAAAGGCAAAGTCTCAAAATTATTGCGTATTATACACGTTCCATTTGAATTGCGACTTTGCTAATTGTTGCGAATGAGAAAAATATAGGAAAACTTTTTATAAATAAAATATTCGAGTTTAATATTATTAACAAAAAAAAAAAAAAAAACAGAAAAGAAAAGAACATTATGATAAACGTAAAATTCTTTATGAATTCGAGACACATGTGTTTAATTAAATCCGGTTTAACTCTCCCACTCGTTACATATATCTATATCGAGAGATATGACGCGATTGAGAAAGTATCAAGCGACCGTGATAGGACCACATAATTTCATTCATACACGCAGTGCTGTACATAACACTTAAGGAGCTTCAATTTTCATGAATTCAATACTCTTCGACGTACTTTATTAAAAATGAATTTTTTTTTATTTAAAACAAGAAAGAAATAGTGAAATATTTAATCTTTAAAAAAACGCAAAAATACAGAAACAGAATTTTGTTTTTACTAACCTGAACCAATTTTTACTAGTCCATTGTGTTGAATGAAAATAGTATCGCAAGTTAAATTTCCATGAATTATAGGCGGCGAACAGGAATGCAAATAACTGAAAACGTAATTCGAGAGTTTTAATGATATTTTTAAAACAAGTTGCATTATAATATTTAAACCAAGGTATCTATAATTAGCCAATAAAAAGAATTCCCCAGTTTTTATGAGACTGAAGTTTGCGACTTTTTTAAAAACGACTTTTTTAATCTCCTTAAAATTTTGAACGTTCAAATGAACGAAAATTTTTTTTTACAATATTTTCAAATATTATTCAATTCTGAGAAATAAAAACTAAATTTAACTTGAAGAAAATAATTCATTATTTTTATTGTGAAAATTAATATGTATTTTGTATCAAAATTCAAACTTCAACAATAAAAACAATAAAAAATTCGTTCATTTGAACGTTCAGAATTTTAGGGACTTCTTTTTCCAATTTAACTTCGTTTCTAATTTTTATGAAATTAATTGTTACTTATAGGACAAAAAAACGTGAATTTGAAGCCAGAATAAAATATTTTTTCTTTAGAAACGTTCCGAACTTAATTATTTTCTTTTAAAAACTAAATTTATTCCAATTTTCCTCTCAAAATTCATGGTTCACTAGTTTTGAAAGTTCAAAATTTGAAATTTAAAATGTACGTTTTTAATTTTTATTGCAATCAATTTTAAAAATATTTGTCATGAAAAGTATTTCCTTCATTTAATGAAGGAAATACTTTTCATGACAAATATTTTTAAAATTGATTGCAATAAAAATTAAAAACGTACATTTTACATTTAGAAACTCTAATTAAATATTTCGCCAGTGATGGAAAATTATTGTACAAGAAAAATTTAATTTCAAGAAAAAAATAACCAAAGTTCGTTCATTCGAAAGTTCGGAACTTTAGGAACCAAAAAAATCCCAAGTATTACAGATACCTTTTTTTTATATTCGCTTCGCCTAAATTATTTACCTTAATGCAGAAAGAATTTGCGTGCACCACCTTTTCCACGCTTGTAGAGGTAACTTTTTAACGTTTCGTTTTGTTCGTTTTAGAAATTGCTTCAACGAACCAGAAGACATATATTCAGTGATGAATATCACCTGAAAAAAACAAAACAAATAAGAAAATAAAATTCTTTTAAATAAAGCGCAATTTTGAAAGAAAAAAGAATATATCGAGAATTTACGTATTAATAATTAGTTTGAAAAAAAAAGATCTATAGGTCATTAATAAACACGCATTAAAATGACTCACCCGTGGCTTATCATTGTGGGTGTCCGTCCAATACCTATGAAACTTAACAATGTTCGGATGTTCTAACTGCGTTAGATTTTCAAACACCTGTTGTATTTTTTCCTCTTGAGCTTTAAAATTTTTTCGCTCGGAAAATTGCACCTCATTCCAAACAACTTCCACACCCTCCTCGGTATCCATTGCCAAATAGGCACAATCTATGCCCGGAACGTCCCGTTGCTCGACCTGTATCAAAAAAAAAACCAATCAATAAAAGTACAAAATAATTTTAATTTTTCGAATTTAATTTAAAAATTTAACAAAAAAAAATGATTCTTTTGCACTAAAATTTAAATTTCATAATTAAAAATTAATTATTATAGTTAACATTACTTTGATATTGTTAACAAAAAGAATAAATGAGACTATGAATTAAACATGAAGAAATAAATATTACAATGAGTAACAATGAGCAACTGTGGAAAATTGACAAAAACTAATTTGTCAATAATTGAGCAAAACTTTCACGAACTAGACAATAAATTATTACAAACTCCTCGGGAAAGACCTCTAAAATTAAAAAAGCAATAAATTAATGACTTTATGACTTGAAATTGGAGAAAAAATTTCTCTTTCTGTATTTTTGAGAATTTTCGCAAATTCGTTTCAAAAATTTAAATTATTGCTTCTCGATATTTAATATCGAGGGATGTAAATTTCAAATTTTTTTCAATTTCAAAAAAAAATCCTTGAAATTTAAATATGAGTTTTGAAATTTTTGCAGAAAGATTTCTTATTAAAATATTGAATTTCAATTTTCTTTCGCAAATATTTTCGATCAAAATCGAGAATTTTTTTCCGTTTATACTTTTTCCAAAAGAATTTAAGAATTAAAGAATTTAAAATTTTAATTTTCTGTAATAATAAAAAAGAAAATTGCTCTTTAAGTGATTTTTGTCAATTTTTCACATTCCTGAAGTTCTAAACGTTCAAAATGAACGAAATTTTATTTCGACGAGAGAAATAATTTAAATTAAACATTTTCTTCCCTGAGAATTAATTTTTTTTATTAAATAAAATAATTTTATTTATGAAAAAAAATTAAAATTAAAAGAAATAAAAAAATATCGTTTATTTAAACGTTCGAAACTTGAGGAACACAATTTTTTCCGTTACTTCCAAGTTGAAACCTATAATGAGATGAAAATTGAATAACAAAAAAAAGTCATTGACCAAATACGCAAAATGTGTGTGATTGAAAAAAAAAAATTGGAAATGACATGATCGCAGAATGATGGTGACAATAGTAAATGGGCTATTTGAGGAAATCTATTGTAAAATAGTAATCATCCTTTAAATGAGCTTTACTTAGAGCGCAGTTGGAACGATTTCATGCCTATTTGCCATTACATGAATGTGACCTTGCTAAGAATTTAAGGAGGGGAGATAGGACAGTACAAAATAGGGTTTATCATTTATAAGCAGACATGATTGACTAAAATCAACATTCACCGAATATTTTGCATAAAATACAAAACAATGTAAATAAAAAATTAGACTATAAATACCAACAAAAAGAACTAAACGAAACAAACACAGAACCAAATGAATATGATAAAAATTAATCCAATGAAAATGAAAATGAAAGAAAAATAATTAATAAATTCTCATAATGTATTCAAACTATTCATGAATATCATATTATCATGCGAGAAACGTGAATTATTATATCGATATTGTAATGTGATAATGAATTCATTATTTTTCGAAATGAACCACAAGTTCGTTTTTTTTTCTATACATTAAATTTTTATGAAATTGATATTATAATGAAACAAATTGTGACAAATGTTTCTTGATTTTTTTTTTTTTTTGCTTCATTAAAATACGTACCTTCATTTCAGAAGTTTCATTTTCACCAAGTTTTGATACTGCAAAATTAGCGCCGTCTCCTAGGGAATGCTTTGTACCTACATAGACCTAAAGAAGACAAATTTCATATATTACGAACTTGTGATTTTACTATTTCGAAAGCAGAACGTTGCTTTCTTTTTTTTCTTCAAAAAAAAAAAACAGGGAAAAAAAGATATTCCTTAAAATCTCTTTGAATACATTTTGTTTTTCAAAAAAAAAGGAGTTTACTTTTATCACCTGAGGGAAAATTTTTTGACTAATACACACTTTAGGATCAAGAGGATACATCGTAACTGAGAAATTTAGGCAAATAATTATGAAAATATTTTCCTATTCATGTCTGCCATTCAATATTTTGTATACCTACAATCAAACATTTTCTTCCAAATTTTCAGAAATTTGCATTTATTATTTCATTTATTATTAAAATTCAATTTAAATATTAAAATTCAATTTAAATACTAAAATTCAATTTAAATTTCAATATTTAAATTATTAATTAAATATTATTAAATTGAATAATCTTCAAAATTAAAATATTAAAAAATAAAAATATTAAAATTAAAAGACGAAATGCAAAATTCCAATTGTATTGGAACGAAAATAGTTTTCTTTTTTGGTTGAAAGAAAAATTGCCTAGACATTTCGATAGGTAAAAGGGAAAATTTGTTTATTTTTAGCATAAAATATGAAATTGTCAAGTGAATATCGCCACAGTGCCAAGAACGTAGACCAAATGAATTTAGCATAATATATGCAAATTTACATCTCTATAAATCCAAAAATGCGATCTACATAAAGGCAATACTAAATTTAGAGACGAGAATCTACGATTGTCCGTAATTTCTATAATAAATTTAATCTAAGACGTACGAAATTTTAAAAAAGCCCCAAAAATTAATTAAAACAACAAACAAAAATGCTATTCAAACAAAAGTAAATATTTTCATAAATAAATCAAAAACAATTCATTTTTGTGAAACGAAAATTAGAGTCCAATTTTCAATTTTCAAACAAAACAAAAAACCCAATTGTGAAATATAAAAAAAAAGAATAAAAAATTACGTATCATATTATTCAACAGTTTGTTTATTTATTGAAATATAAATAATTAATCGATTACTAAGATTGAGGTCTTTACTTTGTGCATATATATTGAACTATTTTTAGTTCACAATTTAGTTTAATTCAATTTCAACAAGTAGTGCAAAGGTTATGAATTCTTTTCGCAAAGTATAATAATATGAATGAATTGAATAAAAAGAAAACAATATATTCGAAGAAAAATAATGTTCCATCCCCGCAAAAGCTCAAGATAAGATTAAGGATTTGCTTTATGGCAAATATTTCTATGATAAGTTGTAATTTATTTCAATTATACCTTTAACATTTAGAATAAAAAGTGATTTAAAAAAAAAATTTATTTAGAAAAATAATAAATTAATTTGCTCAATTAATTTCTAATTTGAGGTCAACACTAATTGTTTATAAAAACAGATATTGTTATCAACGTAAACTATAATATTTTGTTTATACTTTGTAAAATCTATTAATATTAGAAAATTAAAAGAAATGTAACAATTAGAAAAAATAAAGAAAATGTAACAATTAAAAAAGAAAAATGTCAATAAGATTAGAAAACAAAAAATATTTCCAATAATTAATTATTAATTAAACTAATTAAATTGAAAGAATTGAATTAAAATTTTGAATTGACGTTAATTGAATGAATTGAATTAACGTCAAGTTTCATTAACGCAGTTTTAATGAACGGTAATTATAAATATTTAATTTCAAACCCGAGAGCAAAGAAAAGTAAAAAAAAATTGTTTTTTTTTTCTAATTTCAAAAAGTATTTCATTTTTTGATATCATTATACATAATGCGAATTCCTCATACATTTTCAATAATGAAATCTCTCGCTTTGTCCTATTAGAGGTTATGTTCAAACTGGTTTTCAACCTAACCTGAGTTCCCATGACTTTTTTTTTTACTTTTTCTGTTTGAAAAACCAAAAAATCGGATAATCGAGGATTAATACTGAAAAACTTGTATTGAATGTTTTAAAAGCGACTTAATGGTAATTAATCGTAAAAATCATTCACCATAAACATGTCAAAAAGCCAAATACACAGCAATGTTGCAAACGTTTTAAAAACAATTTTTTTTTCGTAATAAAGAACAGAACAATAGCAATTGAACTAATTAATAAAACGACTTGCTTTAATTATTCACAAAAATGTTGTCAAGAAAACTAAACTTTAATTTTCACCATTGTTTCCAATTTCTCAAGTCTAAGATTAATATAATGAAACGAAACTGAAACTGTAATAATCGAGTAAACTCGAAATATAATAAGAATTCACTTACAATGGTCCTTTTTAGAATAAGAAGTAAAAATAGGAAAAAATTTGCAAACGAAGAAAAGAGTAAAACTGCAAAAGGTAATTCTCCATCTCTTGATGTGTAAAAAGCACGAGTTCGAAATTTCGAGTTGACAATTCTGGAGATTGAGAATTCACTAATCCACTTTTCCTCAATATGAATAATTTGACAACGTGATAGCGATATTTCTTTTTTTTTGATAGCGACCTCCTGTTGATAGCAGGGACAGTAAAAGCGTGTGTGGGCAAGGTTTATGCTAAATGCAAAAAGAAAGCCAGACACAAATTTTTGAAACGAAATTATTTACCTCTTCCCGGCGTTTGAGCCACCGCCCGCAGGGACTCTCTTCCAGGATTTCGCTCTCATCTTCAGAATCTTCACCACTTTCTCGCGGTGACTTATGCTCTGGATCGGTACTGGCACGACTCCCGGGCATCACACACGCGCGAATTAATTAAAGAGGAACACCACCGAAAAAGTATGACGCGACCAGGCACATCGGTGCGACGCACTTCAGTTTTGCATTAGGGGATCTCACACTATTGCAAATTTGTCGCGTATTTCACTCGTAAAAAGAATAGATTATGGAGAGATATCGTCGTATGTGCTGTGAACAGTCGAGAGCACTGGAGTTGATTCACTCTTTTTAGTGTGTGACACATGCAATCGCAGAAACCTGAACACCGATACCGAGATACGATATTTCTGATCTTACACGATCTCGAGGTTGGATGCACTCTTTTCGGTTTAGATCAAGACTTGAGTGGTGTACTGGACATCTCGCGCACTCTTCACAAATCTCACTGTCAAAATAAAATCTCTCTTGTTATGAGCGAAATAGACACACACTGCCACTCATTTTTAGTCGTCGCTCACGTACGCCATCCCAGTATGGCGATTCGACACCGCACCCCTTTTGATGAACATTTATTACCGCCACCTTCGGAGTTCACGTCAAACTAACCCCAATACACACTATTCTGTTTTATCAATAAAAAATACTTGTAAATTGTAATTAGAAACGAATATTATGATTCATTGGTAAAAATAAATGATTTTCGGATAATTCAAAGTTGGTAATTAGTTTTAGTTTGTTGGTTAAATTGCCAATTTTCGAAGAAGATGATTACAGCGCATGCGCGGGTTTGATTCACCCATGGCGGGAAGATTCAAAACAAAAAAGTTGACCTAAGGGTATTTTGCTGTGTAATAGTAAAAAATTATAATTCTTGCAAATTTATATTAATTATTCTAAAATAAAATAAATGTACCATAAACCTATGTTATTGTTTTATATAAAAAATACCAAATGTGTACAGATTACTTACAGTGTTTTATGGTGCAAACCGTGCAAACATGAATCATTCAACCTTGGATGTCAAATTCTTTTCTTTTCCCTTTTATTATTAAAAAATAACTTTAACCCTTTTGAAACATTTTTAATTAATTACCCATTTTTCTAAATTTGTATTTTTAGTCTAAAATACATTTTTTTTAAGTAAAATTACAAAATGACAGGGTGTTAAAATAAAGTGACCTTGAACTTTTCACATATGTGCTGTGGGTAGCAACAAGTGCCTATTGACCTCAATTGAAAAAATTTCGCAAATTTCTTAAATAACATACGAAAAGAAGTATAATTCCATTTAATTTCTATTATAGGGATGAAAAAAAAATAAATTTAATATCATTTATCAATTGTGAAGAAAATTGTAGTTCTTCCCAACAATTCACGGATGGCGCGACAATCGTTTTTTCCCCATCTCTTAGTTTGTTAATGAATGGTCATATTGGGGAAATTTAAACCCTGTTGACAATTCAAATTTTTTGCAAAATAAATTGTTTTGACAGTTAGTATAATTAACGTCGCCTAAAGCAGGTCTAGTCATTTAAAAAGTATAAAATAAATGTATTTTGAGTTATTTGTGAAAAAGAAGAAGAAGAAAAAAGTTTTTTTCTAGAAAGGAATAGAAAAAATAAGAAAAATATTCTGCTTGATGAAATAACACTGTATATATTACACATATATGATATACAATTCATACAATTTAATAACGCTTTACAATTTTGTATCCTTACAATAATTAACTATACTTGTTTTAAAAGAATTTAACTTAATTTTCACATACGAAAACTAAATTTCGATGAAAGGTGAGATCCAAATTTTAATTACTTTGTAGTAATTAAGAATGGAAATTTTTTGATATAAAATTTTGGAAAATTTGCAAATATTATAGAATTAATTCGACTGAAAATTAAAACTATAAAAATCTACCCAATACAATTATATTAAAATTCATAATAATAGTTTTTACCCGTATTTAATTAATGTTTAATTAGCATATAGGTAAATGTGACGCACTGTTGAAAAAGGTACCGAAAACGACATAAAAACAAATTGGAAAAAAATTGTAGGTTATGTTTACAAATTTTTTAGTGAAAATACAGAAAAAAGAATCAATTATTCTTAGAAATTATTAATAATAAATTCTTTAATACATCGGCGAAATATTTCAAAAACTGATTTTAATCTTAAATAATTAAACAGAAAATTATAATTAAGGTGAAAGAGACACAAAAATAACCTTTTAAAAGCATGAAATAATTTTTAAAAAAATTCAGTTAACCTTTTTCAGAAAAAGTAATTCTGCAGAATTGTTAATTAAAACTATGAAAAATTCAGGTTTTCAAAGATTTTAATTTAAAACCTTTTCAAAATTAAATTATTTCTAAAAATTTACGCTCTAATACTTTTAATATTCAATAATAATTCAATAATAATAATAATATTCAATTTTAACTGAAATTCATTTTTCAATCAATGTTTATGAAAAAATTCTTCTAGAATTCAATTATTTAAATACAAAAATAACAAATTCGTGTAAAAATTTTAATATTCAATTCTAATTTAAAATTTTAACTGAAATTAATTTTTAATCAGTATTTATTAGAAAATTCTACGAAAATTCAATTATTTATTTATTTTACAATCAATTAAATACAAAAATAAATAATTTATTGAATAATTGAATATTTCTCAAAATTGAATTCTCATAAAGAATTTTAGCAATAAATTTTTAAATAATTAAATTCTTTTGACGAATTTTAATAAAAATTTTAAGAATAATTACATTTTTTCGAGGAATTCGATTAAAATTGAATTAAAAGTAATTGAAATTCTGCGATGAGTTTTATTATTTATGAAAATAATTGAATTTCTCAAAAGAATTTTATTATTTAAGAAAATAATTGAATCGCTGTTAAAAAATTGTATAGTTTATGAAAATAATTGAATTCCTGCGATATTTTTAATATTTATGAAAATAATTCAATGTTTTCGCAGAATTTTATTAAAATTTGTTTTAAATAATTAAATTCTTTCGGAAAATTTTATTAAAATAGTAGAAATTGAAAATCATTTAAATTGAGGAAAATTTTTGAAAATAATTGAAATTTTGCCAAGAAATTTATTAAATTTTTTGAAAATAATTGAATTTTGGAGAAGAATCTTATGTTTTATAATAATTAAAACTTGCTACTTTGTTACTGTAACTTCTACAAAAATTATTTTCATCATTACGATTATTCATTTCTAGAATTTTCAACTATAAAATTCTTCTTTAAATCAATTTTTTAAAAATGATTTTTGATAAAGTTCTTTGTGAATTTTCAAATTCTTTTGTTTAGAATTTAATTTTAGGAAATTTCGATTATTCTAACATTCTTCAATTAAATATATTAGAAATTAAAAACTTCAAATAATTAAAAGAAATTCCCTTAAATTTAAAAAATTTCCCTTATTCGAAAGAAGATGAAAAATTAATTCTATACATAGAATTCTTAATTAAAAGTACGAAAAGTTCAAATTTTCAAAGATTTTAATTTGAAATTCATTTTTAATTCAATATTTATTAGAAAATTCTACGAGAATTCAATTATTTAAATATAAAAATAAATATTTTATTAAACCATTGAATGTTTCTTAAAATTGCATTTTTATAAAGAACTTTATCAACAAATTTTTAAATAATATTGAATTCTCTTGATAAATTTTAATAAAATTTTTAAGAATGCATTTTCCGAGAAATTTGATGAAAATTGTATTAATAAATTGAAATTGAAATTCTGCCAAGAATTTTATTAAAAGTTTTGAAAATAATTGAATTTCGGAGAAAGATTTTATTATTTATAAATATAATTAAAACTGTGACAAGAATTTTTTTTTAATTTTGAACATAATTGAATTTTTGCAATTATTTCTAATTTCTTAAAAATGCAAATTTTTTCATTGTTTTTAACTAAAATTCTTCTATAAATCCATTATTTTCAATAATTAATTAGATACATATATATATTAAAAAATTTAACTAATTTCAGAAGAATTTGAAATATTAAAATTTTTCAAAAATCCAAGTTCTTTAAAATTTCTAATTAAATTTATTTAAAATTGAAGTTTTATAAAATTTCAAATTAATACCTTTTTGATGTTCACCTATTTATGAATGAAATTATTTAATTATAAATTATTGTCAGAAATAGAAAAAATTGAATGTTTCTTTGTAATTTTATAGTTTATGAGGCAAACCCTGCAATTTTCTTGACAATTTTTTTTCCTGATATTTTCCTGACTTTACTAACATATGGCCTACCCTTAGGGTACATTTCTCGACAGAGCGTCACAAATAAATAATTAATAACTAATTCCTAAATATAATTTATAATATCAATCATATACATTTTCGTATAATGATAAAAAAATAATATTTACTAATTTCTACAAAAAGAAGGAAAAATCCCTGACATTTATTTTCCGTATGACGATATATATAATACTCGAACACTAGATTTTTTTTTTCATCTAAATATCTACATTGACTTCAGTTTTTATATAGTAGTGTTACCAACAATTTGTTAAAATTTCGTCTTACACAGTTTAACATTATTTTTTGAGATTTACATTATATCTTTAAAGAAACCGTTTTTTTTTTCCTTATTGCACAATTCTAAAAACTAATATCTCTTTAAATATATATTTTTTTTTAATTCTTTGAAATTAAGATTAGGTTTTTAATTCATTCGAATGCCAGTGGTATGGCGGGAATTGGTAATATTGGATTTAGTGTTTCAACTTCGAGGGCAGTAGCCATACAATTACTGGCCGATTCAACTTCACCTAGGGATTCTAATACTTTACCGAGATTATACCAAGTTTGATGTGACGTTGGATCCATTTGGGCAGCATCTCTGAGAACTTTCTCAGCCAGCCTCTGACTACCGAGATAGTGATAAATCATACCCAAGTGTTGAAGACTCTTTATGTGCAGTGGATTAATTGCGACTGCATTTTGATTCCATTGTTTGCCCTCGTTGAATTCTTTCTTGTGCTCATAGAGTAGACCTTTAGCGAACATTATTTGATGACTCAGGGGATAGATACTCGAGGCTTCCTGTAGAGCTAGCGTTGATCCCATTGTTTGCTCCAGGGCAAGGAAGACTTCGCCGAGGAGGATCCAGACTTGCATTTGTAGGAGCCATAGTTTATGCGGTCCTGGCTTTGGCATAAACGAACTCAACGAGGATGCGACTTCAGATAATGCTTGCTCGACCTTGGAAACTGCTAGCGAATGTGTGTGCAGTGAATTTGAATCCTTGTCGGACATTTCGGATGTGTAGAGGTGAAAAACACTTCTTGTTTCACTGCGTTTATCACTGTGTTGATCACTATTGTCACTCGTCGTTTGTGTCTCGTACAGGGTTTTCCATTTGAAGAGCATATTTTTAATTGTCATTAGTGAATTCTCCTCGCCAACCACTTGTAATTCGAGTCTTGCTTTCACGTAGAGGAAATTTAGATTATCGGGATATTCGTCGAGAATTGATGTCAATAATTGTAGAGCTTCGGCGAATTGCTTTTGAGCGGTTAATAGCAGAATCAGAAGATTCAATGAGGGTATATGTTCGGCACGTAGATTTAGGGCGATTTTCACGTGGATCATCGCGTCATTCATTTGTCGATTCATTGAATGTAGATGTGCTAAATAGTACTCGACCAAATGATCATTGGGATCGATTTGTTGTGCCTTGTGAAACGAATCGAATGCAACAGAAACAAAATGTGTTTTGTCCTGTTTTACTGTTGTATTCACGGACATTATACTGTGACCAATGCCAATGTACAGATGACAGCGTGAAAGTAGACCTTGTGTATTACCCGAGTCTCGATGAAGAGCCTGCTGACTCCACTTTATGCCCTTTTCAATCATATTTAATTCCTCGTAGCAAATTCTCGCCGCTAGGAGACAGGGCATCACTTTATTCGGCGCGAGATTGCAGACAATTTCCAACACTGCGTAGGCATGAACGTGTCGACCGAGATTCATCAAACATAATGCGAATTGCAACCAAATGTGCACTTCGCCGTGGGAGAATTTCATTGCCCTCTCGAAGGATTCATGAAGGATTTCCACTTGTTCCCAACGAACTAAAACAACTGTCAAGAGATCGTAGACAGCCGCTGCATTCTCGAAGGCGCGTATTCTTGCTTCTTTGAATTCGGGCGATTGACTCAGGACCGCGTCTCTCACGGCCATTGCCTCACTAATTAACAGCAATAATATTGTCTCCTCGTAACGATTTCGGGGAATAAATATATTCGGTCCCATGTATTTTTTTGGCTTCCAGGGCGAATCGGATTTTAGTTGATTCACTTTACGATTGCCGGGGGAATTTAAATTAATTTCTGGTGAATCGTATAGTGAGCCGCTGACATTTCGCGTGAGTACTTCAGCGAATTGACGGGTGAGAATTTTTCTCAATCGTTGTGTTGATATTGTCTCGACTGCCGATAATATTTCCCGATAACGATTCACGGCTATTTTCATATTTTTATTTTGTATATGCAATAAAGGTGCTCTGTACAATGCTGTCTCGAGAATTGGTCCGATGTACTTTGCTTCATTCGATGTCGAATGAGAAGAAGTATTTGGATTAAATGTTCCAGTAGCGGTACCAGTCGCAGTTCCAGTACCAGTTCCATTTTGATGTAGAATTTGCTTATCCTGCTCTTGTAAATAAACAAGCGTCAAATCACTCGCTATCTCGTAACACTTAATTAATTTCTCCTGCCATTCGGCTATTTTGTATTTCGTTTTACTGCTCGGCGGTTGTTTCTCAAGACAAAGACCCTTTATCGCATAGGATTCGGCGACAATTCGCATACTTCGACTAGGCAATTGTTTTTCCGTCAATGTATCCAATTCGGCTTGTTCGTAATGATATAGTGCTTCATTGTACATTCCCATTGTGTAATGTAATTTTCCCAAAAGAAGATGTGCATCGAGAACGACAACAGCTTGCTTATCCTTTTCATTTGCGGCGAGAAGTAAATATTGTTTTGTCTCAACAAGTCCGGTACGTGCTTTACCGACATTATCATCAATTGGCGGTGTTTGTTCTAAAAATTTTTCCAATCTTCCCTCACCACTGAGAAAATTTGCAAGACACTCTTCACTTGGATATAATACTTTAAGTTGATCGGCTAATTCAATCACTTTACTCCAATTTCCATCCTCGCGATTTTTAGCGATTTCCGCCTCAATTCGTAAATTTTGACTTCTTTTACTTGTCATTGTTGATTTATTATTATTTTGTACTCTTTACAGGATAATTGCTTTGATAATTAAATTGAATGAGGTCACATGTTTCCTGCGAAGAAAAAAAAAACATCTTTCGTAAGAATCTTTTTTATCAATGAAAGTCTATATTCTTAATAAAATAATTTATATTCTTAATAAAATAATTCATATTCTTAATATAATTTATATTCTTAATAAAATAGCTAAAAAACAATTTTATTAAAACAATTTAATGAATCGTGGAAATAATACATTTTGAAAAAATATCCAAAAAATTTTAAACTTATTTATACAGTGAAAATTTTCATTCGTATTTTCGTAATCAATCAGGTTCATAAAATCTTTAACTTAGAAAAGTATATTAATTAAAGAAAAACGTTTATAAATTGATATAAATCTTGATAATATAACCTTACTTTACGGAAATCATTAAAACTTCCAAGGATAGAACATTAATATTGATAAATCGTGTAAATTTTTTAGTAATAATAGAAGAATATTAAGTGAACTCTTACCTGATAAATGTTGTTTTAAACAATACATAACTTAAATGGTATTTATTTTGCTTTAATTACACGACTTTTATAACATCATCCTGTCAGCAAATTGTCATTGTGACAACTGACAATATAATAATTTCTTCGTAATATCTGGTAATATTTCCGTAAGTTCCGCAATAATGGAAAGATTTCTTACAGGCAAACATAACCTCACTTTTTTTGTATTTGACAGTTCTTGTCTGTCGCACGTTGAACATTTTTTATTCTCTTTATTTTTTATATAAAATGATGATATATATAACATTTAAAGTAATTATATATTAAAATTGTAAGTGAATAATTAGGTAATCAATTTTTTGAATTAATTACTCATTTTTCAGTCAGAAATTAAAGACGTTAATTATTTTAAAAATTTGACTGTTTTGTTTTTTATTAATTGTTGTTGCAATAAGCAATAATAAAAAGTATATTATATTATAAAAATATATTATATTATAAAAGTATATTAAGTATTAAATGAAACTGTTATATTTTTAATATTATTTTTTCTTATTCTACATCTTGGAATTTAATTATTTTTTTAAAAATTGTTTTACAGGAATTGAATGAAAGTAAATACTGTATTTTGAAAGACGAAAATGTTTATCAGCATCAAGGACAAGAGATGAATCAGTGTTTTGAATAGCTGTGATATAACTAGAACAAGAAAATCATTTGCAAAAAAAAATGGATTCTGTGGAATTTTATGATGAAGAGGATTATATTGATCAATGTCAGGATCATTTGGAACAAGACATTGATCAAGAATATGAATTTGAATACGAGCAAGAAACTCTAACAGAATTGTATGACCTTTGTTTGAAACCGACATTTATCCAGACTGTAGAACATTTTATTCCTCTTTTAGCCGTTTCCGTTTTATATAAAATTATTTCTCAATCTTGTAAGTTACATGAAATCATTACTTTATTTCTATATTATAAAAAAAGATTTATATTTTATATTTATTTCTAATATATTTTCAGGGTTGCCACAGGTCAGGGAAAAGTCAGGGATTTTTATTGAAAGTACAGGAAAAAATGGAATTTTAAAAATTCATGAGAAAACTCTGAATTTTGATATTTTTTTGTTTGCCTCGTAAACTATAAAATTACCACGAATTTTAATACAAAACCTTCAATTTTTTCTATTTCTGAGAATAATTTTTTTTAAATAACTTAATTTTTCAAAAACTATCATAAAATTATGACTTATAAATTATTTAATGAATAATTTGTACAATTTTCATAAATATTAAATTGATAAAAGAATGTCAGTTAAAAATACTAAAAAAAATTGAATTTTTGAAAAGTTACAAATGATTCCAGAAATTCAATTATTTTCAAAAGTTATAAAAATTCTTCGCATAATTTCAATTATTTTTATAAATAATAAAATTCTTCATAGAAATTCAATTACTTATTTTTAAAAATTTTAATAATATTTTTGGCAAATTTTCACAGGAATTAAATTATTTACAAAATTTAAAAAAAATTTTTTCGAAATAATTCAATTATTTTCATAAGTAATAAAATTTTCACAGGAATTCAATTACATATTTAAAAAGATTTTTTATAAAATTCGTCGCAAGAATTCAATTATTTAAAAAAATTTAACAAAGTTCTTTTCAAGATTCAATTATTTTTATAAATAATAAAATTCTTCACCGAAATTCAATTATTTTTATAAACTTGAATAAAATTCGTTGCAAGAATTCAATTATTTATATAAATAATAAAATTCTTCACAGAAATTCAGTTATTTTTATAAACGTTATTCTTTGAGAGAATTAAATTATTTTCAAAAGTAATAAAATTCTTCGCAGAAATTCAATTAAAATTAATTAATTAATTAATTAATTCAATTCAATTATGTTCAAAAATTGAAAAAAATTCTTGTCAAAAATTTCAAGTATCTTTATGAATAATAAAATTCTTCTCCGAAATTCAATTATTTTAGAAAAATTTTAATAAAATTCTTGGGAAAATTTTAATTATTTTCATAAATAATAAAACTCATCACAGGATTTTAATTATTTTTGATACAATATTTTAATCGAATTCCTCGAAAAATGTAATTATTTTTAAAATTTTTATTAAAAGTCAAATGAATTCAATTATTTAAAAATTTGTTGATAAAGTTCTTTATACGAATTCAATTTTAACAAACATTCAATTATTCAATAAATTATTTATTTTTTAATTTAAATAATTGAATTCTTCTAGAATTTCCTAATAGAAATTGATTTAAAAATGAATTACCGAATAATTGATTTATTATTTATGAAAATAATTGAATTATTGCAACGAATTTTATTACATTTCTTTTAAATAATTCAATTTTTTTTAGAAATTTTACTACTTGTAATAATAATTGAATTCTTGCGATGAATTTTATTAGGATTTTTGTAAATAATTAACTTTTTTTTGAAAAATTTTATGGTAATTTAAATTATTACAAAATATGAAGAACGCGATCACTCCGAGTCGAGTGAATTAGAATATTCCTTAGTTTCAGAGAAAAAGTGAAAATTTTGTCTGGAAATCAGGGAAAAGTCAGGGAAAAATAAAATTAAATATTTGTGGCAATCCTGATATCATATATTTATAATTTTATAGTTTTGCTAATTAAAAAATGTATATTTATATTGAAAATGTTCTTTTAGCTTTCATTCCAAATAGAATGAAACACGGTGCCTCGATCGTAATTGGTCTTCTAATTCTTCGTCATTACGTTCCTGAAAGTTTACATTTATTGTCAATATTCGTCGTGATTTCCAATATTTATTTATATTTACCAAAAAAGTATCGACATGGATTTGGAGTCTTTATACCAAGTATTATTATCATTTTATATTGGTACAGTTTTCATAATTACACTCGACGTTTTTTTACTTTTCATACATTTTTTTTATTCCTTTAACTCTTTTTTTTACCTTTCAAAATTAAAATTACAATAAAATATAAAATGCACACCTATATCTTTTTTTTTATTTCACTTAAAAACTAATTTTTAGTGAATTATACTTGGATCCGGTTTCATGGCACAAAATTCGTAGCGTCTTGATGATCGCTGTGATGAAAGAAATTAGTGTAGCTATCGATCAAAATGAAAAGAATGAGAGACCAAGTTTTTTGGAATATATCGGTTATCTATTTTGTCCAATTACGTCTATATTCGGCCCCTGGACATCTTTTAAGGATTATGCAGAATTTGACAGACAACAATCTTGGGTGAGTTTTTTTTTAATACTGAAAACTTAAAATAATTAAATTTTCCAAGAGATGAATTAAAATTTTAATTAAAATCTTTTTTCCAGAATTTGAGATGGATACTAAAAAGTGTGGGATATTTTATTCTAAGTCTTGTTTTTCTAAACATGTCAAATTGTGGATGTAGTTGGATTATTTCCGATAATTCTGGCAAGTGAGTATAGAGTATAAATTATTATTGTAATATTACAGGCCTAAATTAAATAAACGATTTTTTCCGATACCTGATATTATGTTAAATTATAAATTAAATTTTCAAATTAATTAATTTACAGATGGCTTCTCGCTTATAGAGACGCATTATCGTTCAGAATGTCTCATTATTTCATCTCCAGTTTATCGTCTTCATTTCTACTCCTAGGAGGATTTTCGGAAAATTTAATTTCAATTACAAAACCAGTGGAAATTGAATTTCCCAGATCACTCGTACAAGTTGTTATTTCATGGAATATTCCAATGCACACCTGGCTGAAAATTTGTATGCTTCCCAATAATAATTACAGAAAAACTACAAAAGAAAATTGAAAATTATACTAATTATTTTCTTTTCCAGACATATTTCGACCAGGAAGAAGGGAATTCGGTAAATTTGGAGGAATTCTCTTGACGTATCTCGCAAGTTCCCTGCTGCATGGTTTAAACTTTCAACTAGCAGCCGTTTTATTGAGTTTAGGTTTCTACACTTATATTGAATTTCAATTGAGAGCTGTTCTCTCGACGACATTAAGTGCTTGCATATCGTCGAAAAAGTGCCCTAAAAATCAATGTCAACACGAGAAGAACTCGTCCAATTGTTGGTGGGTAACTGGAGTGAATATTGGATTCTCAACATTAGCAATGTTTCATTTGGCCTATTTGGGTCTCATGTTCGACACGTCGGAAACACAGGAAACCGGTTACAGTTATTTACATACTCTTGAAAAATGGTCTAAACTCGGATATTCCAGCCACTGGATTGCATTCGCTACTTATTGCGCCTACTTCTTAATCAGGTAAAATTGACACGACAGTATTTAATATTTTTATTTTAACGAAAGCAAATCTGTGATTCTCTCTATTAAAAAGACAATTTTTCCAAACAAACTTTTTGTACTTTTATAACAATATACTGACAATAACATTATTTTGAAAATTGTTTTCTTCATTTATTCATTTATTTATAAATTATTTTCTGCAGGGTTTCTACTATTTTCGTTTAACAAAATTCCCGATTATTTCCCGGTTTTTTTTCTCATCAAATTTAAATTTATTTGACTTCGAACATAAATAAATCTACAAATGGCTTCCAAAATTTTTATTAGAGTTTTTATGAACAATTAAATTCTTTTGACGAGTTTCTTTAAATTTTTCGAAAATGTTTTTTTAATAACTTTAATTGCAAAATTTGGAAAATAATTGAATTTAACAAAGAATTTTTTTTAATTTTTTAAAATAATCTTGTCTCTTCATAATTATAATTGAAAATTTGATTAATTCAATTTTATTAAAATGTATTTTTCCCGGTCAAATTAAATTCCTGGCTATTTAATTAAATAGATAATCTATTTAGGAAGTAGGGAAAATTAAATTCATATATTTATTAATTCGATTTCGATTAGTAATAAAAAATGAATTTACAAAATTATATTTATGACAAAATGAAAACTAAATATTATAGTTGAATACTATTTTATTATTTATTCATATTGCTAAACAAAAGGTAATTAATCCTAATTCTAATGAGTATAAATGGTTATTTATGCAAAAAATTAATTTTCGCATTTTTGATTGAAAGAATTTTCATTACATTAAAACGATATGCAATTTTTTTCTCTGTAAAAATTTTTTTTTCTCTCTTCACAAATCGTCGATGCTTTCTATCGAATAAATTCCATAAAAATTTTCTGTTAAAAATTTCATTTACAATCAAAATTTTTCTCTGTAACAAATCTTATCTAAATTTGATAATTTTCCAACCGATTTGACTTTTATTTGATTTCGAATTTTATAAAATTCTATGTTTTAAAATTATTTATCAAAAATTTTTCTGTTTCTTTATTTGTAAATGTTTTTAAATGAACGAGATTTTTGATAACTTTTTCAGTCTTGAATATATAGAAAACGGATAAGTTTTCTTTTCGTAAAGAAAGAGAGTCAAATCTGAGAGAAAATGATCAAATTTTGTTATTTAATATACAAATTAGTTTTTTTGAATTTAACATTTTAATTTATAATAATATTGGGAAGTCAAAATTATGTAAATTAAATTTTATAATTTCTTATATTCATATTGTATATAATTATTATAATCAGTGAGAAGTAAAATATTTTCATATCGCTTTGTCCGACCAGCAGAAGATGAATTAAAAATTGTAGTTTTTCTCGAATAAATTTTTTTATTATTGAGAAATTTATAATATTTTTTTCGTATACGCTTAATTTTCTTTTGGAGACATGACAATCGATTGTACAATCTTTTTTTTGTTTGTGAATTCCTTATATTTTACATAAATCATTCTATTTCGAAGCAAAGAAAAATACATATATGAATATTGAAGAAATAATTAGAAATTGAAAAAGTTTTTAGAAAATAGAGAAAATTAAACAAAAAAAGACAAAAAATAAAGAAACTTACTAACTACTAGAATCTGGTATTAAATTTCCATATATCGAAATTAATATTGCAATTTATAAGGCAAAAATCTTTTTTTTTATTTTCTTAAAGCGATGAATGCCTAATTCTAATAATAAATTTGAGTAATTTATATTTGAGTTGATAATTCAAAAAATATATCTACAATTATTTATAATTTTCATTGTGTCTTTGATTATCTATTATTTAAAACAAATAAAAAGAACACACCCATAAGCAATATTCTAAAATGCGATTTCTCATTGGATTTTGCCTTTCGTATTTGCATAATCTATAATACCTATATATATTTTTTGTCTTTATGATCAAAAACAAATTTTTTTTCTACATTATTTTTCATTTTTTTTTTTCATATTATTTACATAGTATAAGCCAAAAATGACTTTTATGGTGATTGTATAAAGCCTGTCACGTTATTGCAGATAATAATTATAATAATAGATATTAATAACTTCCTCCAACATGCGTACTGATTAGATTATTTAATTAACCGAAAGTTAATTGCAAAATGGGATTATCATATTAGTTCAATTGATTATTTAACATTTATGATCGTTCTAGTCTTTTAAAATTAATAATACTATTTTTCAATGTTAACAATGATGATGATAATTAAATACACCATTTTTTTTGTACTTTCGGAGGGAAATTAATTTTTACATTAATGATTTCATTGAAACATTAAATAAGTAAAGAATTTGAACTTTTTTTCCAATTTACTGTCTACTTTTAAATCAGTTCGAAAACAAAAGTATTTTAAATCACTTTCAATCAAGTGTATAAAAAAAAGAAAAAAAATGTGGTCTGTAAAAGATTTCGATGAATAAGAGCAAAAAATTTGTCATTGATAATTTAAAAAATTTTTCTAGCAAGTCAATGTAAAAAAACTAAAAATTATAGAAATTTCCTTCTTTTATTATTTGCTTTAAAGAAAATTTCTTTTCTTTACTAAAAAAAAGTTTTCTGCGGTGAAACTGAAAAATCCCAATTTGATCCACTTTATGTAAATTTGATAAAAAGAGATAAACGATTTTTTCATTCTACAAATATATAAAATTTCTATTTACTAAGAAAATTTCTATTAATTACAGGGTTGCCACGTTTTTTTTTTAATTTAAAATTCATTTTTAAATCAATATTTATTAGATAATTCTAGGAGAATTCAATTATTTAAATATAAAAATAAATATTTTATTCAACAATTGAATGTTTCTTAAAATTGAATTTTCATAAAGAATTTTATAAAGAATCGTAAGAACTCAATTATTTTCATAAATAATAACATTCTTCGTAAGAATTTAATTATTTTTATAAATTCTTTTTAATTTTATAAATTATTTTTATACATTTTTATAAATCAATTATTTTTAAACAAAATTTTAATAAAACTTCACGAATGAATTCAATTTTTTTCTTAATTCTTTATAAGATCTTTGCAAAAATTCAATTCTTTCCTAAAATTTTAAAAATTCTTCGAAACAATTCAATTATATTTATAAATAGTAAAATTCTTAGCAAAAATTCAATTATATTCAAAATAATTTCAATTCCTTTCTTAATTCAATTATATTTATAAATAATCAAATTCTTTACAAAAATTCAATTATTTTTAATACAATTTTAATAAATAAAATTTCATAACAGAATTCAATTTTAAAAAAATTTAATTATTTTCTAAAATTTTAATTAATTCTTGGAAACAATTCAATTATATTTATAAACAGTAAAATTCTTTGCAAAAATTCAATTATTTTCAATAAAATTTCACGAAAGAATTCAATTATTTTCCTAAATACTGAAATTCTTCGAAGGAATTGAATTGTTACAATGTATTTCATTAAAACTTTTGAAAATAATTTTATTCTTTAAAGAAATTTAATTAGAAATTTATTGAAAATAATACTTAAATTCTAATAAATAAATTGTAGCAAAGGTTATTAAAATAATTAAATTTCTTTGATAGGTAAATTTTAATAAAATTTTTAAGAATAATAACTTTTTTTGAGGAATTCCATTTAAATTGGATTAAAAATAATTGAAATTCAGCATTGATTTGAGTTTTATTATTTATGAAAATAATTGAATGTTTACGTAGAATATTATTAAAATTTTTTTTAACAAATTGAATTCTTTTAGGAATTTTTATTAAAGTAGTAGATATTGAAAATCATTGAATTGAGGAAAGTTTTTGAAAATTAAAATTTTGCCAAGAATTTTTTGTTGAAATTTTTGAAAATAATTGAATTTCCAAGAAGAATTTTATTACTTTTGAAAATAATTGAATTTTTCCAATCATTTGTAATTGCTTCAAAATTCAATTTTTTTTTTTAGTGTTTTTAACTAAAATTCTTTTATAAATCCATTATTTTTAATGAAACTGGTTAAATAAATATTAAAAAATTTAACTAATTTCAGAAGAATAGATTAAAAATTTTTTTTTTTAATTCAAAAAATTTTTTTTCATAAAAATTTTTTTTTTATTTCTAATTAAATTCATTTCAAATTGAAATTTTACAAAATGAAATGAAAATCTTTTAAAGTTCATCTATTTGTGAAAATTGTAAACGCAATTCTTTTAAAATTGAATTAATTTTGAAATATTTAAGTGAAATTAGATTTCGAGAATAAGCACAATTAGAAAATAATAATTTTTCAGAATTTCGATCAAAATTCCCTGATTTTTCCGGGGTTTTTTTAAAGTTTATAAAATTCCCTGACATTTCCAGGTTTTCTGATTGCGTAACAACCCTGTTATTACTGAGAGAAGAAAATTATTTCTTGTTAATAAAATATTTAAGCAAAACTAAAGAATTTGCTAAAGGCGTAAAAATTACTTTTTCTATTTTCTTTTCGCGTAAAATATTACAAACTATTTGTTAATACATGTACGTATATAATATAATATAATATACATGTATATATAATATATAAATCTGACCAGCACAATGTAATATCACTTATAGATCAGATAATAGTATATCTGCCTAATAAAAATCATGGTAGAAAGTGATCGTTACAGTTTTAAAACTACAGACACATTTTTCTTTTTTGCTTTTAATATTTCCACAAAAAATGAAGTGGTAAAATTTTTCCAGAATCCTAGAAACCATAATTATGTCATTTTAACTATGACGAGTGTGCAAAAATATATTTAAAAGAAAATGATTTTCTTTTTTTCTTTCTTGAAAAATTGTGGATTCCGATGATGATTGTGTTACTTTATTGAATGATGGGGTTGAAGCGATGAGATCTTCGACGCTGGCGAGATTGTCGAGGTGTAAGTTGTGTGCCCTCTTCAACGCCACTGAGAATATCGGTTAGTCATCTGATAAATGCTTTTTTGTAACTTTTTGTAGTGCGCGTACTGCAAAGTTAGAGAAAAAACAAACGGGGTCGGTACGTTAGCCACTTTCGTTTTTCGTTTCTTAATTTTCCTTGTTCTTTTGTTCTAAATATTAAGACTACAAAAAAAGCTATCAATATTCGAGCAGGGATGAGCGAAGTGTTATTTATGATCTTGTGAATTGTGTTTTCAAAAATTTATTAATTTTTCAAATAAAACGTTAATAAAAAAATAAATAAAGAAAAGTTAAAATAAAAGTAAAAATAAAATAAAAACGAAATAGTAGAAATAAAAATACAAACGTGATATTTAAATGGACATGAGAAGAAGACATTTATTGAAATTTGAAATTTGAAAAAAGTGAAAAGTGAAAAGATACTTAACGAACACTGAAGCAATGATAAAATTAAATTTCAAAAAATTGCAAGTAACTATATTGCGAATTAAAATAAAATTTATCCCCGTAAATTGTGTAGAAATTTTGTAATTATTTATAAAAATTTTTAAATAAATAAAATTGTTTTGAATATTTTAGTTTTTATCTCGATTCGAAATTACGAAGCAATTTCACTTTTTTTTACCTTTTTTTCTTTTGAAATCAATATTTAGTTGTTTCAATATTATTTTAATTGTTTTTTTTATTTGTTTTCAAGTAAATTTTTCGTTTTACGTTAAATTTTTCAAATAAAAAACTAAAAAGTATTTTTTTCGCCGCCCATCCCTACATTATAATAAAACGCACGATTATTTTTAAAAGGAAACAAAAAAAATCGCAAACACATGCGTTTTTAAACGTGCCGTCGGTACCTCACCCCGTAAATTTTAACTTCTATATAGGACTTGAAAATAATTCATCATATCTATCACAAAGTGGAATGAATCCGATTTTTTTTTCTCATAAAAATGAAACTTAAATTTTGCGAAACAATCACTATATATTTATAAAATTACAAAATTTAACATAACATTTCTTAAAAATGAAAATAAAAACTAGAGTCCTGCAAAGAAATGTTAAGCCAATCAAAGTTCACAAATTTCTGCATAAATATCAAATCTTTAATTGTTAATTAAGAGAGGAGATTTTTTTTCATTTTTAATTAATTAATTAATTAATTAATTTTAAGCTAATAATTAATAAAGCTAATACTTTTAAAACGTTTCAACACGTTAATTGAGGTATGTAATTATTGAAAGTTTCAATATAAGATATTTATGGCCTTCTTCTAAACTATTAAATTAATACTATCAAATCATAATTAGTGAACTCTGATCAAATCATAGCCCTCCCAATTTCAAGCGAAAAATTAGTAACTACACACAGAAAAAAATGTTTTAAAAAAAGTGCAGAATTTGTTCTCTTTTTTTTAATGGGAAAGCGAAAAGCTTAGCAAAACAAAAAAATAGGCGTATAAAAATGAAAAATAAAAAAAAATAGAATTAGTAAGAGCTAATGGTTTTTTTTGTGAAAAAAAATGCTTTAAGACTTACTGCTTGAGAGAATAATATCGGCTAATTCGATCAGAAGATCGGAGATTACGTTCGTTTAATGGAATTGCTGTTGGTGAGGCTGGAACAACGTTGCTTTCATCAACTCTCAATGTCCTCACACAACTTCTTGTCACTGGTTTCGTTGTGGAAGCAGATTTTATTACAGGAATTACTTTTGTTGTAGTTCTTTCATGAAATTGTGTGGTAGGTTTGGTTCTAATTCGTTGAGGTGGATTTTCACTGCTCATATTCACCAAACCGCCATTTCTAAAAAAAAAAGAAAATTATTTCCTATTTTGATAAATATTCCTTTTTATTTCATCTTTTTATTCTTTATTTCATTAATTATAAGGAAAATTTTCTCTTATTTGATAAAAATATACTTTACTTTTGAAAAAAAAGAATAAGAACGAAATAAAAATGAAAAGAACAAGAAAAAATAAAATAAATGAAAAATAAGTAAATAAACAGCAAAAATAAAATCTTACTGTCGCAGTGAATGATGACGTGCAATGCGTTCATCCAAATGATTCTTGTTTGACGAAAGTTGAACAGAATGATTCGTCGAGGAAATAGTCGACTGCATTTCAGCTTTTGGACTCTTTCTCGTCACTGGTTTTGATATTGAATTTGCGACAGGATGATTCGCGGTGGTATTGTTGTTGTTGTTGTGAATCTGTGCGGTTGGTTTGAGAATTTCTTGGCGATAATTGCTGTATTCCACAATCCGACTTGTTCTACAATTTGAAAGAAAACAAGATAAGAATTTAAAAAATAGATCAATTTTTTTAAATAAGATAAAGGCACACTTTAATTTAAATTTAAAAATTTTAAAAGAAATGTGTTTTTTTCTTCATCCAAAATAAATCTAATGTTAATTATTTACTATTGTATATTATAGGCTTCGTATTAATTTAAGTTTTATAATTTCTTAAAAACATTCAAAAATAGAATAATTTTTTATAATAAATATTTAAATACCTAATTCTTTCAAAATTCAATCATTTTTTTTGTTGAAATTTATAAATCAAATTATTCAAAATTTTAATAATTTTATTTTATTCAATTATAAATCATTTCTTATTAGAAAGTTCTACTAGAATGCAATTATTTAAATACAAAAATAAATAATTTATTGAATAATTGAATGTTTCTTAAATTTTATTTTTTATAATGAACTTGATCAACATTTTTTAAAATAAATGGATTTTTACGATGAATTGCATTAAAATTTTTGATAACAATTAAATTCATTCAAGAAATGTAATTCAAAATGAATTGAAAATAATTATTACACTCTAAAAAAAAATTATATCAAACTTTATTCCATTTATTATTGTTATGCAAATTACAACATTTTTTATTTTCAAATATAAATTTTTTAAATAATTTCATAATCAAAATTTTAAAAATTCACGTATTAAGTACAAAATTAATTATTACTGTTCATATTTTCAAAAATTTTAATAAAATTTCACGAAAGAATTCAATTATTTACTAAAATTTTAATAAATCCTTCTAAACAATTCAATTACTTTTTTAAATAGTAAATTCTTTAAAGAAATTCAATTATTTTCGAAACAACTTGAATTGAATTTCATTATTTTTAAATATTTCTATAAAATTCTTCATAACAATTTAATTATTTCTTAAAATTTTAATAAATTCTTCGAAACATTCCAATTATATTTATAAATAGTAAAATTCTTCGCAATAATTCAATTATTTTTATAAATAGTAAAATTCTTTGCAGAAATTCAATTCTTTTCAAGAAAATTTTAATAGAATTCTCCGAAAAATTAAAATTTTCAAATTGAATGTTTTCGAAGAATTTTATTCAAATTTTTAAAAATAATTGCGTTTTTAGCGGAATTAATTAAAAATTCTATTAAAAATAATTGAAACCCTGCGATGAGTTTTATTATTTATTTTTTTTTAATTTAATTATTATTAATTTAATTTATTTATTTTTTTATAAATATTGGGAAAATTCTGTTTCAAATAATTGAATTCTTGTGAAAATGTTTTTATTTATGAAAATAATTGAATGTTTGTGAAGAATTTTATAAACATTTTTTTTAAATTATTCAATTTTTTGGGAAATTTTTTTATTAAAATAGTAGATATTAAAAATCATTGAATTTCGAAAAATTTGTGAAAATAATTGAATCGTTTGAATGATTTCTATTAAAATTTTAAAATATAATTTCGTTATGTGTAACAAATAAAAAAAGTATCCAAATAATAGCAAATCGTAAAAAAATAGTAAATAGTAGGTTTTAGTAAATGAGTGTGAGGCCTAATATTAATTAATGTAGAAAATTAGAAAATATATATAATACTGAAATAATAATTACAACTAATATACATAATATAATATTTTGATATGAGAATATGTGAGATGTAATTAACTTTGAATAAATAAATACATAATATAATAAATGCAGTATGGTAACATTAATAACATATAATATTAATTATAGAAACAAGATTTTAACTACAACAATCAGCAATTGCGGTTGATTTGTATTATTTTAGTCGAAAGTGAAAATTATATTAATGATCCGAAAATTTCCTTATTGCTTCGCGTGTGAAACAATCGTGATTAAAATGAAAGAACTTTTGTCACGCAAAGAGAGATCTATCTCCAGATTGTTAAAATTAAAGGTTAATTAAATCAACAATTAAACGAGGTCAATATTAAATTGTCTGTAAATAAAAAAAAAAGATTTTCCTTCCCTACTATCTTCAAAAAAAAATTCTTCAGCTACAGTTCAAAAAAAAAAAAAAAAACGCAAGTAAATAAAAGGAAAAATAAAGCTACGAACCTTTTTTCAGGTCGAAATATACCCCTGCTGTGAAGTAGAAGTCCCATGTAAGGCCTAGAGAATAATGATTGTCAATTATTGATAAATTTCCGATTTTATTGAAAGCAAAAAAAAAAAGTAAAAAAGAAATACTTACTGTACGACACGTGTTGATCGGGTTGAATTATTAACAGGAGCACAATTTCCAGCGCGAACAGTGCGTCTTGCTTTGATTTGATTGAGTTTGTCACCTTGAGTCAAATAGGACAATCTGGGACCACTTGTACTCGCGATAGCTGTAGGTTCCTCTAGATTCATTGCATCAACACGATGGATTATTCCACTTATATTATCCTGCGGTGCTTTTACCAATCTCGAGTAAATTCCAAATTCATGAACGGGATTTCCATTTTTCGGTCGTAGTGGTTCCTTACACAATGAATGTAAATACGTTTCTTTTCTGAAATAAATTTCAAATTATAATTATTTAAAATTAATTATTTACAGGGTGGTCAGAATTTTCAGTTTATCAATTTTCCTGACAAATTTACTTACTCTTCTAGCCATTGTTGTTGAGGGCCAATAACCGAGCCAGGCCTACAAATTCGTATCCAAGCAATCGTCTCGTGTGCTGTTAAGTGATAGTGCTTCATAATATAACAGCCAATTAGTGTTCCTGTTCTTCCTAGGCCAGCTTTACAATGTATTGCAACAGCGCCACGTGCCTTCTCAGATATTTTCAAAAATTGCCGAACAATATCAACTGTCGGCGGTGAACCATCGACGAAAAATAATTCCTTATGATCGAAACCAGCTTCGATAAAACTTGCCGCATCATATCTTTTCTTATTTAATCGCACAATTGTCGATACATTGTGACTTTCAAAATAATTGAAATACGATTCCGGTGCATGTAAAAGATATCCTGGCAAAGAAACAAAAACAATTCGAATTTAATTAATTGAAAAAAATATTCTAAATTTAATTCTAAATTAATATAAATTTTATTAGCTAAAATTACCGTTTTCAATTTTGCATGTGGCATGAGGTCCGCAGAAGGCTATAAATTTTCCAGGTACAATCCAGTTTAAATCACCGTTTTCAACTTTCTCCAAATGTTCATATTCTTCAAGATTGAAATCATCGAAATTGAAGAAACCAAGTTGATGGCACTTATAAACAGCACTGAGGCATGCTTTTAATGTTATTCTATAACAAGGCTCTCGCAATGACGCATCACGAAACATTTCAAATGGCTGAAAATCTTGATTATTCGTAAGAAGTTCATAAGCTTCATTGGCTGTGCGCTTTAAATAAATCACCTAAAATTTTCATAGAAAACATTTTTAAATTTATATTTCGTCTCTTTTTTTTTTACTATAATAGACTTTTTTCAATAAAAAAACTCACTGCATAACTTCCAACGAGAAAAGCAGCATTCACTCTTTTTTCCGGGTCCGTTGATGTGTAATGAACAATTTTTTTCTTTCTAAAAGAAGCAGATTTCAGTTTTCCGTTCAATTTCTCACAATACTGGTACAACATGGCTAAATTCAAGGGACCAAAGTCCGCATAAAATTTTTCATAGACGAATTCCTCGTCTATATTAAAGCAATGAATACTTGGTGTATTTCTAAGTTTGTCTGGAACTGTTTTAAAATAAAATCGATCTGAAACAAAAACAAGTAATTTATTAAATTCGGATCTACTACCCAAGGATCGACTTTAACGAACAAGAAAAGTCGCTTTAGTCGATTAAAAGTAGAAAAAAAGTTGAAAAAGTCGTTTATTTAATTTAGTGTTGTCACAAAAATTTTATTTTTTATTTTCCTGATTCTTCACTGATTTCTAAATTCAATTAAACAAAACTTGCAAATTTTGCTAAATAAATATTTAAATATTTCTTATTTCTTTTTTCACAGGAAATAACATTTTAAAAATTTTAACTTCTTAAATTTAATAATTTCTAAAAATTAAAAATATAACCATTCCAAAAATTCAATTATTTAATTAAATTAATAATTGAATTTTCCAAAGAGTTTTATTAAATTTTTAAATGAATTAGAATTTTAATGAATTCCAAAATATAATTGAATTTTGTAAAGACTTTTATTAAAATTCATGAAAATAATTGAATTATGTAATAAATATTTAAAAAATTCCTGAAAATTGAATTTTTACAAAAATTTTATTAAAATTCCTGAAAATAATTGAATTTTGCAAAGAGTTTTATTAAAATTCCTGAAAATAATTGAATTTTGCAAAGAGTTTTATTAAAATTTATGAAAATAATTGAATTTTGCAAAGTGCTTTATTAAAATTCATGAAAATAATTGAATTTTAGAAAGTGTTTTGTTAAAATTCCTGAAAATTGAATTTTGCCAAAAATTATATTAAAATTCTTGAAAATAATTGAATTTTGAGAAGAGTTTTATTAAAATTCATGAAAATAATTTAAATTTGCAATGAATTTTAATAAAATTCCTTAAAATAATTAAATTTTGCAAAAAATTATATTAAAATTCCTGAAAATTGAATTTTTACAAAAATTTTATTAAAATTCCTGAAAATAATTGAATTTTGCAAAGAGTTTTATTAAAATTCCTGAAAATAATTGAATTTTGCAAAGAGTTTTATTAAAATTTATGAAAATAATTGAATTTTGCAAAGTGCTTTATTAAAACTCATGAAAATAATTGAATTTTAGAAAGTGTTTTGTTAAAATTCCTGAAAATTGAATTTTGCCAAAAATTATATTAAAATTCTTGAAAATAATTGAATTTTGAGAAGAGTTTTATTAAAATTCATGAAAATAATTTAAATTTGCAATGAATTTTAATAAAATTCCTTAAAATAATTAAATTTTACAAAAAATTATATTAAAATTCCTGAAAATTGAATTTTGCCAAAAATTTTATTAAAAATACAGAAAATAATTAGATTTTGCAAAGAGTTTTATTAGAATTCATGAAAATAATTGAATCTTCCAAAAAATTTTATTAAAATTCCTGAAAATAATTTAATTTTGCAATAAATTTTTTAAAAATTCATGAAAATAATTGAATTCTGCAATAAATTTTTTATAAATTCCTGAAAATTGAATTTTGCCAAAAATTTTATTAAAAATCCCGAAAATAATTTAATTTTGCAATAAATTTTTAAAAAATTCATGAAAATAATTGAACTCTACAATAAATTTTTTATAAATTCCTCAAAATTGAATTTTGCCAAAAATTTTATTAAAATTCATGAAAATAATTGAATTTTGCAATGAATTTTAATAGAATTGCTTAAAATAATTCAATTTTGCAAAAAATTTTATTAAAAAAATAAATAATTGAGTTTTTTAAAAATATAAACAAAATAATCAAATTTTTGAAGAATTTTAATTATAAATAATTTCTCAAAAATTCTAAAATACTAAATTTTTAAAAATTATAATTTACTTTCTACGAAGGTAATTAAATTATAAAAAAATATAATTAAACAATTCTAAGAATTAGTTTTTTATAAATATTGTAATTTTTCGAAAATAATTCAAGAATTTTTGTATAATTTAAAAAAAAATATTTTTTTGAAGAATTTTTGTATAATTTAAAAAAAAAATATTTTTTTGAAGAATTTTAAATTAAAATTTGGAATATGATTATTTTCTCCACAATATTAAAAAATATGGTATTTTGTCGCAAAATTTGGAGGAAAAGTAGAAAAGTCGCAATTTTTTAATATAAGTCGATAAAAGTCGTATTATTGGAAAATAGTAGAAAAAGCCTGTGCTTATTGTTTATTAACTGCACTGATTAGCATTAATATTAACATCAAAACAAGTTTACCTTTTATAATTTCTGCAGATCCCATTAAAATTTTATTTATTTCGTCCATGGTGATTGTGGATTTAAAAAACTGTCGTGATTATCTTATTTGGAAGAACGTAACTTTCCTGAAAACTAATTGATAATGCTTTTGTTTTTGTTTCTACGACAAAAAGAAAGAGTTTTTTTTAAAAAAGGAATTCTAAATTCGATTCTTGGTTTACTTGTCAACGGAGTGAAATCTAATCTTGATAAAAAGGTTGTTAATAAATAAATTTTTTTTAATCTAATCTTATAGAACTAAAAGTAAAGCATAACAGATATTGTACGCTAGAATTATCTACATAGGTATGTAAATCAAAGAACACGCGATCACGCACGAAAAACCTGTCAGTCAATATCGTAAATAATAAATTTTAGATACGAGGCACAAATCGACAATAATTCAAATTTAATAAAGAAACACGAAACAACAATTAAAACAAAAAATTGTTAATAATTCAGAACAAAAATAATTTTCTTTAAACAAACGAAACTATTCTTAACCTACTTTCGCAGGAAATTAGTATGAAATTATTTGTATTAAGAAAAAAGATACAGGAAGATTAGAAAATATTTTGAAGCCGCAATAGGTCCAGAATAATAACAACCTTAAAAAAAACGGACACTGCAAAAAATTCAAATTACTTCCCGTTGACTCGAAACCAAACAACCTTTCTCCTATGCTTGAAATCGCCATTGCAACTTTCACCAAGAATGAATGGAATGTTAAAATAATTAAAAAAGGAAAGAAAAGAGAATTTATTAAACATACCTGAAAGACTTTGTTTATGATAAATTGATAAAAAGTGAAATAACACTTAAAATTATCAAAATGAACGTCCGGCCCCGCTGAATAAAAGTTCGCTATCTATTATGCATTGCTCACGTAATTTGTTCGACTTAGTGGACTTAGTCAACTTGTTGTCATTATTGTGATGCATAAGTCAATCTGATTTTATGTTAATTTAATTCAACAAGGTCTGAAAGTCGTCATTATTCACCGCTGATGCGGAAAGTTGTTTGCTGCCATCTTGGGCAATCTTCTGCTTCACACCCACAGATTTGTGTAACACCACCAATTATAAAACTATATTAATACGTTATTTAACATAAATAATATTGATCTCATCCGTTTTCAACTGAATTCACTCAGTTAATAAACATTCCTCACTGAATTTTAATAAACTCCAAATATTATGCCTCAAAAATGTGAAAAAAAAATTTATTCACACACTGCCAAAAATTCCGTTAAAATCGTTACGAACTTGAACGATTTTTTGAAACGTAATCCCGCGATTTAACTGAAAACAAATAAATCATAGAAGTGCTAAAAATCACAAATTTACAGCGCTATTCGGATTGATTGGCAACTAGAGGCGCTTGCACAGAAAATATGAATGATATGAATCAACCTTTAGTTTGACATTTTTCGAACTGAGTTTCCATCTCTTAGTATAGTTCTTGTTTTCATGTCGCCGATGGAGCCGATGTAAACAATCAAGTGATAAATATGACAATTTAAGAATTTTTTTAATAAGAAATTAAATATCTCATTTAATGTTAGTTTAAAAAGACTGGTAAAGAATTATTTCCATGTTTTATAAAATAGAATATTTTAGTATATAGTAAAGATATTTTATATAGTATTCAAAGAAAAATGCAAATGTGATATTTATTTATAATTATAATTTTAAAATGTCAGACGCTTTTGAAGAAATTCAAGCTATTAAAATTAAGAGAAATTGTTTACGTGAAAAATTACAAAAGCGAAAAAGAGAGAGAAATGAATTATTCACTCTTACCTCAACTGCTTCGTTGTCATCTTCCCCGTCTTCGGAGTCACAGAATATTATTGGTAATTTAATTTTATTTAAGCATTCTTAATTTATAAATTATAACAAAAAAAAACGGAGATTTTTAATTTTTCGAGTACATTTCTAACCTGAGAAATCTTCTTCTTAACTGGAACAGAAACTGTCAAACAATTGCAATTTTTGTTTTCAGTCGAAACATCATCAGTACGCTCTGATCATTCCGAATATGAACAGGATGTTCTTTGCATATTACACGAGTCCACTTCAAATTTACCAATAACATCAGCCGATCTTCTGGATCAATTGAGAAAAAATTTAAGCGCCGACGTTTCTTACGCAGACATGAATAAAATATTGGAAAAATTCGCCGCCCAGGACGTTATAAAGTGAGAAATATTCCAATTTCCTTTTTTTGTAGTGGAAAATTATTTTTCTTTTCAAAAATAAAAATTTTCTTTTTTTCTCCCCCAGAATTAAGGAAGTAACCGAAGATGGTATTTTTGGATACACAATAATCTCTGTTATAGAAGCACAATCAGTTCAATCGCCTCTTGCTCAATCGCTCATTGTCGAGAGTCCCGATCGAACGGAATCTTCGGTATCAGAATCAAATGAAGACGCCCCACCTGAGAAACAATCGAAACAGGATAAAATCGAAGACATTATGTCATTGATCACAATGCCAACAATTAGGGAGAAAGAGAGTAAAAAAGTTGGCGAACAAATTCTCGATCTTCTATCGAAACAAACGTCAAAAGAAAAATCATTAGCCGAAAGATTTCGATCGCAAGGTGGTGCACAAGTGATGGAATTCTGTCCCCATGGGACGCGTATTGATTGCGCGAAAATTAATCATACCAGTGGACAGGGATTTGTTGGTAAATGTAAAAAATTGCATTTCAAGAAAATTATACAAACTCACACGGACGAATCTTTGGGTGATTGCAGTTTTCTTAATACTTGTTTTCATATGGATACCTGCAAGTGAGTTAACTTTTTTTACAAGATTTAAAAATACAGGGTAGTTACAAAAAATTTAATTTTCTTTTTCCATGATTTTCAGATAAAATTTTCATTTTTTTCCTGACCCTGAAGAATATTCCGATTCACTCTAAATATTTAATCACTATTATTTTTTCATACTCTCTAAATATGAATTAGTAATTTTCTACTAATGAAATAGTGCGAATTCGTTTACCAATTAAATTAGTAACAGTTTTTACTAATCTTTAGTAATTTTTTTACTAATTGCTAGTAGAAAACCACTAATTCATTAGTAAGCCGTTTACAAATTTGAAATAATAAAAAATACGTTCTTATAATTAAACTAGTAATTTTCTCCTAGCGATTAGTAAAAAAATTCTAAAGATTAGTAAAAACTGTTACTAATTCAAATTATTAAATAAATAAATTAAATCCGTACTAATTCAGATTTAGAGAGTAGGAATTAAAATTCTTCACAACATTCAAATTCAACTCTTCTTGAAATTCAACAACCTATAAGAATATTTTATTAGAAAAAACACGAAGAAATCGATAACTCCGAGTCTTCGACTCGGAATAATCGATTTCTTCATGTTTTCTAATTAATTATAGATGACCGAATGATAAAATCATTATTTTATAATATAAGAATTTTGTTACTCTGACTTCTTTGAAATTATTTTCATCATTTCAATTCAATTATTATTTTCTGAAATTTTAAACTAAAATTCTTCTTTCAATCAATTATTTTTAATAATTTTTGACAAAGTTTTTTGAGATTTTACAAAATCATTTGAATACAATTTAATTTCACGAAACTTCATCGATTATTCAGAAATTCTTCAATGAAATATTTATTAGAATGTAAAAACTTCAAATAACAATTTAAGCAAAAATTCAATTAAACTTTTTTAAAATAAATTAATTCTACAAACTTTTTAGATAAAAGTATGAAAAAATTCAGATTTTCAAAGATTTTACAAAAAATTTTTTTAAATAATTGAATCTATCGACGAATTGTAATAAAATTTTTAAGAATAATTGCATTTTTCGAGAAATTCGATTAAAATTGTATTAAAAATAATTAAAATTCTGCCATGAATTGTATTATTTCTAAAAATAATTGAATTATTGTGAAGAGAATATTTTCAAATAATTAACTTTTTATAAAAAAATTTATGCTACTTTTTTTTTAAATAATTCAATTTCTGTCAAATTTTTTTAATTATGAAAATAATTAAATGTTTGCATGAAATTATATCAACATTTTTATCAAATAATTGAATTTTTTGGGAAATTTTATTAAAATATTAGATAATAAAAATCGTTTAATTAGGAAATTTTTTTTTAAATTAACTTAAATTTTGACAACCATTTTATTAATAATTTTTGAAATAATTCGTTGAATTTCGAAGAAGAATTTTGCTATTTTTAATGATAATTAAAATCTTGACGATAATTTTTTTAGAAATTTTGAAAATAATTGAATTTTTACGAGAAATTTTATTACTTTTAAAAATAATTGAATTCTTGTGATAAATATTACTATTTACGAAAATAATTGAATTTTGCAAACAATTCTATTAAAATTTCTAAAAATAATTGAATTTTCCAAAAAGTTTTATTAAAATTTATGAAAGTCATTGAATTTGGCAAAGAGTTTTATCAAAATTTATGAAAATAATTGAATTTCTGCAATTTTAGTTAGAAATTTTACGAAGAATTTTTTTAAAATTCATGAAAATAATTAAATTTTGCAATGATTTTTAATAAAATTGCTAAAAATTGAATTTTGCAAAAAATGTTATTAAAATTCCTAAAAAAAATTGAATTTAGCAAAAACCTTTATATAAATTTATAAAAATAATTGAATTTTGTAGAGAGTTTTATTAAAATTCCTGAAAATAATTGAATTTTGTAAAGAGTTTTATTAAAATTTCTGAAAATATTTTATTTTTCCAAAAAGTTTTATTAAAATTTATGAAAGTCATTAAAATTCATGAGAATAATTGAATTTTATTTAAATTTATGAAAATAATTGAATTTTGCAAAGAGTTTTATCAAAATTTATGAAAATAATTGAATTTCTGCAATTTTAGTAAAATTCCTTAAAATAATTGAATTTTGCGAAGAATTTTTTTAAAATTCATGAAAATAATTGAATTTTGTAATGAATTTCAATACAATTGCTAAAAATTGAATTTTGCAAAAGATTTTATTAAAATTCCTGAAAATAATTGAATTTAGCAAAAAACTTTATCTAAATTTATAAAAATAATTTAATGTTGCAGAGATTTTTTAAAATCTCTGAAAATAATTGAATTTTGTAAAGATTTTTATTAAAATTCATGAGAATAATTGAATTTTGAAATGAATTTTAATAAAATTCCTGAAAATAATTGAATTTAGCAATGAATTTTAATCAAAATGCTGAAAATAATTGAATTTTGCAAAGATTTTTATTTAAATACCTAAAAATATTTGAATTATTTCGAACAAATTTGTAAACAATTGAATTATTGTAAAATTATTATTATTTTATGAATATAATAAATGGTTTGCGTAAAATTTTATTCAATTTTTGTTTAAATAATTGAATTCTTTTGGAAATTTTTATTAAAATTTAGTAGATATTGAAAATCATTGAATTGAGGTAGAATTTTGCTAATAATTGAATTATTATTAAACTTTTTGAAAATAATAGAATGTCGGAGAAGAATTGTATAATTTATAAAGATTATGATTGAAATTTTGACGAGAACTTTGTAGAATTCAAAACAGAAATTCAGAATTTTCATATGAATTCTAAAAATTTTTTTTTTCAGTAGTTTTAATAAAAACCCCTGATTTTTTCCCAGACCAATTCTACTTTTCCTGATTTTCTCTTGAATTCTCTGATTTCCCTAACCTGTGGTAACCCTGAAATAGAATAAAATAAATAAATAAGTAAAATAAATAGATAAGTAAAATAAAGAAATAAGTAAAATAAATAAGTAAAATAAATAAATAAGTAAAATAAATAAATAAAATAAAATAAATAGAACTAAAAGAATATTTTTCTCTGACAAATGTTTTTTTCTAGGTATGTTCACTACGAAGTAGACAGTCTGTCTCCTCAACAACAAAGGGAACAAAATCACGTACCACTAGACAACGATGGAAATAATTCAACGAACGCTGAGACAAGTACAACCAGCACAAGTACAAACTGCAGTACTGGCAGTGAATTAACACTCTATCCACCCCAATGGATTCAATGTGATCTTCGCTATTTGGACATGACAGTTTTGGGTAAATTCGCCGTGATAATGGCCGACCCACCCTGGGACATTCATATGGAACTTCCCTATGGGACAATGTCAGACGATGAAATGCGACAATTGGGAATTCCAGCACTTCAAGACGAGGGTCTATTGTTTCTCTGGGTCACTGGTCGTGCGATGGAATTGGGTCGTGAATGTCTGCAATTGTGGGGCTACGAGAGAGTCGACGAAATAATTTGGGTGAAAACAAATCAATTGCAGCGAATCATTCGCACTGGACGCACGGGTCACTGGCTAAATCACGGCAAGGAACATTGTCTCGTTGGAATGAAGGGAAATCCACGTATTAATCGTGGACTGGACAGTGACGTAATTGTCGCCGAAGTGAGAGCGACGAGTCATAAACCCGATGAAATTTACGGTATAATCGAACGCATGAGTCCTGGAACGAGGAAAATTGAATTATTCGGTCGTCCCCATAATGTACAACCAAATTGGATAACACTCGGCAATCAAGTGAATGGCATTCGTCTCATTGATCCACAACTTATAAAAGCATTTAAAAAACGTTATCCCGATGGAAATTACATGAAACCCTGCAAAGTTTAGAATTTTTATTCACTTTTTTTTATAATCAAAATAATTGTAAAGCATTCAAAATTATTTTTAATCTGTAAAAAAGACTAGAAATGTAAAAATTTGTAAGTAAACGCGAAAATTTTATTTTAAAAAAAAATCTTATAAAACTTTTGTTAAAAGTGAAATATATACTTTTATTAAAGTAGAAAAATTATTTTAAATACGAAATTAGATATTTAAAAATCCCTAGAAATCCTGAAAATAATTGAATTTTGTAAGGAGTCTTATTAAAATTCATGAAAATAATTAAATTTTGTTGAGGAATTTTCTTAAAATATTAGATATTAAAAATCGTTTGATTAAGAAAATTTTTAAAATTTAACTGAAATATTGACAAGAATTTTATTAATATTTTTGAAATAATTGAATTTCGGAGAAGAATTTTGCTATTTATAATAATAATTAAAATCTTAACGATGATATTTAAAAAAAATTTTAAAATATGTAATTGTATTTCTACGATGAATTTTATAACTTTTAAAAAAAATTAAATTCTTTTAATGAGTATTGCTATATGAAAATAATTAAATTTTGCAAAGAATTGTATTAAAATTTCTAAAAATAAATGAATTTTCCAAAAAGTTTTATTAAAATTTATGAAAATCATTGAATTTTGCAAAGAGTTTTATTAAAATTCATGACAATAATTAAGTTTTAGCAAATAATTGAATTTAGAAAAATTTTATTCAAATTCCTGATAACTGAATTTTGCAATGAATTTTAATAAAATTCCTGGAAATAATTAAATTTTGCAGAAAGTTTTAGTAAAATTTATGAAATTCATTGAATTTTGCAAAAAATTTTATTAAAATTTATGAAAATCATTGAATGTTGCAAAGAATTTCATTAAAATTCCTGAAAATTATTGAATTTTGCAATAAATTTTAACAAAATTCCTGAAAATTAAATTTTGCAAAAGATTGTATTAAAATTTCTAAAAATAATTGAATTTTGCAAAGAGTTTTATTAAAATTCCTAAAAATAATTAAATTTTGCAATGAATTTTATTGAAATTTCTGAAAATAATTGAATTTTGAGAAGAGTTTTATTAAAATTCATGAAAATAATTTAATTTTTAATTAATTTTAATACAATTCCTGAAAATAATTGAATTTTGTAAAAAGTATTATTAAAATTTCTTAAAATAATTGAATTTTGCAATGGATTTTAATGAAATTCCTGAAAATAATTGAATTTCTGCAATTTTAGTATAATTCCTTAAAATAATTGAATTTTGCAAAGAATTTTTTTTTAATTCATGAAAATAATTGAATTCTGCAATAAATTTTTTAACAATTCCTGAAAATTGAATTTTGCAATAAAATATTATTAAAATTTCTGAAAATAATTGAATTTTGTAAAAAGTATTATTATAAATCGTTAAAATAATTGAATTTGGCAATGAATTTTATTGAAATTTCTGAAAATAATTGAATTTTGAGAAGAGCTTTATTAAAATTTATGAGAATCATTGAATTTTACAAAGAATTTTATTAAATATCCTGAAAATAATTGAATTTTTGCAATTTCAGTTAAATTAATTTATGTAATTGAATTTTGCAAAGAATTTTAATACAATTCCTGAAAATTAAATGTTGCAAAAGATTTTATTCAAATTCCTTAAAATAATTGAATTTTGCGAAAAGTTTTATTAAAATTCATGAAAATAATTGAATTATGCAATGAATTTTAATAAAATTCCTAAAAATAATTGAATTTTCTGCAATTTTAGTATAATTCCTTAAAATAATTAACTTTTGCGAAGAATTTTCTTAAAATACTGGAAAATAATTGAATTTTGCAATGAATTTTAATACAATTGCTAAAAATTGAATTTTACAAAAAATTTTATTAAAATTCCTGAAAATAATTAAAATTTGCAAAGAATTTTATTAAAATTATAAAACTTTTGTTAAAAGTGAAATATATACTTTTATTAAAGTAGAAAAATTATTTTAAATACAAAGTTAGATATTTAAAAGTCCCTGGACTTTTAGGGATAATATACAATGGGAAGATTAAACGTAATTTTCAATACATACCTTTTTTTACTATAAAAATGTCCGTTAAAAAAGTTCTTGACAATTTATTGTCTCTTTTTACGAGTTACAAAACTTTTTAGATAAAAAAGTTGAATTCCTTACTCCTTAAAAGTAGTTATAAAAAATAATTTATCTATACTAGATAGTAATTTATAAAAAAAAATGAAAAATTACGAAGTATCGGTATTTAATTTTGGTCTCAGTAAATTTCTTCTTAACGTGAAAGAAAAGTTATTTTCCCTCACCATTTCTTTTGTTCGCTTTTTTAAATCAACTTTTTGAAAGTGATTTGCATTTTCCTTTTCAATTGCAATTTCCATTTCTTTCAATGAAAATCTAAAGACTCTTTTCAGTGCATCAATCCAATGTCTCTTTTGATGTTCATCGTCCACGTATAAATTATGTTTGCCCACTTTAAATCCTGATGAATTTTGACTCGTCGAGTCAATGTCTTGACAGAATTCTTTGCTCGTTACAATTGGAAAGGAGATATTATATTTTCTTACTGATCGTCTTATGGGTCTTGTCATTGCCAAACAAGTGTCAAACAAAAAGCAATGATATTTCTAAAAAAAAAATTTAATCAATTAGGTATAAACTAATTAGATTGGGAAGAAAAGAGGAAAATTGATTTTCTTTTACCATTCCGCGAGAATCGCGAAGTTGTCCCTCGGTTATTAATTGAGCAGCGTTTTCAACGCACTTGTCCGGATCGAATTCACCCTTTGGATTAATTTTCGTCTTTGCTAATTGACATTCGGCATCGCCCATTGCTTTATCAATTTCATTTAATAATTTCAATAAAATTTCACGCGATTCTTTTAGAGAAATTTCATCTGGATGACCGGACGGCGTGTGTTTGAGAATTTCTTTCACTAAAAGTGGATATTTAACGACACGTGATCTTGGTACATCCAAATACGTCCACAAATCAACAGCGTGTGATGTTTCTAATTTTTTCTTTATAAATTCCTGAAATCGTTTATTTGTAAGTTTCCTCGATTCAAGCAAATGTCTGGCCCAAATTTGCTTTCTGCATCTTTCAATATACAAAGTTTCCAATTGCAAAAACTGTAAAAAAAAAAAGAAATCGAATTAATTTTTACAATTAAGATTTAATTTGAGAAGAATAATATTTGAGAAAAATAATTTTTATACCCAATTGATTATTGTCGGTCCAACGATATCAGTAAAACCAGACTGATCGCGCAACTTAACCAAATTGTCCCTTAATTCGCTGTGCAATTCAATGAAACTGTCAATATTTCCGAAAAGTGTGTCAAGTTCGGAAGTATTAAAAATATCGAGAGAGAGAAGGGGATCGTAGTAGGATTCTCTCAGAGCTGAAAGATCATTTAAAAGGACATTCTCACCACAATATAATTCATAGATTGCCTCTTGTCTCTTTACTTCCCTGCGACTTAAGGTTGAACTCAAATCTTTTAGATTGCTTACTGCGATGTCAACCATCCAACTGCGAATTGCCACATTACCAGCCAATTCGTTTCTGTAAAACAATTAGGAAAATTAAATAATCAGAAAAAATCGAATAGAAGAATAGGCTTCGCACTCATCTACTAAAACCTATTTACTATTTACTACTTTTCTTACGATTAGTTACTATATGGATACTTTTTTTTAAATTTGTGACACTAAAAGCAACTTATTCCTATTTTTTTTTAATTTTCACGAGTTTAAATTCGCTAATAGTTGGAATAAAAAAAATTATTCTTGAAAATTTTAATAAAATTCTTCTTAGAAACAATTATTTTCAGGAATTTTAATAAAATTCATTGCAAAATTTAATTATTTTTAGGAACTTTCTCGAAAATCTTTTGCAAGAATTCAATTATTTTCACAAATAATGAAATTCTTTGATGAAATTCAAATATTTTCAAAATCTACTATTTTAATAAAATTTCTCAAAAGAATTCAATTATTTTGAAAAAATGTAATCAAAATTCGTTGCAAGAATTCAATTATTTTCATAAATAAATGAAAATCATTTATTTTTTTAAAAATTGAATAAAAATTCATTGCGAGACTTTAATTATTTTCTGAATATTAAAATTCTTTACAGAGTATCGATTATTTATAATACGATTTTAAGTAAATTCTTCAAAAAATGTAATTAATTTCAAAAATTTTATTAAAATTCTTCAGAAAGAAATAAATTAACAATTATTCATTATTTTTAATAATTTTTGCAAAAGTTTACAATTTAATTTTACAAAATTTAGATTATTCGAAAATTCTTCAATTAAATATGTAGAAAATAAAAAATTAAAATAATTTAAATAAAAAATTCATTTAAACTTTTTCAAAACTCAATTATTTGTAAAAATTCATGCTATCATGCTTTTAATATTTAATTATTATCTAAAATACAAACTGAACTTCATTTTTAAATCAATATTTATTAGAAAATTCTACGAGAATTCAATTATTTAATATTATAAAAATAAATATTTTATTATATCGAATGTTTCTTAAAAATGAATTTTCATAAAGAATTTTATCAACAAATTTTTAAATAATTTTGAATTCTCTTGACAAATTTTAATAAAATTTTTAAGAATAATTGCATTTTCCGAGAAATTTGATGAAAATTGTATTAATAAATTGAAACTGAAATTCTGCCAAGAATTTTATTAAAATTTTTAAAAATAATTGAGTTTCGGAGAAAAATTTTATTATTTATAAAGATAATTGAAAATCTGACGAGAATTTTTGTAAATTTTTTAACATAATTGAATTTCTGCGAAGAATTTCATTAAAATTTTTGAAAACAATTTAATTTTTTGAAGAAATTTAATTAAACCTGTATTAAAAATAATACTTAAATTCTAATAAATAAATTGTAGTAAAGGTTTTTAAAATAATTGAATTTTCTTTGATAAATTTTAACATAATTTTTAACAATAATTACATTTTTCGAGGAATTCCATTAAAATTGCATTAAAAATAATTGAAAGTCTGCGATGAGTTTTAATATTTATGAAAATAATGAAATGTTAGCGTAGAATTTTATTAAAAATTTTTTTATCTAATTGAATTTTTTTGGGGGATAAGAATTTTATTTTTGAAAATAATTGAATTTTTGCAATCATTTGTAATTGCTTCAAAATTCAATTTCTTTTAAATTTTCATAAAATGAAAAGGAGAATTGAATTATTTTTTCAAATTATAACATTTTTTCCCAGGAATTGAGTGATTTAAAAAAAAGTTCAAATTTCATCCTTCTTAACAGTTAACGTTAACCTTTCAGAAAAAATACTTTTTCCGAACAAAAGTCAAAGTGTTTCCAAATGTTAAAGGAAACCATAAATTGAAATATAACCTGACCAGATGTTTAAAGAACGGCCTTTTAAGGGTACGGTCGAGAGTGCAATATACACATTCTAAAATGTGTTCAAACAATAGCAACGTTAATTTTCATTTGCAAATGAATAATAAATAAAACAATAAATAAACATTATTAACAATTATAAATAATTAATATCTTAATATTATTATAATAAATATTAATTGTTTATAAAATAATTAATAACAAATAAATACCCACAAAAAATAAATAAAAGCAATAAACCAATAATAATTCACAAATTATTAATAACAATTTATCAAAAATAAATGATCATAAAATAGAAATAAATAATTAAAAAATGCGACAATTACGTTAAAAATAAAAATTCAAAAACCTACATACATTTAAAAATTACTACGCTATAAAAATTATTGTAAAATTATTATTAACTAGATTTATAATAATATTTTGTAAACTCTCAAGAACGTGAGATAATATCCCTACCAACTCGAAAACATAGAAATAATATCCCTACTATTTTAGAAAGAGACACTGACCTAGGATACAACCAAGAAGACTCAGCCTCTTTATGAGGGTTGGTTCAAGAAGAGCCAATCCCGAAACGACAGAATCAAATCTATTAACTTTTTACCAATCTGCTAATTAGTCAGCCTCTTATTTCCATTTCCCTAAAAATATTTTCCAAAATTCTGGAAATTCCCAAAAACCTTAGTGGGGACAATATCTTATAAATAGTGTCCTCACAATACAAGTCAGTTAAAAAATCAGTCACTTGTCACTTCTCAGTTTCAAGTTTGAAAAGTATCTCAAACATACATCCAATTCTAGAAAAAGTTTTAATTCCATTTGAAAAGTAGTGCGTGTTCTAAATATAGAAAATGTCAAGTCTTATTTACAAGTGTTAAAAATAAAATTCGAATTTAACAAAAATATTATTTCACGTTTTGGGAATAGAAACAAGTTTTACATAATTTAAAATAAAAAGTGAGTAAAATTCAAAATTATAATTATTCTTTAAAATCATCTTTCTCTTAAAAATACCTGATTCCTAAAATATTTTAACCCGTGTTACAGAAAACTGTTAGTTGCTATACTTAATTGGTGGTATTTTCTTGTTTTCATTCCTTTTAAACTCAAAATCCTAAAACCAACACTAAAACAAAATTAAACTTGAAGTTTAAATATTAATAATATTAATTTATTTAATAAATAGAATTTAAAATAATTATGTTTAGTCCATAGGACGTACCTAACAATTTAATAAAATTAGTTGCAGGAATTCAATTATTTTTTATAAATAATAAAATCTGTTGCGGGAATTGAATTAATTTTTATAAATAATAAAATTCGTTCCAAGAATTCAATTTCTTTTCTAAATAATAAAATTTTTTTTAGTCAGTTCAAATATTAGCTAATTTTTTAACTCCTTTTTTCAGTCCTAAAGCTACTTTTTTAAAATAAACTATTGAGTACAAAGCCTGGAAGAAGAAAAAAATTTAGTAATTATTACGCACTGTTTTAATGTGGTATTGTGAGTGTCCACATCAGTTCCAGGAAAAGACAAAAAAGAAGCATCTAATTGATTATTACTTGCTCTTTTACGCTTTTTTTCCGATCCGGAAACTGACGGCAGTGAGAAAAATATATTACTGGCAACTTCAGTAATTCTTCGTCGCTTCTTCTTTCCACACACGGAATCGATGGAAATGTCCATTGAACTAATACTGATAGCATCGCTTTTCGGACGCTTTCTGGATCTCTAATTAAAAAAAAAGTTGCTATTTTAAATTACTTTTTTCTTTAAAATCAAACATTATAATTCCATCTCGCTTTTCTTCGAATTAAGCAAAAAATAAGCATAAACGATACAAGAACTAGATTTATTTCCATATTGACTACATTGTCATTAGCATAATTTAATAACGAATTTTTAACATCTTAATTTGATGTTAAAAATTATATTAAGCAATAAAACGATTGCATTCTGACAAAAATGCGATTGTTATTAAAAAAAAAATGCTCACGTTTAAAAATCTTCATTGTTCCTTATTTACATTTCGAAACTTTGGAGCAACAATTTGTCTGGATGTATTCTTGCGAAATTTAAACACTCCACTTTATTTAATTTAATTTTAACACTTTAGTTTTCATCAATCATCTCAGTAACAAATATGTAGTTGGAACAATAAGAATTAAGATGTCAAAAGGTAAACTCAAATTCTGTTAAAAAGTTTCTACAAAAAATGGATATAAACAATGAAAGGTAAAGTTGAATTTACTTACCAGCCAAAAACGTTTTTTAGGCTCTTGGAATTTTTCCAAAATTGACACGTCCCCGGTTTCATTCATGATTTATATCCTATACTTAAAATACTTCAAATTTGTCAAATTTAACCAAAATTGGAATGTAAACCAACGCTATTTGTTGTTGACTAAAAATCCCTGTTTTGCCATTTTCTTTAGACAATTGTAATAGATATTCATATAGGTAAATAATAAAGGTAAATATTTTTACTTAAAATGAAAAATAAAGTATAGAATTGTAAACAAAAGCGTGCAAAATGCACCTCCTTTTGTTAACCGGTTTATCCAAACGATTCAAACTTTTTGAAGGTTATTGGCTTTTTTTCCTTTCACTCTCTCTCTCTCTCTCTTGAACGAGGCATGAATAAAGTAAACTAGACGAGAAACTACACTTTAAAAAACACAAAGGAAATCAAGTGAATGATACTTTAGAAATAGGCAAAAGGACCAATAGAAACACGCTATTTTCTGACGTGTACATATTACGCTATTTTTAGCAATTCTTAGCTTCCCAACCCTGGTGAATATTGCAACAAAAGCAACAAAATAAATGTAATAGTTAATTTATGCCAAATGTATTTTGCTTTTTTCCAATTTTCGAAGTGTATTTATTTATTTATTTTTTCTAATTGTTCAACAAGTGTTATCGTAGTTGATAATTTTCATTAAATTCAATTGCTAGATATGATAGTTCTGTAGATTTCTGGAAAACAGCCGGTGACCGTTAGACGGTTAGAAACACAACGCGTGGTTAAATGAGATTTGTTTATATTTATGTGATATTTTCAAAATGTTCATTTTCTCAGTGATATAATTCTATACTGCCTGAAATAGAAATATAATCGGAAATTTGTATTATTAATTATCATTACTATTAAGTAAGTAAATTTTGAAAATTTTTTCAAAATATCTAAAACTATTTTTGCAATATGGTTGGATGTCGTCAATTTTTTGTTTTATTTGAACTAATCAATAAATTATATATGTATTTTGCCTGGATTGGAAAAATATTAATTCTAAAAATCTAGAAAAAAATGGATATTTGTTTATTAATATATTTATGTTGCAATATTTCTTTTGTTTCATAAATTCAATTTCTTTTTTTCCTTTTTATAATTAATAATAATTACGAAAAAATGAACGTTATCGGTTGATAAGAATCCATTGTTCTTGAATCATTTGTTTTTTTAAAGAAAAATATCAACGATGACTAATTTTTATTTCTAGGTAATAAATTCTGCAAACATTTAGTGATAATAAAACTAGATGGTATGGAATACAATTATTTTGCTGGATGTCCACGATTCACATCTATGAATGATGATTATTCATATGATAGTGAAAGTGATATATCTTTAGACGATTCGGACAATACATGCGAATCAATTTCCGAATTTGATTCAATGGAGAAAGTGGAGAAAGTTTATGTTTGCGATTATGACAAAATTTATATTTCCATTTATGATGATATCGAAAAGTATAGAGCTTTAAAGCAATCAAAGAAAAAAAATACTTCTTCAAATTGGAACGATGTTAATGTTATTTTACCTGATGGAACAAAAACAAATATTAAAAATGCGCCAGAAATTCTTTATAAAAATTTTAATGGTACAATTAGACCTTCTGAGCAAGTAGAAAATGATGTTGATGATGTCATCCAAGCGAAACCAATTGTCGTTACAAATAATCATAATACTCCATCCGCGAAAGAAAAGAATGAAATTAATTCATCGAAAAAAGAAACTCTACCCAATAAAGAAATAAAAGTTGAAAAATTGTCCAAAAAGAAATTAAAGAAACAACGACAGAAAGAAAAGAAGGAGAAACAAAATCAAGTTGAAAAAACTAAAGATGTAAAAATTGAGAAATCAGAGGAAGTTAATAAAACAAATTCTAAAACAAATCATAAGTCGAAGGATAATTGTAAAAATGAAGACGATCACGATGGACCAATTAGCAATAACAACAACAACAACAACAATAATAATAATAATAAATCGAAAAATAACTCTAGTGTTGATAGTGAAAAAACTGTTACCGAAATGGAAGAAACTGACGATACTGGTGACGAACAAAATTTATTGGATGAAAATACGGCTTTTATTAGCAATGCATTGAAAAAATCGGAAAAAAAAGAATCTGCAAAGGGAAAGAAAAATGTTGATTCAAAGGCAGAGAAGAATAAAAAATCAACAATTAAACCAACTTTACCGAAGGAGAATAATACTGTTAAGAAAGATATTCCTAAACCTGTACCTTTACTTAGTCTACCGATGAACTTACCGAGCACAAGTGGACTTCAATCAAACTCATCAGGAATGGTAAATTAATCATTTATTTAAATTTTTTATTTTCTTTTTTAAAAATAAATTTTAATCTTTTAAATTTTTACAGAAGAAGTCAAAACTCACTGCAAATGATTATAAAGAATCGATAGCTCTAGGAAAAAAAGCAGTTGCTTTCCTTATGGCAAACGAAATTAAGAAAGCAATTCAATTTTTAAACGAATCCATAAATTTAAATGGTCACGAATTAAGACATTATCTAAACAGAAGTTTTTGCTTCTTACGATTAGGTGAATATAGAAAGTAAGTATTTTTTTAAACAAAATTTCGTCAAGTATTTAAAGTAAAAAAAATGTGATTACAAAACTTTCTTTTTTTTCTAGGTCTTTAAAAGATTCCGAATTTGTCATAATGACAACTAATGATAGTGAATTATTAGTAACAGCAAAATTTCGCGCTGGTCAAGCGTACTGTGGATTGCAAGTATGTTTTTTAAATTTTTTGTTCTCAAAATTGTCAACAATTAAGTAATTTGAAAATAATTTATTTGCAAAAGCAAAGGAATTTATTTTTATTTATTTATTACTATTGATTTTTGTTACAGAATTTTAAAGAGGCCGAAAAAAATCTAAATGAAGCTCATAATCTTCATCCAACGAATTCGGCTATTTTTGAGGAATTGCTGCGTGTTAAAGTGTTACAATTATTATCAATGGGTTTTCGAGAAAGAGATATATTAGAGATACTTTATCAATGTCCTTCTGTCGAGGTAAATATTTATCTTAATTTAAAAAGCAGACTTCATACTAATCTACTAAAACACCAACTATTTACTACTTTTTTTACGATTTGATACTACTTGAACACTTTTTTTTAGATTTGTGACACTAAAAGCTACATTTTTCATTATTTTTTTTCGAGAATTTGCACTACTTTAAATTTTCTAAAAGTTGAAATAAAAATTCAAAAATTTCAATAAAGTTCTTAGAAACGATTCAATTACAATTTTCAAACTCAATTATTTTCATTATCTACTATTTTAATAAAATTTTTCAATAGAATTCAATTATTTAAACAAAATTACAATAAAAATTTCACAGGCATTCAGTAACTTAACAATTTTTTATTTTCTTTGAACCAATTCAATTATTTTTAACTTTTTAATGAAGTTTCTCGAAAGAATTCAAATATATTCAGAGAATTGAAAAAAATAGTTCTGAGAAATTCAATAGTTTCAAAAAATTTTGATAAAATGCTTTATAAATTTGAAAAATTAGAATAAACCTGATCATAGAATACAATTATTTTTGTAAAATATAACATTCTTCCTAGGAATACAATTATTGTCAAAAAAGTTTATAATAATCTTCAAAACAATTCAATTATTTTCGTAAAAAATAAAATTCTTCGAAGAAATTCAGTTATTTAAGAAATTTTAATAAAATTCTTCCCAAGAATTCAATTCTTTTAAAAAAAATAAACATTCTCACAAGAATTCAATTATTAAAGAAAAATTTAATAAATTTCTTCGTCAGATTTCAATTATTTTCAATTTTTTAAATGAAATTTCTCGATGGAATTGAATTATTTTCAAAATGTTTTAAAAAATTCTGAAAAATTTAATTTTGTTTTAAAAAATTTGAATAAAATTCTTCACAAGAAATTAATTATTTTCATAAATAATAATATTTTTTTCCGGAATTAAATTATTTTCACAAATAAAATTCTTTACAGGAATTTAATTATTTTCATAAAAATAACAAAACTTATCGCAGAATTTAATTTATTTTTTATATAATTTTAAATAAAGTGATAGAAAATTGCATTTATTCTACAAAATTTCTTTTGAAATTCGCCGAAAGAATTCAATTATTTTTAAAAATTTTGATAAAATTCTTCATAAAAATTCAATTTTAAAAAATATTCAATTACTTATACTGTATTTTTGTATTCAAATAATTGAAATCTCGTAGAATTTTCTAATAGAAATTGATTAAAAAATAAATTTCACTTAAAATTTTAAATTACCTATATAATTGAATATTAAAATTTTTACACGAATTCAATTATTTAAAATACAATTTTTATTAAATTTTTTCATAAAAAAAGATTCAATTATTTAAAAGAACTTTTATAATATTTTTCATAGTAATTCAATTATTTTTAATACAATTTTCCAAAAGAATTCAATTATTTAAAAGAATTTTATTAAAATTCTTAGCAAACATTAAATGATTTTCAAGATTAATAAAATTTTCACACGAATTCAATTACATATTTAAAATACAATTTTATAAAAAAAAATTCAATTATTTAAAAGAATTTTTATAAAATTCTTCGCGAGAATTCCATTACTTTGAATATAATTTAAATACAATTTTTTGCAGAAATTCATTTTCACGAATAATAAAATTTTCACAGGTATTCAATTACTATTTAAAATACAATTTTCATAAAATTTTTCGAATTCAATTATTTTAAGAATTTTTTGATAAAATTCTTTATAAACATTCAATTTTCAGAAATATTCGATTATTCTATTAATTATTCAATTTTCTTCATTCAAATAATTGATTTCTTTTGAAAAATTGCAATTTAGTTTTAAAGATAGTTAATTCTCGTAAATAATTTAAAAAAATTAAATTATATTTTATTTGCAATTTTTGTCAAATGTAATTGAAATTTTTATATTTCAAAATTTTTTTTTTATTTTACTTTTCAAAATTATTTTTAAATATCGTATTTTTGAAGAATTTCAAATTAATATTTAGAAAATTGTTTGGAAAAATTTAGAATTGAAGTTATTAGCAGTATAAGAAGAAAGGTAAATATTTCTGATGAAAATTATAAAAGAATACAGAATAAAATTTTTGTGAATTTTATGAATTTTATGAATCGTTTAAAACGAGTTTTTTGTCGTCAAATTGAATTTTTTAATAGATACTTTTTTTTTACTATTTTTTTCGTTCTTAGAGCTATTTTTTTAATTATCGAGTGCGAAGCCTAAAAGTAATAAATTAACAAATGAATATTTCATTTTGTTCCATTGTAATTTAATTATAATATTGACAATAACTTTCTTTAATTTAAATTTGCAGGGTGCTGTTTCATTATTAGCTGAGAAAACACAAACGGAAGAATGTAATGATTTTATTATTAAAAACGAGGACGAGATTGATATATATAACTCAGATGACGAGGATAGTCCTTGTCTAACTCGAATGTTTCGTAAATTATCAAATTATCAGCAAAGTTTTATAAAAAAAGTGACTTTACCATCACCTAGGTAATATTTTCGTTTTTATTCTTTAAAGTATCATCTTTTCAAAAAAGAAATAATTAATTTAAAAAAGAAATAAGGTTTTTACAACTTGAGTAGGTATTTTTATTCTTTTCAAAATTATAATTGCAGTATTTCTGTTTTAGTCCTGCAAAAACTATTCCTCAGCCTCTGAAAGTTCCAATTATCAAAACAGTAGCTGCGATTCACCCAAAATTGCCTCCCTCTAAAGATGTGAATGACAAAGCAATTTGGATTGGAAATACAACTTCAAGTATAACTGATGCATCTATAAAGAAGGTTTTTTCCAGGTATGATTATCAAACTTTAGAATAATTTTTTTTTAATTTTCCTGCAATTATCAAAAAAAAAATAATACTACAATTTATTCTTTTCTTTTGAAAAAAAATATTTTATTTCATTTTACATAAAATCAGATTCTAATAAATAGAAAATTAGATTTTTTCCTAAAAATATAAAATTGAAAGTTTTTAACTTGTCAATAAAGAAATATTAATTATTTCAGGTTTGGAAAAATTGACTCAATATATAGAAAGCCGAATGAAAATTACACTTTTATAAATTTCAAAGATTCAACATCGGTGAGGGATTTATTATCAGCAAATCAATATGTTGAAGTTGATAATTTCAAATTGCCAATTAAATCTGCAACTCGCAAGTAAAGAGAAAAGAAAATTTTTCAGTTTTGCAAAACAAACAAAAAAATTTGCAAAATTCCAAACATTTTTCTTTTGCGTCTTTAAAATCGTTTTCTTTAAATTTACTACTAACATTAAAAGTTAATTTCTCTAACTTTAACAATTTATATGATGCAGTCGTTCTTGTTTATCAATAATTTAATGACTCTTCAATAACATTCATTGTGAGATTCATACAAATGATAAAACCTTTTTTCATTTGTCGATATTATTCAGTATTTGTTAATATTTCTCTTTTTCCATTTCTTCAGTATTGAATTAATTATATAAACAAACTGCCGAATTTTAATCATAAAACATGAGCAAGATAAAAATGATTATTGTAATGAGTACCAATTTATTCATATAAACACATATTTATAAATAATGCTCAAAAAAAAGAGGATGTTCGATTGTAAAACTTAATTCTGACTGACTAACTGAATAGTTTTCCATTACACATAATATTAAACATTTTTCTACGGGTTGTTATTAATATTTGCTCTTTTGCATAAAAAAAAAGTGTGCGTAAAATTTCTCTGCAGTTTTATTTTTTTAAACAAGCAAACCTCTTTGTAAACTTTCAAGAATGAAGTGAATTTATTTTCAATAAATAAGAATTTATAGAAGATAAGAAATAACACATAAGGGAGTAAAGAAAATGTATTCCAAGAGTTTTATACTTAAATAATAGTTAAGTTTAAGAAATTTTTTATATACCGATTAACAAGTGATAATAAATTTTACTTTTTCTTCAAAACTTATAAATTCTCTTTCTTTAAATTTCAAATAAAATGAAACTAGTCAGCAATAAAAGAAATGTTTCTTTTAAAAGAAAATTTCTTTCTGTAAAACTATAGTTTTAATTTTTTTTTTAAATTGTGAAAAAATATTTGTTTTATTATTAATATGTTAAAATTTCGTTAAAATTTTTTGCATTTGTAGTTTGACACATTCTATACCAATTTGGATCGCGAGTTAAACTTGAGGCATCACGCCTGTAAAATGAAGTTTGAATAATCGATCGAATTCCCACTTCGGATAAAGGAATTGGCGGATAATTCTTTAAATGCCATCCAATTTCCCAACTTGAACATTCTTGATAATTGAAACGTTCTACAGGTTTCTCTTTGTATCTGAGGAAAAATTTTTAATACAATTCATACCAAAAAAAAAGATCTTTTTGCCAAAAAATCAAAATATTAATTTTTTTTAACTCAGAAAATTAATTGCAATAATTTTTTGGAGGATTCATTTTACCTTTCTCGAAAGTAATTATTAGTGGCAGCATAAGACTCAACTCCAGATTCGTAGAGAATATTTTTCACTTTTAAATCAACTGGTTTCATGAAACTAAGATTAATTGTATCTTTTTCCTCGTGTTTATCAGATTTTTCTATTTTTCTTTTTATCTGCGGAAATAAAAAACGAGATAAAATTGAAATGTTTTTTTGTCCAAAGAGAAAGAAAAATATTAAGTACAAACAGTTTTCTTTTTTTTCTCAAAGTGCTTTTTCGATGAACATTTCTTTGATTGTTGTTTTAATTCTTCAAGTTTTTTATCTTCTAATTTTAAATTTTCCAATAGGAGATCTTGATTTTTTTTGTACCACCTTCTTCGCATATCGTCTTCATTTTTAATGACCGAAGTCCAAAAAGCTTGACAACGAATGTCACAGACTCCTCCTCTTTGAAGCATGATTATTTTTCTAAATTGCAGAATTTTTTTACGATTTTTGATTTTTTTATTTACACCATTTTAATTTTGAATTGAAAGAAAACGAAAAAAATTAGGTTAGAGAGACGACTGACAATTGCCAATCGATCTGGAAAAAATGTTTAACAATAAAAAAAATATTCTTTTTTTTAACTAAAACCTTTTAAAGTTCATCTACTTACTGAAAATTGTAAACGCAATTCTTTTAAAATTGAATTAATTTTGAAATATTTAAGTGAAATTAGATTTCAAGAATAAACACAATAACTTTTGAAAACAACAGTTTTACAGGATTTCGATCAAAATTCCCTGACTTTTCCAGGTTTTTCATGTTTCCAGGTTGCATAGCAACTCTGAGTAGTTACTATAATTATATTATTTAAATACATTTTATAAAATTTATTTATTTATTAAATTTATTTATCATACTCTTTTCTTAACTAAAAAAACAAAAAACAAAAAATAAAACTAAAAGTATTAACTAATAAATATACAAATCAAAGATTGTAAAAAGTTTTAAAAAAAAGTTTGTTTGATAGAAAAAATTCCTTTTTGACTTGATTAATAAATATTATGCTGGTAAACTTTCCAGTTGTACGAAATTATCATCATCCAAAATTTTGTATCTATCCCGTCGATAATTCACCAAATCGTCCAAAAATCGTTTACTGCTGTCATTATGAAGTTTCGTTAAAACAGAAGGCAAGGGTTTTATTTCTGCAGTCTCTGACAAATCTTGATAATATTCTCCCTGCTTTGGTCCCATCTGGTGAAACTGTTTAGTTTTGAATCCACGACTTATTTTTTCTTCTCTCTCACGATTTTCCTCAGCGAGCATTTCAGCCTTCGACGGTAATTGTTTCTCTTTTCTCCAATATTTCAAAGTGAAGCGCACCTTTTTTTCATTTCAAAAAATTAATTCATTTTCTTCATTCAAAATTTTTACAAGTTTCAAAAATAATTTTTTTTCATTCAAAATTTTTACAAATCTCAAAAATAATTTATGTTACAAATTAATTTATAGTAATTTAATTTATAAATTAATTAAAAATAATTTAATTTACAAATTAATTTAAAGTAATTTAATTTGTAAATTAATTGATAATAATTTAGTTTACAATTTAATTTATTAAACTAATTGAAAATAAATTGTAAAAATTGTTGTATTTTAATTATTTTGTCAATTTCTTGTAAATTACTTACTTGTAAATCAAACATGCTGAAAGCACAGACATAGAATGGAAGTCCAATAAATGCAAGACTTGGATTCTCTACTGCAATTAAATGTTTCCATAATGGTGTGACCATATTCGATTCAACTTTAACACCGCAAGATTTTGCCAGAAAAGGAAAGCTAAATTTGTAACCTGTTAAAAAATTACAATTTACAAGAGGTATGTAATCAAAATATTAATTCTAATATTTTTGTTTAATATTTATTTTATTTTTTTTTATTAATTTTTTACCAGTGCAATAGAATATAAAGTCGATTTTTTCCTCGGAATTGTCATTGAAAATCGCTTTGTCCCTTCCAAATTCCAAAACATCAGGTTTCTGAAAAACGATTTCTTAAAAATTAGAAAAAAATTAGTTATTAAAAGAATAATTCATTAGATTTTTTTTTGTTAAAAATGGAATAGAATAAAATTGTGTTGTATTATAAATACAATACCTGAATGACGTTATTTGGGAATTTCGTAAGAACGGGATCTTTCAAATGATGACTGAGTATCACTTTTTTTGCAACTGAAGATATTTCTAAAGCTAAATCCATTCCTGTATTGAAATATATTTTTTTATGTCATATTTTATAATAATTTAAATTTCCACAAAATTTTTCAATAAAAAAATTAAATTATTTACAAAAATTCTAATAATATCCTTCGCAAGAATTCAAAACAAGTAATACAATTTTAATAAAAAATTCAATTAAAATTTCAAAATTGAAATTGATCATGAAAAAGAATAAAAGAAAGAAAAATAACCTGATGGCCCAGCGCCCAAAATAACGACAGATTTTTCTTTAAATACGTCAGGAACTCGATAATCGTGACTGTGCATTTTCTCTCCAAAAAATGAATCATTGCCTTTGATTTTTGGAATACTCGGTTGAAAATAATGTCCATTGCAAACCATCACAGCGTCAAATATCTCCTCAATTACCACCTGATTTGATAGATTTTTCACTCTAACTCTCCATTTCTGATTATTGCCATTCTTCTCTTCATTAATTGGTTCCACTAATTCCACATTATGAAGAAACTAAAACCAAATTAAAAAATTTTATTAAAATATTATTTTCAAATTAAAAAATATTATTTTACTTATAAAAATAAATATGTCAGTAAAGCCGACAATTCATAATTTAAATATTTTTTTACTTTATAATGAGAAATTTATCTTGTTTTTATAATATATTTTCTGCTCTCGATTGTGGTTGCGGTTTATCTGATAGAAAAAAGCGACAAATAGATTTTCTTATTTACATATGCGAATTGCATCATACTTAGGTCATTTACCCTTTGAAGCTCTATAATTAATTTTCAATTAAAATCATCTACACTAATAATCGTAGTATTCCGGTAATCTGTTCGCAGTTTAAAGTTAGTTGTTTGTTTCCTAAATTTTTTAATAATTTTTCTTTTTAAATATTTTTTTCAATTTTAAAATAATTAATATATTGAAAATCATCGAATTCTTGCAAAGAATTTCATCAAAAAATTTGGGAATAATAGAATTTCTCCGAAGAATTTTATAATTTATGAAAATAATTGAATTCTTGACAAGAATTTTATTAAAATTTTTGAAAATGTTAATTTAATTCTTTTGAATTATAGAAAATAATTTAATTCTGTTGAATTATTTTATAACCAATTAAGAAAATTTTTACGAAAGAATGAATACTTTCGTAAAATTTTTTTTAAAAATAATTGAAATTTTGGAAAGGAATTTATTAATTATAAATATAATTAAATTGATTCAAAGTATTTATTCAAATTTTAGAAAATAATTGAATTTTCTCGAAAAATATTATTAAAAATTAAAAGGAAATTGAATGTTTGCGTAGAATTTTATTTAAATTCTTGAAAATAATAAACAAGAATAATTAATTAATAATTGAATTTTTTAAAAGTTAGAATCTCAAATTATTCAAAAATTCAATAAAGACGGATTTTTCAAATAAAACTTACAGAAATAAATTCCCTCAGTTGAAAATTATCACAATAAGAATTCAGAAAATCGACAATTTCCGAACGTGTCATGTAACTTTTTCCAATTTCCGGAATCGGGTAGTCCGGATATCCCATTACCTCCTTTGGAAGATTTGTTCTATTTCATTCAAAAACAGGCGAAGACAAATTAGTTTTTTTTTAATTTTACAAGTAAATTAATTAATTACCTAATAGCAATATTAAAAAATTAATTAATTATTTTTCTATTTAATAAAATTCATTCTACGGAATTCAACTATTGAAAAATACTTGATAAAATTCTTCAATTATTCTCATAAATACTATTCTTTGAAAGAATTCAATTATTTCCATAACTAATAAAAATTTTACGAGAATTCAATAAATAAATAAATTAATTAATAAGAAAATAAATAAATTAATTGATTAATAAGTAAATAAATAAATCATTTAATTAATTCAGTTAATTAATAATCATTCAATTAATTAATAATTCAGTTAATTATATTTGAGATAATTAAGAAAAATTTCTGAATATACAATACCTGAGATTTTTGTACATGCTTGAATGTATTGGCAATCCAAAACGATCTACACCTGTTTGTGGAGTATAAACCCAAGTGCCTCCGATTTTATCACTTTTTTCGAAACATTTTATTGTATATGATGAACCGTCTTCATTTTTTAATTCACTGCAATTTTTAAGCGCCGCAAGTCCTGCCGAACCTGCCCCAATTATTGCAATTCGCATTTTCTTTTCTTTCTGAAAAAAAATTTTTTTCTTAAAAATTAATTTTCTAAAGGAATTAAATTAAATAAAAACTTCTTACCATTTTAAATTGCTCCTTAGAAATTTTATTCAATTTTATTAATTTTATTAACAATTCAATAACATTAATAGCAATCGAATTAAATTTTGGTCAAAATTACTCAATTATATAAATTGATTCTTTTATTTTATTTAAACAATGTAGAACCAATTTTTTAAATGATTGTTAATATTTTATAGTATTTAAATTAAAAGAATTTGTAATTTGTAATTTTAAATTTATAATTTTTAATTTTAAATTCATAACTTTTAATTTATAATTTAAATATTGCCGAATTTTTTATTTTAATCCCATCGAATATTTTATCTAATTTATTAATTACTTCCACATAGAGGAAGTATTTATATTTAAAATAATTCAATTTGAGTTTGAAAAAAAATTACTGGTTTGATTTATTTTTCAATTTAATTAATTGTGAAAATTTGATGAACGAGAAAAGAAAATACAAAATACTTACAATATGCAAGAAATGTTAAGTGTCAAGATAAAGATGAACAAAAAAAAGAAATTTGGAAGAAACGCGTCCAGTGCAAGACTGATAGTGGATAATGTCGTACGAGATCCCATTTACAGAAAAGTCCCCTCCCCACGAATATAATCAAACTTAAATATTTTTCAAAGCATTCTGATTGCGAGTTGACCTTTACGCTCTCCCACTATATTCATCCACTTGATCCATTTCTGGAAATTGGAAAGTTAAATTTCCAAATAGTACACACGGAAATAGTTTTTCTCTAGGTCACAATTTTTCCATAAAAGGACAAAAAACACTGAACGATATTCTATCAAACAGTCTTTTTTTTATTCACATATGAAAAATAAAGGCATTTTCCACACCTGCGATACAATAAATTCACTCTTCTTTCTAAATCACTCGAATAATATTTTAAACAATATTTCATATTCCTCAACAAATTCTTTTCCACTCTTGAATAAATATAATTTTTTAAGTATTTAATTCTAAATTAACTAATAATTTGTTACAAACTTTCATTCAAACACGTACCAGAAGAGAAAATTGACAATTTTGTCAGAATTGAAACTTGAACAACGAAAGAAAAAAAAGTAACAATTAAATACAAAAAAATGTGATTTCCCTGAGACGAAGGATCTCGAGTCTAGATCAACAAGAATAGAACAAAGAATTTAATTTACTCGAAAAATGCAGTTTCTTTTTTCTTTTTTTTTGTAATTTTACCACTACCTGGTGGACTCCATCATCTCTTGGAACGAACTTCCATTTCCCATTTTTTCCTATAGAGCATATACAATTGCATTGCAGATCTAGCGTCCTCGACCGAATTATGCTCACCGGTTTGTATTTCAATGCCCAATAATTCGGAAGCAAGTTTCTTTAGACTCGGCGTATTTCCATTAACAACTTTTCTAAAGGGCTTATAACGAGAAGTGTCACGAATACGCCATCTCGGATGCGATAAATAGAGAACTTCAAGATCATGTTTGATCGCGTGGCCAATTAAAAAGCGACCTTTCAACATTTCCGCCACTTCATTTTGTACAATTTTAAATTCCTCGGCGTTTGTCAAATGATGCGGATATATTCCACTAACCGCCGAGCGATAATCTTGAATTGTCTCCGTTGGTTTCACATACTTATCATATATACAAATTCCATATTTATTTACTAATGAGACACGTGCAACCATATTCTCCGTACCATTGCCAATTCCCACCATTTCACAGTCCATTGCAATTTGTTTCGTTAGAACAGCCTCGCTCTGTGGCGCGTTCAATATTTGCTTCGCCGCTTTCGACTGCATTGGAATCTAAAATAAATAAATATAAACAAAATTGAAAATTTTATAATTTTTATACTAGAGAATGAAAAAAAAGAACTAAAACAGGGTTGTCAGAAAAAATTAATTTTGTGTTTCCCTGATTTCCAGACAAAATTTTGATGTTTTCCCTGACCCTGAAGAATATTCTGATTCACTCTAAAAATTATTAGATACTCCCAAAAAATGTTCTATTACATTTATTTACGAATTTCTTTAATTGTAAAATTATTCGAAAACATTAATAACTTCTTTTCTTATTAATTCTAAAAATTAAATTTTTTCCAGTACTTTTAATAAAAATCCCTGACTTTTCCCTGATTTCTCTGATCTGTGGCATCCCTGTAAAAGATACAAGTAAACAAACCTGTAAATCCTGTCGGTTATTAAATTTCTTCGTACGATGACGTTTTCTAGGCGATATATTAATTGAAGATTCTGTCGATTCCTTATTAGCCTTCGATTCTCCAAGAAGGCTTTTGAATTTTTCCCAATTAGAACCTGGTACACGCAATGCATTATTTGTCATCTCATCAACTTTCATTACTTTCTTTTCTTGTGTAATTTTTTCATTGGATTCATTGGCGGAATTTGTATTCTTTTTGTTAACGATACTACCATGTGGTTGAGAAACCATCATTTTTGAGAGCATTTAATGAACATTAATTTATATTATATTCTATATACATATATATTTGATTATTAACAAATAGGTATAATTAACCTACAATTAAACATGTGGATAAAGCCTTGAACCAAAACTTGTAAATAGATAAACAGTAAATTGAATTTTCCCAACATCGATGTTTCTGTAATAGAGATAAAAATTATTTGCAAATTTAATCGATTATTTTTATTCTAAATTGACGAATAGAATGAGAAAAATATGAAAATATGGACTTATTTTTGTGTATAAAGTTTCATGGAAAAACTAACCTCAAATTTGTTAACCAGGGTTGAAAATTGAAAGTACAGTTGCTTTAGGCCTTGAAGTTTTCTTTGGAAAAGAAGGCAGTAATTTGGCTCAAATTTCTTGTGTCAATTGAAGGTAATTTGTAATTTCTTTTGGAGAAATTGTTGTAATCATAATCAGAAAACTAAAAAATTATTTACGTTACACCGTTACACACCGAGAGTTTAAAACAATACGAGTAATTCGAATATTCCGCTGTAGATGTCGCTTTTATGAATTTCAGGAGCGGCACTAGAAATTAAATCACCCTGGGACACCCTGGACTTATTTGAGAAAAAAATTAATTTTATATTATAATTATTATATTATATTATAATTATTTAATTAATTAAATAATTTCATAATCAAAATTAAAAAAATAACTTATTAAGTACAAAATTATTTATTACTGTTCATATTTTCAAAAATTTTAATAAAATTTCACGAAAGAATTCAATTATTTTCTAAAATTTTAATAAATCCTTCTAAACAATTCAATTATTTTTTTAAATAGTAAAATTTTTCAATTAAATTATTTTCAAAACAATTTTAATTAAATTCCTCGGAAGAATTCAATTTTTTTTTTAAATTTTAACACATTTCGAAAAAATTCAATTCTTTTCTAAAATTTTAATAAATCCTTCAAAAAAATTCAATTATTTTTATAAATAGTAAAATTCTTCGCAAGAATTCAATTAATTTAATAAATAGTAAAATTCTTTGCAGGAATTCAATTATTTTCAAAACAATTTTAATTGAATTCCACGAATGAATTCAAATATTTTTAAATATTTCCATAAATTTCAATAATTATTTCCTAAAATTTTAATAAATCCATTTAAAAAAATTCAATTATATTTTTAAATAGTAAATTTTTTACAAAAATTCAATTATTTTCAAAACAATTTTAATTGAATTCATCGGAAGAATTAAATTTTTAAAAAAATTTTTAACATTTCGAAAAAATTCAATTTTTTTCTAAAATTTTAATAAATCCTTCGATAAAATTCAATTATTTTTATAAATTGTAAAATTCTTCGCAAGAATTCAATTAATTTTACAAATAGTAAAATTCTTTGCAGAAATTCAATTATTTTCAAAACAATTTTAATTGAATTCCCCGGATGAATTCAAATATTTTAAAATATTTCCATAAATTTCAATTATTTCCTAAAATTTTAATAAATTCTTTAAAACAATTCAACTATTTTTAAAATATACTAATTTTTTCTGCAGGAATTAAATTAGTTTTTAATCAAATTTAAATAAAATTACACGAAAGAATTTAATTATTTTTAAAAATTTCCATAAAATTCAATTTCAACAAGAATTTAAAATTCTCTAAAAATAATTCAATAATTATTCTCAAAATATTTGTAAAAAATTGTATATAAAAATTAAATTACTTTCAATGCAATTTTTAAATATATATTCGTCAAAAAAATTAAAGGAATTCAATTATTTTCAAAAAATAATAAAATTGTTGTTACGAATTCAATTATTTATAATTATTATAATTACCTATAATAAAATGACACGAAAGAATTTAATTATTTTTAAAAATTTCCATAAAATTCAATTTCAACAAGAATTTAAAATTCTCTAAAAATAATTCAATAATTATTCTCAAAATATTTTTAAAAAATTGTATATAAAAATTAAATTATTTTCAAAAATTCAAAAAAATTGAAGGAATTCAATTATTTTCAAAAAATAATAAAATTCTTGTGATGAATTCCATTTTTTTGAATATACTTAATTTTAATAAAATCCTTTAAAGAAATTCAACTATTTTCGAAACAACTTTAATTGAATTTCTCGAAAAAATTTCATTATTTTCAAATATTTCTATAAAATTCTTCATAACAATTCAATTATTTCTTAAAATTTTAATAAATTCTTCGAAACATTTCAATTATTATTTTTATAAATAGTAAAATTCTTCGTAATAATTCAATTATTTTTATAAATAGTAAAATCCTTTGCAGAAATTCAATTCTTTTCAAAAAAATTTTAATAGAATTCCTCGAAAGAATTATTTTCAAAATTTTTCTTCATAAAATTCAATTGCTTTCAAAATTTTCAATTAAAATTATTAAAAAAAACTCCATTGGTATAAAAAAAATTCAAAGAAATTCTTCAAAAGAATTTAATTAGGATGTTTAAAAATTTTAATAAAATTCTTCGCGAGAATTCAGTTATTTTCCTAAATAATAAAATTCTATGAAGAAATTCTATTATTATTATTATTATTATTATTTCTTTTGAAAAATAAGGAAAGAAATTATTTATAATTGCAAGAAAAAATTTTTCTTAATAGAAATTATTATTATTAATTTAATAATAATTGCAATGTTCCGCGAATTTTCCCATTGACTATTTTTATAATACAGGAGAATAATGCACACGAATATATTTTTAGACAATACTTGTTGGAGTTCGTAAAGAAGTATATAAAGATGTTCAAACTCAAGGCGATCGACAAATGAAAAATCTAAAATTAGAATCCATCAGATCTCAGTCGTCTATACGAGAAAATAAGCAAACGATCAATTGTCCAAAATGTCTCCTTTGAGGTGAGAATAATTAATTGTAAATCTATTAAAAAATAAAAGAAATCATATGTACACTAAAAATACTAATTTTGTAATTAATAAATCCTGTTTTCTTCAAATATTAATAAATAATAAAGTTTTTCCCCAAAAAAGAAAAAATTAAAAACCTGTCTTTGAATCAGAAAGAAATTTTTTTTTTTTTTCTCAAAAATAAAAATTATCAGAGAATATTTTTCTTTTTTTTCTCACAGGGATAAACTTTCAGAATTCTTCAAGTGCGTAAATAATTCCGCTTCAAATGAATCGTTTGGTAATGATTTTTGTAAATTATCCTTCAAAGGAAACAGACGTGAAATGATCGAAATGCTCATTGAATTACCTGAAATAAAAAATATGGAAATTGAAAAATTTTATAATAAAAAAGATGATAATTTAGCGTGCAGTCTTTATGAACGATTATTAACGCTCAACGATTTGGAGGCAATAAAAAAAATAAAAATCCTAATTAATGCTCTTTTTAAATCCTCCTATGCGAGTATGACATTCTTCCAAATATTGATGGAACTCACAAAAATTCACTACAAATCTGGAGATATTGCGAAATGTTTAAAATACTGTGAATATTTCCAAAAATTCCAAAATTCATCGGATGAAAAATTTTTTCAACAATTTGAAATTGAATTTCTTTTAATTGAATCAGAATGCTACAAAAAATTGGGATTAAACGAGAATTCAAAGTTCCATCTCAATGAAGCAATGAAAAGAGTCAATGAATTCATAATTAAAAAATACGGAAATGAGGGGGAAAATTTCAAAAATGAAAAAAACTTGTTCTTGAAACCAATTCTCGAGCGTTTAGATGCAATGAAATTGTGTCAATTATCAAAAAATGATAATTCATTACCGAAGGTACAATTTTTTTTTTGAATTTTTACTTTTAAACTAGCGCGGCATTCTATTTCTTATTATTTTGTAAATTTAAAAATTTTATAATTTTCACAAACAATTTCATTATTCTCATGAATAATAAAATTCTTTAGAGCTATTCAATTATTTTCACAACAATTTTAATAAAATTTCTCGACAGAATACAATTATTTTAAAGATATTATTTAGATTCAATTATTTTCAAGAGTATTAATAAAAATTCAATTATTTCCCAGAATTTTGATGAAATTGTTTTTAAAAAAATAATTATTTTCAAAATTTTTAATAAAACTCCTTAAAAAGATTCAATTATTTTCAAATATTCAGATAATATTCTTTAAAACAATTCAATTATTTTTATGAATTGTAAAATTCTTGTCAAGAATTCAATTATTTTTATAAATAAGAAAATTCTTCGCAAAATTAGAATATTTTCATAAATAATAAAATGTTTCGGAGGAATTCAATTATTTTCAAATGTTTTAATAAAAATTTAATTATTATTAACAATTCTGATAAAAAATTCTTCGAAATAATTCAATTAATTTTCTTAAATTGTAAAATCCTTGGCAAGAATTAAATTATTTTTGTAAATAATAAAATTCTACTGAGAAATTCTATTATTTTCTATACAATTTTAATTAAATTTTTTTAAGAAGTTCAATTATTTTTAAAAATAGTAATAGAATTTTTCTAAACAACTCAATTATTTTTATGAATTGTAAAATCCTGCTCAAGAATTTAATTATTTTCATAAATAAGAAAATTCTTCGCTAAAATTAAAATATTTCCATAAAAATAATAAAATTCTACAAATGAATTCAATTTCCCAATTATTTTCAAGAGTTTTAATAATAATTCAATTATTTTGAACAATTCTGATAAAAATTCTTCGAAAAAATTCAATTATTTTTATAAATTGTAAAATTCTTGTCAAGAATTCAATTATTTTTGTAAATAATAAAGAATTTTAAAAAATAAGTGATTTTTTGAGAAGAATTTTATTAAAATTGTATTTTAAGTAATTGAATTCCTGTGAAACATTTACTATTTATTGATATTATTGAATTCTTTCGAAGAATTAAAAAAAAAAGTTTTAAAATAATTGAATTTTCCCTGGAATCCAATTAAAATTGCATTTAAAATAATTCAATTCCAGCAAAAATTTCATTATTTATGAAAATAATTGAATTCTTGAATTGAATTTTATTGAAAGTTTTTTTTTAAATAATTGAACTCTTGTGAAAAATTAAATTATTTTTTAAAGTAATTAAATTTTCTCGGAATATTTTTACAAGATTTTTAAAAATAATTGAAAATTTTCCAAAAAAATCAATTAAAATTGCATTGAAAATAAGTGAAATTCTGTTAAGAATTTTATTATTTATAAAAATAATTGAATTCTTGAATAGAATTTTATTAAATTTTTTTTAAATAATTGAATCCCTACGAAAGAATTTATTATTTCTACAAATAATTGAATTTTTACAAAATTTTAAAAAATAAGTAAATTTTTCAGAAGAATTTTATTAAAATTGTATATAAAATAATTGAATTATGCAATATATTCGTATTATTGTAATAAATTTTGCAAAAATTTAATTATTTGTTGAAAAATTAAAAAAAAATGTTTAAATATAATTTAATTTTCTCTAGAATCCAATTAAAATTGTATTTAAAATAATTGAATTCCAGCGAAAATTATTAAAAATAATTGAGTTCTTCATAAAATTCAATTATATTCAAATTTTTTTATAAATATTTTTCTATAGAATTCACTGATTTTCGGTACATTAATTTTTCAATTTTAAACATTTAAAAAGAAAAATTATATACAATGTTAGGAAACAAAATTCAAACAGGAACTTACTTCAAACTGAGAACAAAGTACCGGAATACAACGATTATTAATATAGAAGATTTATTTTTTTTTTTTGACTTATTTTTAGGATAAAAAAATTCCCAAAGTCGAGGGAAAATTGAATGAAAAATTGAAATCGTGCTCGGATGCAATTTCACTTGGATTTAATGAGGCGAAAGGAAGATTTCTATTTGCGACCAGAAGAATAAAAACCGGAAGTGTTTTAATTGTCGATCGACCATTTGCTTTCAGTACCGATGAAAATGCTTTAGAAACAAATTGTCTGCATTGTCACACATCATTGAAATCGAACGAAAATATTCGAATACCCTGCAGGAATTGTCAAACGGTTAAAGAAAAAATTTTCTTCTACCAAAAATAATCTCCAAATTTTTAATTCCTTGTCCAAATTTTTAATTTCTTAAAATTCTTTTTTACAGGTTTCCTATTGTTCAGAACTCTGTCGTCAAGAATCATGGACGAATTATCACAAATACGAATGTGAAATTTTCAATTATTTTCCTAATTTACAAGAAAATTGTCAACATTCGTCACGATTTCTTCTGGCATACAGAACGACTCTAGCAAAAATTCTAACAAAAAATTCTAAAAATTCAAATTCATTGTTAAATGGCGAATTTTTCGATTATCATTCGACAAACATTGGGGAAAATAAATCAAATTCGAAATTGAAAATTTATGATTCTCTTGATTATGAGACTGTTTATCAATTAGAGACACATTGTTCACAAATTGAACCAAAGGAAAATTTTCACCTCGCTCTAACTTCTATTTTTCTTGCTAAATTATTTGAATTTGTATTAAAAAACGAGACAGAAATTTCGTCGCTGAAACAATCGGAAATTATTCTTTTAGCTGTGGGAAATTTTCGTCATTTACAGGCAATTGGCTGTAATGCTTATGAAATTGTCGAGAATGTTAGAAATCAAATGACAAAAGCAATCGAACCACGAAACGTCGGTGGTGCAATTTACACAACTGTCAGTCTCACAAATCACAGTTGTTATCCAAATGTTATTCGACATTCCTATCCTCAAGGTAAGTCTAATTTTTTACTTCTCAATTTTAAATTCAAACGAAATTTCAATTTAAAATTCATTTTCAATTATTTTGAATTGCATTTTGAATTTTAAATTGAAACTTAATTCAATTTTAACAATAGGCACTGTTGTCGTGACTGCATTGCGGCCAATTGAGAAGGGAACGGAAATTCTCGACTGCTATGGACCGCATTTTTTGAAAGACACAATAAACACTCGAAAGGACCAATTACTGAAGAAATTCTATTTTTATTGTCAATGTGAGGCGTGCACTTTCGACTGGAAATTACCATTGTCTGACAAATTGGAATTAAAATGCACTTTAAATTCAAAGAAAGAGAAATATTCGAAAAATGATAAAAAAGATGGGCGAAAAATTCGTCAACAATACGAGGAAAGTAAAAAGAAGAAGCAATCCGCAATTTCGAAAATGTACAACGACAACTACACTGAGGCTTTACCAATTCTTCTAGAACATTCAAATTTTATTGAAAATATTTTCAGTGAGCCTAATTTGGATATTATCCAAACGCAGCAATCGATAATTCAATGTTTAAATAGCATGTCCTGTAATTCAAATTAAAAATGTACATAACTGTTAAATTAATAAAAGAAAACTATAAAATAAAAAATGAATGAAATTAATAAAATTAATAAAATGAATGAAATTAATACAATTGATAAAATGAATGAAATTTATAAAATTGATAAAATGAATTAAATGAATGAAATGAATAAAATAAAAAAAATAATCTAAACTTGTAATTCTTTCGCTAAATGAAACTCTAGGGCGTAAATTTCATTTTTTTTTTTGCTTTAATCGATTTATACATTGACATAATAATAATATGATCGCCAAAGAAAAAACAAATTAGCAATCACGTTTTAAAACAAGTCAACATTGTGTTGTGACAAGTGCATTTGATGAAATTGATTTTCGGCTTGCTTTGAAAAGTAAGAATAATTATGTACACTGGTCAAATATACATAGGGTATAGATGTCGAATAACTTATCTAACGAAGAGTTGGTAAAGCCTAATTAAAACTAGCCTGACCGTTCCTTTTTCTTTCTTTTTTTTGTTTATTTTGAGCGCTGAACTGTGGCTAAGTTCCTCGCTTATCACCACATGTGTGTCTCGCGAATTTCACTGATAATATGACCGGCCTGCGTCAGCGCCTAGAAAGCAAAATATTCCATTAGACATCCTTCACAATAAAAAAATATTCATTTTTTTTAATTAATTAGTTAATTAATTAATTAACTAACTCACTCAGGGTGGTCACAAGTTTCAGTTTATCAATTTTCCTGACAATTTACTGACAGTAAAATTATTTTCCCGGACAAAATTCTTTTTACGCAGGAAAATATGAATGTTTACGGAAAATGAGTAAAATTTATGAAATTTAAAAATTTCTAAAAATTACAATTACGATTATTCATTTCTAGAATTTTCAACTAAAAATCTTCTTTAAGTTCATTTTTTTAAAATAATTTTTGAAAAAGTTCTTTGTAAATTTTCAAATTCTTTTGTTTACAATTTAATTTTACGAAATTTCGATTATTCTGACATTCTTTAATTAAATATATTACAACTTAAAAACTTCAAATAATTAAAAAAAAAATTCAATTAAAATTATTGAGAAAAATTAATTCTATAGAATTCTTACTAATTAAAAGTATGAAAAGTTCAAATTTTCAAATATTTTAATTTGGAATTCATTTTTAAATCAATATTTGTTAAAAAATTCCAAGAGAATTCAATTATTTAAATACAAAAATAAATAATTTATTGAATAATTGAATGTTTCTTAAAATTCAATTCCCATAAAGAATTTTAACAACAAATTTTTAAATTGAATTCTTTCGACGATTTTAATAAAAAATTTTTAAGAATAATTAAATTCATTTGAAGAATTCAATTAAAATTGCATTAAAAATAATTGAAATTCTGCGATAAGTTTTATTATTTACGAAAATAATTGAATTCCTGTAAAAATTTTATTATCTTTTGAAAATAATTGAATGATTGAGAAGAAATTTATTAAAAAAATTTGCAAATAATTGAATTCTTGTGAAGTTATTATTATTTTATGAAATAAATGAAAAGTTTGCATAGAATTTTATTAAATTTTCTTTTAAATAATTGAAATTCTGCCAAGAATTTGATTAAAAGTTTTAAAAATTATTGAATTCCGGAGAAAAATTGTATTATTTATAAACATAATTGAAATTTTGACGAGAATTTTTGTAAATTTTTAAACATAATTTGATTTCTGCGAAGAATTTTATTAAAATTATTTTCAAAAAATTGAATTGTTACGCAAAGAATTTCATTAAAAATTTTGAAAATAATTTTATTCTTTAAAGAAATTCAATAAAAAATGTATTGAAAATAATATTAAATTCTAATATATAAATTGTAACAAAGGTTATTAAAAAATAATTAAATTTCTTTTATAAATTTCAATAAAATTTTTAAGAATAATATCTTTTTTTGAGGAATTTGATTAAAATTGTATTAAAATAATTGAAATTCATCATTGAGTTTTATTATTTATAAAAATAATTGAATCTGTAAAAAATGTTATTATTTATGAAAATAATTGAATAATATATGAAAATATGTAATTTGTAAATAATTAAATTCGTGTGAAATTTTTATTATTTATGAAAATAATTCAATGTTTGCGTAGAATTTTATTAAAATTTTATTTAACAATAATTGAATTCTTTAGGAATTTTTATTAAAGTAGTAAGATATTAAAAATCATTGAATTGAGGGAAGTGTTTGAAAATAAATAAAATTTTGCCAACACTTTTATTAAAAATTTTTGAAAATAATTCAATTTCCAAGAAGAATTTTACTACTTTTGAAAATAATTGAATTTCTGCAATCATTTGTAATTGCTTCAAAATTCAATTTATTTTAGTGTTTTTAACTAAAATTTTTGAAAATAAGTCGAAAAAAATTTCAATTTTCTAAATTTCTCTGACAAAAAAATATTTTTTTTTCCTGACATTTTCCTGACTTTACTGACAAAAATTCTGTTTTACTGACATTTCCCTTACTTTACTGACATGTGACCACCCTGTAACTAATAATTGCCATAATACCTAATAATTAATAGTATTAATGAAAGATTCATTGTTAATATTGATCTTTGGTTTTTTCTTTCAATTTTCTCGTGGCTTACCTTAAGCATATTTGCAGTTTCCTTGCGTCTGACTGCGATGTGTTCACTTTCATTGAGAAGAGCTTCCGCTTGATCTGATTTATATAAATGCGTAACAAGTTCACTTTGAAGATTATCTTTCACATAATTTACTAGGAAATGCATAACAGCTTTTGGAATACTGTCTTGAATTGATTTGCGCACTATGTAGAAATAGGACTTGATTAATCTCTCTGAAAGGAAAAATTTTATTTTCAATATATAATTTCTGTAAACATTTTTGTGACTATGGTGAAAAGAAAAAGCAATCGATTTCTTCGTTTTTTTGATCAAAGAAAGTAGAAATATTACCAATAACGTCGCAGTCTCGCTGTTCTCGATCGTTAAGTTTGAAAGAAATATGCGTAGGCACTTCTGGCAATAAGTTGACAGGTTTTTGTTGAAGCACCATTTTCTGTCCGTCAGGGAACGAATTTGCTGGTGGATTTGGCGACGATATATTTCTAACTGGCGATCCGTCCGTTGAATTTGTCGTCGATTCGGATTTTCCTTGCGGCAAAAGTGTACTCAAAAGCCAATGATTCTGCTGTGGTTGATCCATAGACACACTGTCGCGATTATTCACCATTTTTGCGTTCTAAATGCAAAAAATGTTTTATTAATGTTTAAAATTGTATTAAAAATAATTGAAATACTGCAATGAGTTTTATTATCTGTGAAAATAATTGAATTCCTAAAAAGAATTTTATTATATTTGAAAATAATTGAATCTCTGTAAAAATTTTATTATTTAAGAAAATAATTGAATTCCTGTGAAATTATTATTTATTTTATGAAAATAATGAAAGGTTTACGATCCAACTCACTTTATCGAAGGGAACAATTGCATTAGATATCGAATTAGACGAATGATGTTTTCTCTTTTGCTCCATATCAACTTCTTTAAACATTACCGATGCAAAAGCAGCGTCCTTATTAAAATCCGGATGTTTTGTATTGATATAAGCCAGTTCAATAGCAACTAAATTCTCAATCTAAAAATGCAAAATTTACCAATGAAATAAAAGAAAAAGAAATGTGATGAGAAGGCAAAAAAAAAATTAAAATTCTCAAATTTCCATCTACCATTTGATTAGTGGTTGGTAAACGTGTTCGCAACAATTGCGTAACAACGTCAACAATTCTCTCGTGTAATTTGGGGAATCGCAACATTTCCTGTTGCACTTCAATGCCACAATGTTGTATAATACTTTGCATTTCCTCGTGTACAAGTTCAACGCAACGTAAAGATGGATCCTTAAGTCTTCGTATTTGTCGTTTCACTAATAATTCAAATGAAACTTCGGGCACAAAAAGTGCTGGTCTTGGTCCGGTTGCATTACGAATTGCAGTTAAAATATCACGTTTTGTCAGTCCATCGAGTGGATGTATTGAGTCAAGTGTTTTTGCAAAACTCTCTTGAAATATATAACAAATACGAGCACCACCGTACAATGCCGTTGTCTCAATATTTCTCGCAGTACCCTCAATTGTCGAACAATAACTGCTAGCAAATTTCGTGATTATTTGCAATAATGTTTGACTTTTGTCACCAACGTCCTCGCCATAGGAATTCAACAGTGCTTGATACTGCGATACCTGAACATTCACTCGTGACTGAAAATAAAATAAAAAATTAACTATAATAATCCTTCTAATAAAGGAAAAAAATGTTTAGAAATTCTATTTGTCAATTATAAATTATAATTGGAAATGAAATTGAAAATTTTTTAATTTTTAGAAAATAAAGGAAAAAATTTGACTCAAAAAAATGTTCTGTTACATTTATTTACGAATTTCTTTAATTGTAAAATTTATTCGAAAACATCAATAACTTATTTTTTAAATATAAAAAAAATATGAATATTATAGTCATAATAATAATTATTAAAACTGTATTCCAATTTATATTTTATTTTTGTGAAAAAAAATTTGAATTATAAATTTTTAAATTCTATTATTTTTAAAATTGCTAATTTTATTTTAAAAAGTGAGTAAGAAGATAATTAACATAGAAAATTTTCTATTTGTTGATATTTACCTTCAAATCAGGCAAGCAATCACGAATATGCTGCATTAAGAGTCGATTTAGTGTTTTTGCTAAATATGGAGTTCCATTGCGATGTGCGAGAGTTGGATATTTGCGTTGAAGAAACGTTGCTTCATCCTTTAGAGCATCTTGTATCGTTTTCTTATTATTTATATCCTGCTGCGAGCGATTCACCACGCCAATGATCCCAAGTTTCACAGGAATCACTCGACCGCAGAGAATGTCAATTGCATCGGTTCCTTGAAAAAAATAACGAATATAACAAAAAGAAAACCTTAATTACTCTCTTAATGATTCAAATAAATATAAATTACCAGCGTCCATAAGATCCATTTTTGTAACCACTGCCAGTGTACGTCTTCCATCAGGATCAACATCCTTACTCAGCTTTAAACTCTCACTCGTTGCCATGTCTGTATTTGCAGTGACAACTGCGAGAATTATCGAATTTGGATTACAAATGTACTTGAGTACAAGTTGACGAATTTGATTTTCAATATCTTCCGGTTGATCGCCAACTGGCACTTTTGTTATTCCTGGTAAATCAATTAATGTTAAATTCACCACCGACGATGAATAGATCTTTAAATTTATCGGTTCGGGACAAATTCCTTTATTTGCACCAGCCATTCGATCAGTTTCCGTTTCAATCTCCTGTCGAATCTCATCGAAATTCCTAAAGATCTGATTTTTCTTGTGCAAAAATGTGCCCCATTCGTTGAGATCCAAAGTCCCATCTTCAGCGCATCTGTATTCTCGATCATCCTTTGGTGTATAGACCAGTTGTAAAACTAGAGGACGACGTGTCACGATGCCAACTCCTCGCGGTAGAAAAGAACGTCCAACTAAACTTTCTATCACCGAGGACTTTCCTGAACTCTAAACAAAAAATTTAATTCAATTTTCTAATGATTCAATTCAACAATACTTATGGAAAATTCTTCAATTCTTCAATTTTCTTTAATCGAAATTTTATAATTTCAATTAAAGAAAATCAGGCATTACAGTACTTTTTTTCTCGAAAAAGACGAAAAGGGGAATTTTTTCCTCAAAAATTCAACAATTTATGAGAATATTATTATAGATGACCGAGTGATAAGATCATTATTTTCTACTATAAGAAATTTTTTACTGTAACTTCTTTTAAATTATTTTTATCATTTCAATTCAATTATTATTTTCTAGAATTTTTAATTAAAATTTTCATTAGAAAAAGGCGAAAAAGGAGACAAATCAGCAAAAAAAAAAGGGAAAAAGGTGACAAATCGTCAAAATAGGTGAAAAAGGTGATAAAATTGAAATAATGGGGACAAAAGGGAAAAAGGGGACCAACTGTGATGCCTGGAAAATTGAAGAATTTTCCATAAATTTCAATTAGTGACCCAAAGATCTAAATAAAACAAGGGCAAATAAAAAGGAGGTTAGGAAAATCGAAGACTATATAAAGCACCTAACACTTAATTAAAATGTTTCGCAAATACAATATGATTTTAAAAGTATAAAGAGTAGTTTTTAAATTAAAAAACTAACCTGTGTCCCTAGGACAACGATTTGTGGTAATTGAATAGCATCTGCTCCAACGGTGTTAAAAACATCTTGCAATTTGTTGATTACTGGAATTAGAGCTTCCATCGTAGAAAATCAGCAAATCGATTCTCTTTTTTCCCCTATGAAATAAATGCCGGCTGATGTATTATATAGAAAAAATCCGTGAGAAACAATTCTGAACACTTTGATGATTCTCTCGTGTTTCAACAATTACGATTATTACCAAGTAATTGTTTCAGAGCTCAAGATTTTAGCTCTGCTTTAAAATTTCCTTACACTTTTTCAACCCTTCTGGTTTTGTTTAGCAAAGACCTATATCTATACACTGGGGGTGGATTTCAATCATCCCCTTTACATATATATAACTTTTCGCAGCAATGACTCTAATTGCGCAAACGTAGAACCGCGCAAATTAAATTTTATAAATTTTATTTCTCTGTAACTAAAAAAAACAAGTTTTAAATTATTGAAAATAAAACAGCAGACTGCATTTCAATTGTATTAATAATTTATAGGTTATAATCGACAGATGTCATTTTTTTCGAAAAACCGTTAGAAAAATGAATTTGAAATTAGAAAATTAAGTAACAAGTTTTATGGATATTATTTCTTTAGTTTCTAAGAGAAGAGAATGAATTAAGTAGTAATAAATAATGTACCTACAATTATAAATTGTTATTTGTTTAATTTTGTTTTCAATTGAAACTGTTTTGGTTTGACATTTAATTTTTCTGACTAAACTTGTCCAGAAACTATACAACCAATTAGATGGAAGGAAATGAAAGGAGCTTTAGAGAAGCAATGATTCTGATTGGTGGATAACTTTTGGATACTGTTTTTTTCTATCTATTTTTTTTATCAATAAAAAAATAGATCATCTGGAAAATTCGCATCTACCTGCACTCTGCAGCAAAGCAAAGTTGAGCAGAGCGAGCAGAGTACACAGTACAGCAGAACAGAACGAAGCATTCAAGAAAAAATAGTTTTAAAAAGCTCGTGCACGCCATTTCCCCTCTAAATTTCTTTTTACAGGTATTCTTTATTTTCGTGAGCATTTGCGCTGAGAAAATGCTTATAGAATAAATTTTACTTGTGAAAAAAGCGTCAGGATAGAGTCGTGTGCTAGGTTATAATACCGATTCATTTCATTCATTTTTCTCTTCAAAAAAAAAAATTAATTTTCCAATTTTTGGATTACTTTTGGAATTATGGAAACGAATAATAAAGTTGTAGAAGAGGAAGGAATACGAGGGGTTAATGATGGTGATTGGATTTGTATCGATGCACAGTAAGTGTTGCTTTTCGATGTAAAGCTTCTATTTACAATTTTTTTTTTTTGCAAAATAGTTTTTTTTATTATTTACGATTTTTTCTGTCATTGTTTTTACAGGTGTGCTAATGTCAATTTTGCAAGGAGAAGTTCTTGTAACAGATGCGGTAAAGGTTAGTACATCTCAGGTATAGAATCTGCCTATTTTTATTACATATTTTTAATTCTCCGGGAAAAATGAATATTGATAATTAATTTTACTTTTAGATAGAGGTGAATGTGCAAAGAAAAAAAAGTTAGGTCAAGAAATTGGTAAAGCAGCCGCTGAAAAGAGTAGAGGTTTATTTAGGTATAATGAATAATTTAAAGTGTGGAAAAAGATGTTTTTTTTGGAAGAATGTAAATAAAATTGGAAATAAATTTTTTTGTTGATAGCGCGGACGACTGGCAGTGTAGTAAATGTGGAAATGTAAATTGGGCACGAAGGCAACAATGTAATATGTGTAATGCTCCGAAATTTGGGGAGGTGGAGGAAAGAACTGGATACGGTGGTGGTTATAATGATCGAGGTGTCGTTGAATATAAAGAGCGAAGGGAAGACGACGACGATGAATATGACGAGTTTGGTCGACGAAGGAAGAAGAGAAAAGTCGAGAATCGTTCTGATGATGATTCAAAAGATTCACGATATAATAGCCCACCTCGTGAGAAATCGAGAAAGGAAGAAGAGCCCGAGGACACAAAACGAGAACAGGAAGAAGAAGAAGAGGAAGAGAAAGAAGAGGACGAAGACCGAAATGTAAATATTTCTTAATGAAATATTTTTCACTTTAAAAAATTCACGGCTCGAACTAGGTCCGTAACTTTGCTTGAAGTCCGTTTTTTTTTTAAATAAAAAAGGTCCCTTAAGTCCGTAATTTGATTAATAAAAGTCGAAAAGTTCGTAAATTGTACGATATAATTTGGAATATTTTAGAGAAATTACAAATGATTGCAGAAATTGAATTGTTTTCAAAAGAAATTAAATTCTTCGCAAGAATTCAATTATGTTCAAAAATTTTTAAAAATTCTCGTCAAAATTGCAATTATCTTTAAAAATAATTAAATTCTTCTCCGAAATTTTCAATTATTTTCAAAAATTTTAATAAAATTCTAGGCAAAATTTCAATTATTTTTAAAAACTTTTCTTAATTCGATGATTTTCAATATCTACTAATTTAATAAAATTTTCCAAAATATTCAATTCTTTAAAAAAAAAATTTACTAATATTCTACGCAAAACATTAATTATTTTGATAAAATAATACAAATTTCACAGAAATTCAATTATTTCCAAATTTTTTATAAATTTCTTCGGCATCATTCAATTATTACAGGGATTTAATTACTTTCGTAAATAATAAAATTCTTTTTATGAATTCAATTATTTTCATAAATAATAAAACTCATTGGACAATTTCAATTATTTTTAATTCAATTTTAATCAAATTCCTCGAAAAATATAATTATTCTTAAAAATTTTACTAAAATTCGTCAAAAAATTTCAATTATTTAAAAATTCATGTATAAAATTCTTTAGGAGAATTCAATTTTAAGAAACATGCAATTATTCAAAAAATTTTTTTTTGTATTTAAATAATTGAATTCTAGTAGAATTTTCTAATAAAAATTGATGTAACAATGAATTTCAGGTAAAATTTTAGATAATTATTGAATAATAAAAGCATTATAGCGTGAATTTTTAAAAATAATTGAATTTTGAAAAGGTTTCAAATTAAAATCTTTGAAAATCTGATTTTTTCACTATTTTAACTAACAATTCTAACAATTCTCTGGAATTAATTTTTTTGAAAAAGTTTCATTGAATTTTAATTTTTAGAAATAATTGAATTTTGAAAAGGATTCAGATTAAAATCTTTGGAACTTAGAATTTTTCATATTTTAAATTGAAAATTGTGTAGATAGTTTTAATTTTTCTGAAAAAGTTTAATGGAACTTTTTTGAAATTATTTCAAGTTTTTATTTTCTGATATAATTAAAGAATTTACGATTGATTGAAATTTTGTAAAATTGAATAGTAAACAAATGAATTTGAAAATTCTCAAAGAACTTTTTCAAAAATTATTAAAAATATTGCTTATAGAAAAGAATTTTAGATAAAAAGAAGAAAAATAATTTAATTTTGGAAAAGTTACAAATTATTGTAGAAATTCAATTATTTTCAAGAGTAATAATATTTTTCGCAAAAATTAAATATTGTTAAAAAATAATATAATTCTTCTCAGGGAAACAATTATTTTCAAAAGTAATGAAACTCATCGCAGAATTTCAATTATTTTTAATACAATTGTAATCGAATTCTTCAAATGAATTCAATTATTCTTAAAAATTTTATTAAAATCGTCGAAAGAATTCAATTATTTAAACATTTGTTGATAAAATTCTTTATAGGATTTAAATTTTAAGAAACATTCAATTATTCAATAAATTATTTATTTTTTTATTTAAATAATTGAATTCTCGTCGAATTTTCTAATAAAAATTGATATTTTCAGAAATTTTAACAAAATTCTTAGCTAAATTCAATAATTTTCAGAGATTTTTAAAAATTTCTTTGATGAATTCAATTATTTTCAGAAATAACAATATTCATCAAAATAAATTATAATATTTATCAAATTAAATTATTTTCAAAAATTGTATTAATTGTTTTGCTAAATTCAATTATTTTTATAAATTTTAATGAAATTCTTTATGAAATTAAATTATTTTCAGGTATTTTTTTAAAATTCTATGCAAAATTCAATTATTCTAAGGAATTTTAATAAAATTCTTTGCAAAATTTAATTATTTTTAAAATTAATAAAATTCTTCGAAGAAAAATAATTATTTTCGAAATTTTTTAAAAATTATAGTCACGATTTTTAAGAATTCAATTATTTTCATGAATAATAAAACTCATCGCAGAAATTCAATTATTTTTAATACAATTTTAATCAAATTCCTCGAAAAATGTAATTAATTTGAAAAACTTTATTATAATTCGTCAAAAGAATTCAATTATTTAAACATTTGTTGATAAAAATCTTTATGAGAATTCAATTTTAAGAACTAATCAATTATTCAATACATTATTTATTTTTGTATTTAAATAATTGAATTCTCGTAGAATTTTCTAATAAAAATTGATTTAAAATTGAATTTAAGTTAAAATTTTAGATAATAATTGAATATTGAAAGCAATATAGCGTGAATTTTTAAAAATAATTGAATTTTGAAATTAATTTTTTTGAAAAAGTTTAATTGAATTTTTTTAAATATTATTTTAAGTTTTTATTTTCTAATATTTATTTATTTGAAAAATTTACAAATAATTGAAATTTCGTAAAATCGAATATAATAAACAAATGGATTTGAAAATTGTCAAAGAACTTTTTCGAAAATTATTAAAAATAATTGATTTAAAGAAGAATTTTAGTTTTCAATTCTTGAAAATAATAATTAAATTAATAATGATTTTATCAGTCGGTCATTAATTATTATAAAACATGAAGAAATCGATCACTCTGAGTCTTTGACTCGGAGCAATCAATATCTTCATGTTTTATAGTTATGAAAAAATTTAATTTATAGTTCGAGCCTGGAAATATTTTTCACTTTGAAAAATCGATAAAAATCTAGATCAAAATATTACCTAATATTTAAATGACTAATTACTAATTTTTAAATTTTTATTCAGGAAGAGGAGGAGGAAGACGAAGACGAAGACGACGATGGTGATTTATCAAAATACGATCTCAGCGAATGGGACGACTTAGCACCGGCAAAAAAAAGGTTTATTTTTTAAACTCTGCATGTTTTCCCGAGAATCATAAGTCGAGCATTATTTTTCTTTTCAGTTTAAACGGCTCTACCGCATCCACGGATGGAAAACGTACAAGGTAGGTGATTTGAAATTTTTCGATTTACATTTAGTGTTGAAAGATTGCACAATTGAATAAAATTTCCAGAAACGGAGATGATTGATGCGATTGTGACGATTCAACAAATTGAATTCAAAGCTACAGTACAGGTTTGATTATGGGTTCTGGGTATAAAGTTGATGAAAAATATTTTTTACGCATATTTTATAAATAGAAATTTCAAATATTGGATTTTTTACGCTCTTCGAACGAAATATAATTATTCGCTTGAGTGAGAAGAATAAAAAAGGCGATATTTGATTTATATTTAAGAAAGAAAAACAAGATAAAATATTCTCTTTATTTTTTCTTCTTTTCAGATGAGCCAAAAAAAAGACACACACACACACACAGAGACAGAGATGCATAGAAAGCAATCTGAACGGCACTGCTGCTACCGCTAATATTTAGCCAGCATGTTTCGATTTTTCCATTCTATGACCTTAATAAACTTGCGAGAAAATCTAGCTATATTTAGCCTTTACATTTGTTCGAGGAAAACAAAGTATACAATAGGACTTGTAAATGTCGAGAACAGAAGAAAAATGTCTTTTCTTCCAAATGATAATTCTCTCAGAAAAAAAAAATTCTTTTCATTGTCGTCCTAATCTCTTTATAATCATAATTAGTTGAAAATGTGATGAACTATACTTTGATTTTTTCACGACTATCGCGCATATACCATAGAAAAAAAACGGCCAATACAATTTTAGTCGCTAATAGAATTTTTTTAATACTAAACTTTTGTTTAGTAGTGAAATATTTTTTTGTGAAACATTTTTGAAAAGTTTGAGAATTTCACTGTAATTTCGATTTTTACTATTAAATACAACAATTCTCGACTGTTAAAATCCTTTTTGGTAAATTCACATTTTTTTTATAAGTATTTCATTTTTTCTTTTGCTAAAACGCGAACAATAAATTTTGATAAAGAAAAAATAAAATTGTATATGAAAAGATTATACTTTTTAGTAGTAATTTACTTACCGTGATTTTTTCGAAACAATTTTTTTTTAAACATTTCCGCCTACATTGTAATGTTTAAAAAAACGAGTGTAAATATTAATCGAAAGATTTGAAAAAAATAAATTAATTTCAAAATTATTATAATTATTAATTATTAAAGGAAAAGAAGTTGAAATTAATTAGGTTGTGAATAGTTTCGAATATAGACAAAAGATATTCTGGATTTAAATATTATTCTTTATTTTTATAAACAAAAAGTTTTCTTTGTTTAATTTATAATTAATTTCTTTTTATACATCCCAATTTTTTGTTTTTGCCTCTAAAGGAAAGTCAGGTTTTGTTCATAACGCTGTATTAAAATTATTCACTTTCTTTCTTTTTAAATATATATAAAAACTTTATACATAAATGAAGATATTAATTAATTCCAGAACATCCTAGTTTTTTTGTCTAAAAAAAAAAATTTTACGTAGAACACAATATCCACAATATTTAGAGAGAAAGATAGAGAAAGAGAAAGAGAAGTTTGGTAGAAATTGTGAAATTAATTTAAAAAAAAAACCAATTTTGTTGTACCCTCTTGTCGATTGGTTTTTTCACACGAAAATTCTTGTAAATATCTTTATTTTATTTTTCATTTATAATAAAAATCATTCGTCAACAACGTAATTGTTCTTATTCATTTATATCTTCTTATAGACTATTACACTCTACTTTTTTTAAGGGTCATGATTATGCACAGAGTTGGTCACGAAAAATTCGATGAAGGGGGCGATATTATAAGGATTTATGTTGCATTGGGTACATATTTATATATGTATAATATATATATTTATATATTTATATTTAGTATGTATATCGCATATATATTTACAATTGTGAGTTTGAGCTTGCTCGACTGAGTTCTGTTTACTTTTTAATTTTCTTTTTAAGTAAATTAGCAATAATAATTAAAAGGAAGGACAACAAAACTGCCGATCACGACTTTAAAAAAAAAAAAAATCTTAATTACCCTCGAATCGCAAATCTCGACGTCACCAAATCTCGACGATTACGAAAGTTCAGATTTTACAATTAATATATACACGTACTGTCATTCGTAATATTTTTTTTTTGTTTTAGAGAATTTACAATGTGTCTTAAAATCAATCTGTTTGTTTTCATCCAATTTTTTTTTTGGAAATAAATTTTTTTTTTATTAAAAATTCTTTACAAAAATTGGATATATTTAACAGTAACATTTTTTTTTCGTTCAACACTTATATAAAACATGAAAAATAATTATATAGTTATTTTTCTGTACAGAAAATTGTATCGAAATCATCCTATTTTTCTAATTCATTCTACTTCACTCTAATTCATTCTAATTTATAATTTTTGTAAATTATTCGTATTTTATTAATTTTTTTCTTAATAACAAACATAATTTACGATCTTAAAAATAAATATTTTAAGGTAAAATTTAATTTTTGAGCAAAAATGTAAATTTACGAATATTTTTTACAAGGAGAGAGATTATATATTAAATTTTGAAAAAGTATTTTGCAAAATTGGGAAAAAATGCGACAAAGCTAAATTTTTATATAAAAAGTACTAAACTTTAAAAAACCTCCGCGAAATTTAGTATAATTTATATTAAATATCAAGAATATTTATTAAATTCTAATAAAACTTTACTAAATTTCACATAATTTTTTTTTTAAATTTAGTATTTTTTATATCAAAATTTTGCAGTGTCGCATTTTTTCCCGAATTTAAAATTCTTTTACAAAAATTTATTATATATTCTCTCTCCGTGTAATTTAATTTTCGAATGTAGTGAGAAAAGAAAATTTCCTCTACGCTAAAATTATAACTAAAAATGCTTCTTTGTAAATTATTTTTAAAGAATAAAGGCGAGACTGCGACGCAATTTTCAGCTATACGAAGAAATTAACTTAAAAAATCACGAAAACTGTTCTTATAGTAATTTTTTGCGAGGAATTCAATGGTCATAAAATAAATTGGGTCAAAAATTTTTTTGGTCGAACGGTCCCAAAATTTTATTTTAAAAAATTTGTATTTTTCGTAAAAAATTAAATATTTTAAAACCCATTCGTAAATTTATAAAAAATATGTTTATTTATCTAAGAAAAAATGTTCATTCAAAAATTTTAATATTTACTATTCTTGAAGCATTTTTTTCGGAAAAAATTCATTTTTTATCGAATAAAAGGTGATTTTTGTTATTAAAATTGTAAACTCAAGTAATAAAAATCATTTAAATTTGTTAAGTTATTTTTGAAATTTATATCTTTCATGAAAGATAGAAGTTTTGTGTAATAGGACAGTTCACTGTTTTATTTACATTAGAAAAAAAATGCTTCAAAAATAGTAAATATTAAAATTTTGAGGTGTATATTTTTTTTAGATAAATAAACATATTTTCTATAAATTTAAGGATGGATTTTAAAATATTGAAAAGCAAATTTTTTGACCACTTGGGCAAAAAAAATTTTCACCCAATTTATTTTATGACAATTGAATTTCTCGCGAAAAATTACTATAAGAACTGTTTTGGTGGTTTTTTAAGTTGTCTTCGTAAAGCGATCGATTTTTGATAAATATATGTTAAAATCTCATATTAACTTTTCTGTATAAAGAGAGAAGAATTTTTAATTTCTGTTGAATTTCAGAAAGTATAAAAATTAATTAAAAGACTGTAAAATTTCTCTATCCGATAATTGGCACAAACTATAAATCCTAATATCTAATTATTAAATATTAAATATTAAAATCAAACATCAATTGAGCTATTAATTTAAAAAAAAAATTCCAATTTTCTTAACAGAAAAACAATTATCAAAGATCTTAAAACTTCTAAATATACACAAATCTTCTAATAAAAATTCTCTCTAAAGAAAAGCAAACAGAGTGATTTGATTCTAGACATTGACGATTGACAATTAGCAAACGTTTCAGCGTTGGGACGGCGAAATTTTTTTTTTTTTGTTGAAAAAAAAATAAAAACAAAATTTTCGACGCCATTGGCAAAGGCGACTCGAGAGATCACAGTCGTGACGGGCAGTGTTTTTTTCTTTTAATATCAAGAAGACCGAAAAAAAAGAAAAAAATTGGAGAAAATTTTGCCCAAAGTAAAAATAATTTATTTGGGCATGAAGAACTGTTGATGTGAATGTGAATTGGGTTGTGGATGCATATTAGGATGCGGAGGAGGTCCACTAGCCCTCGTGCCAGTAGCGTATAATTGTTGTTGAAAATTATGAAATTGCTGAGCATAAGTGGGATCGGACATACTTGGACCACCGCCAACGAAGGGACTATTCTTAAAATTACTCGAACCACCGCCCATACTGGGTGGTAGTGGTTGCGTCGCCTCCGGTGGCGGTCCAAGGCCCATGGGTCCCTTATTTGCCGCGCCGTACATTCCTGGATTATTATTTTGCCCCGGCATTTGACCGCCTGGCACCATGTCGGGGGGAAAGACTTTGTCCGGGTCCATGGGACTGCCAGGGAAGACACCGCCGCCCACCATGTGCTGCATTCTCATGATGGGCTGCTGCCGGACCATGCCGCCGACGGGCCTCATTGAGTGCATCGCCACTTGGGAATTCATTGGTTGTGCGTCCATTCGCGGTGATCCCATGCCTGGCGGAAGTCCTTGGGGTCCCGTGTGTGGCACCATGTTACCTGGCATGCCCTGATGAGGTCCCATATTATTGGGCACACAGCCATTTGGAAAATAGTGTATATTCGCGGAAGGTGATGACATTTTGTTGTCGAGGCCGGGAAGAGGATTTGTGAAACGCTGCAGAAAATCGAGACTCGGCGGTCCTCGTGGCGCGTGACTGACGTTTGGCCTCGCCGGTAAGTACTGTATTGTATTCGGTGCACTTGGTTTCACCTGGTGGCAGAGAAAGAAAAACGAACGAGGTTAATAAAAATGATAATTGAAAATAAAAAATATTTCTAATCTTCATCAATAAAAAAAATGATAAGAGAAAAAAGAAAGATAGAATCAGGGACAGAGAAAGAAAAACGAACGAGGTTAATAAAATGATAAGAGAAAAAAGAAAGATAGAATCAGAAACAGAGAAAGAAAAACGAACGAGGTTAATAAAATGATAATTGGAAATAAAAAATATTTCTAATCTTTATCAATAAAAAAAAATGATAAGGGAAAAAAGAAAGATAGAATCAGGGTTGCCACGCTTTTACTCATTTCAAATTCCCTAATTTTTCCAGTTTAAAAAACGGAATTTTTCCAGGTTTTTAAAACATCATTAATTACATTTTACCAATAAAGCTGTAAGAGATGTAAAAAAAATATTTGTAGCATCAAGAAAGAAATTCTATTCTATATTTTACCAAATTAAATAACTCCCTGATTTCCAAACAAAACTTTGACTTTTTCTCTAACTCTAAATAATATTCTGATTCACTCGCAAAATAATTAGATACACAAAAAATATTCATTTATTTACGAATTTCTTGAAAGAAATTCAATTCAATTGTTTAAAAACAATTTTAATAAAATTGTACGCAAACATTTCATTATTTTTATAAATAATAAAAATTTCACAGGAATTCAATTATTTACAAATTTTTTATAATTTCCTTTTAAATAATTAAATTATTCTCTGAAATAATAAAACTCATTGCAGAATTTCAATTATTTTTAATACAATTGTAATCGAATTCTTCGAAAAATGTAACTATTCTTAAAAATTTGATTAAAATTCGTCAAAAGAATTCAATTATTTAAAAATTTGTTAATAAAATTCTTTTTAAGAATTAAATTTTAAGAAACATTCAATTATTCAATAAATAATATTTACTTTTGTATTGGAATAATTAAATTCTCGTAGAATTTTCTAGTAAAAATTGATTTGAAAATGAATTTTAGTTTAAATTTTAGATAATAGTAATAGAATATGAACACAATTTTTAAGAAGTTACAGTAACAATATTCTTATAATATAAATTAATGATTTTAACACTCGATCCTCTTTAATTATTATAAAACATGAATAAATCGATCACTCCGAGTGGAAGACTCAGAGTTATCGATATCTTCATGTTTTTTAATAATATTTTTAAAGTTGATTCATTTCAGAAAGGTTTTTGTCGAAAATAATTGCATTTTGCAAAGAATTTTATTAAAATTCCTGAAAATTCAAATCTAAAAATTTTTTTTTTTAATTCTTGAAAATAATTGAATTTTGTAAAAAAAATTTTTTTAATTTTTGAAAATAATTGAATTTTGCAAAGAATTTTGCTAAAATTAATGAAAATTTAATTTTCCAAAGAATTCTTTTTAAATTCCTGAAAATAATTGAGTTTTGTAAATAATTTTATTAAAATTTCTGAAAATTCAATTTTGCAAAGAATTTTTTTTTTAATTCTTGATAATAATTGAATTTCGCAAAGAATTTAATTAAAATTTTTGAAAATAATTGAATTATTCAAAGAATTTGTTTTTAAATTTCTGAAAATTGAATTTTTCAAAGAATTTTTTTTAAATTCCTGAAAATAATTGAATTTTGCAAAGAATTTTATTAAAATCCCTGAAAGTAATTGAATTTTGCAAAGAATTTTATTAAAATTTCTTAGAATAATTCAATTTTGGTATGAATATTGTTATTTAAGAAAATAATTGAATTTTGCAAAAAATTTTATTTAAATTCCTTAGAATAATTGAATTTTGCATAGAATTTTATAAAAAATACCAGAAAATAATTTAATTTCATAAAGAATTTAATTAAAATTTTTGAAAATAATTGAATCTTCCCAAAATAATTATTAAAATTCCTAAAAACAATTTAATTTCTGGCAAGAATTTTATTACGTTTAAAAATAACTGAATTTTTATGATGAATATTGTTATTCCTGAAAATAATTAAATTTCGCTAAGAATTTGATTAAAATTTCTGAAAATATCTGAATTTTGACAAAATGATCATTAAAATTCCTGAAAACAATTTAATTTCTGGCAAGAATTTTACGTTTAAAAATAGGCTGAATTTTTATGATAAAAATATTGTTAATTTTGAAAATAATTGAATTTTACAAACAAATTTTTAAAAATCCCTGAAAATAATTAAATTTTGCAAAGAATTTGATTAAAATTCCTGAGAATAATTTATATTTATGAAAATAATTGAATTCTTTGGAAGATACGTCATTAAATTTTTGAAATTCCTAAAAGAAATTTATTATTTATGAAAATAATGGAATTGTTGTGAAGAAATTTATAAAAAAAATTTGTAAATAATTGAATTCTTGTAAAATTTTTATTATTTTGAAAAATAATTAAATGTTTTTTAAGATTTCAAATTAAAATTCATTCAAAAATTGAAATTTTCTAAAATTCTAAATTGAAACCTTTTAAAGTTCATGTTTTTATGAAAATTGTAAACGCAATTCTTTTAAAATTGAATTAATTTTGAAATATTTAACTAAAATTAGATTTTAAGAATAAACACAGTATCTTTAGAAAACAACAGTTTTCCAAGATTTCGATAAGAATTTCCAGACTTTTCCAAGGTTTATAAAATTCCCTAATATTTCCAGGTTGAGTGGCAATGCTGTAGAAAAATGCTAAGTGGGAAAAATAGAAAAATACAGAGTGGGAGGAAAGATAAAAAAATGCTGAGTATGGAAAAAAGAAAAATAGAAAAATACAGAATGGGAGGAAAAATAAAAAAATGCTGAGTATGGAAAAAAGAAAAATAGAAAAATACAGAATGGGAGGAAAAATAAAAAAATGCTGAGTATGGAAAAAAAGAAAAATACAGATTGGGAGGAAAAAGAAAAAAGTGCCGAGTATAGGAAAAAAAGTACTGAGTTCGGGGAAAATAAAAACAAAAGTACCTGAATATTTGCTCCATTATAAGGACTTGGCCCAGAGACATGAACATGTGGATGACCATGTGGATGTGGTGCGTGGGGATGCGGATGATTGTGCCCACCGGGCATGAGTCTAGACGGTGGTCCATGAGGATTTTCGCCAACCCCACCGCCACCACCAGGATAAGGACTGCCTTGTGGACCGACATTTGGATTCGGATGCGGACCACCGCCGGGATTATTGCCTCCTCCACCCATCATTCCATGCGGCATCATTCCGTGATGATGTTGCATTTTATTCGGCACGCCAGGACTGCCCGTGTGGGGTGTTGGACTGTAACTCGTTGGCGGTCCCCCGAGACCCATACACATCCCAGTGACGTCGCCCGGTTCATTGGTGGGTGGCATGTGGCAACCGCCGTTCAATTCACCGCCGCCTTGCATTTGCATCATGTGCATATTATGGGGATTTCCAAATGGCATCATTCCCGGATTGCCCGGATGCATTGGACCACCCTCGTTGCCAAGTGCATTGCTCGCCGCTGTGTTTGTCAATTGTTGACTCATTTGTGCTAACGATGTAATTGGATCGAAGTGATTTGTATTCATTGAGCCCAAACCTCCGAGGCGAACGCCCATATTGTTTGGATTCAGTGGAACGTTGTCCGACGTTTGACTAACGGGAGGTCTACTGCAGGGGAAAGGTCCTCCTGGACCAACCATGGAAGGTACTAGGCCGGGATTGTTAGGATTGACGGGATTTTGTTGTTGTTGCTGCTGTTGTTGCTGTTGTTGTTGCTGCTGCTGTTGTTGGATTTGTTGCTGTTGTAAGTCTTTTGCAGAGGGGGGTGATGTTTCGGCTTTAGTGTTCGGTGATGCTGGGACTCTTGGTGGTCCCATTGCATCCTGAAGACTTGAATTATGCGGTGCTGGACTACTTTGAGCGCTTGCTGTCGTTTTATTGCTTGGCTTGTTTGAATCGACGGGCGTGTGTGGCGTGACACTTCCCGGTGTATGGGGAGTGTGAGGCGTGTGAGGACTGTGGAGTGAACCAGTGAATCCTCTACTCGTACTCTCCATCGATGGACTCGGTGCTTCAGATCTTGAGAATTGATTGCTGTTCTCCATGTTCCCCGTGAGCATTCGATTCGGCATTTCTGCACTATTACTGGTTGTACTTCTGTAATAAATCAAAATTTTTATAAGGTAAATAAAAACGAAGTTAAAAACATTCAACATTAATAATATCTAAAATTATTCAAAATTTTTATTTTAATTTTATTTAAATCAAAATTTCTAATGTATTAAAGAAATTTTTCAAAAATATAATTTTACGTGCGCACGATTGCCACGCTTTTGCTCAATTCAAATTTCCTGACTTTTCCAGATCAAAAAGCGTAATTTTTCCAGGTTTCTAAAACTATATTTGTTGGCAACGAAAATTTAATTTTCTTTTTCCTGACTTTCCATTGAATTCCAGACAAAATTCTTACTTCTCTTTGACTCGAAAGAATGTTCTCATTCAGTTTAAAAATTATTACTCTATTGCTTCTTTTTTAAATAAATATTTAATTATTATTTTTTCATAAGATTTAAAATTATTCAAAACATTAAAATTCAAACCTTTTTGAAATTAAAAAATTTGTTAAAAAAATTGTTATAAAACATGAAGAATGACCGACTGATAAAATCATTATTTTATATTATAAGAATATTGTTACTGTAACTTCTTCAAAATTATTTTCATCAATTCAATTCAAATATTATTTTCAAGAATTTTTAATCGATTATTTTTAAAAAATTTCGAAAAATTTCTTTCAAAATTTCCAAATCTATTTGTTTACAATTTATTCAATTTTACGAAATTTCATCAATTATTCAAATATTTATTTAAATATTTATTAAAATATTATTCAAATATTTATTTATTAGAAAATAAAAACTTAAAATAATTTCAAAAAAGTTCCATTAAAATTTTTCAAATAAAAATTAAAACTACACAATTTTTAGTTTAAAGTATAAAAAATTCAAACTTTCAAAGATTAGGTATAATTTGAAACCTTTTCAAAATTTTACTTGTTGGAATTCAAAATATTACTTATTGGAATTAGTGACTGACTTTTTGCTTTTAAATTAGTAAAAACGACTATTCACTAATTCAAATTAGAAACCATTTTTATTAATTCAAATTTAGAGTTTAATAATTCAATTATTATCTAAAATTTTAACTGAAATTCATATTTAAATCAATATTTATTAGAAAATTCTACAAGAATTGAATTATTTAAATACAAAAATAAATAATTTATTGAATAATTGAATGTTCGTTAAAATTTAACTGCTATAAAGAATTTTATCAAGAAATTTTTAAATAATTAAAATTCTTTTGACGAATTTTAATAAAATTTTTTAAGAATAATTTCATTTTTCCAGAAATTAGATTAAAATTGTAGATTAAAAATAATTAAATCTCTGTAAAAAAATTTTAAGAATAATTTCATTTTTGGAGAAATTAGATTAAAATTGTATTAAAAATAATTGAATCTCTGTAACAAAAAATTTGATTGAATTGAGAAAAGTTTTTGAAAATAACTGAATTTTGAAGAATTTTATTATACTTTTGAAAAGAATTGAATTCTTGAGACAAATTTCATTAAAATTTGGAAATTCTTTAAGAGTTCTTAAAGTTTTGAATAATTTAATTCAAAAATTCTAAAAAAAGAATTGAATTTTGAAAGAATTACAGTTGCAATTTTTACAATAGTATATTGTGCAACAAGTACAGAAAGAAGCTGTTTTCCGACGAGTGCAAAGTTTGCTGTCCCGAGCGAAGCGAGAGCGGCAATTTGCACGAAGTTGGAAAATCTTCTTTCGTACGTGTTGCACACAGTACTTTGTGCAACACCTTTTGGTTTTGATAAAAAAGCTGTTTGGAAACGCTAGTTGACGCCAACATACGTACTGTTTAGCAGGGTTTGGAACGTATGTTACCGCACGTAATATTCATGGTTTTTTACGCGTATATTACTGTAAAAAACAGGTCTTCTACAAATAGAAAACAAATACCTATGTATATCACCAAAAAAACCCAAAAGTTTAAGAACTTTGCCGCACTAGTGCAGCAAAGTAAGCACTTTGCCGCACTAGTGCAGCAAAATAAGCACTTTGCCGCACTAGTGCAGCAAAGTAAGCTCTTTGCCGCACTAGTGCAGCAAAGTACTGTTTTGCGCCTACTTTACAGGCATGCAAAGTATTACTTTCCTTACAGGTGTTGCACAAATAATTTTTCATTGAAATTATAAGAAATTTTAATTCCTGTGAAAAAATAAATAAGAATAAGTTTTTAATTTTGAAGTTTTGAATAATTTAATTAAAAAATTTCGAAAAATCGTTTCTTAATTTTTTTTGAGGAGGTACTTGAAATTTTTAAAAAATAATTGTATTTCCGAAAATAATTTAAAAAAATTGAAACAATTGAAAATTTTGTCAAATCTCATTGAAATAAATTTTATATTTTAATGAATTTTATTTGTTTACTTTTAAAAATTATTTTGAAATATAATCGTATTTTTGAGGAATTCTAATTGCTAATTTGGAAAATAATTGAATTTACAAAAAATTTAGAATAAACTTATTACCAGGAGTGTACAGTGGTACTCAAAAGTTCAATTATTTAATCAAAAATATCTTACATTCAAGTTGCTGTTAGAAATATCTTTGCGATTTCAATAAAAGTTGTTCAAATAATTAAATTTAAAAAAAAACTGTTAGAAAAATTATGTTTTTTAAAAAATGAAGAATTTTCAATAAATTTCAAAAAGCAAATTTTTTAAAGTAACAATGGTAATGAAAATAATTTCACGTACAGTTTTGCAAGTTTTGGAATATTTAAGTAAAATTAGATTTCAAGATTAAACACAATAACTTTAGAAAACAATAATTTTCCATGGACTCCGATAAAAATTCCCTGACATTTCCAGGTTTTTCAGATTGCGTGAGAGGAAGATTTGTGTTTTTTTTAGTGGGTAAATAGAAAATACTCACGAGGGTAAGCTGCCGTCTTTGAGACTCGTGTTAGGCTGCTTTTGTATTGTAAGTTCTTGGCCTTCGAAAGTATTCAGATACTGTATTTGCTGTGGACTTGGTACCGGCATAAGATTCGCTTCCTTAACTCCGGCTGCATTCACCGCTCCTCCGAGTTGCTGCTTTTGTTGAGCTAAAGATTGCAGCGTCCGACAGAACATACCATCCACTAAAAACACATCACAGTATTTCTAACGCTCTTACAAGGAAAACCAAAAATCAAAAAATCCTTTTGCCAAGACAATTTATAAATCAAAATTCTAGTCTAAAAATTATATTAAAAATATTAAAGTCTCGTAGCGAAAGGGATGCTAAGATTATAAATACCGTTCGGTGGTTGATTGTTGGGGAAATCGAGTGAAGAATCCTTTTGCGGTGTCGCTCCACTGGGACTCAGAGCGGCAAGATGAGCATGCGAAACCGGTGTACCTGGATTACTGTGATTTAATTTCGTTGATGAAGCCGTATTCACTGAGCCAACAGTCGGAGTCGGCGAGTCCTGACTGGTGGGACTTTGTCCTGGCAAATGACTCGACCTCTGATTACCGAGTTGAAATTGTCTATTGCAATCGGCTGGCGAATTCAGAGCTGAACTTGCTCGAGGCGAAGGTAATGAGAGATTACTAGTGGGATTATTCGGTGAGGATGGATTTGGACTTTGAATGGCAATTGGTACACTTGCAGATCTTGTTGTCTGATGATAAGGAGGTGGTGGTCCTTGACTGCGAGGCATTCCTCCAACAATTCCCGATCCACGAAGAGATCCGCCGGGACTTCCTACGCCAACCTGTGGAGATTTTTTTTATTTTAATCAAAAATTTATTTTAATAACAGGGCTCGAATCAGTGAAAGTATTTAAAGATACGGACTTTACGGACCAAAAATGAAAAATTTTACTTAAAACTACAAATTGAATTTTTCATAACTATAAAACATGAAGATATCGATAACTCCGAGTCTTCGACTCGAAGTCATCGATTTCTTCATGTTTTATAATAATTAAAGATTATTCAAGCATTTTTAACTAAAATTCTTCTTTAAATCGATTATTTTAAACAATTTTGGAAAAAGTTCTACGAGAATTCAATTATTTAAATAGAAACAGACAATTTATAGAATAATTGAATGAATGAATGATAATTATTTGAATTATTTTAATAAAACTTTTAAGAATAATTACTACATTTTTCGAGGAATTCGATTAAAATTGCATTAAAAATAATTAAAATTCTGCGATGATTATTTATGAAAATAATTGAATACCTTTCCCTTTCCATCCAGAAATGGATGCTGAAGTTTGTGCCAATCCATTGTGGGTGGACACTGATTCGGCAAAGATACTGGCGGAACGTTAGGTGGGCAAGAGGATGTAGAAGTTGCTCCTGGCAGAGCATCCAAAGACCCAGTGGGATCTTCTTTCTGCTGTGGAAAGAGTATCATCTGCATCTTCCTTATAGTCGCCAATTGGACCTCTCTATGCTGCCTTTGTTGCGGAGTGAGATTCTCGTCGGGAACCTTGACACCCTGCAAAGAAGGTTGTAATCCACCGGGACCTGGACTTGTTGTGCTACCCAGTAAATTCGGACTGTGACCCATAGCCGCATTTGTTGGCGCTTGAGTATTTGCTGTTCAAAGAGGGGAAAAGAAAAAAATCAGTCCCGTACATTCTAAATTTGCTCATTTTAATTAAATTCCCTTTCTTTAATTCATCAACATTAACATACCTGGATTACTGGGTGAGGTGGGCACGAGGCAAGGCACATCCATATTCGGCTCGTCTAACGACGTCTCCGGATTACCCAAGGAATTATTGCCATTTAAATTCCTAATATTGGGCTGCTCATTCCAAAATGATGGCGCATTTGGATCGAGAGCCGGCAATTCAGGCGGTTGTTCAGTTGGAAAACCACTGTTTGCACCTCCCTGATGACCCTTTTGCTTCAAATTCGTGAGATTATTCAGCCAATTTGCTGGATTCTGACGAAATTGATTTATTTTGTTCGGATGTTTCTGTAAAAATAGAGAAATTACTTTACACAGTTTTCCAGGTTAAAAGACGTAAATTTTCCAGGTTTTTAAAACTACATTTATATTTTACAAAACTTTATTTTTAATTTTAATTTAATTTTTAATTTTATTCTTAATTTTGCCAAACTCCCTGATTTCCAGACAAAACAACTTTTTTCCTGTTCTATTACATTTATTTACGAATTCCTTTAATTGTCAAATTACACAAAAACATCAATAACTTCGTTTTTAAATGAATATTTAATCATTATTATTTTTTTACAGAAATTAAAATTTTCAAAAATTTTAAATTCAATTACATATAATAATTAAAACTTGATACTATCATTATTTTATATTATAAAAATATTGTTACAGTAATTTCTTCAAAATTATTTTCATTTCAATTCAATTCTTCCTTTCTAGAATTTTAAACTAAAATTCTTTTTTAAAACAACTTTTTTAAAAATAATTTTGGAAAAACTTCTTTTTGGAGAATTTTTAAATCCATTTGATACAATTCAATTTTACCTAAACTTTCGATTATTCTGACATTCTTCAATTAAATAAATTAGAAATTAAAAACTTTAAACAATTAAAAAAAAAAATTCCATTAAACTTTTTGAGAAAAATTAATTCTAAATTTCCTTAAAAATCTTGTCAAGAATTTAATTATTTTTATAGATATTAAAATTATTCCCAGGAATTCAATTATTCTCAAACAAAATTTGAATAAAATTCTTCGAAATAATTCAATTATTTTTAAAATTGACAAAATTCTTCGCAAGAATTCAATTATTTTCAAAATTGATAAAATTCTCCGCGCAAGAATTCAATTATTTTCAAAAATGATAAAATTCTTCGTAAATATTCAATTATTTTCAAGTAATTTTGATTATTCTGACATTCTTCAATTAAATATATATTAGAAAATAAAAACTTTAAGAATTAAAGAAAAATTCAATTAAACTTTTATAAAAAATAAATTCTTCAGAATTGTTAATTAAAAGTATGAAAAGTTCAAATTTTCTAAAATATTTTAATTTGAAACATTTTCAAAATTCAATTATTTCTAAAAATTTACGCTATATTGCTTTCAATATTCAGATAATAATTTAAAATTTTAACTAAAATTCATTTTTAAATCAATATTTACTAGAAAAATCCACGAGAATTCAATTATTTAAATACAAAAACAAATATTTTATTAAATAATTGAATTCTCTTTACAAATTTTATTAAAATTTTTAAGAATAAGTTTGTTTTTCGGAAAGTTGATTAAAATTTTATTAAAAATAATTGGATTTCTCCAAAGAGAAAAGAGTATTTGAAACTTTTTTTTTATAAGAGTTTTTGAAAACAATTGAAATTTTGCCAAGAATTTTATTAAAGTTTTTCAAAATATTTGAATTTCGGAGAAAAAATTATAAAGATTATTGAAATTTTGACGAGAATTTTTGTAAATTGTTGAACACAATTAAATTTCTGCGAAGAATATTATATTACTCTTGAAAATACTACTTACTACTTAAATAAATAAATAAAAAAAATAATTGAATTCTTGAGACGAATTTTATTAAAATGTCTTTTTAAACAATTGAATTTCTTTGATAAATTTTAATAAAATTTTTAAGAATAATTTCATTTTTCGAGGAATTTCATTAAAATTGTATTAAAAATAATTGAAAGTCTGAGATAAGTTTTTATTATATTTATAAAAATAATGAAATGTTTGCGTAGAATTAAAAATTTTTTTTTAAATAATTGAATTCTTTTGAAAATTTTTTCTAAAGTACGTAGATTTATTAAAAATTATTGAATTGAGGAAAGTTTTTGGAAAATATTTGAAATTTTGCCATGAATTTTATTAAAATTGTTGGAAATAATTGAATTTCTAAGAAGAATTTTTACTAATTTGGAAAATAATTGAATTTCTGCAATCATTTGTAATTGCTTCAAAATTCAATTTCTTTTAGTTTTTTTAATTAAAATTCTTCTATAAATCCGATTATTTTTAATAATCAATTAATAAAATATATTAAAAAATTTAACTAATTTCAGAAGAATTGGAATAATTAAAATTTCTCAAAAATTTACGTTCTTTAAGACGATTTCTAGTTAAATTAATTGAAAATTGAAATTTTACAAAATTTCAAATTAAAATCTTTTGAAATTCATCTGTACTTATGAAAATTGTAAACGCAACTTTTTTCGAAAATTTAATTAATTTTGAAATATTTATGTAAAATTAGATTTCAAGAATGAACTTTAGAAGATAACAATTTTCCAGGATTTCGATCGAAATTCCCTGACTTTTCAAGGTTTTTTCAAGGTTTCTAAAATTCCCTGACATTTCCAAGTGTTCCAGGTTTCCAGGTTGCGTGGCAACCCTGATATGGAAATTAATGACTTATTAAAAATAAAATTACTATTTTTAAATTTTGTCCAAAAAAATTTACCTCCAGATATTTTTTAGTGCCCGGTTGCGCACAATGATAAGCAATAATCGAGGGATATTGACCAGCCATAATTGCTTCCGCCCCCTTGTTTGCCAAAGCCGTTGAAAACACGAAAATTTGACTCTGCTGTTGCATATATTGAGCTTCTCCGCTACTCGCACCACTGCCCATTTGTTTTGCCAGAACATTACTCACTAGTGGTTGAACACCTTCAGGTGGAATTCCAACGTTTGTGGGGCAATCCGCTTTAAAGAAAAAAAATGTTTCCCCATTAACAAATGATTAAAGGAAATTAAGTAAATTATTTACTTCAAAAATAGAAACCAGATTGGAATTAAATTAAAAAAAAAAAGAAAATCTTTTTTTTTTAAGAAAATAATTACCTCCTGAGAGTTCGTCCGTTGGATTATTATCCTCTTGTTTAACGGAATTAAGTATCGGTTGATTGTTATTGCCGTTTTGGTTGTCTGATGACATTGTGTTTTCTCCATTTGCCGGGTCTAGTGAAGGATCTCTGGGACATTCGGTTGTGTCCTCGGTTGTTGGGTCTTCGTTATTTCCAGAGCCAGATTCTTCTTTGATTTTAACACGATCCGCATCAGGCTCCTCCTTCACCACTGCGGTGGGTACACAACTAGGTTCACTTGTTTTCTTTTCCGTCTTCATATTTGCAGGCTCAAATAGGAGCTTCTCTCTCATTAGATTATCAAGCAATTTAAACTGACAATAATCATTGTCAAGTTTTATCTATAATATTAAGAAAATCAAAACAAATCCATCAACACAAATATAATAATTACTAAATGTATATTTGTAAACATATTTATCGCTTTCATTTAAACGTTTTACAATAATTTGACAAGAATTTGTAAAATTTATCATTTTAATTATTAACGAACTTGTCAATTTTTTTTAATTACTTTTCAGTGTTATGTTTTGCTATGTAAAAAATTATTTATTCGAAAAATTGCAGGGTATACAACTCTACTGATTATATTACAATATTGTTAAGTGATAAATTTTTCAATAATATATTTTGTTATAGATATTATTTAAAGTAATAGATGTTTTAATAAATAGTATTACTTAAACATAATGATATGCAGTTTGCTGATAAAAATGTGCTTACTGATAAAAAGAATTGTATTTCAACGTCAAACAATATTTGTTATACATACGTTGAAAATTTCAGATATAGGTAAGAGGTAAACAAATTCTATGCAAATGTTTAAAGCCATAGAAATATTTATAAAAACGTTTTCATATTATCGGGAAAAAGTGTAATATTTTAACAAGCTACATGTGAATACTACTTACTTTTTAAAAAAACTAATTCAAGGAAATATAGTTCATTTTCTATTTATAAAACGAAAAATCAGGCCAATATTTTTTTTTCTATGGTGAAAGATTAAAAAAATATGAATTATTAAAAATATCGAAAATATACAAATCTACTTTTAGAAATTTACAAATCTAAATCAAGTTCTTAAAACCAAAGGTAAAACTGATAAAAACAAATTTCTAACAAAATATTTTCTCATGATTTTGACATTACTGATAAAACTTTGCAATTTCGCTTCTAATCAGCAGACTAATTTTTTGGTAACTTTTGTTTACCCTGTGGAAATCTATTCATAACCGAAAGTATCTGACAATTCTAAAAGATCTAGTTGTTCTAAAAACAGATTCAAATAGCTACGTTATCATTAACCTAAAAATTAATACATCTCAATTTCCTCCCACATTAAGAAAAACATTCAATTTCCCATCATGTTCATCTCCCTCATCATAATGTTTATTTAACTCTACTTGTTAATGTTATTAAGAGTTGTTAAAATATCGGAAAAAAAAACTACTTTTTTTACTGACACTTGATCGCATATATACGCTTATGAACGTTTTGGCTTACCCTTTAGAAAACAGAGCTAATAAACTTGCTGGACCCCAAAAGACAGGTTAATCCAGAACAACTTTTAACACCAAGTTTTCAAATATGCGTTTCTCGTGAGAAGAAACGCGGGAGCATTCTTATATGGAAGTTTTGCACTATGTTATAAAGGAGGACTGTGATTTTCCAATGTGCACTAGGAGTCAGCGTGACCCCGGTTTTAATTAGCCCAAGAGATATTTTCCAGTTAATCTCACATTGAATTCATAAACTTGAGAGGAAGATCACACTGAATTTCACGAGGATCGGAGAACGCCTCCGAAATCGGGTAAAAGGAAGACTGCAAAAAGTGCGTTCGAAGATCTTGGGAGAGTTGGAAACTGGCGAAATAGCAAAGTGTCACCCCCGGGTCCACGATAAGTAGGCAGCGCGCATCTCGAAGTAGCTTGTTTCCTGGGTGCAACTGAACTCGTTTCACAAACACTTATGCACCCAAAACATCGGGAACTGGGGCCAACGCACGCCGCAACTTAAATCTTTCGACCTCTCGCGATCATTGTTCTTCAACTTTATTTGTCACTTCATGGTCGCTTTGATTATTTATTTCTTTTACACACTGCTACCAACCGCTAGTCGAAAGTTGAACACTGTTTTAATGCGCCGCGTGAAATAAAGAGGGCGTTATTGAATCATCATCAGTGTGAGAAGGATGAAAAACAGGAGCAAGAGAAGGCGCCGTATCTTGCATCTCATTCCCCTATGATGCTTGATCATACTATTTTGGTAGTTCTTTTCTCAAATTTACACTCCCCCGTACCCCTCCGTTTATTCATTGAAGTTCATCCCAAGCATTCTTCATCCATTAGATTGGGAATTTTTATGGCGATTCTCTCAATTATTGTTCAATAAGGAAGTCTTGTGGTGCATTTTACTCCGAAAAATCAGTTGTGATTTGTGCTAAACATGTCATGAAGCACGAAAGTGCACGAAAGTCTATGGGGAAATAGGGTGGAATTCGTTTATAAAAGTTACTAGATCGACGCCATTTTGAATGTCGGAAAAAGGAGGGAAATTCAAATAAATGAATAAATTATTCTTCTCTTGTATCGAATTTTCAATTTTTGTCTAAACAGTTCTTTTGAAATTTATACTTTTCGTTATCAATTACTTTTCAGGCTTTTCAGTATTAAGAATACTGTTTGAAAATAAGAAAGAAATAGTAATTCCTTATCGACAGAGTTGGCTCGAGTTTTGGATCGACAAAATAGACTTTTATTTTATCTAAGTTTTATCGTCCCCTAGCAACTACAATTCTAACTACATTTGAATTTAGAACTTGCTCCTCGGATATTTTCCCAATTTTCCAAATTACATAAAGGTGCTTGCACACTTCCAAATTTAATTTCACAGACAAATCTCACTCCTGCCATCTGTCCTGCAAAGTGCGTGGCTGCATGTCAACTGTTTATTATATTATCGATTTTACACTTTGATGTTAATTGAGAAACTTGAGAAAATAGACGCGTGAAAAAGAAAAAAAATAGTTTATTTTGGACATTAATCAGCTGATTTGAAGACCTGTATAGAGAGTTAAAGAAAGAGAAAACCAAAAACTTAAGAGAATATTATTACAATTAGAAACCTATTATTGTCATTGAAATAGTAACACTAATATTTCAATTGTTTTTATTCTTGCAAATCACCACAAGTAAGTGCATTATTTCTGTTTATAATGTATATTAATAATCGTTGAATTCCGGTAATCTGTTTGCAATTTGAAGTTAGTTTTTGTTTGCTTCTTTGTTTCTTAACTTAATTTCTTTTTATAAATGTTTTCAATTTTAAAATTAATGTACTGAAATTCATTGAATTCTTGCGAAGTATTTATCTATATATTTATCCAAAAATTTGAAAATAATTGAATTCTTTCGAGAAATTTCATTAAAATTGTATTGAAAGTCATTGAATTTCAGCAAAAATAAATTTATTATTTATGAAAAGAATCGAATTCTTCCAAAGAATGTAATTAACATTGTAATGAAAATAATTTATTAATTTTAAAATTTCGTAAAAATAATGTTATTTTTTTAAATAATTTTCACTGGAAGTTTTGAAAAATAATTTAAATTTACAAGGAATTTTACATAAAAACTTTTGAGATTAATTGAATTTTTTAGAAAAATTTTATTACAATTTATAAAAATAATTGAATTTTTGGGAAGAATTTTACAATTTGTAAAAATAATTCAATTTTGTTTTGCAGATTTTTATCAAAATTTTTGAAAATAATTTAATGTTTTGAAAGTATTTTATTAAAAATTTTGAAAATAATTTAATTCAATCGAAAAATGTTATTAAAAGATATAAAAATAATTAATTTTTCTTAAGAATTTTATAAAAACTATTGAAAATAATTGCATTCTTTTGAAAAATTTTATTAAAAGTTGTATTAAAAATAATTTAATTCCTGTGAAGAATTTTATTATTTATGAAAATAATTGAATTCCTCCAAAGAATTTTTGAAAATAATTAAATTTTTTGAAAGAATTTTCTGAATAATTTTGAAAATAATTGAAATTCAATCGAATAATGTTATTAAAACGTTTAAAAATAATTTTTAAAGAATTTTATCAAAATTGTTGAAAATAATCGAATTTAATTAATATTTTTAAAAATAATTTTTTTTATAGAAATTTTATTAAAATTGTACATTGAAAATAATCGAATTCCTTCGAGAAATTATACGTTTTATAAAAATAAATTAATTCTTCTAAAAAATGTTATTATTTATGAGAAGAATTTTTGAAGAATTTTTAAAAATAATTGAATGTTTTGAAAGAATTTCATTCAAAATGTTGAAAATAATTGAATTCAATCGAAAAATGTTATTAAAACGTATAAAAATAATTAATTTTTCTTAAGAATTTTATAAAATCTGTTGAAAATAATTTATGATGTCTTAAAATATAAAGTTTTTTAATTTACAAAATAATAATAAATGGAATATCGCGTTCACATTTTTTTTCTAGTTACTTATAAAGTAGTTTAAATATTATCTGTATTTTGTATAATTATGTTGAATTTTTAAATTAAAATAATTAAAATTCTAGATTGTTCAAGAATGGCTCAATTGGAATTAGATCCACATTTTATACAGGGTTTACGATTATTGCATTCAATAAATAAGGATTCGGCTGATCAACTAAGAACCCTTTTGGATGAGGCAATAAGACAAAAACATGGTCCAGTCAAAATGTTGTGCAATGTTTTACATAAAAAGGTAATGAATTTTAATTAAAAATTTTGAACATTATTGTTTTCTCCAAAATGTTAAAAATAATTCTAAAATGTTATTACTTTTGGAAATATGTAATTGAAAATATTAAAAATATTGTATTTTAAAAAATTAGAAGCTAAATTTTCATTTTTAAGTTTACCTTTAAAGATTTTTCGTTAAAATTTTCGATAATTTAATTATTTTCAAAATTTGCAATTAAATTTCTTCAAAAATTGATTTTTAAAAATTGTAACAAAATACTTGTAATAAATTAATTATTTTCAATTAAATTTTACAAAATTTTAACTATTCAAAAACAATTTTTGAAAGATTTGTCTGTAATTATTTTTCGCATTATAAAAATCAAAATAAGTTGCACTTTTTTTTACTAAAAATTGTGGTATTTTTTTGCAATGTTTGGATAAAAATTGGAAAAAGTCGCAATTTTTAAAAATAAGTCAAAAAAGTCACAATTTTCTTAATTTTCCTGACAATAAACTTTTTTCACGATATTTACCTGACTTAAGTAACAAAAATTTTGTTTTAATGTGTCATGAAAATTTTATTATTTATCACCTGGAAATCATGGAATTTTATAAGGAGAAATTTGTAGAATCCCTGTTATTAATAATTGCAAAAAAAAATTTCAGTACACTATGGAGGAGCCAGTTTTAAGTGATCACAGTAGTGGAAGTAGTAAAAAAAGTAAAAGTTCATCATCTAAACATTCGAGTAAATCAAGTAAAAATAGTTCACCAGTAAATGTGCCAGCTCGTGATACACCTCCGGATGTAATGCAATCTGATGATAATTTGGCACTGGAAATTTTGGAGGACGACTTGACATGTGTTGTGTGTAAGGGAATGGATGTTGGCGCAAGGAACAGACTCGTCGAATGTGCAGTTTGTCATTTTCTCTATCATCAAGAATGTCACGTGTCGCCAATTCTGGATTCTCAAATCGATGGACCAGGAGTTGTTTGGCACTGCTTTTTGTGCACCAACAGTCAACAGGTAGCATCACATACAAAATTTGTACCCATCTCATTTGTATATCAAAATAATCAGCTAATTATCAATTTTTGCTCTGAGAAGAAAAATTAAATTTCTGAAAATTATGTATAGAAAAGAAAAAATAAATAATTAGTTTTTATACTAAAGTATTTTTTACTTTATTCAGACCTCGAAGGAGGGCACATCACCAAAAGCTGTAACAGAATCGAAATCTAAAAAAGAGAAAAGCAGATCATCGAGTGAGTAGTTTAAAAATTATTAGGTTTTTACTTTTTTTTTAAAGAATATAAAAAGCACACACCAAAAGAAGTTTGGCCTTCGAAAACGTTTTCATCGTAAGTAAGTGGAAAATTTCATCTTTTTTGTTTTTGAGTATGTTCCAGGCATGCTTTATCCTCTTAATCTCAGAAGAGAAAGTCGATCGTGATTCTATTATCCAACTGCATGTGACGCTTCTTTTGATGTGTGTAAAATGCATAGTAATCTGCAAGTATCTAGTTTGAAAATTAATCAAAGCATTTTCATCACATCCAAATTGTTCTTATCATTGTAGTTTCATTTCGAATTTAATTTTCAATTCTTAATTTTAAAAAATCAATTTTTTATTCATAAAAAGTAATTTTTCCTGTAAAATTTAAAAACTGAATTTGAATTTAAATTTGGCAAATAAATAAAGAATAAAAACTAATGAATAAAAAAGTCGATCGAAAACATTGTCCTTAACATACATTAAAAATACACACATTTTGCATTAACCCTGGGTGCTTATTTTCGAAAGAAAAAATAAAAATTACCCCTTTCTCCGAATAAGAAACTCATAATTTTTCCATTTTTCCAGGTTCGAAGCACGATAAATATAAATCTTCAAGTGGCCTTAGTCAATCGCAATCGATAAATGTCAGTAGTAGTGGTAGTTCATCAAATTCAAGTAGTTCATCATCGAAAAATGTACCAATGCCCAATATTCAAATAATTAGCGGTGATAAACGACTGCGTGACATGATGAAAAAAGCGAAAAATGATAAACGAAGTTCATCCAGCAGCAGTAAGCATTCTTCAAGTTCTTCCTCAAAATCTTCACACGAAAAATCACTACTTTATAAAATGAAATCAGGTTCTGAATGAAATTGAATTTCATTCTTATACATATATAGAGTTATTAATATTTACAATCAATTTATTTAATTATATATTGCATAATTTTTTTTTGAGAAAGTACTTGTATTCAAGTACTTTTATATTTAGATCGTAAGTTTTTTTTAACTGTGAATTAAAACAAAATTAGGTTCAACTTCACTCTGCGAATTTGAATTTAAGTGAAAATTCACTTTGAATGTGAAGTCGTCGACGAGAGGAAAGCAGGGTTTCTACTATTCAGGGTGATCACAAGTTTCAATTTATCAACTTCCCTGACAATTTAGACATTTAAATTACTTTCCCTAAAAAAATTCTTTTTACAGAGGAAAATATTAATGTTTATGGAAAATGAGTAAACTTTATGAATTTTAATAATTTCTAAAACTTAGAATTATAACTCTTCCTGACTTTAATTATTTTCTACAATTTTCAACTAAACTTCATCTCGGAATCAATTAATTTAAATAATTTTCCAAAAATTCTTCTAGAATTCAATTATTTAAATACATAAACTCAATTTTTTATAATCATTCTGACTCTTCATAGTTTTTTCTTAAGTTATTAAGGTATAATATTTTCAAAAAATTATGATAAGGAAATTCATACAATTAGTATTTTAAAAATATTTAAAAATAATTTTTGAACGATAAAAATCTTTTAAAAATAATTGATTATCAAATTTTTGAAGAATTTTAATTATAAACATGACCATGATTTCTCAAAAATTTTAATAAGTCAAAAAAGTTAATTTTGAATCTTAAAAAATTATTAGAAAACAATTCTAATAATTACTTTTTAAAAATATTTTATTAATGCCATTTTACGAAAATAATTGTATTTCTTAAAAGAATTTTTGTATAATTTAAAAAACTAATGAATTTTAATTAAAAATTTTGAACATTATTGTTTTCTCCAATATGTTAAAAATAATTCTAAAATGTTATTATTTTTGGAAATATGTAATTGAAAATATTAAAAATATTGAATTTTAAAAAATTAGAAGCTTATTTTCATTTTTAAATTTACCTTTAAAGATTTTTTATTAAAATTTTTGATAATTCAATTATATTCAAAATTTGCAATTAAAATTCTTCAAAAGTTAATTTTCAGAAATTGTAACAAAATACTTGAAATAAATAAATTATTTTCAATTAAATTTTACAAAATTTTAACTATTCAAAAACAATTTTTGAAAGATTTGTTTAGTTATTTTTTTTGGGGAAAAATTTGTAGAAACCCTGGAAAGTGCTTTTCACTCAAAAAGTTAGTGGGAAAAAAAAAAGTTTTCTTACGTTGACGTGTTTTAACGTATACTCAGTGAATTTTCACTTATTCAGATTTGGAGAGCACATTTTAGTTTTTTTCAAATAAAAGATGTTACTATAACAAAATTTAAATTCAAATGCAATTTTTAACAATTTAAAGTAACAGAATGAAGAATTTTATTTAAAAAATATTTTTAATTAATTAAAGATTATTCTTTTGTTTTTAAAAACACGAAAATTCGAAGTTAGAACAACTTTTATGTAAATCAAATTCTTCCTTAAGGTAGTTTACTTACTTACTGATTTTACTTTCCTAATTTGGAAATTAAAAAAAAACTGAAAAGCAAATAATTTCTTTTATTTAATTAATTATTGAAAATAATGAATTTATAGAAGAATTTTAGTTAAAAACACCTTAAAGAAATTGAATTCTGAAGAAGTTACAAATGATTGGAGAAATTCAATTATTTTCAAAAGAAAATAAAATTCTTCGCAAAAATTCAATTCTTTTCAAAAATTAAAAAAAATTCTTGTCAAAATTTCAATTGTCTTTATATAAATAATAAAATTCTTCTACGAAATTCAATTATTTTGAACAATTTAAATAAAATTCTTCTACGAAATTCAATTATTTTGAATAATTTAAATAAAATTGTTGTCAAAATTTCAATTATTTACGAAATTTTTCCTCAATTCAATGATTTTCAATACATATTTACTATTTTAATAAAATTTCCCAAAAGTATTCAATTGTTTAAAAAAATTTTTGATAAAATTCTACGGAAGCATTTAATTTTTTTTCATAAATAATTGAAATTTTCCAGGAATTCAAATATTTACAAAATTTTTTATAAATTTCTACATAATGATTTCCTTATTTTCATAAATAATAATATTCGTTTAGGAATTCAATTATTTTCATAAATAATAAAATTGTTATAGAAATTCAATTGTTTTCATAAATAATAAAATTATTCACACGAAATTCAATTATTTTCATAAATAATAAAATTCTTCACATGAAATTCAATTATTTTCATAAATAATAAAATTTTACAAACGAAATTCAATTATTTTAATAAAATTCGTTGCAAGAATTCAATTATTCAATAAACTATTAATTTCTTTATTTAAATAATTGAATTCTCGTAGAATTTTCTAATAAAAATTGATTTAAAACTGAATTTCAGTTGAAATTTTAGATAATAATTGAATTTTCCGAATAATCGATGAAATTTCATAAAATTGAATATTGAAAACAAATGGATTTGAAAATTCTCAAAGAACATTGTTAAAAAATTATTAAAAATAATTAATTTAAAGAATAATTTTGTTTGAAAATTCTAGAAAATAATAATTCAATTTATTGAAATGATGAAAATAATTTTGAACAAGTATGTTTAAAAATCTCAATTCCAATGGAAAAATTATGATTAAATATTTATTTTAATTAAAACTATTAATGTTTTCGAATAATATTGCAATTGAAGAAATTCGTAAATTAAAAATCAATTATTTTTCCTTGACAAACTGTAACAAACTACTTTAAGATATTATTGTTCTTTTTTCATAAAGTACTCTCATAGAATTATTTAGGTCATAATTTTTATACAAATCTACTTTTACAATAATGCAGAACAAATATTTTTGATTTTATCCTTTTCATCGATTCTTGTTTCTTTTCTGCAAAATCAGACTTCTATACTGCGTAATTTTGTACATATTTAGATAAACTGCCACAATTAATTGTTATAAAACTTATAAAGCTGAAAGAAGGCGTATTTGAAGAACAAAAAAAATCCAAGACATCAAAAAAGTTAATATACAAAATTGTGTAAATTTAATTCATTAAACTGAAATTGAATTATTCAGATAATTAATTACTAGTTTCATTAATTATTATTTAGTTTTATCGATTATTGCTTCCTCATAGAGGAAGTATTTAAATAATAAATTAATAAAAATAATAAATTAATTAAATTAATCAAATTAATCTAATTAATTAAATTAATTAAATAATTAATTATTTTTATTATTAAAAAGTTAATTTATCAAATTAATACTTTTCATGATAGATAAAAATGATTTGAAAATAGATTCCGTATCGGGATAATTAAACGAAGAAATTATGGGCGAATGAGGAAAATTTTACGGTTCATTTATAATACCAATATATTTTTGCGATTTTTAATTTCAAGTTTTTTAATCCCTACGTCCCATTGAAAATTTGGCAAGAGTCATTTCGTTTCTCGAGTGTAACTTATTAGCTAAGTTTCATTTTTTTTTTCTTTTCGGGTGAAGGGTACGAGGGTGGGAACATATTTACAACGGGTCATGTGGATTACATTAGCATTCGCAACATACATTCGTACACACATACAAACACTCATGTTTCTTTACTCTACATATCTATATATATGTATATGTTAAACACAGTTTCGCGTGTATTAATAAATACACACACATATATACATAGGTATATAAATCTCGTAACTTGTAAACCATGCATACGCGCTCAATTTTACATATATACGCCACTTGTGTTTATTTATAAGTAGTAGAGTACATTCACCTCCATTCGGCCAATAGAACACTATTATTTCACTCTTTAAAGTGCAAAAAAGTTTTCTCCGCTCGATAATCCAGAAGGAAAATGAAAAAAAGAAACTTTAGTCAATCCGAAACAATTCTGTTTTTTTTTAAATTATTCAAAATTTTCTACTAATTACTTGAATTCTCAAAATTAATAAATTTCTGAATAACAAAATGCTCCACATTTTAAATGATTAAAAAATTCCCAAATCAAAAATTTGAAATTTCCAAAAAAAATTTCCATGAGGAAAAAATACAATATCTAGATTGACTAAAGTTTTACACAGAATTAGAAAAATCGGAAAAAATCGTTTTAACAGAATAAATATTAGAAATTCTACATAAGTTTTTTTTTTCTCTTTTCAATAAATGTAAAATTTTTGCATAAATGCGAGCGTAAATGTTAAACCGAAAATCGATAAAGAGACGAAATGAAAACATAATTAATTAACGTCGATTCTTTTTTTTAGTCTGTTTTAACTCTCCCTTAATCTAGAGAAATGTATAATCCTACTTTTAATCACGGTCCTGCGAGCGACCGTTCTTACACTTCGAATTGTATTTACGTTACACGCACAATTGACAATCTTCAAATTATTTTTCCTCAAACTTGGATGGACTTAAAAAACGGTCAATGGGCTTATTAAATTACATCGAAGTATAATCCGGACGTTTTCGAACATTTCGATGCGAACTTTCCGCCGCAATATTCACTTTTTTCTCTCCCATCTTTCTTTATATCCTTTTTTTTTTTAATTACAGCTATTAGCGTGAGAAAAGTCAATCTGTGCGTTGCAACAAAAAATTATGTTAACAAACGAGTCTTTACATCTTTTACATGTACGGAAACAGTTTTTTTTTTATAAAAAAATAATCGTCCATTGCTTCTGAGGTTTAAAAAGTCTATTTTCATTTATTTCCATTCTTAAGAATGAAACTTGTGGAAAATTATTGTAAATATAAATTTTCTTTCATAAATAAAATACATTCTCAATTTTTTATGAGAAGGTAGAAAAAAATAGTGAAAAATTGTAAAGTTTACTTTTATAAGTAAAAAAAAAATTTGAAAAAGAATGCAATTAATATTGAGTCTATTTTTTGATCGATTACAAGTGTGTATAAAAATCTACTGTTCATTTAATCGGGAAATTTAGCTATTTTTCTAGAGTAGAAAATTCTTTAAATCTGACAATTCCATTTTTTTGTTCTGTACAGTCAACGCTTATCACCGTCAGAAGCCTGAACCGGATTGCACAATTTTTTTTCTTTTTAATTTCAAAAACACAATCTACGTTTTCCATTTTCCAGATTCTCAGTCCATTAGCTTTTTTCTAATAAAATTCAATTGTTTTTGAAAAGAACAAAAAAATTATGATACTTCGGGTGAAAATTTGTTTGAATTTCTATTGACAAATATAAACAGTGGAGAAATTAAATATTTCTTTTCACTATTTTTCTGCAGATATCAAATTTTTGCAAAATTCAATTATTATTAAGAATTTAATAAATTCCTGAAAATAATTAAATTTTGCAAAGAATTTTAATAAAATTTCTGAAAATTCAATTTTGCAAAGAAATTTTATTTAAATTCTTAAGAATAATTGAATTTCGCAAAGAATTTTATTAAAATTTTTGACAATAATTGAATTATTCAAAGAATTTGTTTTTAAATTCCTGAAAATAATTGAATTTTGCAAAGAATTTTACTAAGATTTCTGAAAGTTTAATTTTCCAAAGAATTTTTTTTAAATTCTTGAAAATAATTGAATTTTGCAAAGAATTTTATTAAAATTTTTGAAAATTCAATGTTGCATAGAATTTTTTTTAAATTCTTAATAATAATTAAATTTTGCAAAGAATTTTTGTTAAATTCTTTGAAAAATATAATTTTGCAAAGAATTTTTTTAAAATTCTTGAAAATAATTGAATTTAAATAAAATTCTTTGCAAAATTAAATTTTCAGGAATTTTAATAAAATTCTTTGCAAAATTAAATTATTTTCAAGAATTTAAAAAAAATTCTTTGCAAAATTCAATTATTTTCAGGAATTTAAAAAAAATTGTTTGAAAAATTAAATTCTCAGGAATTTTAGTTTTGCAAAAAATTTTAATTCTTTGCAAAATTCAATTATTTTCAAGAATTTAACAAAAATTATTTGCAAAATTCAATTATTTTCAAGGATTTAAAAAAAATTCTTTGCAAAATTCAAATATTTTCAAAAATTTAACAAAAAATTTTTTCAAAATTGAATTTTCATGAATTTTAATGAAATTCTTTGCAAAATACAATTAATTTCGACAAAAGAACGAACGTTTTTTGTCTCAATTTGATATCCACAGAAAAATAGTGAAAACTAAGTACAAAAAATATAATTATTCTTTTTCATAACGCGGTGCAAAAAAGGGCACTTTTTTGCACCTTGTTATGAAAAATATCGTTCGTAACTAGTGCTAGCAGTTGCCAATTTTTAAACGAGCACTTTTTCTGGAACAAACTGTAGGCGAAGCTTCGCTTCGCCTACAGTTTGTTCCAAAAAAAGTGCTCATTCAAAAATTGACAACTGCTCGCACTCGTTACGAAATATACTATTAAAGTATCATAATTTTTTTGCACCAATTTTCATAAATTGCGATATAAATTTCCTATGATCGAAATATAATAATCGAATGACCCTTTTTCTTTTTCTCTCTCTCTTATTTTTCGAGACTCGGAGATGCTTTCAGAGAAGGCGATTCCGAGCCCGGAAGACCGTATTAAAAATTACAATCAACGCAGATTGACGTACGAACCGCGACACATTTTTAGAGATCGTACCGATCGCCGTACACAAGACGTGGGTTTTTTTTTTTTTTTTATAAAGCTAGTTTGTTCGTAATATTACCTAAATAAATACAGTACATATAGAGAGATACATAGGGTCCTTGATTCCTGGAAACCAAAAAATTGAGAAACTAATGAGTATTTAAGTACAAGAGAGAAAGAGTGATTTTTCCATATTTGAATATTTTTTTTAAAAAAATTTTTCTTTCAAATTTCTGATTACCAGGGATCAACACAAACACTTCACGTCCGTACATCGCTCGGATCTTGGCAGATATAACATAGCATCGACTTATACATTACAATAATATTAATAATAATATTAATAATAATAATAATAAGAATAATAATTATAATTATCAATAATAATTATAATTATCAATTATAATAATTAATCATAAACATTTGTTCATTGCGCATAGAGAGCCTTGGCAGTGCGCGCGCTGAGTCTTACAAAATAACGCATTTTCTGCCCGAGACACGAAAAATGCAAAAAATTATTAAAAAAAAAAACACAGTCAAGTGTAAATGCACTGGAAGGAGTATTATTTTTATCATCGTCATCGATCCGATATGATCCATTTCATGAATGACGAAAAGAACCCACTTTTGTTTCTCGTCCTTTTTTGCAAAATTCACTTTGAGATTTTTCCCTAATATTATATTTTACTAAGTTTTCAATTAAAATTTAAATTTAAATTCTTCTTTGTATTTAATTTTGATATTTTCTATTTTATAAACATTTGTCGATTTTTTTTCTACTTTGATCAAAGTTTAATAAAAATAGGACGAGAAACAAAAGAAAAGTTCGAAGGGCGAAAAAGAGCGGAATGGTTGGCGCACTCGTGATTTAACATTAAATCTTGTCACATTATTAAACCTATGGATACCGAATGGCCTCGGGCACTGGTATAAAAAGTTTTTTTTTTAAAGACCTACGCTTACGACAATTTACAATTATAATAATCAAAGTTTTGGGAATGACAGTGATGACAATGAGAGATTGATTGATGATCGTTTTTTTTTTGTTTTATGACAATGATGACTTTTTTTTTAAAGAGAAACATGATGTTATAAACATGATAGCAGTATACGTTCCTTGAGGATAAAAAAAATATGTTCCTCTAAATGTATAATAAAATTGATTAGTACAAGTAAATATTACAAAACAAAAGTAAGTCTTTGTACAAAAAAAAAAAGGAAAAAAGTAGTCGAAATTTTTTCGACAATTTCATCAAAGAAAACGGAATATTAATATTATTAATATATTTTGTTTTCATTTTATACTTAAACGTAATTTTCAGAAACAAAATTAGTAATTATCAATAACCATTGTCTAATAATAGTATTGATAAATACACTAATGGGAATTGTGGCAAACTTTTTTCTCATGAGAAAATAAATTCGGTTTTGTAAAAAATCTTTTTTTTTCTCGTTTTAAATCTGTTTTATTTTATAGTTTTTTTTTAATTTCCATAAGTTTTTATTTTATTTTTCAAAAAGAGAGAATTTAGCTATATTTTTAACGATTTAAAAAAAATGATGGATGCAAATCTTCAATGCAAATCATTTTTATAGTATTTTTTTGAGAGGAAATAAAAAGTTCGGAAAATATTTCCACAATTTTGAATTTTTTTTCAATTCACAGATTTTAAAATCCATCCGCAACTTTTTCGAAAATGTTTTTGTAACCACAAAAAAATTGACGAAAATAATTGAATTTTGGAAAGAATTTTATTAAAATTCCTGAAAATTCAATTTTGCAAAGAATTTTTTTTAAATTCTTGAAAATTCAATTTTGCAAAGATTTTTTTTTTAAATTCTTGAAAAAAATTAAATTTTTCAAAGAATTTTATTAAAATTCCTGAAAATTGAATTTTGCAAAGAATTTTTTTAAAATTCCTGAAAATAATTGAATTTTTCAAAGAATTTTATTAAAAATCCTGAAAATTTAATTTTCTAAAGAATTTTTTTTAAATCCCTGAAAATAATTGAATTTCTACAAAGAATTTTCATATTCATCAAAATAATTGAATTCTTTGGAAGAATTGCATTGAATTTTTAAATATTAATAATTCGTAATAATTTGATCATTTATTTTTATTTTTACTCCAAAAAAAACTGCCGCAGAGCGTTAAATATAAATTTTTATTAATTTTGTTGATTAGAGAAAATTTTTTCTTGCAAAATAAGAAATTTCTTGAATTTTTTTTCAATTCACAGATTTTAAAATCCATTCGCAATTTTGTAGAAAATGTTTTTGTATCCACAAAAAAATTGCTAAACGAAAAAATTGATCTTTACTTATTTTCGAAGCATTTTTTAAAAATAGTTTTTAGGTTGAAAATGCCAAAAAATAGTATTTTTTCAATTTTTTATGCGGAAATTCATTTATTGATTTTTAATTTTAATTCATAATTTTTAAAAATATAAATGTAGAAAATGATAAAATTGACTTGAAATGTAGTTAGAGACATAAACAAATGAATTTCATCATAAAAAATCGAAAAAAAAATATTATTTTTGATCATTTTTGACCTAAAAACGTTTTAAAAAAAAATTTTCAAAATAAAAATCTATTTTTCATTTGAAAATTTTTTTTATACAAAAACACATTTTCTACAAAAGTAGGGATGAATTCAAAAAATTCAATTTTTGTGAAAAATGAACATTCAAAAAGGGTCTGAAATTATTTTCCGCCTATTGAATTTTTCTCCATATAGTTAAAAATGTAGCCGAACCCTCTCCTGAAATTAATTTATTAACAATAGCAACCGAATTTTTTTTTCCATTAAAAATTATCTAAATTTTTTAACTTTTTATTTTTCTCGGCGAGTGTAATTCACCAAATGTCAAATTTTAAAATCAAATTTGAATCAAACTGTCAGTTTGACTTTCAGTTTGACTTTCAGTTTTACTTTTAGTTTCACTTTCAGTTACACTTTCAGTTTCAATAACCGAAAATTTTTATTTTTTCAGTTTCAATAACTGAGTTTTAATTTTTTCAATTATAATAATTGAATATTTTTTTTTTTTTAACAAATTCATTTTTAATGAGAAAACAGATGATCGAATTCCCAACGAGAGTGTACTATTGTATAACAATAATATTGACAAACAATCAATTACTATTTGTGCAAAAATAGCATTATTTTATGAATGTCAATAATTGATTATTTAATCAGAGTTTAAAAAAAAGTGTTAAAATAAAAAATTAAAAACAAAGCAAAAATAAGAAATTTACGTACTTGGAAATACGTAGCTAGGCCTAGAGTAGACTGAGCTGCTCTCTTGACTTCATTATTCCCCCCGACCCTAATTCATTTTGTTTTGTTTTTTTTTATTTTCCCTTTAACCTTAGTTACCATTTATAGAAATTTAATATCTTTTGTTTTCTTTCGTGCTCTTCCTTCATCCCTTTATTTTACACATATATAGTCCCTCTCTAGCTAGCTCACTACAATCCGCGTCTGTTGAGTGATTTCTTGCTTCTCATATATATATTTATTTATATATATGTATATTTTTATATATATCTTATGTAATTTTTTTTTAATTATATAACATATCATCAATAATAATAATAATGAAGATAATAGGCATAGCCACTCGTGTGCTCGGATCACAGACTACTCGCTGCTGTATACAAAAGAATTATGTATACAAACAGTCTGGTGGACACTATGGCTTTCTCACTTGCATTTTTTTTTTGTTATCCCTTTAACAAAGTCTATTTTAAAAATCTTGTTAGTTACCTTACACGAACTTTGACAGAAGAAGGTGTCGATGTTTTAGTGAGGGATTTTTCTTTTTCGTCATCATTTAATGGACGGTAAGGGTAGTTTTCTCTCCTCTCCTCTCTTCAATATAGTTTTTTTTTCTTTCTTTCTTTTTTGGATTAATTCTGTGAGAGTTCGTGCGAGGGTGTTTTTCTTTTTTTGAAAATCGCTTAAAAGAAAACTGTTGTGTGCCGGGCGATAATTGGGGGGGAGAAACCGCAAATATTGTCGAATTAAAAATTGTGAAAAAGTTTAATCCGTTGAACAAATTTGTGTGGAGTTCCTCTCTCGTCAAGTCGCGTGGGCTTGGTAAATTTGTACATATGTAACGAGGTGTATCCTGATGCTTTCAAGTGGAGGCACTAATCAGTATTTCTGGAGAAATCGACGGGTTCCACAATAATTGATGAAAGGTTGTGTCAGCAGGCACTAGTCTCTTCTCCCTCGAGTGTGCACGCCACATTTTCCAATCTATGTGCTAGATGTAACTTGCGACAGCCAGCATCTGTCTCCAAGGCCTCGAGAATCTGAATTAAAAAAATTATTATTTTTTATATATTTATTTATTTAAACTGTGACGCTCCGCGACAAAAAAAATCTTAGCTTTCAAGATTTTTAGGTAATAGGTATTTGTTATAATTTCAATTTAATTATGATTTTTCTTTGATTTAGCAAAGAATATTTTTTAAATTCGTGAAAATAATTGAATTTTGTAAATAATATTATTAAAATTCCTTAAAATTGAATTTTGCAAAGAATTTTCTTAAAATTCCTTAAAATAATTGAATTTTTCCAAAAATTTTATGAAAATTTCTAAAAATTGAATTTTGCATTGAATTTTTTTAAAATTCCTGAAAATAATTAAATTTTGAAAAGAATTTTATTAAAATCCCTGAAAACAATTGAATTTTGTAAAACATTTTATTAAAATTCTTAAAAATTCAATTTTGCAAAGAATTCTAATAAAATTTCTGAAAATAATTGAATTTTGTAAATAATTTTATTAAAATTCCTTAAAATTGAATTTGGCAAAGAATTTTTTTAAATTCTTTTAAATAATTGAATATTGTTATTATGAAAATAATTGAATTTCGTAAAGAATTTTATTAAAATTTTTAAAAATAATTGAATTTTTTAAAGAATATTTTTTAAATTCGTGAAAATAATTGAATTTCTACAAAGAATTTTTATTTTCAGCAAGATAATTGAATTCTTGTAAAGAATTGCGTTAAACTTTAAAATACTCTAATAATTCGTAACAAGTGATCTTGTTTTTTTTATTTTTACTCCAAAAAACTGTCTTGGAGCTCACATATAATTTTTCATTAAATTTATTGATTAGAGAAACTTTGCTCTGCAAAATAAGAAATTTCCACTCAATTAAAGTAGAGGAAAAAAAAGAAATTTAAATTCCGGACGACATACTTAAAATTGTTATATTATTAATTTTCCACAATAGAAAATTTCATTAGTGCTTTTGCACTTAAGCCTTATTTTCAAGCAGACGATGGAAATGAATAATAAATAAGAGGATATGTGAGAGTAAAGTGGCTAAAGTGTTGCACTCCAAAGACCCTTTTCTCTCTAAATTGTTTCGTGAAATTTATATACGTTCTTACTTTGCATCACACACAGAATTTCCGAGAGGAGTAATTTCGATTTTATTAGAGTTTAGAATGCTATAAATTCAACAATACTCCTAATTAAGAAAAAAGAAACAACAATCAAAATCTGCAAATCAAGAAAAATTTAATTTACATTCAGATTCAAAAATTCTTTACACTGAAAAAAAATGTTATTTGAATTCAAATAACTCATCACTTGAATATTATCAAATTAATATTTACTTGAATCAAATCATTTTTATTTGAATCAATTATTTCAGTACTTTAAGTAAATATGAATTGAACCATTTAATTGATTCAATTAAAAATTATTTTATTCAAATAAATATTTATTTGATAATAGACAAATAACCGGCTATTTGAATTGAATTCAATTTTTTTTCAGTGTGCATTTTACTATTTGGAAAAAATCTGTTTGTTTTCAGAAAATTATCCTCATGTTTCGAACGTTCAAATGAACAAAATTTACTCATTTCTTCTTCAAATAAAATTTTTCTTACTTTAATTTTGCGTGTCACTATCAAACAAATTAATTATATAAAGTTTCTAAACGTAAAATTTGAGTTTTTAATTTTAATTCTAAACAGTAATTTATGAAAATATTTTTCTAAACGTTTAAAACTTTTTGTTTATTTCAGAAAAATGAAAACACAGGCCTCGATTAAAAACTGAAAAAAAGTCGAAAAAGTCGTTTATTTAATTTAGTGTTGTCACAAAAATTTTATTTTGTATTTCCTTGATTTTTAAATTCAATTAATCAAAACTTGTATAATTTTGCTAAATAAATATTTAAATACTTATTATTTTTGTTTTCAAAGGAAATAAAATATTTAAAAATTTCAATTTCTGAAATTTGATCATTTCTAAAAATTATAATCTACAACCCTTCCAAAAATAATCAAATTTTTCGAAGAATTTTAATTATAAATGATTTCTCAAAGATTCTAAAATAGTACATTTTTAAAAATTTTAATCTACTTTGTTCGAAGGTTATTCAATCTTAAAAAAATATTATAAAACAATTCTGAGAATTAGATTTTTATAAATATTGTAATGTAATTTTTCGAAAATAATTGAAGAATTTTTGTAATTTTAATTTAAAAAAAAAATAATTTATTAATTTAATAATTTTTAGAACCTAATTTTCATTAATTTTCATTTTTATTGAATTTACACTTGAAGATTATTCATTAAAATTTTTGAGAATTCAATTATTTCCAAAAGTTTTAATTAAAATTGTTTAAAAGTAAATTTTCGAAAATTGTAATAAAATACTTGTAGAAAATAAATAATTATTTTCAATTAAATTTTACAAACAGACTTCGCACTCGGTAATTAATTTTAAAAAAGTAGCAAAAAGTAGCTTTCAAACTAAAAAAAAATTGTAAAAAAGTAGCTATCGAAAAATTAAACTTGACGACCAAAAAAACTCGTTTTAAAAACTTTACAAAACAAAATGCCTCAAAATAATTGAATTTTCGGGAATAATTTTGTTTTAATTTATCTAAAAGAATAATTAAATTATTTTAAGAAAAAAATTTAATTAAAATTGAATTTAAAATAATTGATTTCTTTCGAACAATTTTATTATAATATTTTTAAATAATTGAATTTTTGTAAATAATTGAATTCTTTCAAAGAATTTAAAACAAACATTCTTTTAAATAATTGATTTTTTCGAGGAATTGAAATTAAATTTTAAGAATAATTACATTTCTCGATCAATTCCTTTAAAATTGTATTAAAAATAATTGAAATCCTGCGATGAATTTTATTATTAAAATGTTTGAAAAGAATTGAATTTCTGTGGGAAATTTTGTTATTTTTTAAAATAATTGAATTCTTGTGGAAAACTTTATTTAGAAAAATATATTCGAATTTTTCGTTTAATTAATTTAAAATAGTATTAAAATAGTAGGTTTTAGTAGATGAGTGCGAAGCCTGTAACAAAATTTCAATTATTCAAAATCTTTTTAATTGTATATTTCAAAAATTTAATTAGAAAAATTATTCAAAAATAATTTTTGAAACTATTTATCTACAGCCATTTTTTATACTGTAAAAATTGAAAAAAAGTTGCATTTTATACTAAAAATATGGTATTTTGTCGCAAAATTTAGAAGAAAAGTCGAAAAAGTCGCATTATTTGAAAATAGTGGAAGAAAAGTCGAAAAAGTCATAATATCCGAGGCCTGAAATAATGTTTCGATTTTTAATGAATAAGAAAAATAATATTTCTCTGAAATAAGAATAAAGTAATTGAATAAAGAGTACTCACTTGTTCGTAGTATTTACTGACATAGATATACAACTCCTTAAGTGCTGCGATCACATCAAACTCATTAGCATGTGACGCACTGAGTTGTTGCATGGCACTCGACATTTCCTGATCAGTGATTTGCGGTAGTCTCTGTACATCCAAATAAAAGCGTCCGACCTTTTCTCTATAGTGAGGTATATCCTTGGCGAATAACAATTTATTCGATGGCGAATCCTTGCCGAGTCGATGTTCAGTCGTTGAACACGCGTCCATGAATGTTTGCGCAATCACCGACAGACTTGAATCAACAGTTGTTGTTTTATTAATATCAAACATAAAATCAGGATTTTTGATAAAATTCACCCAAAATCTCAATGGTAAACTATTCGATTTCCATGCATGAGGTACTTCGGGATCAACAATTCCATGCCTCTTGGCAGCCTCATCCAATAGATCAAATAACCATTTGACAGCACTCGGCAATGCGTCATTTGCCGTGAGAATTGTATTCAAGAAATCGTCAACAAATTTCTGTACAGTTCCCTTCGTTGATAATAAACGAGTGAGGAATATCTCAGGTATTGCTTTATGTGTTCGTTCCGGATTGTGATGTTGCTTACTACTTGCGTAGCCCATTCCCGGGCCGTAGTGAACTTCATCCAATGGCCTCACGAGATGATAAAGTCTCTGATTGCCACCGTGACCACTTTCAATATCGCCATTCGCCGTGATCATCGGCGGCGAATGTTGAGGATCGAAATAAATACCACCACCTGGCGGATGTGAGTACAATGTGGGACTGATCAATCCATGATTTGGCGTTGTTGGTAAGTGCAATGTTGAACAATGATTAATGTGTCTATTGTAGTGCTGTTGATGAAGATGCTGCTGGGGTAGAAGATGTTGATGGGATGGTTTGCAATTGTGACAGGGTTGTTTACAAGCAACTGAGAAGCCGTCATTCTGTCTGGGAATTAACGACATGACAGCAGATTCTTTCACTCCATAGTGAGCGAGAGTGTTGATCTTCTTCCAATCGCCATTGCACTTTGTGGTTAAATCCTCGTCCTGGAGAGTGAGATGACCACCGCGTCCATGCCTCCATTCGAGATCAACCTCATGGACGGAGGGTCGGAGAGAAAAGGGTGTATTTTTATACAACGCGTCCAGAATTTTCGACTTCACTTGACTTATCGTGTCGCAATCGAGCACTTTGCATTGAATCTTCTCGTCGAGATCGTCCTGCACGACGTGGAGTGTGACAACCGAGTGATCGATTTGCTCCCGAAGGAGACGCTCCTCAGACAGGGAGTACCTTGCATCGTGTGTTATAACATCGACCGGTCCTTTCTCAATCTGATGCTTAATTGCCTTGAAGAGGAGAAAGAGCGACGAACCCGCGTAGTCCTTCAAGTAGTTGTACATACACAACGCCATCCAATTTGTCAGCATTTTCTCCACAACCGATTCTGTTCGTCTCAACATTAATTGCGGATGTTTCGTATCCACTGATTTGTCAATGAGTCGCAATAGAAGATTCATCAAAATATCGGTGGCGTATTCCATTTTACTCATGAGAACGATCATAAGAAGAGAAGCAACGTTCACCTTGTCCCTGATATTAAAGTCCTTCTGTGCTTCCAAAGTTTCAATGAATGTCAGAATAAAACACTTGTTATTAACCAATTGATCAAACTGCACCATCGCCGCATCGTAATTTGTCCTTGTCAATGTCGATTTACTCCTCGGATCGTTCAAAATCGGATGATCTATAACCCCGGGAAAGAAGACTTTCATTATATAATTCTTATGATCCAATGTCGGTATCCCCGACGACTCCAAATCAGCCGTCAGGTCCGTCATATCAGTTTGCAATTCAGCAAACGCCTGCTTACATTCCATTCTCACGTTACTCTCCAAAGTGTCCATTTGAATCTGAATTCTCTTATACTCCCTCTCGGCCTGTGTACTCTTCCTTCTGTAAATCACCAAGACTAGTGCGAAGAGAAACACGAGTCCAAGAGTGCCAGCGGCGATGCCCGCTATTGCTTCCGGTGGAATTGGATACGACTTAATCACGTCATAATGTAGATAGCCAATTGGAAAACGAAGACTACGACCGATTCGAACGACAACAAGAGGTAAACCACGATCTGTCTTTGCTCCAAGTTCGTCTGTATCGGCAGGTTGCTGATCCGGTGGTATGCAGACCAATTGTGTCAAAGCAAGTGAAGTGACGTTACAGGGCAAAGTACCGACAGTTACATTCACATCGGACTCATCACTTGCGTAAATTAAATTCTCACCCTCAATGACAAGTGTATCACCTTTGTAAAGTTTCACATCACGTGGGAATGGAAAGAATTTCGGATCTTCAACGTACAGAAGACGATTTCTCATATTTTGAAAGTGTTTCTCTAAATCGCGAACCGTTTCTACATTGTCCATGATAAAGCCAATTTTTAGGGCCAATTGCGTTTCCTTTCTCTGCGTTGTTCTCTTATTCCGTTTCCTAATCATGCTCAACTGTAACAAAAATAAAATGTTAATCAGATTTTGCATCAAAATATTACTATAATTAGAATAGTTTTACTTAAAATAAATATTTCATTATTATTATTATTATTTTTCCTTAAAAATTAAGATTTTCAAAAAAATTCAAAATCTTTTTGAAATTCAACAACTTGTAGAAATATTATTAAAAAACATGAAGATATCGATAACTCGGAGTGATCGATTTCTTCATGTTTTATAATAAATTTAAGATAACAGAATGATAAAATCATTATTTTATATTATAAGAATATTGTTACTGTAACTTAAAAAATAAATTAAAAAAATTAAATTAAAAATAAATTAAATTAAATTAAAATAATTAAAAATTACTTTCATATTCAATTATTATCTAAAATTTAAACTAAAATTCATTTTTAAATCAATTTTTATTAGAAAATTCTACAAGAATTCAATTATTTAAATACAAAAGTAAATTATTTATTGAATAATTGAATGTTTCTTAAAATTTAATTCTCATAAAGAATTTTATTAACAAATTTTTAAATAATTGAATTCTTTTGACGAAATTTTAATAAAATTTTTTAGAATAGTTACATTTTTTAAGGAATTTGATTAAAATTGTATTCAAAATAATTGAAATTCTGAGGTGAGTTTTATTATTTCTGAATATAATATAATTACTCAGAAGAAACTTATAAAAAATTTGTAAATATTTGAATTCCTGTGAAATTTTTATTAATCATGAAAATAATGAATTGTTTGCGTACAATTTTATTTAAATTGTTTTTAAAAAATTGAATTCTTTTAGGTAATTTTATTAAAATAGTAGATATTCAAAGTCATTAAAATGAGGAAATTTTTTTAAATAATTGGAATTTTGACAAGAATTTTATTAAAATTTATTGAAAATAATTATTTTTCTAAAGTTTAGAACATTCAAATGAATTAAATTTGTTTCTGTTTGAATATTTTCTCAACAATTACTATAAAAAAAAAGAAAAATAGTTCAAATTAAATATTAACTTAGTTATTTAAAACAATTTCTCAATTATACAAAATAATTTTTATATAAAAAAAGACAAATTAAAATAATTAAAACAAAATTATCGTCTATTTAAACGTCTAAAACTTTAGTGACGTAAATAATTGTATTTCTCCAAAGAATTTCATTATTTTTAAAAATAATTAAATTCTTATGATGAATATTGTTATTTATGAAAATAATTTAATTTTGCAAAGAATTTTAATAAAATTCGTAAAAAATAATTGATATTTGCAATCAATTTCATTAAAATTCTTGTAAATAATTGAATTCTTGTAATTAATATTGTTTTATAAAAATAATTGAATTTTGCTGAGAATTTTATTAAAATTCCAGAAAATAAATGAATTTTGCAAAAAAATTCTATTAAAATTCCTGAAAATAATCGAATTTGGAAAAGCAATTTATTAAAATTATTAAAAATAATTTAATTATGCAAAGAGTTGTAAAAAAATTCATGAAATTATTGAATTTTGCAATGAATTTTAATAAAATTCCTGAAAATAATTGAATAATGCGAAGATTTGGATTAAAATTCATAAGAATAATTGAATTTTGCAAAAAATTTGATCAGAATTCCTGAAAATTAAATTTTGCAAAAGATTTTATGAAAATTCCTAAAATCAATTGAATTGTGAAATAAATTTTTTAATAAAATTCCTGAAAATTAAATGTTTCAAAAGATTTTATTAAAATTCCTGAAATTAATTGAATTTTGCAAAGCATTTTATTAAAATTCCTGAAATTAATTGAATTTTGCAATGAATTCTAATAAAATTTCTGAAAATAATTGAATTTTATTAAAATTCATAAAGATGATTGAATTTTGCAAAGACTTTTAATGAAATTTCTGAAAATAATTAAATTTTGCAATGAATTTCATTAAAATTCCTAAAAATAATTGAATTTTGCAATGAATGTTATTCAAATTCTTGAAAATGATTGAATTTTGCAAAGAATTTTAATGAAATTTTTGAAAATAATTGAATTTTTTAATGGATTTTATTAAAATCTCTAAAAATAATTGAATTCTTGTAATTAATATTGTTTTATGAAAATAATTGAATTTTGCAATGAATTATATTAAAATTCCTGAAAATTGAATTTTGCAAAAGATTTTATTAAAATTCCTGAAATTAATTGAATTTTGGAAAGAATTCTAATAAAATTTCTGATAATAATTGAATTTTTCAATGGATTTTATTAAAATTTCTAAAAATAATTTAATTCTTGTAATTAATATTGTTTTATGAAAATAATTGAATTTTGCAAAGAATTTTATTAAAATTCCTAAAAATAATTGAATTTTGAAATGAATTTTTTAATAAAATTCCTGAAAATAATTGAATTTTGCAATAAATTTCATTAAAATTCCTAAAAATAATTGAATTCTCGTAATTAATATGGTTTCAGAAAAATAATTGAATTTTGCAAAGAATTTTATTAAAATGCCAGAAAATAATTAAATTTTTCATAGAATTTTATTAAAATCTTTGAAAATGATTAAAATTTTCAATAAAAAAATTAAATCTACAGAATTATTGTTTAAAATGATTGGAAATTTATTTTTTCCAAAGATTTGAATTTGAAACCTTTTTAAAATTAAAGTATTTCTAAAAATTGCTATTATATTATTTTTAACTTCTTCAAAACTTAATATATTTAAAAAAAACTCACCGCTCTAAATCTACCAGCGACACTTGGACTCGGACATTCCATTTGTGTTGGATTCAAAACAGTGCAGACAGTTCTATTGACAGCTTTCGATTCATTTTCCACGTAAACTTCCATTTCAGGTTTCTGAATTGTGTCCAAATTTGTACCGTGAACAGTGATCATTCGTCCACCGGATGCAAAACTTCTCAATGGTTTTATTTCCATGATTGTTGGATCGTGAGTGTAATTATAAGGATTTCCCTCGAGTGTTCTATTCGCGCCGTCAATGCTCAGCGTGAGTCGACGTATTTTCCTGACGTGACTCGCCTTACTCGAGATACAAGTGAGTCGTGTGCTACTCGCCTGTGTCGCGTTCACATGACAAGGCAGTTCATCCAAATAGGCGGCAATTTTGCTTCCAATGTTCAGATAAGATCCAGTGATGGCAAGTCTCGTTCCTCCGCTCTGTGGTCCCACCGATGGATAGACACCGGTGAGTCTTATGTCCTTGTAGTTGAACAGCACTGCACTCTCGGTGTAACCAGCGACATTGCCCACGACAACGGTCGCCGTGTCCGTCGCCTCATGACGACCCGTTCGACAAACAATCCTCACCGACACTTCATAGTCAACCAAAACACACGGAGTATTGCCAATGTGAATTTTACCCTCGACATCCGTCTCCTTCAAACCAAGATTACTACCCTCGATGGTGACTAAAGTTCCGCCCTCAATTGGCCCACTCAGCGGTTTAATCATGTCAATTCTTGGCTTTGGACATTCGGAAAATGGCGAATGAAGACACGAGTGTCGGTAGACGCAACTATTTCCACACCAAGTGCATTCGTAACGTTTATCCCTCGTGACACATAGAGAACAATCAGCGTGCTCACGATGTGATCCAAGCACTTCGCATTTGTAAAGAACAATCGTCGTCTGATCCACGTGATGATTCGTATTCCAAACAACTGTCACTGCCGCTTCATATTCACCGGAAAGTGCCTCGTACGAGTAGATTGTTTTATCACAAACGATGAATCGACTACTGTCAACGCGCGCTTGTACACGTAAATTTGCTCCCTCAATTGTCACAATGCACTGGAAACCCGTGTGTCCAACTTGTGGATGCGGTAAATTCTCCACTTCGAGTGCAATTTCTTTCGGCACATTATTCGGCAACATGAGACGTGAATCTCGATGAACGAAACGAGGACAGTATTGCACTCCATGGGCGGCAAGATTCGCTTGATTCTGAAACAAAGGTTTTCCATTAATTCCTCTTCTTTCAGGATTGTCACAAAAATTCAATTTTCTTTTTCCCTCACTTTTCCCTGTCTCAGGGTTTCAACAAATTTCTCCTTATAAAATTCCATTTTTTTTCCATGACTTCCAGGTCATTGAATTTTATTAAAATTTTAAAAAAATTATTAAATTCCTCCCAGAATTTTATTACAATTTTTAAAAATAATTTAATTCATTCAAAGTTCAAATGAATAAAATTTTGTTTTCGTTTGAATATTTTCTCAACAATTACTATAAAAAAAGAAAAATAGTTAAAATTAAATATTAACTCAGTTAAGAAACAATTTCTCAATTATACAAAATAATTTTTTTTATAAAAAAAAAACAAATTAAAATAAGTAAAACAAAATTATCGTTCATTTGAGCGTCTAAAACTTTAGTGACGTAAATAATTGTATTTCTTCAAAGAATGTTAATACTTTTAAAATTAATTGAATTCTTGTGATGAATATTGATATTTATGAAAATAATTGAATTTTGCAAAGAATTTTAATAAAATTCCTAAAAATAATTTATATTTGCAATCAATTTCATTAAAATTCTTGTAAATAATTGAATTCTTGAAATTAATATTGTTTTATAAAAATAATTGAATTTTGCTGAGAATTTTATTAAAATTCCAAAAAATAAATGAATTTTGCAAAAAAATTCTATTGAAATTCCTGAAAATAATCGAATTTTGCAATTAATTTCTTTAAAATTCATAATAATTATATAATTTTGAAGAGTTTTATTAAAATTCATAAAAATAATTGAATTTAAATAAGCATTTAATTAAAATTCTTGAAAATAATTTAATTTTTCAAAGAGTTTGATTAAAATTCATGAAAATCATTCAATTTTGCAGAGTTTTAATAAAATTTCTTAAAATAATTGAATTTTGCAAAAAGTTGTATTAAAATTCATGAAAATAATTGAATTTTGAAATGAATTCTAATGAAATTCCTGAAAAAAAATGAATTTTTGTAATTTTAGTATAATTCCTTAAAATAATTGAATTTTTCGAAGATTTTTATTAAAATTTATGAAAATAATTGAATTTTGCAAAAGATTTTATTAAAATTCGTTTATTTCTGTGAGATTTTTATTTATGAAAATAATTAAATGTTTGCATAGAATTTAATTAATTTTTGCTTCCTCATAAAGGAAGCCTTATAGTGATGTCGATTTCCGAATTTTTTTGAGTCAATTATTTTTACAAATTTTCAAGTGTAGTATATATAATTCGTCGAGAGGAACAAATGTCCGGATGTATGTGTGTATGTATGTGTGTGTGTGTGTGTGTATGTCACCGATTCTTGTGGACAAATTTTCTCTTACACGTCTTGATGGATTTTGATAAAATTTTGTAGGTGTATTACGGTCATGAATACCAAAAATCAGACAGAAGGATTTTCAAAAATATCTAAAAAAAAATTTTTTTTCAACAATTTTTTAATTTTTGAAAAAATTAATTTTTGGATTTTTTGAAATAACTTTCTTCTATATTAAAATTTTTATTAATTGTTGTCAAAATTGCATTCCTGACATAAAAACGAATCGATTCATGTATATAAAGTATATATTTTATCAAAATTTATAGAATTAATAAATATTTTAATTTTTCACAAAAAATTGAAATTTTGTATTTTTTGACATTTTATCATAACACTTTAAAATAATTATTCTAAAATAAAAAATTAAACAATTGGTATATATTATATTGAGGAAGCTTAATGATCATGAAATGAACAACTTGTTTTTTAAATAACTGAAATCTTTTGGAAAATTTTATTAAAATAGTATAATGCAAAAAATAACTATAAACAAATCTTTCAAAAATTGTTTTTGAATAGTTGAAATTTTGTAAAATTTAATTGAAAATAATTAATTTATTTCAAGTATTTTGTTACAATTTTTAAAAATCAACTTTTGAAGAATTTTAATTGCAAATTTTGTAAATAATTGAATTATCAAAATTTTTAATGAAAAATCTTAAAAGGTAAGCATGAAAATGAAAATTAGCTTCTAACTTTTTAAAATTCAATATTTTTAATATTTTCAATTACATATTTCCAAAAATAACATTTTAGAATTATTTTTAACAATTTAGAGAAAACAATAATGTTCAAAATTTTTAATTAAAATTCATCAACAAATTCTTTAATTTTTTTAAATTATACAAAAATTCTCTTAAGAAATACAATTATTTTCGAAAAATTACATTAATAAATAAAATATTTTTAAAAACTAATTATTAGAATTGTTTTGTAATAATTTTTTAAGATTCAAAATTTACTTTTTGGACTTATTAAAATTTTTGAGAAATCATGGACCTGTTTATAATTAAAATTCTTCAAAAATTTGATCATTTTTATTTATACTTTTCAAAAATTCAATTATTTTAAAAAGATTTTACCAAATTTTAATTGTTTGGAAATTTTTCAAAATTAAAAAACTATTATCGTTGAAAAATTATTTTAAAATATTTTCAAAAAATTAACTGTAAGAATTTCTCATTTTCCGTAAACATTAATATTTTCCTACTGTAAAAATAATTTTGTTAGGGAAAGTTATTTTAATGTCAGTAAATTGTCAGGGAAATTGATAAACTGAAACTTGTGACCACCCTGAGTAATAAAGGAGCTCGAATTTCCATCACACGGGTTTACAAAAAAAACTAAAAAAAATTCCATGATCAGATTAGAAATTCCATGAGATTTCGATGATTCAATGAATCAAAATGAAATCTCATGATAATTCCATGATTTCCATGACTTGTAGAAACCCTGAATTTATAATGCAAACAAAGAACACACAAAAATTCAGAATTTTCTTATAAATTCTAAAAATTTAATTTTTTCACTCTAGTTATTGTTAAAAATAGAAAAAGTTATTATTGAGAAAATACAATTGTCATTTATAGGATCTTGTGCCAGAATATTTATTAGTTGGTTCAGAAGAAAATAAATTCTCCTTAATTAACAGTCAATACGTTGTAATTTTAGAAAAAGTGCTAAAAATGTACTTTCTCAAATTGATTATACCTACGTATGAAAAAGTTAATTAAAATTGCTTTAAAAAACCCTCATTATTAATTCAAAATCAATAAAAAATTCTATTACATTACCACCAATTTTTAAAATTGAAATAAAAATTCTTACTTCAATTAGACATAAAAGTCATATTCAATACTCTATAAATATAAGTAGCATTCAATTATTCAATTGCGTTAAATACAAAAATAAACGAAAATAAAAAAAAAATCGTTGAATTTATTTTTTATTGTCAAAAATAACCTGACGACAAATTGAGATGAAAGTAAACTTACATTCTCGCCAGAAATGATGTTTCCCTGACATCCACTGGTATTATGTGTGCATTTGTTGTCATAGACACACCAGCTGCAAGCCCATTGAGATTTAACGCAATCTGAGCAAACAGTATGCCTGGAACAATCAAAGTAGGCAAAGTTCCGCGACACAAAGTCCTTGTTGGTTTCACTGGATCGCACTGAGAGTGGAACTAAAATATGATCAGTGCCTTCGGGAATATTTGGTCTCGATGATGTCATTGGAGTTGGACAAGAGAGTCCAAAGCCTGTCATTGATGCATCAATTGGCTCGGCAATGCCAAATACACATTTATATGTTGTGCCAGTTGGCAATTCAGGCAGTGTTCTAATCGTTAATTGAACCGTTGTCATTTGATTAATTGGAATTCTATCGGGAAGCACTTGTTCAAAGTCAATGCACTGTTGTCCTGTTCCCAACGACAGCCATCTCGGACTGCTTCGACTTGCTTTTTGACAAGCTTTCCTCACGGTGCATCTAAAAAAAATATCTCATTCAAATTAAATGTATACAATCAGGGTGTTTACTATTTTGGTTCAATAAAATTTCTGCGAAGAATATTATATTACTTTTGAAAATAATATTGAATTCTTGAGACGAATTTTCTTAAAATGTTTTTTAAACAATTTAATTTCTTTGATGAATTTTAATAAAATTTTTAAGAATAATTTCATTTTTCGAGGAATTTCATTAAAATTGTATTAAAATTAATTGAAAGTCTGAGATGAGAGTTTTATTATTTATAAAAATAATGAAATGTTTGCGTAGAATTAAAAAAATTTTTTTTAAATAATTGAATTCTTTTGACAAATTGTATTACAGTATAGTAGATTTATTAAAAATCATTTAATTGAGAAAAGTTTTTGAAAATAATTGGAATTTTACTAATTTTGAAAATAATTGAATTTATGCAATCATTTGTAATTGCTTCAAAATTCAATTTCTTTTTAGTGTTTTTAATTAAAATTCTTCTATAAATCCATTATTTTTAATAATGAAGATTTTTTTTCAGTTTCTGGAAATAATTTAATTATTTTGACGAATTTTAATAAAATTGTTAAGAATAATTACATTTTTCGAGGAATTCGATTAAAATTGTATTAAAAATAATCGATTATTAATATAGATTTATTCTTTGAAATAAAGTTATAAAAAATATACGTTACCTTTTCTCCAGTGAACACCAACCACAGTAAGGATCTCTCGCTTCTAAACAGCTAGTGCAATTCGTATAACTACTGCAGTGCTCCACTTTGACTTTCGAAATTTTCGACAGTGATAAAACGTATAAATGTTCACCACTAGGTGCAATGGCAGTGTCCGCCAATATTTTCTGTCCCTTATCAACGACAATTGTCTCGTAGACCGACGCATCCATTCCTGACAGTAAAACTTTCTTCAATGTTCCTTCGCTGGTTCCTAAGAAGGCCACTGTATGACTTTCAGTTGTTGCTATACTAATAGACGTCACGTAAGTATCAGGAAAATTAACAATATTTTGCCCAACAATTGGCGAGACACCGGAAATTTTCAGGCCCACTTCACAGAAATTCAATATATTCCCAGTGGTCTGCAAATTATGAAATAAAGCATTTAGTAAACATACATAAAAAATAGAATCCTTTCTCTAATCGGAAGCAATATAAAATCAGGGTTACCACAAAACATGGATTTTAAAATTCCATAACCAAAAATCCAGGTATTTCAACAAAATTATTATTTTCTCGCCTCATAAGCAATTTTGGTCTTTTACTAATTATTTATTTTAATGTCAGAAGTCATTTAAAAAAATTAATTGTAAGAGGATTCAAAGGCGGGGAAATCAGTGATTTTTAATTTTTTTGTCATGGATTTTCCAAATATCCCGAAATTTCAACTAAATTATTATTTCCTCACTTCGGAAAAAATTTTTTTTCTTTTCTTAATTGTTTATTTCTTAATACCCCGACATGGATACTCTTGCAATTTTTTTAAAGGGCTTCTTACATTAAAAAACAAAAAGCAAAAAAAAAAAATTTTTATTGAATAAATGTTGGTAACTTCAGTTTCGTAACATTTTTTTATTTTTCTAAAATAAATTTTAATGTATTAATTTTAAAATTATGCAAAGGAAGAAAATGCAAAAGAAAATAAAATTTAGAAATGTATAATGTCAACTTGAAAACTTGAAATTTTTAGGATTCAAATAGTAAAAAAATAATAATGCTAATAAATTTTGAATTCCTGCAACGAATTTTATTATTCATGAAAGAATTTAACTATTTATAAAAATAATTTAATTCTTGCGAAGAATTTTATAAAAATGTTTAAATAATTGATTTCTCTCGACTTATTTTTATGCAAATTCTAATTTAAATAATTGAATTCCTGAGAAATTTTTAATATTCATAAAAAAAAATTATTGAATTTCTAAAAAGCATTTTATTATTTATGAAAATAATTGAATTCTTGCGAACGATTTTATTAGAATTTTTTCAAATAATTTAATTTCCAAGAAGAAATTTAATACTTTTCAAAATAATTGAATTTTGCAAAGAATTTTATTAAAATGCCTCAAAATAATTGAATTTTCAGGAATAATTTTGCTATTTATTCACATAATTGAATTCTTGAGAAGAATTACTTTTAAAAATAATTGAATTCAGGAAACAATTTTTATTAAAATCTAAAAGAATAATTGATTTCTTTCGAACAATTTTATTAAAATATTTGAAAATAATTAAATTCCTGTGAAAAATTCTAATATTTTTGTAAATAATTGAATTCTTTCAAACAATTTTAAAAAAATATTTTTTTAATAATAATTGATTTTTTCGAGGATTTGAAACTAAATTTTTAAAAAGTAATTACATTTTTTGAGAAATTCCTGTAAAATTTTATTAAAAATAATTGAAATCTTGCGATGAATTTTATTATTTATGGAAATAATTTTGAATAGTTGCTTAGAATTTTATTAAAATTTTTAAAAATATTTGAATTTCTGAGAAGAATTTTAGTATATTTATGAAAATAATTTAATTATTGCGATAAAATTGTATTAAAATTGTATTTAAAATAATTGTTTCTTTTGAACAATTTTATTAAAATGTTTAAAAATAATTGAATTCTTGTGAAAAATTCTAATATTTTTGTAAATAATTGAATTCTTCCAAAGGATTTAAAAAAAACATTTTTTTAAATAATTGATTTTTCGAGGAATTGAAATTAAATTTTTAAAAATATTTTCAGTGTGAGCAGACATTATTTAAGCAATTCCTGTTAAATATTTGTAAAAATAATTGAAATCCTGCTATGAATTTTATTATTTATGAAAATAATTGAACCTAGTTGTAAAGAATTTTATTAAAAATATTTGAATTCCTAATTATATTCTTCATAAGAATTTTATAAACGTTGTTTTAAATAATTAATTTTCTCGAAATATAATAAATATTATAAAAATGTTATTTTAAATAATTGAATTCTTGTGGAAAACTATATTTGTGAAAGTAATTGAATTTTTCGATTAATTAATTTAAAATAGTATTAAAAATAATTGAAATTCTTCGTTGAGTTTTATTATTTCTGAGAAAATAATTGAATTATTCTTGCTTAGAATTTTATCAAAAAATTATTTAAATAATTGAATTTCCATGAAAAATGTTATTATTAGTGAAAGTAATTGAATTATTGTGAAAAATTGTATACAAATTTTGTTAAATAATTGGTTTTTTCGATATTTTTTTCGAAAATGCTAATTCTAATTTAATTGAATTCTTGTGGAAATTTTTTATTTATGAAAATAATTGAATTTTGGATGAATTTTATCAATTTTTTTTTTCAATAATTGAATTCTTTTGTGAAATTTTATGAAAATACTAAATATTGAAAATAATTGAATTTCGATTATTTTTTCGAAAATAATTGAATCGTTTTAAAGAATTTGATTACACTGAGAAAACATTATACTTCATTCAAATAGAAAAATAATTTTAATAGTGATTTTGTTTAATTGAAATTAGTTTGTAAGCTTAATGCCAATATATATAGAAAATTTCTACTGCTTTGATTTAAAAAATATTATTTGTTTCAATAATTATGTTTAATTTAAATATATATTTTCTATTTTGATATAAATAAAACTTATGAACAAAATTATATTAATTATTATATTAAATTATATTTATAGTTAACAAAAATTTTATCTTTAATTCAAACTTAAAAGTTGATTATAAATAATTTAAAATCAACCATAACTTATGTTTGAATTAAATATATTATTTCTTTAAATGAACCAAAAAATATGTTTCAATTAAACTTAAAATATGTTTGACTGTATAGCAAAGATATTTTAAGTTAGATTTAAATAAAATATGTTTGAATCAAATAAATCGTTTTCTCAGTGTATAATTTTTGAGAATAGTTTTTTGATTCCTAGTATAATTAAGTAATAATTTATTTATATTTAAAGTAGTGGAAATTCCAAAAGAAAAAAAAACAAAAATAGTAGCTTTTAGTAGCTGAAATCTAAAAAAAGTAGCCAAATAGTAGTAAAAGTTAGAAAAAGTAGTAAATAGTAGGTTTTAGTAGATGAGTGTGAAGGCTGCTTTTAGAATCAGACTATAAAATTCCCTGACAATTCCAGGTTTTCCAAGACTGAAAAAAACTTCTATGACAATTCCAGATTGTCCAGGTCTGTGGCAACCCTGTAAAAAGAAAGAAAGAAGAAGAAATTCTCACCCCAGCCGCAGGACACTTTCCATCCTGAATAGGTCCACTGACATATCCCATATTTCTATACTTGATACTTCCATTAAAACACATGTGAATGTTTTCGTTGAATTTTGTTTCGATGTCCTGTAGACTATAAACGCATAGTGCAGATTTTGGCAGTGCGTCATTCGTAATTCCTTTACTTGGCGAGAAGACGGCAACAAAAATAGGATCACCAATCGATATTCCCAATTGCATTGCCAAATCACTTCCAGCAGCAGCGACTTTTGCATCTTGTACCAAATTAAAAACATCAGCTCGTCCATCGACGCTACATTGAAGTGTCACTTCCGTATAACTATCGTAATTTGCATCGCTTATACAGCTGCGTGCTAGACGCGAGACATAACCCAATTCCTCTTGTTCAGGTAGATAGGATTGCTTTTGTACAAGTACAAAATAAGCATAATCGCTTGCATTAAAACCATAGACATATTTCACCAAAAAATGATCACGATACTTGACGTCAATATGTAAAATTGATTGCTTATTAAATGTGTACTCGGCAAATTCAAGTGAATAAAGATTTCTACTCGATATCGCTGGTACATCGTGACGATATTCGCCATTATTTGTGAATGTTGTGCCAACGTAGAGGATATTTGTCCGGCCCCAAGGATTATAACGCTCAGGACCAATGAAGGCGTAGGTCGATGAATTTTCGTCGTTCGCTGCAACACTGTGGGGAATGAACTCGGGTTTCAGGGATATGTTCGACATTTTGTACTTTTCACAGGCGCCTTGAAGCAGAGAGCCACAAACGATCAGTGTCTTTGATTCGAGGTCGGCCACGAGCAGTTTATTGATGTTGTTCATCAGTGATGTGGTCATGTCACTGGAAGTACATCCCGTCGCATGGCACTGTGGATTATCTAATCTAGGTCCTGAAAATTAAAAAAAAAAGGTATTAAGGATCTCATAGTTTGTATTTTCGATTAGATACAAATTTTTTCTTACCAGTTGCGACAAATTCTTCGAGACGTAAATTTGAGTCCAATTGGAATAATCGGTTAACAGCGCCAGCGTAGAGACGTCCACTATTCGGATCGAATGTAAAATGATTGAAAATGAGAGAATTCTCTCTGGATGCATTGAGATGTGTGGGAATGAGACCTTGGCGTTGATCGCCTACTACGGGGAATTGTACTACGACGTGGGGCGATTGTGCCTCGTGATTGGGTAGATTTGCGGGTGTATCGATGGCCACGGTCGTCATTATCAAGAGGAACCAAATGGCAATGCACGTGAAGGACGATGACGACGAGAACGACGACAAGGGATCCAATGATGGACGTGATGATGGCAATCGGGGTGGTGGCGGCACGAGAGGACGAACGGGAAAGGACGATTGTCCTGAGAATCTCATGGTGCGTGGACGATGATAGCAAGGCTGAGAGACGCACTCGCGAACGGGCGAGCGCACACAGGATTGGACAGGAGAATTTAAAGGTTTCAACTGGAGGAACACACGTGCCCAGCTGGTAGTTGGCCAGCTTCAAGTTGGCACTACCAGCAACATATATGTCCAGGTATCTGCATCACGTTCATTCATCCACACCTCTGAAACAAATACAAATTTTTTCACATTATTCACTGCATTTTTTCAAAAATCAATAAATTAATTAGCAAAAAACAAATTAAGGAATCTGACCGACAGTCAAAACAAAAGTTACTCCAATGTCATTATTTCCCAATTTAAAAGAAAAAGACAAAATAAATTTTAAATTCCCTTTTAGTGGAAAGGTCAAGAAATTTATTTTGAACATTTAAATCGAATCCAAAGTTCTGAACATTCAATTGAACGAAATTTATTTATTTCTTCTACAAATTAAATTTTTATATAAATTATTTTGCTCCACTATCCAAAAAATTTATTACTGAGTATCTAAAAGTAAAATTTCAGTTTTTTCAATTTTTTGAAAGTTCAAAACTTGGGGATAATTTAAAAATTGCATTTTGAACAAAAATTACAAGTCAATAAAGAACATTTGTTAAATTTTCGTTTATGTTACTTAAATCATTTATTATTGACAAAAAAATTGTAATTTTTTTTACAAATATAACTTTAAATTATTGTTCAAAATCATAATTGCCAGAAAAATTTAATTTCGTTTTCCCGATTTCCAGAGAAAATTTTCACTTTTTCCCTGACCCGAAAAGAAAATTCTCTGCTTATTAGATACTCAAAAAAATGTTCTAATACTAAATTTTATTTGCAAATTTCTCTAAAAGTAAAATTATTCGAAAACATTAACAACTTCTTTTTTAAATAAAAATATTTAATCATTATTATTTTTTCATAGAAATTAAAATTCTTCAAAAGATTCAAAATCAAACATTTTTGAAATTCAACAATTTAAAAGAATATTTATTATAAAACATGAAGAAATCGATCACTCCGAGTCTTCGACTCGGAGCAATCGATTTCTTCATGTTTTTAAAATAATTAACAATAACTCAGTGAATTAATAATAAAATAAAATTAATTCTACGCAGAATTATTAGTTAAAAGTACGAAAAATTCTAATTTTCAAAGATTTGGATTCGAAACCTTTTTAAAATTTAATTATTTCTAAATATTCCCCCCTAATGCTTTTAATATTCAATTATCTAAAATTTTAATTGAAATCCATTTTTAAATCAATTTTTATTAGAAAATTCTACGAAAATTAAATTATTTAAATAAAAAAAAAAATAATTTATGTTGAATAATTGAATGTTTCTCAATATTGAATTCTCATAAAGAATTTTATCAACAAATTTTTAAATAATTAAATTCTTTCGACGATTTTAATAAAAAATTTTAAGAATAATTGAATTGAAGAATTCGATTAAAATTGTATTAAAAATAATTGAAATTCTGCGATGAGTTTTATTATTTGTAAAAATAATTAAATCCCTATAAGAAGAATTTCCTGTGAAGAATTTTATTTGTGAAAATAATTGAATTCCGGAGATAAATATTATTGTTTATGAAAATATTTGAATTCCGGAGAAAAATATTATTATTTATGAAAATAATTGAATTCCGGAGAAAAATATTATTATTTATGAAAATAATTGAATTCATGCGAAAAATTTTGATTAAATTTCGTTTAAATAATTGAAATTTTGCCAAGAATGTTATTAAAATTTTTGACAATAATTTCATTCTTGAGAAGAATTTCGCTATCTATTTATAAAGATAATTTCATTCTTAATGGTAAGTTTTTTAAAAAAATTTTAAATAATTTAATTTTTGCAAAGTATTTTATTAGTTTTCAAAAGAATTGAATTCTTCTGATGAACTTTGATATTTATCGAAATAATTGAATTTTGGAAAAGAATTTTATTAAAATTCCTTAAAATAATTTATTTTATGGGGGAAACTTTGTTGTTTATCAAGATAATTGAATTCTTTTGCAGAATTACTTAGAAAGTTTTGAAAATAATTAATTTCCAGTTATTTATGAAAATAATTGAATTATTGCAACGAATTTTATTATTTATAGTGAATAATGGAATGTTACTAAAAATTGAATTCTTTCATCAAGTTTAAATAAAATTTTTAAGAATAATTTTATTTTTCGAGGAATTTATTTAAAATTTTATTAAAAATATTGGAAATTCTGCGATGAAAATAATTGAATTCCTAAATATGAAATTTTATCATTTATGAAAATAATTCAATGTTTACGTAGAATTGCATAAAAAATTATTTGATAAATTTTATGAAAATAGTAAATATTGAAAATCATTGAATTGCGAAAAACTTTTCAAAATAATTGAAATTTTGCAAAGGATTTTATTTAAAATTTTGAAAATAATTGAATTTTTGGAGAAGAATTTTTGTATTTATCAAGATAATTGAATTCTTGAAGACATATTCTTTAAAATTTTCAATAACAATTGAATTTCTTTGAAGAATTTTATTACTTTTGAAAATAATTGAATTCTTGTGATAAATATTGCTATTTATGCGAAAATAATTGAATTTTGCAAAAATTTTTTTTAAATTCCTAAAAATAATTAAAATACCTGAAAATACAAAAAGGAATTTAAAATTTTATTTGACCTTTTCTTTTAAAATTCGAAATTATGATGATCCACAAGTTTTGAACGTTCAAATGAACGAAACCTTTTTTATTAGAAATATTTTTATAAATTACTGTTCGCAATAAAAATTAAAAGCTTAGATTTTACACTTAAAACTTTATAAATAATTTTTTTTATAATAAAATTCCGTTTGGGAATAAAAATATTAAATATCTTAACAAAATTACAAAATCTTGTTTAAAAAAAAATTATTCTGATAAATAAAGGGTCAATGAAATGTTTATGTAATTTTCATCATTTATCGTGAAAAAAAACAATTACCACCGACTATTGAATTTTTAATTGTTTCTTATATCAGTAAAACAGATAATTTTCCCCACAATTGAACATTCATGTGAAGCGCAATTCTGTATTTTATCATTTTGAATTGTAACATTTTCAGACGAAAAAAAAAATCTCTTCCAAATATATAAGTATAAAAATAGAGAATAAGAAAAATTATAATAGAAGAAGAAAATTATATTTGTTTATAAAAGACTAAAATTATTTTATAGAGACTAAAATAGTTATATTATATATTGATAAAAATCTAAAAATAAAGACAAGATTTTATATAAAGTAAAAAGGTCCAATTATCAGATTAAAAAATACTTTGTTACACTTGAGAGTAATTTTTTGACAAGAGCATGATTATCAGGTATTATACAGCTTTAGTTGAATAAAATTAAAAACAATCAAGTGTGTCACATTATTATTTTAAACGGATGTTGACCTCTAATAGTAACATGACCCGTGCACAAACAGCTCGACAAGAGGGGCGCATGATTATTCCCCAAATGTCATTTTTGCGAAATGTCATTTTTGCGAACTGCACTTTTGCGAAATGTCATTTTTCCGAAATGTCATTTTTGCGAAAAGTCAATTTTGCGAAATGTCATTTTTACGAATTGTCATTTTTGCGAAAAGTCATTTTTGCGAAAAGTCATTTTAGCGAAAAGTCAATTTTGCGAAATGTCATTTTTACGAATTGTCATTTTTGCGAAAAGTCATTTTTACGAAATGTCATTTTTGCGAAAAGTCAATTTTGCGAAATGTCATTTTTACGAATTGTCATTTTTGCGAAAAGTCATTTTTACGAAATGTCATTTTTGCGAAATGTCATTTTTACGAATTGTCATTTTTGCGAAAAGTCATTTTTGCGAAATGTCATTTTTACGAAAAGTTATTTTTGCGAAAAGTCATTTTTACGAATTGTCATTTTTGCGAAAAGTCATTTTTACGAAATGTCATTTTTGCGAAATGTCATTTTTGCGAAAAGTCATTTTTGCGAAATATCATTTTTGCGAAAAGTCATTTTTACGAAATGTCATTTTTGCGAAATGTCATTTTTACGAATTGTCATTTTTGCGAAAAGTCATTTTTGCGAAATCTCATTTTTACGAAAAGTTATTTTTGCGAAAAGTCATTTTTGCGAAATGTCATTTTTACGAATTGTCATTGTTGCGAAAAGCCGTTTTTGCGAAATGTCATTTTTGCGAAATGTCATTTTTACGAAAAGTCATTTTAGCGAAAAGTCAATTTTGCGAAATGTCATTTTTACGAATTGTCATTTTTGCGAAAAGTCATTTTTACGAAATGTCATTTTTGCGAAAAGTCAATTTTGCGAAATGTCATTTTTACGAAAAGTCATTTTTGCGAAAAGTCACTTTTGCGAATCGCCATTTTTACGAATTGTCACTTTTGCGAATCGACATTTTTACGAAATGTCATTTTTACGAATTGTCATTTTTTGCGAAATATCATTTTTCCGAAATATCATTTTTGCGAAAAGTCATTTTTACGAAAAGTCATTTTTGCGAATAGTCATTTTTGCGAAAAGTCAATTTTGCGAAATGTCATTTTTGCGAATTGTCATTTTTGCGAAATGTCATTTTTGCGAAAAGTCAATTTTGCGAAATGTCATTTTTGCGAAAAGCCATTCTTGCGAATAGCCATTTTTGCGAAATGTTATTTTTGCGAATTGTCATTTTTGCGAAATGACATTTTTCCGAAATGTCATTTTTGCGAAAAGTCATTTTTACGAAAAGTCATTTTTGCGAAAAGTCAATTTTGCGAAATGTCATTTTTACGAATTGTCATTTTTGCGAAAAGTCATTTTTACGAAATGTCATTTTTGCGAAAAGTCAATTTTGCGAATCGACATTTTTACGAATTGTCATTTTTGCGAAATGTCATTTTTCCGAAATGTCATTTTTGCGAAAAGTCATTTTTCCGAAAAGTCATTTTTTCGAAAAGTCATTTTTACGAAAAGTCAATTTTGCGAAATGTCAATTTTGCGAAATGTCATTTTTACGAATTGTCATTTTTGCGAAAAGTCATTTTTGCGAAATGTCATTTTTGCGAAAAGTCATTTTTGCGAAATGTCATTTTTACGAAAAGTTATTTTTGCGAAAAGTCATTTTTGCGAAATGTCATTTTTACGAATTGTCATTGTTGCGAAAAGCCGTTTTTGCGAAATGTCATTTTTGCGAAATGTCATTTTTACGAAAAGTCATTTTAGCGAAAAGTCAATTTTGCGAAATGTCATTTTTACGAATTGTCATTTTTGCGAAAAGTCATTTTTACGAAATGTCATTTTTGCGAAAAGTCAATTTTGCGAAATGTCATTTTTACGAATTGTCATTTTTGCGAAATGTCATTTTTGCGAAATGTCATTTTTGCGAAATGTCATTTTTCCGAAAAGTCATTTTTGCGAAAAGTCATTTTTACGAAAAGTCATTTTTGCGAAAAGTCATTTTTGCGAAAAGTCAATTTTGCGAAATGTCAATTTTGCGAAATGTCATTTTTACGAATTGTCATTTTTTCGAAAAGACATTTTTGCGAAATGTCATTTTTACGAATTGTCATTTTTCCGAAAATTCATTCTTGCGAATTTTCAATTTTGCGAAATGTCATTTTTGCGAAAAGGCATTTTTACGAAAAAATTTTTATAATATTTTATGAGTGAGTGTACACTCTATATGGATATAGTTGATGACATAGATGGCATTCAATACAATTCTTAGTTGTTTTGTGCGCGAAATTCAAATCCTTTTTTTGATATTTTAAGCTGTTAATAAGTTTGTGGTGCTAAATTCAACATTTTTTTTCTCGAGTTCTACTTGACGGATTTAAAAATCGAAAAATGCGTTTTTTTCGTCTTTTATTACACAATTTGGAAATATTTTTTGTTTTTTAATTTTTTATATTATGTGTTTATTAAATGTTAATAAACAAATTTATTTTTTACAATTTTCTGTTCAAAATGGTCTAGAGCCTACAAATTTTATCGGATTTGAATATTGTTGGTTTTAAATTAAAAGGAATAAAATTTCTAAGGGATTCCTTTGATACCGTTTTTAAATTTTTAATTGTTAATATTTTTTTTTACTTCAGGATAACAATTTACAATATATTTGTAATGAATCATGTTTATTTCTTTATGTTTCCATTGCACATAATTAAAATGAATGTAAATTACTCCAATATAATAATAATACAACCAGATAAATAATAATGCATAATACAACTTATTTAAATTATTTCAAACAATGTTAATTAATAATTAGATAGCTTTGATCAGTCTTAATAAGAAAAAATTGTTTTTACAGACAAATTTATGTTCATTTAAATACTCTATATTTTTTTAGTAGAAAATGGTTTTAAAGTTAATAATCATCATTGTTATTTTATTAGCAATAATTATTTATTATTTCTGAAAAAAATTATATTGTAAATTGTTAACATTGAGTAACAAAAAAATATAAACAATTAAATATTAAAACAATGGTTTCAAGGGATCTCTTAGAAATTTTATTCCCTTTAATTTAAAATTAAGAATATGTCAATCCGATAAAATTTTTAGGCTCTAAACAATTTTAAATAGTACCACGCTTTTGCTCTTTTCAAATCCCCTGACTTTTACAGGTTTCCCAAGTTAAAAAACGGAATTTTTCCAGGTTTTTAATACGAAAATTATTCGAAAATATCAATAACTTCATTTTTAAATAAATATTTAATCATTATTTTTTTTTATAGAAATTAAGATATTCAAAAATTTGAAATTCAATCACTTATAATAATTCAAACTTACTACTTTGTTACTTCAAAAATTATTTTCAATCATTACCATGATTCATTTCTAGAATTTTTAACTAAAATTCTTCTTTAGGTCAATTTTTTAAAATAATTTTTGAAAAAGTTCTTTAAGAATTTTCAAATTCTCGTTTTTACAATTTAATTTTATGAAATTTCAATTATTCTGACATTCCTCAATTAAATGTATATTAGAAATTAAAAACCATAGATAGTTAAAAAAATTCCATTAAACATTTTGAAAAAAATTAATTCTACAGAATTCTTAATTAAAAGTATGAAAAGTTCAAATTTTCAAAGATTTAAATTTGAAATTATTCAAATTAAATTATTTATAAAAATCCACGTTATAATAATGCTTTCAATATTCAATTATAATTTTAAATTTTAACTGAAATTCATTTTTAAAACAATATATATTAGAAAATTCTACGAGATTTTCAAAATGGAATTTTTATAAGGAAAATTATAAAAAAATTTGTAAATAGTTGAATTCTTGTGAAATTTTTATTATTCATAAAAATAATTACTTAAATGTTTGCATAGAATTTTATCAAAACTTTTTTTAAATAATTCTATTCTTTTAAAAATTTTTATTAAAATTATATTAAAAATCATTAAAATAAGGAAATTTTTTTAAAAATAATTGAATTTCTGAGACGAATTTTATTAAAATTTCTTTTTAAATAATTGAATTATTTTGTAAAATTTTATTGAAATAGTAGACATTGAAAATAATTGAATTTTGACCATTTTTTTAAATTAATTAAATTTCTACGAAGTATTTTATGAAGATTATTTTGAAAAAAATGTTATTGTTACAAAGAATTTCATTATTTATGAAAATAATCCAATTTTTTTAAGAAATTTAATTAAAAATTTATTAAAAATTAAAAATAATTGAAAGTCTGCGATGATTTTTTTATTATATACTCATATAAATTATTTGGATCCCTGTAAAAAAATGTTATTATTTATAAAAATCATTGAATAATAATTTTAAATTAAAATTTTGTTAAAAATTTTTAAAAACAGGTAAAATTCCAGAAATTTTTTTAAATACTATTCTATTTTCAGTTTTTCCATAGTTATCCTTTTCTAAATTCCATACTTTTTCCAGGATAACCATGTATAAACCATGTATAAACATATAATATAAAAAGTTAGAAAAATTTTAAAACAAATTTGTTTTCCAATACTACTATTCAAGACGAAAAAAACAATTTGGATTTAATTTTTAAATCCGTTAACTGGAACAAAAAAAATAATTTTTCTTAATTTAGCACTATTAAAAAATTCAATTTGTTAATTTATTAAGTTTTACAAAAAAAAAATTTTTTTATTTATTTTTTTCTAGGATTTTTTAGAACCACATTGAGAAACAAAAAGTTATTTTTTTTATAAAAATTTATTCAGTTTAACCTGATCCGTTTGGAAAATTCTGACCCATTTTCTTATATCATTATATATTATTAAAGTTTAGGTATATTGCGTTTTAAAATTTTTTTTCTCCTAAATCTGAAGTGTTTGTAAATTTCTAATTTAGCTTAAATTAAAACTTAAATCCTACACTACAAAACCCACATCCGTAAGACTCTAAGAGAATTACATTTTTTTTTCAAAAAATGGACTTCAAGTGACCAAAAAACTTTTTTCTTCGGCACTTTCAAAAAAAACTTTTCAAAAGGTTTTGAAATTTAATTTAAAGTATTACGGATATGGGTATTGTAGTGTGTGATTGAAGTTTTAAATTAAGCTTATTTAGAAGTTTCTAGCACGTCAGATTTAGAAGAAAAAAATTATTGGAAACCCCTAAAAACTTGTTTTTTGGTGGCTTTAACTGCTTTAAGTCTGTTTTTTGACTGTAATTTTTTTCAGTTTTACGGATATGAGTTCTGTAGTGTACAATTTAAGCTTTAAATTATGCCTAATTAGAAGTCTCCAGCACGTCAGGTTTAGGAGAACAAAAATAATGATAACCCTGAAAAACACGTTTTTTGAAACGTGTTTGAAACCAAACTTTTCTCAAAATTCTCACGTGATACGCAATTTTGGAACCCCGGATCATATTCAGCGCACACAAATACATCGGAAACTACTCCGATATCATATAAAAAAATCTTGTATACCTGTATTAGTCTTGTTTCTAAACAAGATTTTGCGGACGCCATGGTTAAGTTTATCAAGTCCTTTTTTATTTTAAACATTTAGGTTTATTAACAAAAATTTTTAATATTATTATAAATGAATAAAAAAAAAAGTATTGAAGGACATAAATGGTATAATATGTACTTGATGACAACCTTTTCTCTTATTTTAATTTTTAAACAATTTATTACACATGGAAACTGTTGAAGTATTCCAATACGGGATTAATGCAAATTGCAATAACTTCATTCAAAAATTCAAATGATGTAGGATGATTCTCTTTACTGAGTTTGTCCCAAGCGTTTACGACGTGAAGGACATATTTGTTTATTAACATTTTATAAACATATATTATAAAAATTATAAAAATTTAAAAAATTTGTTTTCAAATGGTACAATTCAAGACGAAAAAAAATCCGTCTAATTAATTGCTTGCATCAGAACTTGTGTTCCTCGAGTTATTAAGAAACTAATCGTTGTTATTGTTGTTGTTTTCGTCGTTTTCAGGAGCAACTGCAACATTTAGTGGGTCGACAGCATCATCAGGTGGAGGAGCATCCACCATTATATCTTCATTTCCTAAACAATTAAATATATTTTAACTAAGATTATTTAAACAATTATTAATGACAAATTTTAAACCGTCTAAATTATTGTGACGTGTTTCTGCTACATTTTTACCACCACCAAAAGATTAAAATTTCTAAAATAAAATTACCATCCTCATCCAAGAAGCCTTGTTCCTGTTGAACAATACGAGCTCGAACCAGTCTTGTTAAATCAGCTGCCCCTCTTCTGTATTCTAAACTAACTGATAAATAATTAATCGTTGAGATGACACAAATGTGAGCAACATTCAACAAAAATTCAGGCACTGACAAGTATTGATCGTCATAATCATTCCAAATTCTTCTAATGCTGGCTGACATGCTTTTTGTAACAATCCTGGGGGTTTGAATATTACTTGATAAACCCTCATTCCTTCGAGAATGATCATTATAGATTTGTTTTTGAAGCTTAACGATGGATTCTGTAAATAATAATGTTATAGTAGAAACGGGTGTTGTCACCATATGGATAGGGATAAATTATTTATTTATAAAATGTATTATTTGATAAAATTATAAAATCACTAAATTGTTTAAAATAATTGAATTATTATTAAAAATATTAGAAACAATTGAATTTCTCAAAAGAATTTCATTTTTTACAAACATGATTAAATTTTTAAAGAGAATGTTGTTTTTTATAAAAGTAATTGAGTTTTTGCCAAGAATTTTGATTTTTACAAAGTAATTTTAATTTTTCTATGAATTTTATTACTGAATTGTTGAAAATAACTGAATTTTAATTAAAACTCTTGAAAAAATTAAATTTAATAATATTTATAAAAACAATTGTATTTTATCGAGAAATTTAATTAAAATTGTATTAAAAATAATTGAATTGCTCAAAAGATATTTATTGCTTATAAAAATAATTTAATTTCTAACAAGAATTTTAAATTTTACAAAAACACATTAGTTTTTGCTAAAAATTTTGATCATTACAAATTGTTGACAATAATTGAATTTTTATTAAAACTCTTGGAAATAATTAAATTTAAATAATATTTTTAAGAATAATTGTACTTTTTCGAAAAATTTAATCAAAATTGTACTAAAAATATTTGAATTGCTCAAAAGATTATTATTGCTTATAAAAATAATTAAATTTTTGCCAAACATTTAAAATTTTACAAAAATACATCAGTTTTTGCCAAGAATTTTACTCTTTACAAAGTAATTTTAATTTTTCTATGCATTATATTACTGAATTGTTAAAAATAATTGAATTTTTATTAAAACTCTTTAAAATAATTAAATTTAAATAATACTTTTAAAAACATTTGTATTTTTTCGAGAAATTTAACTAAAATTGTATTGTTAATAATTAATATTGTTAATAATTAAATTTCTCAGAAACATTGTATTGTTTATGGAAATAATTCAATTTTTGACAAGAATTTTAAATTTTATGAAAATACATCAGTTTTTGTCAAGAATTTTGTTCTTAATAAAAATAATTTAATTTTTTCCAAGAATTTTATTCTTTACAAAGAAATTTAAATTTTTCTATGAATTCTATTAATACTGTTAAAAATAATTGAATTTTTATTAAAACTCTTGAAAATAATTAAATTTAAATAATTTTAATTAAAGAGTATTTTTTTCTTCCATATATATTTATATCATTTGTTAATTAGTCGATTTTTGGAAGAAAGGTGAATAAAACACATTCACTTTTTTAACGACGACGTTTCGGAGGCACGGTTAGCCACCATTATCAGGTCACTTTATTAAAATTTGAACAAATTCTAAACAAATACGAAATAAACAAAAAAAACTACAGAGAATATTTTTAAAAAATTAACAAATTATAAATAATTAAATTTTAATATCTACCTAATTAAAAGTGGTTGCACTAAACATTAGGAAAATGTTCATATAAAAAAAGATTAATTTCAGAAATGATTCATATTAAAAGCAATGAATTTACTATTAACAAATAACAAGAAGGAAGATGTACAATTCCTCAGTAATGCGTATTTTCCTTTACTAAATAAATTGAAACAATGATTATATTCATAATATTTCGATGAAAGTTCATTCACCTGCGTTTCTGTATATAATACGAAAATTGTCACCGCGACATTCAGTTTGACTAATCACTTACAATTACCATGTTCGTGATTTTTAATTTTAATTTTAAAAATTCAAAATTAATTTTTTTAATTTTCAGTCTTTGACGTAATGTTTAGTGCAATCACTTTTAATTAGGTAGATATTAAAATTTAATTTTTTATAATTTGTTAATTTTTTTAAAAATTTTCTGTAGTTTTTTCTGTTTTTTTTTATTTGTTTTGAATTGGTTCAGATTTTAATAAAGTGACCTGATGATGGTGGCTAACCGTGCCTCCGACACATCGTCGTTAAAAAAGTGAATGTGTTTTATTCACCTTTCTTCCAAAAATCGACTAATTAGCAAAATTTAAATAATATTTTTAAAAACAATTGTATTTTTTCGAGAAATTTAACTAAAATTGTATTGTTAATAATTGAATTTCTCCGAAACATTGTATTGTTTATGAAAATAATTCAATTTTTGACAAGAATTTTTATTAAAACTCTTGAAAATAATTAAATTTAAATAATATTTTTAAAAATAATTGTTTTTTTTGCGAAAAATTTAATGAAATTGAGAATTATTAATTTGCTCGGAAACTTTTTATTATTTATGAAAATGTTTTAATTATTTCAATGAATTTTAATATATGTGATGCTCTACGAGAAATGGGACCTTATTACTAGAGTAAATAAGGCTCCTTTTCTAGGGGAGCGTCACATATAACGTTCATTTAATTAAAATTTTTTTAAAGGTTATCAAACTAAAAGAAGTTACTTACTGGTGAAAGCCCAAACATTGGTGTTACCGCCAATTTTTGTGTTTATTCTGCTTTCATAAGCCATGAATGCATCACTTAATCCCTTCTGATCTCTGTACATTGAGAAGGAAGGTGGCCTGACGCCTTCGATCCACGCATCTTCAAAGTAGTTGGTGAAGTTCTCAACTAATGTTAAAATTTGTGGATCAACATTTGAACCAATTTCAATATATGCTTCTTCTATGTCTTCTTCTGGAAGCAAAGGCAATGACATTACAAGAAGCAGAAGATCTTTTACTTCGTCATGTTCCTCGTGAAGTCTAGAGTCTAAATTTAAATCCATGATGACTTTGTAAAGTTCCTTGAAAAAGAAATTACATAAAATAAGTGTTTGAAATTGCGCATCATACGCAAAGCAGTCAACCTAAAAATTCTAATAAAAAAGTTTATATTTTTGAAATGCTCCTGTTGCCATAAGTACGCATGAAATAAACAAAATGTTGGTCCTTTTTATAATTACAGGGTTGCCATGGGTCTGGGAATTCAGGGAAAAGTCTAGGAAAGCAGAATTGGTCATGGAAATCAGGGAAGAGTCAGGGATTTTTATTAAAAGTACTGTAAAAAATTAAATTTTTAGAATAATTCTAAAAACCTGGTTTGTCCCATAAACTATGAAACCACCATGAATTCTAATACAAAACCTTCAAAATTTTTTTCTATTTCAAACTAAAATGAATTTTTTAATATTATTTAATTATTTCAAATGTTTCAACGCAATTGCATTGTAAGATAACAAAATTCTTCACAAAAATTAAATTATTTAAAAAAATTTTAACGAATATCTCGTCAAGAATTCAATTATATTTAATTACAACTCGCAAAATTTTCCGCCAAAAATTAAATTATTTTAAAAATTTTAAATAAACTTCTTTGCAAAATTTCAAAAGTTTTTCGCAATTCAATGTTTTTCAATATTACTATTTTTAACAAAAGATTTAATTATTGAAAATTTTGATACAATTCTATGATAACATTTAATTCTTTTTATAAATAATAAAATTTCATGTAGGAATGCAATTATTTTCATACAATTTTAAATAAATTCCATCGAAAAATGCAAATATTCTTAAAAAATTTATTAGAACTTGACGAAAGAATTTAATTTTAAGAAACATTCAATTATTCAATAAAATAATAAAATGCATTGCAATAATTCAATTATTTTCATATATAACTTTTAATTCTTCGCAGGAAATCAATTATTTAAAATTTTTTTTAAATAATTCTGCAAAAGAATTTAACTATTTTGATAAACAACAAAATTCTCCTTATAATATAAATTATTTAATTGAATTATAATAAAATTCTTTTCCAAAATTTAATTATTTTGATAAATATCAATTAAATTATCTTTATTAATACGTAGCTAAATTCTTCTCAAGAATTCAATTATTGGCAAAAATTTTTATAATAATCTTGGCAAAATTTCAATTATTTAAACAAAACTTTATTCTTCGCATGAATTCAATTATTTTTTCAAATTTTAATAAAATTCTTCAAAAAGTTTTCAATTACTTTCAATAATAGTTTTAATATTTTTTAATATAATAAATATCAGTAAATTTTAATTAACTTCCTTAAAAAATTAAATGTTTTCAAATATTAATATTAAGAGCATTATTATAAAATAATAATTTTATCACTGGGTTATCTTTAATTATTATAAAAGCATGAAGAAATCGATCATCAAGAAATCGTGATTGACTTCTTCTTGTTTATAATAAAATTCTTATATGTTCAATTTAAAGAAGATTTGAATTTGAATGTTTTGAAAAATTTTAATTCCTACGGAAAAATAATAATGAAATATTTATTTAAAATTAAAGTTATTGATGTTTTCGAATAATTTTTTAATAAAAGGAATTCTTAAATAAATATATTAGAACATTTTTCTTAGTTTATCTAATAATTTTTAGAGGGAATCAGAATATTCTTTAGGGTCAGGGAAACAGTCAAAATTCTTTATGGAAATCAAAGAAAAGTCTGGGAAAAACAAAGTTAAATTTTTGTGGCAACCCTGAGTTAATTTAATTGTCATTAAATTGGAGAATTGTTTTTATTAATAATAATGTCATACTTGCAAATAGTAGTAGAAACTACCATGAATGACAGCATCTGGAAATTGTGCTCTAAGGCTGCTGTGTAAGTCCTTTCCAAACGTTGCAAAAATTTCTGTGATTACCATTCTTGGTAAAAGCGTTTTCATTTCTTCAAATACGGCAACGAATGACTCCTCCGTGTCGTCTTCCATTAACGCCCAAGCGCATGGAATGACCTATATAATATTATAATAATTAAAAATATGTTTGTGATCAGTTATTTAATGAACTTTTAAATACTCTTTATATTTATTAGAGGTGTGCAAAAAGCTCGAAGCTCGATCGAGCTTTTCATTTTTCGACCCGAGCCGAGCCTAATCAGTTCGAGCTCGAGCCGAGTTCGAGCCGAGCTGTATAAAAATCTCGAATAGTTTCGAGTACTCAAGTGAATTTTTCGAGCACTCGAATTTTTTCGGGCTCTTGAGTAAATTCGAGTTCTAGAGAAAATTCATATAATTTTCGCATATATGTATTATAATTAGCAAATAGAAATACACTTTCAAATTGAAGTTTTATTTACTTTATTGATTCAGTTGTTCGAATTAATTCGAAATTTTCTACTTATTAATAGTTTTTTCAGTAACTTAAAAGCTCGAATCCATTCGAGTACTCGAATTTAATCGAGTACTCGATACATCGAGCCGGCTTGGGCTTGGCTCGGCTCGAAAAAATTTCGGCTCGGCTCGGCTCGACCTTTCGAGCTTTCTGCACATCTCTAATATTTATATAACTTTTTCTCTATTCCTTAAAAAAATTCTGCTATGATAAATTTTATTATCACTTTTTCTAAACGAGGCAAATTTTTCAAAAAAAGATACATTTTTATTTTGAAATTATTTAAAATGTTTATTATAACGTAAGAAACAAAAAACGTGAAAAGATAAGTATTTTTTTCACAAAATTTGCAAAACAATTTTTTTTATTTTATTGTAGATGTTTTGAGATGTCAGAATTGTTTCATTTCAAAGAACAAGTTTTTAAGGAAATTTAGAAAATTATAGACACCAATTAAAAGTTCAATAAATTCTCTTTGGAAGTAGTGTTTAAGGTCCCTTTACAACACCGAGATATTCAAGATATCACAGGGACATCCTGAGAAATTTATTTGTTTGCGGCAATTTGGATATCCCTGGCAGGGTGTCTGCCGAAGATATGTTCCCCTGAATATAGAATTTTTAACTAAAATACTCTTATTTAAATCAATTAGTAGTTAAAAGTACGAAAAATTTATATTTCAGGCTTTACACTCGATTGTAAATTTAAAAAAAGTATCAAAAAGTAGCTTTATGAATGAAAAAAGTAGTAAAAAGTATCTATCGAAAAATTAAATTTGACTGAAACTTTAACTTGAAATTCAATTTAATCTTTTCAATTTATTTACAGGAATTTAACAATCATCAAAAAATGTTAATTTTAATTTTTCAAACGACTAATTCTTTTTCATAATTTCCAAATTTCAATACCTGGATAATATCTCTGCGTTGTTGAATTTTTTAATAAAATTGTTTAAAACTTTAATCATTTTTTAGGAAAATAGTAAAATAAGAATTTTTTAAACTAAATATATTTAAATATTCTTACAGTTTTACAACAATTAAAACTTTCAAAGATGGACAATTTAAAATCTTTTGAAATTTAATTAATTTCTATCTAAAATTTATTTTTAATTCGATTCTTGTTAGAAAGTTCTACGAGAATTCAATTATTCTGTAAATTATTATTAACATTTAAACAATAATGTTTAATTATTATTTACAATTTTATCTGAAATTTATTTTTTAAATCAATTCTTGTTTGAAAGTTCTACGAGAATTCAATTACTTAAATACAAAAATATAAATAATTATTTCAGGCATCACAGTTAATCCCCTTTTCCTCTTTTTGTCCCCTTATTTCAATTTTATCGCATTTTTTGACGATATGTCACCTTTTTCCCCTTTTTTGCTGATTTGTCCCCTTTTTCACCTTTTTCTAATAAAAAATAAACGAGATTTTCTTTTTTTGAAATATTTTTCAAAGTGTAATAAAAAAATTTAGACTCAATGTTATAGAATTATTATTAATATTTTTTTCTAGAAAAAACAAAAATTGTAATCCAAAACCTTCATTTTTTTCCATTTCTGACAATAATTTCTATTTAAATAACTTAATTCTCGAAAAACCATCATTAAAAATTATAACTTAGAAATTATTTAATGAATAATTTTATTTATTTTTTATATTAAATAGATGAACTTGAAAGGATTTTAATCTTAAATTTAATAAAATTTCAATTATTTTCAAAAATAATAAAATTCTTCGCAAAAATTTAATTATATTCAAAAATTCAAAGAAATTCTCGTCAAAATTTTAATTCTCTTTGTAAATAATAAAATTCTTCTTCGAAACTCAATTATTTTCAAAAATTTTAATAAAATTCATGGCAAAATTTCAATAATTTTTAAAAATTGTCCTCAATTCAATATTTTTTAATATCTACTATTTTAACAAAAAATCTCCAAAAGAATTCGATTATTTAAAAAAAAAATTAATAAAATTCTAAGCAAACCTTTCAATATTTTCATAAAATAATAAAAAAAATTTTATAAATTTATTCGCAATCATTGAATTATTTTCATAAATAATAAAATTTTTACAGGGATTCAATTTCATTTATTTTTAATACAATTTTAATCGAATTCCTCGAAAAATATAATTATTCTTAAAATTTTTACTAAAATTTGTCAAAAGATTTCAATTTTAAGAAACATGCAATTATTCTTTAAAGTGAATTAAAAAGGTTTCATATTAAAATCTTTGAAAATCTGAATTTTTCATATTTTTAACTAACAATTCTGTGGAATTACTTTTTTTTGAGAAAGTTTCATTAAATTTCTTTTGAAATTATTTGAAGTTTTTATTTTCTTATAAAAAATTGAAGTTTTTCAGAATAATTGAAATTTTGTAAACATTGAATTGTAAACAAATAAATTTGAAAATTCTCAAAAAACTTTTTGAAAAATTATTAAAAAATTACAAAATACAAATTACAACACCTACAAATTATTGCAGAAATTCAATTATTCTGAAATTAGTTAAATTTTTTAATATATACCTATATTTAATTAATTATTAAAAATAAAGAAATTAACGAGGAATTTTGGTTAAAAACACTAAAAAAAAATTTAATTTTGGAGAAGTTTCAAATAATTGCAAACATTCAATTACTTTCAAAACTTACAAAATTCTTCGCAGAAATTCAATTTTATTAAAAAATTTAAAGAACTTCTCGTCAAAATTCTAATTTTCTTTATAAATAATAAAATTCTTCTTCGAAATTCAATTATTTTCAAAAATTTTAATAAAATTCTTTTAAAGATTTCAATTATTTGCAAGAATTTTCCAAAATTCAATGATATTCAATATCTACTATTTTAAATAAAAATTTCTAAAAGAATTTAATTATTTAAAAAAATTTGTATCAAAATTCTTTATGAGAATTCAATATTTAAAAACATTCAATTATTCAATATAAATTTATTATTTATTTCTGTATGTAAATAAATGAATTCTCGTATAATTTTCTAATGAAAAATGGTTTAAACATTAATTTTATTTAAAATTTGACATAATAATTGAATTTTAAAAGCATTATAGCTTAAATTATTAGAAATAATTGAATTTTAAAAAAGTTTAAAAATTATTGTAAATAATTGATTTAAAGAAGAATTTTAGTTCAAAATTCGAGAAAATAATAATTGAATTAAAATTATGAAAATAATTTTAAAGAAGTTACAGTAAAAATATTTTTTATAGTAGAAAATAATGATCTTATCACTAGCATCTTTAATTATTATAAATTGTGGAATTTCAAAAAGATTTGAATTTGAATGTTTTGAAAATCTTAATTCCTATGGAAAAATAATAATGATTAAATATTTAAAAAAAAGTTATTGCTGTTTTCGAATAATTTTACAGTTAAACAAATTCGTAAATAAATGTAATAGAACATTTTTTTGAGTATCTAATAATTTTTGGAGTGAATCGGTATACAACTATACTTACATATTTGTCTTTTAAACACATAAATGATACCAGCTGGTGAAAAGGGAGTACAGCTGGTATCACTGTTTGTGATGTGTGTAAAAATACAACGCTATCTCCCCGTAGCAGTTGTCCTGCAAAATGATGGTCCATCATTATGATAGATTTGCAGAAATCCCGCCCTGTAATGCATCTAAACATAACATCGCCATCCTGATATCTTTTTACGCTATTCCACTGATCACTGTTGATTAATTCCATAAATTGTTCAATGGAATTTGGATTTGGTGGCCTGTGAGTATTTCGCCACCTGTACATCGACCTCTCTACCGACTTGAACTGCACACTGATTGCTGCCTCTTCATGACTGAAAAATATAGTTTTCAATACAATGTAAGGAAATTTCAATTATTCAAAAAGTTTGCAATTGTTTGTTTATAAAAATTCAATTATCTTGAAACAATAGAATTAAAAAATTTCAAAAATCTTATTTTTCATAAGTTAAAAAAAACTGCGACAATTCAATATAAATTTTAAAAAACTTTTAAGTGTATCTTTTTTTAAATTAAGTAATGAAAATTTTAATTATTATCCTTCGCCCTAAGAAATATGAATACATTAGAATGTGACTCTTTATAAAATTCAATTAATAATCATTCATTAAATTAAAGTATTAGGGGAGAGTCTCCAGTTGTGAGACACCTCCAGTTGTGAGACAGTCAATTTTTTTTAACATGCAATATTAAAAAGACGATTGGTTTATATAAAAACATTTCTTTTTATATGAGCCAACTTTTTCGTGTACGCCGAAGCGGATATATAAACTGTTTTTGTTAAATACCAACACTGTGTGTGATAATCGACTAAAAAGCGTTTTTTCAATAAATGTAAAGTACTTTTTTCCAAGTTAATTAATTGGAAAAGGTAAATGTAATGCATTTTCTTTTAGTGTTTTCCTTATATTTTGTGATGCAATATTGCATTGTTCCAATCTACGGTTGAAAATAATTTAATTTTCCTTTTTCAAAATAGCGCCAATTTCTGGGCGTGAGACACAGCATATCACCAGTTGTGAGACGGTGTCAACACCCATCTGGGCAGCATAAAAAATACGACTTTGCAGGCATACTATTTAAATGTTGTTTTCATTTCTTTTTCTAGTATTTTTGGGCATGTCAAGTGGAAAAAAGTCAATTGATTCAGAAGAAATCAATTTTATTGCTCTTGTTGAAGCTATTAAATGATGTTTATTTGATAGACATATTTTGGCGAATAAATATTATTATTTAGTATATAATAATATATATTATTAATATATTTAATTATTTCTACTAAACATAACGTTTTATGCCAAACTTATTAAATTTTAGCACTTTTTAATGAGTGTCTCACAACTGGAGACATTTTTTTTTTTTTTTTGAAAAAAGCGATGTGCTCGGAAAATGTATCGTAAAATTTTCTGAGTTCATCGAAACACTACACTTTCTTTTAATAAAAGTTGCGTATTTCTGTTACCTTTCGAACGGTGTATTTTATTTACAATTTTGTTTACCCGTTTACAATTTACGGGTCAAAAATGAAACCCGTCTCACAACTGGAGACTCTCCCCTATTATTTTTTTTTAATTTTCACCTTTTTCTGTTTTCTGATACGGACGAGTGGGAACACTGGCTATTAAAAGTTTATTAAAAATATTCGCAATGGTCACAATTTAAAAAGCAATAATCCTTCTTTAATTTCAGACAATTTTTTTTGACTTTTTCACATTTTTCGGTTTTCTGAAAAGGGCGGGTGAGAACGCTGGCTATTAAAAGTTTATTTAAAAAAATTAGCAATGGTCATAATTTGAAAAGCAATAATCCTTCTTTAATTTCAGACAATTTTTTTTGACTTTTTCACATTTTTCGGTTTTCTGAAAAGGGCGGGTGAGAACGCTGGCTATTAAAAGTTTATTTAAAAAAATTAGCAATGGTCATAATTTGAAAAGCAATAATACTCTTTCAATTTCTGACCAAGAAAAAAAATTTGGTCAAAAATTGTTCGAGATATGAATGTTTTTTTACTTTTTTTGAATTTTCGGTTTTCTGATAAAAAAAGTGGGAACACTGACTATTAAAAAGTTATAAAAAGAATTCGTAATGGGCACAATTTAAAGAGCAATAATCCCTACTTAATTTCTTACCAAGAAAAAAAATTTGATTGGAAATATTTGGTTTCGAAAAAAGTCCAAAAAAATTGATAACACGAATAATTTTCTACCAAATTTTTTTTTCTTTGTCAGAAATTAAAGAAGAATTATTGCTTTTTAAAATTTGACCATTGTGAATTTTTGTAATAAACTTTTAATATCTAGCGTTTACACCCGCTCGTATTAGAAAAACCGCAAAATTTGAAAAAGTTCAAAAAAATTAATAACTCGAAGAATTCTCAACCACATTTTTCTTAATGTCAGAATTTAAGGAGAAATTAATGCTCTTGAAATGGTGACCATTGCGAATTTTTTTTATAAACTTTTATTAGCCAGCGTTTCCACCCGCTCGTATTAGAAAAACCGAAAAATTTGAAAAGTAAAAAAAAATTCGTAACTGGGACAATTTTTGACCAAATTTTTTTCTTTGTCTGAAATTAAAGAGGGATTATTTATTGCTTTTTAAATTGTGACCATTGCGAATATTTTTAATAAACTTTTAATAGCCAGTGTTCCCATCCGCGTGTATCAGAAAACTGAAAAATGTGAAACTAAAAAAAGTAGTGAAAAAATAGCAATCGAAAAATTAAACTTGACGACCAAAAAAACTCGTTTTAGACACTTCACAAAACGGACAAAAACTCCATTCCATATTTTTTTATTTAAATATTTATATTTATAAAAATAATTTAATTCTTGCGAAAAATTTTATTTTAAATAATTGAATTCTTGTGGAAAACTTTATTTGTTAAAGTAATTGAATTTTTCGATTAATTAATTTAAAATAGTATTAAAAATAATTAAAATTCTTAGATGAGTTTTATTATTTATGAAAATATTTGAATTCTTACTTACAATTTTATCAAAAATCTTTTAAAATAATAAAATTTCCATGAAAAATGTTATTGTTAGTGAAAGTAATTGAATTATTTTGAAGAATTGTATACAAATTTTGTTAAATAATTGATTTTTTCGAAATTTTTTTGAAAATAATGCTATTCTAAATTAATTGAATTTCTTTGGAAATTTTATTATTTATTAAAATAATTGAATTTTGGATGAATTTCATCAATTTTATTATAATTTTTGATAATAGTTTTTTGATTTCTAGTATTAGCGAATTCAATGAAGTGGAAATTCTTAAAAAATAGAAATAGTAGCTTTTAGTGTGTGAAATCTATAAAAAGTGCGAAGCCTGTAATTAGCACAATGCATTATTATTTATTTGAAAAAAACACGAAAGTGTCTAACTGAACCCTACAAGAAAATATTACATTTACTTCTACCGAGAATCTTTATTGAAATCTGTACCACAGAAAAATATTAGAAATATAATGTAAACTTACAATTCACTTATGTGGTTGTAAGTTTCTTTTACGGTACTAGGCTGGGATCGTATGCTATTACATAGCTCTTCTCTAAAAACCCTTTTTTCTCCATCTAGTAAATTCGGCCGATGGTTATGCGCTTCCGTCAGTACGAAAACGTTTCCTCTGTTTACTTGTCCTTTTCCAGGACAATGCAGGATTCTTTTCTTTATACAAACAAGATATCTAAAAACAGAAGAGAAAGAAAAAATAACCAAACAAACTATGAACAGATATTTAAAATGGGGAACAGTAATATAATATAACCTTATATAATAATAGGTAATTAAATAAATATATTAGTTATGAATAATTTAACTTTATATTTGTAACAAAAATATCAGTATGTTTTACAACATTTACAAACACTTCTTTTATAATTATTTTTCTAAGTTGAGAAAATAAAAAAAAAATTAATTAAAAATACATTATTTCATGGCACAGAATGTGAATATTTTTTTTACATTGAATAATTTAAAGTATTTTTTTTCAGAATGACAGTATACGTTTAATAAAATGCAGAAAATATCTGTGGAACATTTCATGAAAACTGTAATATATGTTAAAATTTTATATTTTATAATTAAAGAATTGGAATAGGGTTGCCACGCTTTTGCTCTTTTCAAATTCACTGACTTTTCCATGTTTTCCAGGTTAAAAAACGGAATTTTTTCAGGTTTTTAAAACGAAAATTCTTCGAAATAATAATAACTTCATTAACTTCATTTTTAAGTAAATATTTAATCATTATTTTTTTAATAGAAATTAAAATATTTAAAAATTTGAAATTCAATAACATATAAGCGAATACTAATTATAAAAATATGAAGATGTCGATCACTTCAAGTCTTCGACTCAGAGTGATCGCTTTCTTATCATGTTTAATAATAATTAAAACCGTGTTTTATTTTCGACAAACTTTTTTGTGAATTTTCAAATACTTTTGTTTACAATTTAATTTTACGAAATTTCAATTATTCTGACATTATTCAATTAAATATATTAGAAATTAAAAACTTCAAATAATTAAAAAAAATTCCATTAAGAAAAAATTCTATACAGAATTCTTAATTAAAAGTATGAAAAGTTAAAATTTTCAAAGATTTCAATTTGAAATTCATTTTTAAATCAATATTTATTAGAAAATTCTACGAGAATTGAATTATTTAACTACAAAAATAAATATTTTATTAAACAATTGAATGTTTATTAAAATTGAAGTTTCATAAAGAATTTTATCAACAAATTTTTAAATAATTGAATTCTCTTGACAAATTTTAATAAAATTTTTAAGAATATTTTTCGAGCAATTTGATTAAAATTGTATTAAAAATAATTGAAATTCTGCCAAGAATTTAATTAAAAGTTTTGAAAATAATTTCATTTTGGAAAAAAATTGTATTATTTATAAAGATAATTGAAATTTTGACGACAGTTTTTGTGAATTTTTAAACATAATTGGATTTCTGCGAAGAATTTCAGTAAAATTATTTTGAAAAAAATTGAATTGTTAAAATTTTTGAAAATCATTTTATTCTTTAAAGAAATTTAATTAAAAATGTATTGAAAATAATATTTAATTCCAATAAATATATTGTAGCGAAGATTACTAAAGTAATTACATTTTTTTGATAAATTTTAATAAAATTTTTGAGAATAATAACCTTTTTCGAGGAATTCCATTAAAATTGTATTAAAAATAATTTAAATCCTGCAATGAATATTATTATTTATGAAATAAATTGAATACCTAAAAAGAATTCTACTATTTATTTAAAGTAATTGAATTATTGCTAAAAAAATTGTAAATAATTGAAGCGAACTGTCAGAACAACACACAGTTAAAAACAATACAAGTTTAACCATACTTCGAATCAAGCTTCGAATATAATAATGTGACGCGACACGAGAAAAGGGACCCATCGTCGCAAAAGAGAATTTTATGGGGAATCCACACTTCGATCTAAGAAGCTAAGCGGGACGTTTTTTCGTGGTGCTTTCTATGATATGCATCTTAAGGCCACAGTCCCATGGCAGTGTTTTGCGTTGTGTTGTAATGAGAGAGAATGCAGCAAACGTATATTTGCATCTTTTTCTCTCACATTACGACGCAACGCAAAACGCTGTCATGGGACTCCACCCTAACCTGCCTCTACGGCTAGTTCCACAATGAGCCAAAACGCAACGCAGACGCGACGCATCCCCATTTGATTAGCATTGGGACGCGTCGCGTCTGCGTTGCGTTTTGGCTCATTGTGGAACAAGCCTACAATACGAAAAAAAAGTGAGAAACGCGCGACGCAAACGCGAAACGCGAGAAAAATACATGGCAATTTCTCGCGTTTCGCGTCTTACTTTCTAATTGTAGAACCTGCCCTAAAGGTTGGTTCCAGAATGGACTCGACGCAAACGCAGACGCGACGCGTCCCCATTTGATTAGCATTGGGACGCGTCGCGTCTTCGTTGCGTTTTGGCTCATTCTGGAACGGCCAGAATGAGCGTTTTTCACGCGTCCCATGTCGCGTGAAAACGTCAAACATGGTACTGGCCCCTTAGATCGAAGTGTGGATTCATCATTAAAGCTGCATCTACATATAAAAAAAGTGAGAAATGCGTGTCGCAAACGCGAGAAAAATACATGCCAATTTTTCGCGTCTGCGTCTCGCGTTTCTCACTTTTTTCGCTATGTAGATACAACTCTACAGGGGAAGCGTCTAAAGCGACGCCATGCGCAGAAAACCTGTCTATTTACGCACAAATGCTTAACTTTCGGGCTTTATATTATTAAAACTATTTAAGTTTTTCAACTTTTAATTTTTTCACGTAAAATAGCAAAGGAAAATCTATCAACATCATAATCTCAAAATCGATTTTTTAACAATAGGTCTCTTTCTCGTGTCGCGTCACATATATAAGATATAACAAAGAGCATTTTCAAAGAAAAGTAAATAAATCTCTAAACAAAATGAAAAAAGACAATTGCAAAACAAATTTACTTACTTCATTGTTGCTGTTGTTTTATTTGTGTAGTAATCATAACCATCATAGGTCTCAATATTAAAATACGGACCACTAGCTCGATTATTCCGTCGATTTGCCATATCCACTTTTTTAATGAAAACAGTTTAATTCACATTACACTAAGTAAATTTTCAGGTAAAGTACCAGATGCCTGATTTGGGCAGTGTTCTATTTGCGTCAACTGTCCAACCCTGGTGAATGAAATTTTTAACTTTTAAGGTTGAGTCCACAATAGACAACTTTTCCTTTAGCGAGATCAATTGTCAACGGCGATCTAGTAACAATCTAGTGACTTTGACGTATTCTCTCCCTCCATTTGTTTTTTACTCTTTCTAAAGGCAAATGTCGTTCGCGGATGCAAAGCATGAGTTAGAAAAGGACAGATATATGTATCTTTTTCTATCTCATGCTTCACGTTCGCAGGTTGTCAGGGTAATGTAAAAGAGTAAGAGAGTCAGAAAATTCAAATTACGTTACATTCTTTTATTTAGTAAATTAGTTTAATTTAATAATAATTCAATTTTATAACTTCATTTAATTTTTAATTTCTTTAATTCTTATTTATAATAATCTTTTAATTACTTAAAATTACAATTTATTAGTAAAATTTATAATTAAATGAGAAAGCAAAAATTTATGCAATTTCAAATTTTTTTTAACAATTTTTACTTTGGTGGATGTACGTGTTCTCTTATCATCTCGAATTGACGATTCTGCATTTTATAAACTGCACGAGCATTGCAGTGTAGTTGTTTTCTCAATTTGCAGACAAGATACCTAGTAAGTAAAAAAAAGTTTTATAAAAAATTGGTTCTTCTAATTTTTTCTTTAAAAAACAATTTCCCAAAAGTCAATTTTCTTTTTAAATATATATAACTTATACGTGATACAGAATTTTGTACAAAAACTGTAATTGTGAACTAGAAATTATGCCAATTTTTTCCATTAATTTCAAAACAAAATATAATTATTTCCAATATTGTGATTAAAAATAAAATTTATAAAAAAATTTCTACAATAAGAAACTAAAAATTTTTGAACAATAAATAGCAATTATCTGTCAAACAATGTTCTTAAAAAAAGTTATTAACAAAATTATACACATTTACACAAAAACTGACAAACAAAATGTACAAATGTAATATATGTACTTACAATCTTTCTTCTGTTTTTTTAATAATGGTGTATAAATATCCATTATAACTGTGTGTCTTTGATAATTCTTGATGATTATGTTCCATTATTTTGAAAGAAATTTCTGTCTATGCCGTTATCCCAATAACCACAGTAGGCATTTAAAAATGTCGATCTCATTCAATTCAACTATAAAGGTGTTCCTACAATACATTGCAAATACAAGCCCTGAGCAGAATAAAACGGGAACGGGACGCAAGAATGAGATGAAAAAAGACAGAAGATATTTTTCTTTTCTATCACATGCTTACGTTAACGATTATTATTTTACTTTGCTTTGGGCAAAATATCTCACACTCTACCCTTAAAGGCCAGTCCCATGTCGGCGAAAAACGTCAAAGCGTTGAAGCGTCGGCGTTAAAATATGTCAGTTAACGAGACTTACGTTACGTTTAAGTTCCGTTCAAGAGTGCTATTGTGGACTCAACCTTACAATTGTAAAGTTGATTTAATTAGTCGAAGTTCTAGTGTTTATTGTGGTTAGGTATTACGTACTCGAAGATATTGTGCTTAGACCTTTAACTGAGTTCTTTGGAAACGCGTTTAGAATTGTGAAGGTCAAACATCACTGAATGTGATATTTTAAAGATTTCAAAACATCGCTATAATAAACACTGCAGTTTCGAAAAGCCGATTGGAAATATTTTGCAGTCTTTAAGTGGCTCAAAACACGTCGCCGAAAGAAAAGTGAAATCTTCCCGAAATTTCCTAATTCAATTTAAGAGTTCTAAATAGTTAACCTCGAATTAACCTATAAATTCAATATTTCGCTTTCCTCCGCATCTTGGGCCAAAATATAGACATATTATTGTCTTGGATCCTATATTTACGTTCAATGTACAACATTGCAGTGCTATATTTAAAAAGAAATGAATAACAATAATACACAGTGCCGGGCATTTCGTAACCATATATGGGATGATTACCGGTATGATATTCATAGCCACACAGCCACCGCTACGTAAGTAATTTTAACAAATTTATTAAATTTATATATTTTTCTAAGAGACAAAAATACATGTATATATAAAAATATTTTAATTTGTATTTTAAAACTACATAACTTTTAGTTTTATTTTTCGTTTTTCTTCAAAATAGTTACTACAGTAACTTTTATAAAAACACTTTAGGAATTCGGTAGTAAATACACACAATAATCATTGCTGAACATTTTTTGAAAATAAGTTCTTACTACTTTTCCGAACGAATTTTGTACAAAATTCGAGCGAATTGTTATGTTAAAATTCCGCTAGGAATCTAGTAATAAGTTCATTTAATATAATTGCTAAAAATTATTTTTAAAAAATTTAGAGTAATTAAAAAAATGTACAGCAATGTACATGTGTGAAATTTTTACAAAAAATTCCCGTACATATTACGGCCAGAATTCCATTCGGACTTACATGCTGAAAGTATTTTCCAATTCTGTATTCGTTTTTCCAAATGGAATTCAGGCGAAAACTGTTTTAAAACGCCAGACAAAGTCCTTCTTGTAATTTAACACGAGTTTTGGGCGAATTCTAAACAAATTGCAAACGTAAGACGTACGAATCATTTTCACCTGGATCCAATTGATTGTAAATATATATCGTTCAATTAGAAATTTTTTGTATTGTGTTGTAAACCTTAAGGTGTAATAGAAAAAGAGAGGCAGAAAAAGAGACCAATCGTTGATGATTTTTTTTGAGAAAATGAAAAATGAAATTGGATTTCTTTTTGGAGGGTTTATTAAATACATATCAAAGTGTGGAAAAAAATTTTCTTTTAAAATTGTATAATAAAATGTCGTCAGGAAATTTCATATTCAAAATCGACTATTTTTTTACGACCGGAATAGTTTTTTGAAAAGTCTAAGTCTTGAAACAAAAAACAAAGAAATCCTATTCCTTTGTTCATTTTTCCAAAACAAATCATGAAAAATTGTTTCTTTTCCTACTTCTACTTCATGTTATTTATGAATGTAAAAAGTTATTTAAAAATTTTTGTATTTTTTTTAAACTTTAGGTGGCACTGAACAAGAAGAAGGAAAAGAAATGTTTGCATTCCGTCAGTTCCATGAAAAATGAGATTAAATTGTACCTAAAAAAAATCGCATGTTTAAAACTTTTTGAAGCATTCTAAAACAAAAACGCAATATGATAAAAATCTTTGAAGAAGCTCAAATAAAAATTTAAATTATCAACTTTAAAGCTCAAAATTGAATAATGATTGACAATTACGCCGAACCTATTTTTATTAAGAAGTTGCAATCTCAAATTGTCAAAATAAATGGAATAAGCATTCTATGGCAAAAATCGATATCCATGTGACTAGATTTACTTGCATTTTGTTAGATAAAGGTTTCTGAGGTTTTTTATTTCTAAGCCAAAGATTAGATTTAAATATTCAGAATGGTGAATTTAAAATGGCGTCTAAAATGACTGATTATGGAATTTTGAAATCCGCCATTTTGAATTTCTTCAATCTAATTATCGATATATTATTAACGATCTCAGAAACCGTTATATAAGAAATTTCAAGCAAATTCAATTCTTAAAAAATTGCTAAAAAGAGCTTTTTTGATATTTTAATCTTGTTTGATTTGGGACTGACCAAGTGAAGAAAAATTTATTTATTTTTATTTATTTATTTACAATAAATACTACATTAACTTTTTTGCAACTAACGATAAAATTAACTTCTCATTTCTGAAGTAATGTTAAGGACAGTTTTTCAGCAATCGTTATAGACAGTAATAGTTTTTTTAATTTTCTGTAGATACTATGTATGCATAAACTATAAAAATGGTACATGTCCCGGAAGAGGCGTGAAAAAGAACGATGAATTTGAAGTAACCACAGCACATAATCATCGACCAAATAGAGGCGAACTAAAAGAGAGATTGTTTAAACAAAACTTATATGTTAATGTATCAACGCGAGATGGCAATTATAGACAAATTTATGACGAAGTTCGACTATCGTAAGTATTAAATAAAGTATGTAAAGCAATATCAGGGTGGACCTATGTAAGTAAAGTCAGGGAAATGTTATAAAATAAAATTTTTTGCAGTAAAGTCAGGGAAATGCCATGAAAAAAAATGTTGTCAGGGAAATTTAGAAGATTGAGACTTTTTTCGACTTATTTTCAAAAATTGCGACTTTCTCCAATTTTCTACCAAATATTGCAATGAAATATCATATTTTTTGGATAAATGTAACTCATTTCGATTTTTGTAGTGGAAAAAATAACTATAAACAAATGTTTTAAAAATTATTTAAAAATCATTTTTCTATTTAAATTTTCGAAATATACAATTGAAAAGATTTTGAATGATTGAAATTTAGTAAAATGTAATTAAAAATAATTAATTTTTTCAAGTATTTTGTTAGAATTTTTGAGAATTAACTTTTACGGAATTTTAATTCCAAATTTTTAATGAATTATCAAAAATTTTAATAAAAAATCTTTAAGGTCATGCGGGAAAAAATAGTGGTTTCGTAGAATCTCGTAGAATTGATTTAAAAAGAAAAGAATATTTCGGGTTTGAATTTTTTGAAAATAATAGTGGAAAGGGAGCCTGCATAGGGGACATCTCGGTATTTTGCATAATTTTGATAAATGACTTTTAAAAAAATTGTTGAAACATTCGGTTTTGAGCGAAAAAGGGCTTTTATAGAATACACTATTCGTTGTTTAAATACAATATTTCGAGGTAAAATTTATTCGGAATGATAGAGGAGAGTATTATTAATCAGGGTTGCCACAGGTCAGGGAATTCAGGGAAAAGTCAGGAATTTTTATTAAAAGTACTGAAAAAAATTAAATTTTTGAAATTTATAAGAAAATTCTGAATTTTTGTATTTTTTTGTTTGCACCATAAACTATAAAACTACCGCGAATTCTAATATAATACCTTTTAAATTTGTTTCTGTTTCTTATCAAAATGAATTTTTTAAATAATATTTAATAATTTCTAAAGTTTTAATGCAATTATCTTATTAAATAACAAAACTGTTCACAAAGATTCAGTTATTTTTAGTAATTTTAAAAAAATTCTTTGCAAAATTCAATTATTTTTATAAATAACAATATTTATCACAAGAATAAAATTTCATTTGGGAATTTAATTATTTTTATAGCAGAATTTCAAATATTTTTAATACAATTTTTAATAAATTCATCCAAAAATGCAATTATTCTTAAAAATTTTATTAAAACTCGACTGAAAAATTCAAATTTAAAAAACATTGAATAATTCAATAATAAAATATTAAAATTCGTTGCAATGATACAATTATTTTTATAAATAATAAAAATCTTCTAAGGAATTAAATTATTTTCAAACATTTTAATAACAGTTTTCTTAAAAATTCAATTCTTGTGATAGATAATAAAATTCTTCGAAAGAATTTAATTATTTTCAATACAATTTATATTAAATTCCCAAAAAAAATGTTTATAAAATTCGTCAAAAGTATTCAATTTTTTTCAAAAATGTGAATACGATTCTTTATAAGAATTAAATTATTTTCTTAAATAATAAAATTTTTCCTAAGAATTCAATTATTTTTAATGAATTGAATAAAATTTCTTGAAAGAATTTAATCACTTTCATAAATTTTTAATAAACTTGAAAAATAAAACATTTTTTGTGAATTATATTTTTTATGAAAATAATTTAATTCTTTTGAAAATTTTATTAAAATCATATTAAAAAAAAATTAAATTCCTTCAAAGAATTTTATTATTTATAACAAGAATTGAATTTTTTATCAATTTCAAATAAATTCCTCGAAAAATTCAATTATTGTTAAAAATTTTATTTAAACTTGATGAAACAATTCAAATTTAAAAAACATTCAATTATTCAATAAAATAATAAAATTCGTTGCAATGATTCAATTATTATTTTCATAAATATAACTTTTAATTCGTTTTAGAAAATAAATTATTTTAAAAAAATTTTAAGTAAATTCTGCATAAGAAATCAATTATCTTGTTAAACAACAAATTTCTCCTCATAAAATCAATTATTTTAAGGAATTTTATTAAAATTCTTTTCCAAAATTTAATTATTTTCATAAATATCAAAATTTATCACAAGAATTGAATTATTTTGAAAAGTAATAAAATACTCTGCAGAAATTAAATTATTTTCAAAATTTTTTTTAAATACTCGTCAATAATTTTAATAACCATTAAATTATTGAAATTGAAATAATTATTTATTTTTGTTTTTAAAAATAATTGAATTTTGAAAAGGTTTCAAATTAAAATCTTTGGAAATCTAAATTTCTCGTTCTTTTAAATAATGATTGAGTTAAAGAAGAATTGTAGCTAAAAATTGTAGAAAATAATAATTGAATTTAAATAAATTATTTATTTATCGTTAATTATTATAAAAACATGAAGAAATCAATTACACTGAGTTGAAATCTCGGAGTGATTGCCTTCTTCATATTTATAATAATATTCTTTTAAGTTATTAAATTTCAAAAGTTTCTAATCATTTTTAGAGAGAATAAAAATATTCTTTAATGTCAGGGAAAAAGTCAAAATTATGTTTGTAAATCAGGGAAAAATAAAATTAAATTTTTGTGGCAACCCTAATTATGCAGGGGGGTAATTTCCATTTTGACAATAATTTGTCGAAAAAGTGGCGAAAAAAATAAATAATGTGGAGTAATTTGATGTTAAAACATTTCGTTAGTTCAAGCCGCGGTCACTCCTTAAAATTGTTTTATAGAAAAAATTATAGTTTATTTTATTAAAATATAATTGTTTAATATAACAAATTATAGAAAATAATTGATTTCATGAAGTGTTATGATTGTAGTTTTTAGAAATTATTAAATTTCATAAATTTTATTATTATTTTTATTTATTTTTATTGTCAGGTAAATTGATAAACTGATACTTGTGACCATCCTGAATAAAAAATGCTATTGCATTAAGGGGACTTTCTGATAAAAAATTTCAATAAATCGACTTTTACTTTTTTGCTTTAAAATGTTCTTTAGTATCATAAACTTTTCCGAAATAATTAAAGAAAAATATGCAAAAAAAGTTATAGCCATTTTTATAACCGTGATATAATTTTTAAAAATGTTAAAACTTTAGCTCATCAATGCCTTTCTTGATTATATTTAAGACTTCCTCACAAAATATCAGCTCAATTTATTCAATGTATTAAGAGAAAAATGGTTGCCAAATAAACATTGAAAATCTAACAGTTACATGTTTCTAAAGGCAGATATGTAATAATAGTATGGCTTATTCTGAGACCTTTAAATAAATTATAGTCAATTATAATTTACTAACTAATTAATTTCCAAGTTTACGTATACGTCCCACTATAATTTTGTCGTGCAATATATGAGTTTTAAAAAATTAAAATACATTACATTTTATCTCATGTTAATATTTAAAAACTTTTTCAGTCATCCCGAAGGAGCAAGAAACTGGCCTTTTGCAAGGTGTGAAAATACCATGTACAAATGGAGACAAAAAAATAGTCCGCAGCCAGTAAATTGTTTTTCCGATTACGTAAACGTTATCAACTCAAATGAATGGAAACATTTAAAAGATTATGACACGGGTTCATTAAATGTTTCTTTGGCCACTACTAATGATTTGTCAAAATCTATAGTGATTGTTGATCCCGAGTTTGTTCAACATTTGGGCATAAATGGATTTGTTTTTCTGGATGGCACATTTAAGAGTGTACCCTGTCTGATTAACGGGTTACAATTAATTACGCTAATTACAATTCGATACAACCATGTAAGTTGTTTTGGAAAAATGATGTTTTTTTTTAATTTTCAATAATAAAATGTAGTTGATCGTTTCCATGTGAAGTGATCAAGGGGTATTACGGTACAATGGTTATTTTGATAATTTTTGACTCTTAAACAATTAAATAAAATAATTTGTCAAGGTTCAGTTTCGATAGATTTTTTCATGTTCTTTCGATTAAAAGTAAGCATTTAAAAAAACACAATTTTTTTTCAATCGAAATCAGATTTTTCCTTAAAAGGACATACATATTAAAAAATAGGCCCACAATGTTTAAACACTGAAAAAAAGAGTTTTCTACTGACCGGAGCGCTGCGGACTGTCGAGCACGATTTGAAAAAAATTTTTTCTTACCTTGATCACTTCCCGTGGAATCTCTCAGTTATGTAGTGTTGTTTGGTTTTGGAAATAATCGATCTGCGAATATGTTATGGCATTTTTATGCTTAAGGCCATTTAACATTTTAATTTATGTTATAAACTTCCCTATGAGCACTGGAAGGTATGCAGGAAAACATCTTGGTTTAGACTAAATCATATTCGAACTTTGTTTTTCTCTAATACAAAAAACTATAGTAATAATATTTTTATACAATTTAGAGTATGCCTGGAAGAAATAAATGAATCAACTGATTTATATTGAAAATATCTCAGCATCCCATTAATAGCTTCTAATTTTAGGCAATCCCTTTTGCTTGGATTTTAATGGAAAGAAAAACCACTCAGGCATATGTAGCAGCTTTTGAAAAATTAAGAAATTTATTGCCTGGATTTCGAATCAGTGAAGCCATGATAGACTTTGAAGCAGCTTTACGTAATGCTCTAAGGCTGGTATTTCCAGGAGTAATCATTTATGGATGTCATTTTCATTATTGTCAGGTAATAATGATTATCGTTTATATATTTTTAAAAAAATTATTGAATCCGTCAACTTCAATTGATAAAATTAAGCGAAATGTTATGTCAAAATGTAAATGCATAGATCTTTAGTCCAATTAATAAAAAAACTAGCTTTAAAATATTATTTTTCATTTAATAAAAAGTTTGATATTTTTTGAGAAAAAACAATCGTATACAAATTAATATTGAAAAAATGAATAAATTTATATTTTTCTATTTAAACATTTATTTTTTAATGATAATTTGTATTTATCTTTTCTTCTAAAAAATTGTCAAAAATTCCGAAGGTCTTGAGCATAGGATAATTTAAGGGCAAATTTTATAATCTTTCCAGAGATGCCTTAAAAAATTTTATACGTTTTTGTTTAACAAAGTTATCAGCCTTTAAAGAATCACATGTTTGATGACCGGTAGTGTAACTAATTTAAATAAATTATTAATTATTTATTACTTGTAGGCGCTGTATAGAAAAGCTATCAAGCTTGGGTTCAAAGTATTTTTACGTCAAAATAATGAAGCTAAATTCTTGTTACGCCAACTTATGGCGTTGGCATTTTTACCGTCGAATGAAATAATTGCTACATTTCACGAAATTGTTGACTCATTGCCTCCGCGAATACGACAGAAGATGAAAGAATTTTTGAAGTACTACAAAAAAGAGTGGTTACAGAAAGTAACCCCTGATCTTTTCTGCGTTTATCAACTGATTAGAAGGACAAATAATGTCCTAGAGTCCTACAATCGTACGCTGCAGCAGAAAATAGGAATTCACCCACAAATTTGGAAATTTACGAGTAAGTTCACATAATACTTAAAATTAAATAAAAGTTATCAATTAAATATGCAATATGAAACTCTAAAATTTGATAAAAACAATAGAAAATGGACGAAATATTTCAGCGCGAGTTTTCAAATTATTTTATTATATATTATATTATATATTATCACAAATTTTTAATAGATTCCTATTGGTAAACTTTAAAATTCGCGCTGAAAAATTTCGATCATTTATAATTTCGTTCATGTGAGCATTTGGCGTTTTCATAATTCTTACAAATGATCATTGACGAAAATGAAAATTCAGAAAAATAATAATTCTGACATTTAAAAAATCAGCTTATTTATAATTCAGTTAAATAAGACTTCTGGTAAATTTGAATTCGTTAAAATAATAATTCTTATTTATTTATAAGGTATAACAATTACTCATATCTTTAAACGAATAAAAATAAACAAGTTTTGTTTTTTGCATTCGACTCTTTAATAAAAGAAAATAAAATATAATTGCAACACATAAACTCACTCAATATTAATTTAAATCATTCTTAATATTTTTACAGCTATTTTATAATTAGATAAGTAGCTGCTGTGGCTGACTACGATAGTTCTGAGTAAGCCCAAATATTAATAATCATTTAAATATTGAGTGAGTTTATGTGTTGAATATATTACTTTTTTATTTTAAAAATACTATAACTTAGGAATATTTTTAACTTTAAGTCATTTAATTTTATTAACAAGGCTGAAAAAAGTGTATTTTCTGAAACTTCAGACTAATAAATAATAATAGTAACTTAGTAATAATATTACTAAGTTTTAAGGGGTCAAACATTTTTAAGCCTTAAAATCGAAAGTTTAAAAAAAAATTTCTCATAAGTTTTAAAATGTAATTGATGAAATGTTCCATTTTCTTAATTTTTAAAGTTTTTAAGTATTTCGAGGTTTAGAACCGGTGTTAAGTCGTCTATTTTGAAATTATAATTAATTTTTTTACTTTAAACGATTCTTCGATGAGCTACAATGACAACCGTAATTGAAAATAATTTTTACCAATGGCCAAAGCGCCCTCTTTAAATCTGAATTTTTTTTTAAGACTTTCTAACATACACGATGACATGTACAAAGTTTTGATAAATTTTATTTTAAAACTTGTTAGAAAAATTTTTTTTTAATTCTTCCGATTTTAGAGCTGAAAAAGTTACAAAACCTAGGCGTATAAATATTCTTCCCAAATAAAATTCTACTAAATCGACATTCGGACGAACGGCATTCTTTCGAATAGGCATTTAATCAAAAAGATATTCGTCTATTTTGTCTATATTTGTCTATTTTTGTCTATATTTGTCGAATAGACATTTGAACAAGTACACACTCGATCGAATAGACATTTGGTCGAAACGATTTTAAACCTTAAAGAAACCTTTAAAACCTTGCTACAATGATAAAAATGTTGCTGCATGGTTTAAAACTGTTTCCATAAAATGTCTATTCCATCAAATGCCTATTCGATAGAATGTCTATTTAATCTAAAATATATTTGATCCAATGTCTATTCGATTGAATGACAATTCAACAGAAATAGTTTTTTGTAAGAAAGGAAATTATTTGTTCTAAACAAGTTGAAGTTATGATTTCGTCTATTGGCTTAAAACGTCTTAGGCGGTTAGCTAACCGCCTAGGAATTTAGCTAAACGGCGGTTTCTTCTATTCAATCAAATGTTACGTTAATCAAATGTTAAGACTTTAATTTTTTTTTTAGGAAATCTTGTCCATCTGCAACAAAGCTTGAGATATGATTTCGTGTCTCTACAACGTGGACACAGAGTTAGCAGGGTCAAAAAAGTTCATGACAGAAAAAAAGAAGAACTTTTAAGAATCGCTTGGGACAAACTCAGTAAAGAGAATCGTCCTACATCATTTGAATTTTTGAATGAAGTTATTGCAATTTGCATTAATCCCGTATTGGAATACTTCAACACTTTCCATGTGTAATAAATTGTTTAAAAATTAAAATAAGAGAAAAGGTTGTCATCAAGTACATATTATACCATTTATGTCCTTCAATACTTTTTTTTTTATTCATTTATAATAATATTAAAAATTTTTGTTAATAAACCTAAATGTTTAAAATAAAAAAGGACTTGATAAACTTAACCATGGCGTCCGCAAAATCTTGTTTAGAAACAAGACTAATACAGGTATACAAGATTTTTTTATATGATATCGGAGTAGTTTCCGATGTATTTGTGTGCGCTGAATATGATCCGGGGTTCCAAAATTGCGTATCACGTGAGAATTTTGAGAAAAGTTTGGTTTCAAACACGTTTCAAAAAACGTGTTTTTCAGGGTTATCATTATTTTTGTTCTCCTAAACCTGACGTGCTGGAGACTTCTAATTAGGCATAATTTAAAGCTTAAATTGTACACTACAGAACTCATATCCGTAAAACTGAAAAAAATTACAGTCAAAAAACAGACTTAAAGCAGTTAAAGCCACCAAAAAACAAGTTTTTAGGGGTTTCCAATAATTTTTTTCTTCTAAATCTGACGTGCTAGAAACTTCTAAATAAGCTTAATTTAAAACTTCAATCACACACTACAATACCCATATCCGTAATACTTTAAATTAAATTTCAAAACCTTTTGAAAAGTTTTTTTTGAAAGTGCCGAAGAAAAAAGTTTTTTGGTCACTTGAAGTCCATTTTTTGAAAAAAAAATGTAATTCTCTTAGAGTCTTACGGATGTGGGTTTTGTAGTGTAGGATTTAAGTTTTAATTTAAGCTAAATTAGAAATTTACAAACACTTCAGATTTAGGAGAAAAAAAATTTTAAAACGCAATATACCTAAACTTTAATAATATATAATGATATAAGAAAATGGGTCAGAATTTTCCAAACGGATCAGGTTAAACTGAATAAATTTTTATAAAAAAAATAACTTTTTGTTTCTCAATGTGGTTCTAAAAAATCCTAGAAAAAAATAAATAAAAAAATTTTTTTTTTGTAAAACTTAATAAATTAACAAATTGAATTTTTTAATAGTGCTAAATTAAGAAAAATTATTTTTTTTGTTCCAGTTAACGGATTTAAAAATTAAATCCAAATTGTTTTTTTCGTCTTGAATAGTAGTATTGGAAAACAAATTTGTTTTAAAATTTTTCTAACTTTTTATATTATATGTTTATACATGGTTTATACATGGTTATCCTGGAAAAAGTATGGAATTTAGAAAAGGATAACTATGGAAAAACTGAAAATAGAATAGTATTTAAAAAAATTTCTGGAATTTTACCTGTTTTTAAAAATTTTTAACAAAATTTTAATTTAAAATTATTATTCAATGATTTTTATAAATAATAACATTTTTTTACAGGGATCCAAATAATTTATATGAGTATATAATAAAAAAATCATCGCAGACTTTCAATTATTTTTAATTTTTAATAAATTTTTAATTAAATTTCTTAAAAAAATTGGATTATTTTCATAAATAATGAAATTCTTTGTAACAATAACATTTTTTTCAAAATAATCTTCATAAAATACTTCGTAGAAATTTAATTAATTTAAAAAAATGGTCAAAATTCAATTATTTTCAATGTCTACTATTTCAATAAAATTTTACAAAATAATTCAATTATTTAAAAAGAAATTTTAATAAAATTCGTCTCAGAAATTCAATTATTTTTAAAAAAATTTCCTTATTTTAATGATTTTTAATATAATTTTAATAAAAATTTTTAAAAGAATAGAATTATTTAAAAAAAGTTTTGATAAAATTCTATGCAAACATTTAAGTAATTATTTTTATGAATAATAAAAATTTCACAAGAATTCAACTATTTACAAATTTTTTTATAATTTTCCTTATAAAAATTCCATTTTGAAAATCTCGTAGAATTTTCTAATATATATTGTTTTAAAAATGAATTTCAGTTAAAATTTAAAATTATAATTGAATATTGAAAGCATTATTATAACGTGGATTTTTATAAATAATTTAATTTGAATAATTTCAAATTTAAATCTTTGAAAATTTGAACTTTTCATACTTTTAATTAAGAATTCTGTAGAATTAATTTTTTTCAAAATGTTTAATGGAATTTTTTTAACTATCTATGGTTTTTAATTTCTAATATACATTTAATTGAGGAATGTCAGAATAATTGAAATTTCATAAAATTAAATTGTAAAAACGAGAATTTGAAAATTCTTAAAGAACTTTTTCAAAAATTATTTTAAAAAATTGACCTAAAGAAGAATTTTAGTTAAAAATTCTAGAAATGAATCATGGTAATGATTGAAAATAATTTTTGAAGTAACAAAGTAGTAAGTTTGAATTATTATAAGTGATTGAATTTCAAATTTTTGAATATCTTAATTTCTATAAAAAAAAATAATGATTAAATATTTATTTAAAAATGAAGTTATTGATATTTTCGAATAATTTTCGTATTAAAAACCTGGAAAAATTCCGTTTTTTAACTTGGGAAACCTGTAAAAGTCAGGGGATTTGAAAAGAGCAAAAGCGTGGTACTATTTAAAATTGTTTAGAGCCTAAAAATTTTATCGGATTGACATATTCTTAATTTTAAATTAAAGGGAATAAAATTTCTAAGAGATCCCTTGAAACCATTGTTTTAATATTTAATTGTTTATATTTTTTTGTTACTCAATGTTAACAATTTACAATATAATTTTTTTCAGAAATAATAAATAATTATTGCTAATAAAATAACAATGATGATTATTAACTTTAAAACCATTTTCTACTAAAAAAATATAGAGTATTTAAATGAACATAAATTTGTCTGTAAAAACAATTTTTTCTTATTAAGACTGATCAAAGCTATCTAATTATTAATTAACATTGTTTGAAATAATTTAAATAAGTTGTATTATGCATTATTATTTATCTGGTTGTATTATTATTATATTGGAGTAATTTACATTCATTTTAATTATGTGCAATGGAAACATAAAGAAATAAACATGATTCATTACAAATATATTGTAAATTGTTATCCTGAAGTAAAAAAAAATATTAACAATTAAAAATTTAAAAACGGTATCAAAGGAATCCCTTAGAAATTTTATTCCTTTTAATTTAAAACCAACAATATTCAAATCCGATAAAATTTGTAGGCTCTAGACCATTTTGAACAGAAAATTGTAAAAAATAAATTTGTTTATTAACATTTAATAAACACATAATATAAAAAATTAAAAAACAAAAAATATTTCCAAATTGTGTAATAAAAGACGAAAAAAACGCATTTTTCGATTTTTAAATCCGTCAAGTAGAACTCGAGAAAAAAAATGTTGAATTTAGCACCACAAACTTATTAACAGCTTAAAATATCAAAAAAAGGATTTGAATTTCGCGCACAAAACAACTAAGAATTGTATTGAATGCCATCTATGTCATCAACTATATCCATATAGAGTGTACACTCACTCATAAAATATTATAAAAATTTTTTCGTAAAAATGCCTTTTCGCAAAAATGACATTTCGCAAAATTGAAAATTCGCAAGAATGAATTTTCGGAAAAATGACAATTCGTAAAAATGACATTTCGCAAAAATGTCTTTTCGAAAAAATGACAATTCGTAAAAATGACATTTCGCAAAATTGACATTTCGCAAAATTGACTTTTCGCAAAAATGACTTTTCGCAAAAATGACTTTTCGTAAAAATGACTTTTCGCAAAAATGACTTTTCGGAAAAATGACATTTCGCAAAAATGACATTTCGCAAAAATGACATTTCGCAAAAATGACAATTCGTAAAAATGACATTTCGCAAAATTGACTTTTCGCAAAAATGACATTTCGTAAAAATGACTTTTCGCAAAAATGACAATTCGTAAAAATGACATTTCGCAAAATTGACTTTTCGCTAAAATGACTTTTCGTAAAAATGACATTTCGCAAAAATGACATTTCGCAAAAACGGCTTTTCGCAACAATGACAATTCGTAAAAATGACATTTCGCAAAAATGACTTTTCGCAAAAATAACTTTTCGTAAAAATGACATTTCGCAAAAATGACTTTTCGCAAAAATGACATTTCGCAAAAATGACTTTTCGCAAAAATGACAATTCGTAAAAATGACATTTCGCAAAATTGACATTTCGCAAAATTGACTTTTCGTAAAAATGACTTTTCGAAAAAATGACTTTTCGGAAAAATGACTTTTCGCAAAAATGACATTTCGGAAAAATGACATTTCGCAAAAATGACAATTCGTAAAAATGTCGATTCGCAAAATTGACTTTTCGCAAAAATGACATTTCGTAAAAATGACTTTTCGCAAAAATGACAATTCGTAAAAATGACATTTCGCAAAATTGACTTTTCGCAAAAATGACTTTTCGTAAAAATGACTTTTCGCAAAAATGACATTTCGGAAAAATGTCATTTCGCAAAAATGACAATTCGCAAAAATAACATTTCGCAAAAATGGCTATTCGCAAGAATGGCTTTTCGCAAAAATGACATTTCGCAAAATTGACTTTTCGCAAAAATGACATTTCGCAAAAATGACAATTCGCAAAAATGACATTTCGCAAAATTGACTTTTCGCAAAAATGACTATTCGCAAAAATGACTTTTCGTAAAAATGACTTTTCGCAAAAATGATATTTCGGAAAAATGATATTTCGCAAAAAATGACAATTCGTAAAAATGACATTTCGTAAAAATGTCGATTCGCAAAAGTGACAATTCGTAAAAATGGCGATTCGCAAAAGTGACTTTTCGCAAAAATGACTTTTCGTAAAAATGACATTTCGCAAAATTGACTTTTCGCAAAAATGACATTTCGTAAAAATGACTTTTCGCAAAAATGACAATTCGTAAAAATGACATTTCGCAAAATTGACTTTTCGCTAAAATGACTTTTCGTAAAAATGACATTTCGCAAAAATGACATTTCGCAAAAACGGCTTTTCGCAACAATGACAATTCGTAAAAATGACATTTCGCAAAAATGACTTTTCGCAAAAATAACTTTTCGTAAAAATGAGATTTCGCAAAAATGACTTTTCGCAAAAATGACAATTCGTAAAAATGACATTTCGCAAAAATGACATTTCGTAAAAATGACTTTTCGCAAAAATGATATTTCGCAAAAATGACTTTTCGCAAAAATGACATTTCGCAAAAATGACATTTCGTAAAAATGACTTTTCGCAAAAATGACAATTCGTAAAAATGACTTTTCGCAAAAATAACTTTTCGTAAAAATGACATTTCGCAAAAATGACTTTTCGCAAAAATGACAATTCGTAAAAATGACATTTCGCAAAAATGACATTTCGTAAAAATGACTTTTCGCAAAAATGACAATTCGTAAAAATGACATTTCGCAAAATTGACTTTTCGCAAAAATGACATTTCGTAAAAATGACTTTTCGCAAAAATGACAATTCGTAAAAATGACATTTCGCAAAATTGACTTTTCGCTAAAATGACTTTTCGCAAAAATGACTTTTCGCAAAAATGACAATTCGTAAAAATGACATTTCGCAAAATTGACTTTTCGCAAAAATGACATTTCGGAAAAATGACATTTCGCAAAAGTGCAGTTCGCAAAAATGACATTTCGCAAAAATGACATTTGGGGAATAATCATGCGCCCCCGACAAGACAACAAATCCTTTTCTGTATGATTAAATTAATCATCCTTAACAGATGTTTTTTCTTGTGGAATGCCAAACTACATGCAACTTGAAACGATTAAACAAAATATTATGAATAGAAACTCGTTTACAGAGAGCAAATTTTATTTCAGATAAGATTAAAATGAAAATTGCAATAACGATTGTATTTTACTCCAATTTTTACATAAAAACTTTTCTTTCGCGAAAAATTGGTGTAAATCGTGTAAATAAAAATTTAGAAATATTTAATAAATGGAATAAAAATCATAGTAATTATAAAAAAATAAAAATTATTAATACTTGTTTCATGGAAAAAAGTAATTGTTTCTTGAAAATAAAACACTAAATTAAAAGAAACGGATAATAAATTTGCCAAAATTGTAAAGTTAAAGGATATTCAACAGTTTGTGTTAAATTTTCGACTTTTGTGATTACACCATTTTTTTTATCCATTCCGTGAAGCTCGGGGTAAAAAAAAGGTCATTTATTTAAAACAATAACACGAGGTATTAAAAAAAAAAATTTTTTTTTTCATTCCTTCGAAAATAATGAAACAGTTGAGACGCTATTGTTAGCGAGTATATTGTTAATAATCCGGGTTTGATGGAAAAAACTATCGAGTTGATGCGCGCTAGAACAAGTTTTGACAGCTCGGGTCCTCTTCACAGCACAAAGGCAGGGGACATTCTATTCGCACATATTTCATTCCATCTGTCAGAATATTTTCATATTTTTTCCCCAATGAGAGACAATTACGCGAGCAAAATTATAGATTCGAATAGAGGAACGAAAAAAAAATTGATCCCCATAGCTTGAGCGTAAATATATATACAAGTAAAAACGACAAGAGGGTCGACGTACTGAGGGGAGGAAGTACAGCCGAGATGAGAGGACCACTTTGGAATGTCTCTTCTATCAAAGGACCATTTGCTTCAAATGTAACTTGCTTTCTTTGTTTTCAAAGAATGCCTCACTCGCGCGAGGCATAATTTTAATTTGGAGAATATAATTTTATTTACCTTTATAAATGAAGGTGTAGAGTTAAAGAGGGCAAAGATGAATACACGGGTGAAAACGGGTGAGTCCCTACGACCCATCGCTGGAATACCCTACCATGACCCTTTCTTTAAAGCAAAATTAGAGCTCACAAAAAGAAAAAGGCAATGGTTTGATGATGTTCCACTATTATTGCACTATAATCCGTAAAGATATCACTTAAAAAACGTACATAGGGCACCACACTTCCGTCAATTTTACAATAACACTACGCGGGGAGTTAGGATCGGCCGCCATTAAAATTCGACAATTCGACTGACGACTTGTGCACACGAGAGGTAGGGGGAACAGAGGGGAAACGCAGTTATGGCGTGCACCTTTCTCTCTTTCACCTACACTCATGAGTCACTCCTCCTCACTCTTTCGATCCTCCCCTCTTTTCCAAGACTCACCCTCCATTGCGCATGTGCAAACGAGAGTCCTTTACTTACCGCGGGAACGCCATCTTGAATTCCTCAAATTTAAAAATTGTAATTTTATAATTTTATTTTAATAATAAAATAATAAATTATAACATCTTCTTATAAGAAAAAAAAATGCAAATTGGAAACGAGAATATTTAAAAATCATTCTATTTTGGAAATTTTCTTTATTTTTCCACAAGACACAGAATTATTTTCTATGTACAATCGTCACATATTTGTGTTTAAACACACTTTCTCAACTTCTGTGTGGTATTTTATTTTTTTTAACACGATTTCAACGCCAAAAAAAAACAATATTTGAGCAAAATAAAAAAAAAACTTTTAAGAAATCTTATTTTAAGTTTTAAGGATAAAGTGAAAAATAGATCTAGAATTTTTTTTCTCTCATAAGTTTTTAGATTTTTAAGTAAAAGCTAATACACAATGATTTTAAGTAGCATTTTTAGTAAAAACAATGAAAGATGAAGTTTAAAAGAAAACTGTCATTATTATAGTAAATTGTGCGTATGTACGTGAATTTAATAATTTATTTGATGAAAAATAGAATCTTGATTTGTTGTTTAAAATATTAGCAAGAATAGCAAAACATTTTAATTCGCTCTTTTTAATCCTGCGGGGTCTTTTACAGTATGGCCTTCCGAATGAACGAGATATTCTTTTCCACTTTTCTACGGCTCCATTTTCTTTTAATTTTTTTTTTTTTTGTATTTTCCGTATTTAAATTTTATAATTTTTGATACATGCATTTCCTATGGACAGGGCTCGAATCAGTGAAAGTATTTAAAAATACGGACTTTACGGACCAAAAATGAAAAATTACGGACCATTTACGGACCAATTAGTGACAAAAATTTTTTTAAATAATTTTCGAAAAAGTTCTTTGACAATTTTTAAATCCATTTGTTTACAATATTCAATTTTACGAAATTTCAATTATTCGTAAATTTTTCAATTGAATAAATATTAAAAAATAAAAATTTTAAATAATATTGAAAAAATTCAATTAAACTTTTTCAAAAAAATTAATTTTAAAAGTCAATTTTTTCTAAACATTCACGCTACAATTCTTTTCATATTCAATTATTATCTAAAATTTTAATTGAAATCCATTTTTAAATCAATTTTTATGAGAAAATTCTACTAGAATTCAATTATTTGAATACAAAAATAATTTTTGAATAATTGCATGTTTCTTAAAATTGAATTCTCATGAAGAATTTTGTCAATAAATTTTTAAATAATTGAATTTTTTTGACGAATTTCAATAGAATTTTTAAGAATTTTTTCGAGAAAAACAATTGAATATTTTTTTTAAATAATTGAAACTCTGTAATGAGTTTTATTTATTTATGAAAATATTTTATTGAATTCCTAAAAAGAATTTTATTATTTACGAAAATAATTGAATCCCTGTAAAAATTTTATTATTTATGAAAATAATTGAATTGAGAAGAAATTTATAAAACCATTTATAAATAAGGAAATTTCAGTGAAATTTTTATTATTTTTTGAAAATAATTAAAGGTTTGTGTAGATTTTTATTAAATTGTTTTTTAAATAATTGAATTCTTTTGGATAATTTTATTAGAATAGTAGATACCTATTATTTCCAAAATTAATATAATTCTTCACAAAAATTCAATTATGTTCAAAAATTTGAAAAAATCCTTATTAAAATTTCAATTATCTTTAGAAATAATTAAATTCTTCTCTGAAATTCAATTATTTTCAAATTTTTGAAAGTTTTGTGTAGAACTTTACTAAATTTTTTTGGATAATTTTATTAGAATAGTAGATACCTATTATTTTCCAAAGTAATAAAATTCTTCACGAAAATTCAATAATGTTCAAAAATTTGAAAAAATTCTCATCAAAATTTCAATTATCTTTAGAAATAATTAAATTCTTCTCCGAAATTTAATTATTTTTAAATTTTTAAACATAATTGAATTTCTGCGAAGAATTTTATTATTTCTGAAAATAATTGAATTTCTTCAATTATTTGTAATTTCTATAAAATTCTCCAAATTATATCGTACAATTTACGAACTTTTCATCCCTTTTTGAATTAAATTACGGAATTTACGGACCTTTTTTTCAAAGAAACGGACTTTCACCGACTTCAAGCAAAGTTACGGACCTAGTTCGAGCCCTGCCTATGGAAAAAAATTGAAAAATACGATCTTAGAATTTTTAAAAATAATTTTTAAAGGCAAAAACCGAAAAAATTTTGTTTTCTGCGTGTCTTTCATTTATTGAGGGAACGTTTATATAAAATAATGATCGTTTACATCGTTTTAGCTGCTAATTCGTATCATCTGGCTTCATTATTGATTTCAAAGTAGAAAAGGTAGGAGCTCTAAATTTAATTTCTGTTAACTTGTGTCTCTCAGGTACAAGTTCATTCAAGCAAGATTTTTATAATTAATACGAGTTGTACACATATACACACACATTCATTCTTTTTTTTTTTTTTTTTTTGTTCTTTCTTACTTCATCTCTCATACTCAATCTCTCTTTCTATCGTGAATCACAAAAAATCTACACAAGAAATAATGAGTAAAAATTATTATTCTTGCCTCCTGACGGACGTTCGATTAAAAGTCAACTCGAATTAGCTAGTCTTGTCACAATTTATTACTGTAAATATGTTATTTACACATATACCTAAGTTTCAAATATCGTAACATCATCCTTTTTATGATGAAGGCGTGAAAATTTTTGGTGGTTTTCTTTTTTACGTTTCTTTTTTTTTTTTTTTACTTTAAAAAATAACAATCATAGTAAATAACTAAGAAAGTAGCTCATAATCAAGAATATGACCATCGATGCACAATGTACATGTTTCAATATTGTTGGATGTCTTTCTCACTCTCTCTCTCTCTCTTACTCTCCTTCTCTCTCACACACTCTTTCTCTCTCTTTCTCCTTATTTCTCTCTGTTCCTCATCGGATTAAATTTTTTTTTTTTTATTTAAGAATCTGTAAAAATGTAAAACTAAGTCAATGGTTCGTTTTTTATTCGTGCACATACAACAGATGTGAATTTTCTCAAAGTTAAATCTCGAGAGGAAAAAAATAATATAAAGTCCCTAACAAAAATTGTATTCATATAATACAAGCCGAAAAAACTTAGTATATCTAAGAATTTCCAAAGATTTCAGTTTTCATTTCTTTTTTTTTCGAATATATTTGTAAAAACTCACGTGAGCAGATTCAACAACACGCGAGTAAAAATAGTTTCAACTTTACGAAAATCTTCTTTTTTCACTTAATTTTTTTTAAAAAAAAAGTGAATTTTTTTTCTAAAAAACCCAAAAAATCGCGTAAAACACATTTTTTTAAAGCTTCTTCTAAGAATTCAATTAAAAAGAATTTGTAAAAAAAAATTGAAATTGAATCTTAATTTCAATGTAAGAATTGAGAATTCCGTAAAAATTAATTGAAAGAATGGAAGCAAAAAAAAAAAAAAACTGATAAAATTCCTAGGTGACATTATTCTTGTTTTATGTACACGATGCGCGTGTAAATTAAAAAAAGGCCTCTCTCTCCTAGGACTGAAATTAAACTCAGAGTTTCTGTTTTCCGTTTGAAACAAAAAAAAAATAATTTTCTGATTTGTTTCGCTAAAAAAAAATCGTAGAGTAGGCAAATTTCCGAGAAAACAACACCAACTGTTCTATAAAGCTGTATTTAAAAAAAAAGGAAAAAAAAAAAAATGTCAATACAGGACAGAGTGTTGTCTCTATTTTTTCCGTTATCGTTGTTTCTATCTCGGAAGAAATGACAAGACGAAGACGTAATTTACTCGCAAGATACAGTTTGCACAAAACGGTTTTTCTTCTTTTTTTTCTGACTCAGAGAGTACAAGAGATCAAAGATGGCGCTTTTGAGCAGATGTCAAATGTTAATTAATGACGTACAGCGATTCTTTATACATATTAAATTGGTAAGAAACTCAATTCTATCTCGAATTGATGACAAAAGGGGGACTTGGGGGAGGGGGGGGGGGGGGGGTGGGGGGTGTAAACGAGGCCAATTTTACGTATCTCATTCTGCGAAAAGTGTACTGTATTATGCATTAATAACGATGTTATGAATGTGAAACCGTCGATAGTAGCAGTGGGAGGAATAGTAGAGCTGTAGCAATAATAGTAGTTTCAAGATCTTGCAATGTTTTTAATGACATAACTGCTCATGGACTTTGAAGGAGAACCTTATCCCAATGATGGGAAGTCATGCTCGTCATCGACTTTTGGAGCATTTTGACGTCCACGAGGCGATCGTTGTTCCGCTTGAGGAGCCTAAAAATAAAAAAAAAATTGTTAATTTTTCCCATCTTCTCAAATTTTATTCCTAAGAAAATAACCGATCAATAACTTGTGCCCACCTTTCAGCAATAATTGAGGCTCCGGATCTTAAAAGGGCACTTTCAGCATTGATTTTTAAATGGTAAAAGTGCACTTTTAAGATTCGGAGCCTCAATTAAACATTTCACGAAAAGTTTCCTATTTTGTTTATTATTAAAGTTAAAAAGCTCAGAAAGGTCTTTAAAAGCTCATATTATATCCTATCCTGAGAAATGCGGAAAAATTGTTGTTTTCTAAAGTTATTGTGCTTATTCTTGAAATCTAATTTTACTTAATATTTCATAATTAATTCAATTTTAAAATAATTGCGTTTACAATTTTCATAAGTACAGTGAAAAAGATTTCTTCAAAAGGTTTTGATTTAAGAAAAGATTTTGATTTAAAATTTTGTAAAATTTCAATTTTCAATGAATTTTATTAGAAATCTTAAAGAACGTAGATTTTTGAAAAGATTAATAATTCAAATTCTTCTGAAATTAGTTAAATTTTTTTAATATAAATTTAATTGGTTATTAAAAATAATGGATTTACAGAAGAATTTTTAGTTAAAAACACTAAAAGAAATTGAATTTAATTACAAATGATTGCAGAAATTCAATTATTTTCAAAACCTTTAATAAAATTCTTGTCAAAATTTCAATTATTCTCAAAAACTTTCCTCAACTCAATGATTTTTAATATCTAGTACTTTAATAAAATTACACAATAGAATTCAATTATTTAACAAAAATTTTAATAAAATTCTACGCAAACATTTAATTATTTTCATAAATAATTTTATCACCTTTAAAACGCATTTTTTAAAATTTTTGTACGTTAATTTTTAAGAATAATATAGTCATTTGTTTAAAATATTAGCCATTTTTCTAAATTGTTAACTCAAAAATAATTCGTTAAAAACAATTTTTTTTTGAGAACATGAATTGTTCCATTTTTACATGCAGAATTAGAAAAAATTTTATTTTTTATATTTTTCATATTTTTAAGTTTTAATCGTAGAGATTCGCAATTTTTACTCACTACAACAAAAAAAAATTTAATATCGTATTTATTTAATTATTTTCAATAACTTTAACTCAGCAAATATTTAATTAACTTTTGATCAGTTTACAAGCAATAAATTTAATTATTATTATCAAAAGTTATTTAAATGAAAATAATTGCTGAGTTAAAATTATTGAAAATAATTGAATAAATAGGATATAAAATTTTCTTGTTTGTTGTAGTGAGTATTGAATTGCGGATTTCTACAATTAAAACTTAAAAATACAAAAAATGTAAAAAAAAATTTATTCAAATGTTTAAAAAATTTTATATATATTTTTTTATTCTGCATGTAAAAATGAAAAACTATGTTTTGCAGTATCATTATTTAAACATTAACAGAATGCTATAATGCTTTTAATATTTAATATTATAATTAAAAATTTTAACTGAAATTCATTTTTAAATCAATATTTATTAGAAAAATGTACGAGAATTCAATTATTTAAATACAAAAATAAAGGTTTTATTAAATATTTGAATGTTTCTAAAAATTGAATTATCATAAAGAATTTTATAAATGAAATTTTAAATAAATAATAATTTGGAATTTCTCAATAAAATTTTAAATAATTGAATTACCGTGACAAGTTTTAATAAAATTTTGTAAAATAATTTCATTTTTCAAGAAATTTGATTAAAATTGTATAAAAAATAATTGAACTTATCCAAAAAAATTTATAAGTGTTTTTGAAAATAATTGGAATTTTGAAGAGAATTTAAAAAATTTTTTAACCATAATTGAATTGTTTTTTAGAATTTTATGAAAATAAATGAATTCTTGTGAAGAATAATTTCATTTTTCCAGAAATTTAATTAAAATTGTATTAAAAATAATTGAATTTAGCCAAAAAATTTTATAAGAGTTTTTGAAAATAATTCAATGCATGTGAAATTTTAATTATTTATGAAAATAATTAAATGTTTGCGTAGAATTTTTATAAATTTTTTTTTAAAAAATTGAATTCTTTTGTGAAATTTTATTAAAGTAGTAGATATTAAAAATCATTGAGTTGAGAAAAGTTTTTGAAAATAATTGAAATTTTGACAAGAATTTTATTAAAGGTTTTTAAAATAATTGAATTTCTGAGAAAAATTTCACTACTTTTGAAAATAATTGAATTTCTGCAATCATTTGTAATTAAATTCAATTTCTTTTAGTGTTTTTTTACTAAAATTTTTCTGTAAATTCATTATTTTTAATTATCAATTAAATTTATATTAAAAAAATTTAACTAATTTCAGAAGAAGTTGAATTATTAATCTTTTCAAAAATCTACGTTCTTTAAGAATTCTAATTAAATTCATTGAAAATTAAAATTTTACAAAATTTCAAACTAAAATCTTTTGAAGTTCATTTGTACTTAAGAAAATTGTAAACGCAACTCTTTTAAAATCGAATTAATTTTGAAATATTTAAGAAAAATTAGATTTCAAGAATAAGCACAATAACTTTAGAAAACAACAATTTTCCAGGATTTCGATCAGAATTCCCTGACTTTTCCAGGTGTTTTCAAGGTTTATAAAATTCCCTGACATTTCCAGGTCAGATAAACCTCAGGATATGATCTTTTAAATTAGACCTTTCTGAGCTTTTTAACTTCAATAATAAACAAAATACAAAACTTTTCGTAAAGTGTTTAATTGCTGTAGGGTGGGCAAAAGTTATCGAGCGGCCACTGTAATTTCAAAGCAAAAAAAAAGAATTAAAAAAAAAAAACAAAATACAAAAATAGAATCAAGGGGAGAAACTAAAAAACCAAAAAAGAAGAACGCTTTGAATACCTCGAAACTTACAACTGGAGCTCGAGTGTCAGCGTTGTCTCTTGGAGCTCCGCCGCGATTACCAAAACCACGACCATTGGCACGATCGCTTCGTCCTCCACGACCTCCGCGACCACGACCTCCACTGCCACCACGTCGATTATCACTGAATTGGATGTCAATATCAAAAACGCGTTTCTGCCTGCCAACTCGTTGCGGATAATCAGTAGCATCATACTCCTCGTCGTCTTCGTCCTCCTCCTCGCCTTCCTTCTTTTTCTCGAGAGCATACATTTTCTTCCAGCGTGTCAAATCCTCACCTTCACCAGCTTTACGCAAATTGTATTGTGGCTTGGCACGTGTTCCTTGTTTCGCTTTCCATTCGTCCAATGTAATTTCCCGTGATTCCTCCTCAACTGGTTTTTCCTCTGTCGAGGTATTAGCAACTTCACCCTCCTTGCCAGCTTCAGTGGCCGGGGTGGACAAATCAATTTCCGGCTTATCAGTATCCCAATCTTGGTTTGTTTCCTGGTTCAAACTTTCTCTGAAAAAAAGAGAAGGAAAAAAAATTAAATAAAAATTTTCTCTACCTAATTTGTCATTAAAAAAGGCAAATTCTCAACTTACTCAATTTCATCATTATGGGTTCCCCAGTTATGGCTGCCAGCGCCATCCTTCTTGTCAACTGGTTTCACTCCACTGTAACCATACCTACTTTCATTAGTTACTAGTAATTAAACTTTTTTTTTTCTTTTTAACGTAAAAGTTACGTGTTACCCAAAAATTAAAATTTTTTGTGCAGGTAATTATTATATTAATAATAAACACATATATAATAAAAAAAATCATGTTTCAAAATTTCAATTTCGATAAATTAAGTTTCAATTTAATTAAATTAGAATAAGCTAAAATTCACTTGTTAGAAGAAACAGGGTTGAAACGCTTTTGCTCTCTTTAAATTCCCTGACTTTTCCAGGTTTTTCAGGTTAAAAAACGGAATTTTTCCAGGTTTTTAAAACTAAAATTATTCGAAAACATCAATATCTTCATTTTTAAATAATTATTTAACCATTATTTTTTTTATAAAAATTAAGATATTCAAAAATTTCAAATTCAATAACATATAACTAAAATTCTTCTTTAAGTCAATTGTTTTTTAATAATTTTTTAAAAAGTTCTTTGAGAATTTTCAAATCCATTTGTTTATAATTCAGTTTTAGGAAATTCCATCGATTATTCAGAAATTCTTTAAATATGTATTAGAAAATAAAAACTTGAAATAATTCAAAAAAAATTCCATTAAACTTATTGAGAAAAATTAATTCTATAGAATTCTCAATTAAAAATATGAAAAGTTCAAATTTTCAAAGATTTTAATTTGAAATTCATTTTTAAATCAATATTTATTAGAAAATTCTACGAAAATTCAATTATTTAACTATAAAAATAAATATTTTATTAAACAATTGAATTTTCATAAAGAATTTTATCAACAAATTTTAATAAAATTTTTAAGAATAATTGTATTTTTCGAGAAATTTGATGAAAATTGTATTAAAAATAATTGAAATTCTGCCAAGAATTTTATTAAAAGTTTTGAAAATAATTGAATTTCTACGAAGGATTTTATGAATTTTTTGAAATTTTTGAATTCCTACTAAAAAATTCGTTATTTTTGAAAATAATTGAATTTTTGCAAAGAATTTTGTTATTTATAATGATAATTGAATTCTTGCCTAGAATTGTATTACATTTTTCTATAATAATTGAATATCTGCGAAGGAAATTATAATTATGAAATTATAAAAATAATTGAATTTCTACGAAGAATTTTGTCCTTTATAGAAATAATTGAATTCTTACGAAGAATTTTGTTATTTGCAAAAAAAAATTGAATTCCTGTCAAGAACTCTTTATTTGAAAGTTTTAAAAATAATTGAATTTCTGCGAAGAATTTTATAGAAATTTTAAAAAAATTATTGAATTTCTGCTTAAAATGTTATTTTTTAAAAAGAATTGAATTTTTGGGAAGAATTCTGTTATTTATGAAAAGATAATTGAATTCTTTCCAAGAACTTTATTTGAAAGTGTTGAAAATAATTGAATTTCTGCGAAGAATTTTATGAAATTTTTGAAAATAATTTTATTCTTTAAAGAAATTTAATTAAAAATGTATTGAAAATAATACTTGAATTCTAATAAATAAATTATAGCAAAAGTTATTAAAATAATTAAATTTCTTTGATAAATTTTAATAAAAATTTTAAGAATAACTTTTTTTTGAGGAATTCCATTAAAATTGTATTAAAAATAATTGAAATTCAGCATTGAGTTTTATTATTTATGAAAATAATTGAATCCCTGTAAAAAATGTTATTATTTATAAAAATAATTGAATAAAAAATGAAAATAATTTGTAAATAATTTAATTCATGTGAAATTTTTATTATTTTGGAAAATAATAAAATTTTTGCATAGAATTTTATTAAAATTTTTGTTAACTAATTGAATTCTTTTTAGGAGTTTTTGAAAATAATTAAAATTTTGCCAAGAATTTTATTAAAATTTTTGAAAATAATTGAATTTCTGAGAAGAATTTTACTGCTTTTGAAAATAATTGAGTTTCTCCAATAATTTGTAATTGCTTCAAAATTCAAGTTGTTTTAGTGTTTTTAACTAAAATTCTTCTATAAATCCATTATTTTTAATAAAACTGGTTAAATATGTATTAACAAATTTAACTAATTTCAGAAGAATAGTTTTACATTTTTTTTTTAAATTAAAAATTTTTTTTTATATATTTCTAATTAAATTCATTTAAAATTGAAATTTTACAAAATTTTAAATAAAAATCTTTTAAAGTTCACCTACTTATGAAAATTGTAAACGCAATTCTTTTAAAATTGAATTAATTTTGAAATATTTAAGTGAAATTAGATTTCAAGAATAAACACAATAACTTTAGAAAACAACAATTTTCCAGGATTTCGATCAAAATTCCCTGACTTTTCCAAGTTTTTTCAAGGTTTATAAAATTCCCTGACATTTTCAGGTTTTCCATGTTGCGTAGCAACCCTGATTAAGTTTCGATTTAATTAAAATTTACTTGTTAGAAGAAAGAAATAGAAAAAAGAATTTTTGTCAAACTTGAAAAATTGAAACTTGATTTTGAAAGCGATGATAAAATAATAGACAAATGTGCGCAATAAATAAAAAAGCGAAATGTGTTACAAGTCAAAATCCTTACCTCGGCAGCCTGTTTATGGGCATTGACAAAAAATAAAATAAAATTGTTAGTCTCACGTTGTGTTCTTAGATAACTGTAAAAAATTATAAATTTACCTATTGCAAATTGTTTTAATCGTTTTCATTCAATAAATTGACTAAAAAAAAATCTAAATATGGTTTCGGAGAAAAAAATTGCAAAAATAATTCAAAGTTGAGTAATTATTAATTATTAATTACAGTGAATGTGAAATAAAAAAAAAGCCCTTATTAACTTGCTACAGAGAAAGGTAATTCGTAACACGAAATGTCTTTTTTTTCTGAATATGTAATAATGTGTATTAAAAGTAAACTATGAATTATACATACGTTTTGTCTGAACCAGATTGCCGATCGAATTCTCGTTTACCGCGATTGTCGAAGCCACCACGTCCTCCACGTGATCCTCCGCGTCCGCGATTCATTCCACTTCCACGAGAACCGCCTCCTCCTCGTCCTCCGCGACGGTCACCAAAATCAGGGCGCGAATGATCTCCAGGACCACGAAATTCACGAGGCTCACGTGGTTCACGTGGTTCGCGTGGTTCGCGCGGTTCGCGAGGCTCACGGAACTCGCGTTGTTCACGCGGCTCACGATGTTCGCTGTAAAAAAAACACCAACAAATATTTATAAATTTTAATGAAAATAATTCATTTTTTTTAAAAGTATTTTGTTAGAATTTTTGGAAATCAACTTTTGAAGAATTTTAATTGCAAAGGACCCCGCACAAAAAGTACATAATTTGGTTCCCGGTGAAATTTGTTTTGGATTTATGTTTGAGTTAAAGTAATTTGGAACAAATATAATTAATAAATATTAATAAATTTGACCGGGAACCAATTTATGTACATTTTGTGCGTCGTCCTTTTGAAAATAATTGAATTATCAAAAATTTTAATGAAAAATCTTTAAAGAAGTACTTTTGGAAAATTATTTAAAATAATTGATTTTTAGATGAAGTTTAGTTGAAAAATATAGAAAATAATTTAATTCAGGAAGGGTTATAATTGTAATTTTTAGAAATTATTAAAATTCATAAATTTTTCTCATTTTTCAGTAAACTTTTATATTTTCCTGTAAGAAGAATTTTGTCTGCAAAAATAATGTAAATGACCATCCTGAAATTGTTCATAAATAAATAATTATAAAAAAAAATAAAAAAAAATTATCTTTTAATAATAACTTTGTAAATTAAATTTTAATTTAAAAATAAGGAAATGAACTTTAGTTCTTTTATTTATAAATAAAATTGTCAAGATTAAAGCAAACTCACCCAGGAGGTCCACGTCTATTGTCCATTTGATTGCGCTGTGGTCTTTCACCATCTTCACGATTACGCCTGTTGTTGCGCTCTTCTCTCGATTCACCAGAGGACTTCAAGTTACGATCGCCTCCGGTTCTCGGTTGAGAAGGCTTCTTTTCAGCTGTAAATTATAATTTTTGCAATGCAATTTACCGCAAAAAATTGCCATATTCACCCAAAATTATCATATTCTTTATATATTTAAAAAAAAAGTAAATCAGGGTTGCCACGCTTTTTAGAAAATAAAAACTTGAAATAACTTCAAAAAAATTCAATTCAACTTTTACAAAAAAATTAAACCTACACAATTTTAAGTTAAAAGTATGAAAAATTCAAACATTCAAAGATTATAAATTGAGACCTGCTTTTCAAAACTCAATTATTATCTAAAGTTTTAACTGAAATTCATATTTGAATCAATTATTATTAGAAAATTCTACGACAATTCAATTATTTAAATACAAAAAAAAATAATTTATTGATTGAAGAATTGAATGTTTTTTAAAATTCAACTCTCATTTAAAGAATTTTATCAACAAATTTTTAAAAAGGTTATTAAAATTCTTTTGACGAATTTCAATAAAATTTTTAAGAACAATTTCATTTTTCGAGAAATTAGATTAAAAATGTATTACAAATAATTGAATCTCTGTAAAAAAAATTACATTGAATTGAGAAAAGTTTTTGAAAATAATTGAAAATTTGTCAAGAATTTTATTAAAATTTTTTTAAATAATTAAAATATTGCCAAGTATTTTATTGAAATTTTTGAAAATAATTGAATTTTAGAGAAAAATTTTAATATTTATAAAGATAATTGAAATTTCGACGATGAGTTTTATTATTTATGAAAATAATTGAATTATTGCGAAGAAAAAGTGTAAATAATAAAAAAAAAAAAAAAAGTGTAAATAATGTATTTTAAAATTGAATTAAGAAAATTAAAATATAAAATAAAGAAAAATTAAATTTCAAGAATAAGCACAATAACTTTAGAAAACAATAATTTTCCAGGATTCCAATCAAAATTCCCTGACTTTTCCAGGTTTTTTCAATGTTTATAAAAATTCCCTGACATTTCCAGGTTTTCCAGGTTGCGTGGCAACCCTGTAAATAATTTTCTCTTGATTATTAAAAAAACTGACTTGATTACAAAGAATAAAAGAAATTATATTATTTTAGATAGAAATATTGCTTTTTTTCTACATTAATAAAGTAGATAAATTTTATGCCCCGCAAAGTGTTTATGTCGTTAAAAAACAATCAATTCTCAAATTCATTTCTCGACTTCTCTAATTACTTGCGTTGGATAAGATAAGAGATACATCTATTGTGAAGTAAACGAAAAATTCATATACCAACTTGAATTATAGATTCTTAATTTATCAAAAAAATGTAACAAAGAAAGAAAAAAGTAACAAAGAAATAAAAAAAAAGAAACTCCTAATTACAATAAAGTGGAAAATTCCTTTGGTTAACACCAAGAAACCCGAATGATAAACACACTTGTATTTCAAGTGTGAAACTCTTAAAAAAGTATTCTAAATGGTTTTGACTATTACCATGCTTGGCCATGGGATGTTATTTTTATCATGCTTTCCAGCAGACATATTAGGTTAGCACATGACATCGATTTATCATTGTTCAACATTTTCGGAAAAAAATTATTTATATACAAAAAAAATACCCAATTAAAATCTAACATCTGATAACATAATGACTAACACGAGGAAAGCCTCGCAAAAATCGATACCAGTCAATAATTTATTAGAGATAAAAGACGCTACTCAGTTAATATAATGAAATTTTCATTATTTGATTATCAAAAATACCCCTACTTGTTAAACAATAAAAGTACTTCTCATATTTCAATGAAAATTCCCCCAAACTGCAAAAGAATCGGACCCAAAGTGAAATTCGCAAATTGACCGCGTGGAAACGTGCTTTTTCGACAATGCACACTTGCAATACTCGAAATTCAACAAAAAAACAACGCAAATTCCCAACTATAATACAAGAATCTATATCTGTAAAATTATGCGAAACAATGAAAAAAAAAACGATTGGAATATAAAGATAAATGGATAAAATAGCTATCAAGAAGCGGGAATGAAGCACGAGGTCGACTTGGTCGGCCATAATAAAGCGCATGAGTTTTTCATCAGTAGAAAAGAGAAAAAAAAAATTCCACCAACCTTGGTCCTTCTTGGTTTCCTGGATTTTCGGAGCTTGTTGCTGAACATCTTTAATAACGCGAATTTTCTGAGTCTTGGTGCCGGCACTCTTCTGGGTCTCAGGTTGCTTCGACTTATTCTCCTTTTCAGAGAGCTTCTCCTTTTTCTTCGCCTCCTTTTCTGCTTCGCGAATTTTCAGCACTTCTAGGGGATCTTCATCCTCATCCAGGGCCAAGCTGTACTTATTATGAACAGTGATACTATACGTGGCCTCCATTGCGTCCTGTATCCTCTTTTCGTCGAGGATTATGAGAAAATTTCACGGCTACTTTTGAGCCCTTGTGTAACAGAGACATCCAATAATCCAATATGGCTGAGTCGATGATACTTCGTCCACCACGAGGTCGGCGCTCAGGGAGGTACCGCGTAATCGTCTTGCACCCAGCGATCATTCCCCACTTTTTATTTTTCAATTCCAATCACCCTTATGAAAATTAACTACAATTCGATGATAATTCGAATTAATAAAATCGATCAGAATTTTTCCCCAGGTTAATTTTTCAAAATAATTAACAATTTTCTTGAATTATTACTTTATTTTTAAAGTTAGCTAGGAAGACGAACATCCGGAAGGCTTTTTGTAAAGCGATTCTTTGTTTGTCGAATGCGCGATTTCCAAAGGTGCATCAAATTAAATTTATTTTATAAACCTTCGGGAATTATAGTGACATATAATAATTCAAGAAAATTGATAATTAAAGACAATCAAAACATAAATAAAGAGAAATTATTGAATATAAAGCGGCTTTTTTCCTTAATACACCAGCGCCATCTGGACACAAAATAACTAGCCAATCAGCGTCAAGATAAAGAGCGGGAAAATGATAATGAACTTCCGCTACTTTTAAATTTCGCAAAAAAGATTTTTATTTTTTTCGATTTTCTCCTAAAAGTATTTTTTTCCAAAATAGAAAATTTGTCTAACGAATTTGTTTAAAACGTTTTAAACGTTTAAAATATCAAATCCAATTACTTTAATTAAAATATTTAGATTTAAATATTTTTCGAATTCAAATAATTTTCAAGAAAAAGTGACTCAATTTTGGTCAATTACATTATTGGAATTTGTGAAATTTCTCGATAAGTAGCAAAAGAGAAAACAATTTCGTTAAGTAAATAAAAGTATCGAGTAATGAAATTAAAAATTTTCAATCGGCAAAAGATAAGATAGCTCTCTTGTTTATCTCACAGACACACAGCCACACAGCTGATTCTGTTTACCAAACAAAGAAACCAGTCAGTATTTAGACGAGCTGGTGTTCGTTCATTATGTTGTAAAACGTTCACGACGTGTACACAGTACCAGAAAAAATAATTGTCAATCTTTTCCATCTTATTCAGATTTATTCATTAGAAATAAATGAATTTCAATTGACATTGTTTCTGAATAATATTATAAGTTATTTTGATAAATGTCAATGCGCAAAGAGAACAATATTTTACTTCCATTTATCCATCTGCTAGTTTTCTCTACTAGAGTGTGTATTTTTAACGAATGATTTTATAACGAAAATTTCGGAGTGCAAAAAAGGAATTCTTTCATTTAAATCACAGCAGTAAGTAATTTATTTATAAATTTCAATCACAAAGAATTAATGTCATATCGTAAAATTTATTATAAAAGGCGCGAGCAATATTCGCAAGAAACAGGTACGCGCACCTATGAGTGTTTACACATTTTTTTTGTCAGAATAAAAGTATAAAGTCATTGATCTCGTTTATAACATACCTTGAAATCATCAAGTGTTTTTCCTTCACAAGATACGAAATAATGTTGAATCAATTATTACAATCTATTGTTATAAAAATACTTTATTTCTATATTGTTGTGTTGTGTGTGTGTGTGTGTGTGTGAATATAGCTATATTACATAATTTTAAATTAAACCTGTCATGTGCACAAAGAAAGTCACTATAAATATTTCACGTAATAGAGATTAGATATCAAATAACGAATTTCAACATTTGTAAAAATTCTTGCAAACAATAATAAAACTTTCATAATTAATAATTACTATATGTCAACATCCGAAATTTGACATTTAAAAATTATAGATTCAGTTTGTCGTCATACTAATTTTTTATCTAATTATAAATTATATTTTTTTACTTGTCGAATTCGAAAATGAATGCAAATTTGTATCTTGTATTTAACTTGAAATATTTAATTACTTTTTATAGAAATTTATTTAGTTTATCAAATTTATTTCTATTTTCTCTTTTTTTTTAATTTGGGCGAATTTCTTTGAAATTGAAGAATATTTTTATTTAAATTCTTTTTCTATTCACACTTTTTTCAATTATAATTAAACGATGATTCAATTTTGATTTTCATTTCTCCTCTTCTTCTTTTTTCTTCTAATTAATAGTGGAAAAATATTCAAACTTAAGCAACAAGTTGTGTAAGTGATTTTGACCCATTTTTTAGAAATAAATTATAGATGTTTTGTTATGATATTTTTGTTTTGAAAAAAAAAGAATAAAAGGAAAAAAGTATCTAACGTGTAGGAAAGTGTCAATGAATAAAATTGTGCGCAAAAAGAAATCACAAAAATTTTTGTTTGAATGTTTATAAAACGTCCTTCTAAATAATAAAACCGGTTTTCCTTCCAAGTGATAATTATTGACAATGGAAAATGCAATAGACTTAATTTCACGTAAATTGTAAAAGTAATGTTGTAACCCCCATCAGGTCATGAGCTATGACCTTGAAAGGTAGACCTTTTCTCTATAGAATGCGTATAAAGCTATACAATTCAATTCCCTTTATTATATTATTATTCATTTTATCATTGGAAAAATACGCATTAAATTTGTCGAAATTTTGTTTATTTTTATCGACGAGAGAAATCAATATTTCTGTCACATTTTTCCTGTTTTTTACGAGTTATTTTTTTTTTATTTAATTTTTTATTCATTCAGTTTTGTTTGCTTTTATTTATTTTGTTTGTTTTCTTTTTTAGCAATTGAATTAATTCAACAATTAACTATTTATTACATTCTAATTTTTTATTATAATATTAAATTAATTTTTTAAAATTAATTATTGTTTTTCAGGGTTGGGAATTCGTCGGAGATTTTTGTGAACTAATTATGTAATTTGTGATTGAACTGAGAGCATAGTTTTTTTTAATTATTTACAATTTACTATTATCTGCAAAATCGGTCATAGAAAAAAATGTATCTTTTTTCGAAATAGTTTCACATAAGACATTGGATCCACCTTGAGACGTCACATGACCCCATTCTTTATTTAGATTTATAGGAAATCGGGTTCGCTTTTCCTCATCCGCATGTCATTTTTATACAATTATCAGATTGACAGGAAAAATTATTGTTAAATTTATTTCTTAAAAAAATCGTTTCCTCTAAACAATAAGAAACATTTATTCGCGTTCTATTAAATAAATTTATCCAAAAGTTACTCTTTTTTTTTATCAATCTGCTTTAATTGTTTGTTTTGGACGAATTTTCTTTTTAATTTTGTTGTCTTTCGACGAAATTATCGAATTATCATAATGTTATTAAAATTCGTCAAAGAATTCAATTATTTAAAAATTTTTAATAAAATTCTTTACAAGAATTAAATTTAATTTGAATAATAAAGCAAAATATTAATAGTAATTTTCTTTTTTGCAGAATGTCCTGAACATGCCGTCATTACTAGAGGCACTGGAACTGAAATACGGTAGTTCAACGGCAGAATGTTCATTGACAGACGAAGAGGCGGAATCTGGTTCGCCGAAAACTGCACTCTCCGTCAGTATTTTTATTCCAAAAAAATCACCACGTCATACGGTGCCTGCTCTATTGGTATTGCAAGATTGCGATATTGAATCTGCCGGCAATGATGATGAAAAGCTACGCAATAAATGTAAAAATGTCGAAGAACTTGACCTCGCTCAAAATAAATTCTCCCAATGGAACGAAGTCTTTGGAATATTACAACACATGCCGAAAATAAAATTCGTCAATTTGAGTTTCAACTATTTATCAAAAGAATTAGAAATCAAAGACGGTAATTATGAGCATTTGAAAAATCTCGTTCTCAATGGAACACGCGCATCTTGGACCACAGTTCAAGGCCTTATTAAACTCCTGAAAAATTTAGAAGAACTCCATTTATCACTAAATGAATATAAAAATGTCCATCTCGAACATGACAATCAAGAGAATCAAAATTCATTAGTGAAAAAATTACATTTCACCGGTAATCCAATTGAACATTGGTCGGAAATATTGAAACTCGGCTATAGCTTTCCACATTTAGAGAGTCTTGTCCTAGCCGAATGTCCAATTGCGTCATTAAATATATCACACGAATGTTGTAATTTAATTGATGAGAAAAATAGTTCCAAACAAGAGCAACCGGTTCTCGATGTCAGTGAAGATGAAACAAATATGAATCAATCGGCAAAATCAGACTATAATCAACAATATTTATTGGAGAATGCGCCGTTTGTTCAAAATTCAACATATAATAATATTGAGCAGGAGAGAAATTTTAGTTCTCTCGATAAAGCATCTCATGATTCTTTTAGAATGCTAAAATTTCTTAATGTCAATAATACTCTTCTCGCCACGTGGAATGACGTTGAGAAATTAGCCAAATTTCCCGCACTCAAATCTCTCAGAATGCAAAATTGTCCTCTGTTCGAGGTATTAAATCTCTTAATTTTTTCCAACATTGAATTTAATAATTAAATTAGAAAATGTTTGTAATTTTTTAATTTTCTGTAAATCTTAGAGTCCTCAAGAGTACACGGAACATGAAAGAAGACAATTGTTGATCGCGAGATTGCCAAATGTCGAAACACTAAATGGAGGTGGAGTGATTTCATCTCAAGAGCGCGAAGATGCGGAAAGAGCGTTCATTAGATATTATATGGAAAAACCGGAAGCTGATCGACCGGAAAGGTAGACTTTTTATTTTTCAAAATTCAACTTTATTTTCCCTTTTTTCAACTTTAACAGGGTTGCCACAGTGAAATGTGAGAAAATTTTATCAAAAGCACTGGAAACATATTAAATTTCTAGAATTCGTAAGAAAATTCCCAATTTCATTGTCCAAAAGCATTAAAAAAAAATAATGTTCAATTCAACTTTAAATTCTTTCTATTTTTAACAAAAAATTAAAATTTACAGAATTAATATTGATTTTCTTTTAAATAATTTAGTTCTTAAAGAACTATCATAAACTAATTATATAATTAGCGAATTATTTTATTCAAAATTCAAAAAATAATTGAACTTTATAAAATTTGCGTTTACAATTTTAATTAAATTCTTGGAAGAAATTTGCAAAAAAAGTAAATTATTTTCATAAATAATAAAAGTCTTCGCAAAAATTCAATTATTAATAAAATTTCTCGAAAGAATTTAATATTTTTTTCAAATTTTAATAAATTCTTTGTAAAAATTAAAATATTTTTGTTAATAATATTAAATTCTTCAGATGAATTCAATTAATTTGAATATAATTTTAATAAAATTCTTTGCAGGAATTCAATTATTCTCATAAATAATAAAATTCTTCGCAGGAATATTCAATTATATTCAATAATTTTTTATAAAATTCTATATAAAAATTCAACTATAGATACAATTAAAATTGAATTGCTCAAAAGAATTGAATTATTTATGAAAATTTGCACAAAATTCCTTAAAAAAATTCAATTATTTTCAAAAACTTTAATAAAATTTTATACAAAAATTGAATTATTTTTAAAACAATTTTAATTAAATTTGTCAAAAAAAAATTGCAAAAAGTCAATTATTTTCATAAATAATAAAAGTCTTCACAAAAATTTAATTATAATAAAATTTTTGGAAAGAATTTAATTTTCTTTTCAAATTTTACTAAATTCTTTGTAAAAATTAAAATATTTTTGTTAATAATATTAAATTCTTCAGATGAATTCAATTATTTTGAATATAATTTTAATAAAATTCTTTGCAGGAATTGAATTATTTTCAAAAAGTTTAATAAAATTTTATACCAAAATTGAATTATTTTTAAAGCAATTTTAATTAAATTTGTCAAAAAAAATTACAATTAGTCAATTATTTTTTTCATAAATAATAAAATTCTTCAGAGGAATTTTCAATTATTAAAAAAAAACTTTTAGAAAATTTTTTATAAGAATTCAATTATTGTCAATATAATTATAATTAAATTGTTTGAAAGAATTTACTTATTTATGAAAATTTACATAAAATTCTTCAAAACAATTTAATTATTTTCAAAAATTTTTAATTTTGATAAAATTCAATGCAAGAATTAAATTATTTTTCATTCAAGATTATAAAAAAAATTTACAAAGAGTAATATAAAAAATTTAAATGGTTTGAGACTAAAGTTCTAGAAAATTTTAATTTTAATTAAAAATTTTGAAGATGTTAGTTTTTTGAAAAATTTGTTTATTTTTTTGAAATTAGGTAGTTGAAATTTTGAATACGCATATTTAATAAAAAGAATTTCAAATTGTTTTGAAATTTCATTAAATTGAATCGTAAATAAGTGGATTTCAGAAATAATTCATTTAAACTTTTTTTTATTGAATAAATTATTATTGAAATCTCAAGGAACTTTCTCAAAATTTTTTACAAAATAATTTATAGAAGAATTTTATTTAAAAATTCGAAAAAACGATTGAATTGAAATGTTGAAAATAATTTTAAAGAATGGTGTAGAGTAAAAAAAAAACTATTGATATTTTGAATAATTCGGAAATAAATGTATTGCGTACATTTTTTTCTGTAATTATTTTTAGAGTAAAATAAAATTTTCGTTATGGTCAAAATTCTTTCTACAAATTAGGGAAACATAAAATTAAATTTTTGTGGCAACCTTGTTTAATTATTTTTCTTATATTATGATTATTTTTTTATATAATGATTTTTCTTTTATGAATCAAACTTTTACAAGTTTGAAAAGAATTTTATTCAAAATTTTCTAATTACGTAATTGAATATATAATTTTGTTTATAGTTTTACAGAATTTTTTCTTATTGAAAATAAAATAAATACTAATTTAGATAGAGAGGACGGCTTTTTTCTGCTGAATGTTTACTAAAAAAAAGAAGGTATAAAATAAATCCGATCGTTCACTCGGTGTTTAAGTTTGTGAAAATTGAGAAGATCGGAGTTTGCGTCTACCGGTAGCAGAGGATCAAAAATTTCCGGGGGTAGGTCAATTCTTGGTATATTTGGAATTATGCCGAAGGATCAGTCAAGAACGCTTTGCGGTCTTTTGGAAAAAATATACAATAAAGACCGTAGAGATCATTTCCGGCAAAATATTTTTCACGCCAAGTGTCGCGGTTACTTTGGTTCAGTTTCAATCGTTTGACTGAATCGAAGACACCTTTCGCACGCAGATAAATTTGCATCATAGTATAAAGTGACTAGGCGATTCTAACCAGGCGCAAAATTGTGATGCAGAAAAAGAACTACAAATGTAGAGAGAAAGAAAATGGTTTTATCAAAAATAGAAAGACAACTTTTTAATTCAACCTAATAAAATACACAATTATTTTCTAGGTTTTTTTAAAAAAATTAAAAAACGAAAATAGACATCTAATATTGCTTTCCTATTTTAGGTACGCTGAACTCATCGGCATTCACGGGAAGTTAGATCCACTGGTGCAAGTTGACTTAACACCGGAAAAAAGAGTGAAAGTTACTTTTATATACGGAGATCTTGTTGAGGTAAACAGTCTTTAAATATTTATTACCATTTGTATTTTCAAAAAAACGGTAATTTCTTTAAATCGAATTTATTTCTTTTCAGGTTCGATCTGTGGACGTCTACCGAACCGTTTTCGAGTTGAAAACAAAACTCGAATCTATGGTGAAAATATCAGCAAACAAAATGAGACTTTTCTATGTTGACCAAGTAAAATCCTTCAAATAATTCTACTTTTTCTTTACCAAAATACTTTTGCCCAGAAATTTAATTTTTTTCCGAAACATTTGACGCCTTCGACAAAATTGCCAATTATTAATTAATTAAATTAATTAAATAAATAAATATTAATCAAATTCGACTATTTTCAAGAATTTTAATATAAATTCAATTCAGTTTCAACAATTTTCATAAATAAGAAAATGTTTCGGTGGAATTCAATTATTTTCAATACAATTTCTCGCGAAGAATTTTGTTAAAATTTTTGAAAATTCCAATTAAATTCTTTTATTTTAAAGAATTACTTTGATTTTTTTTAAATAATGGAGTTTCTTTAATAATTTTAATTGGAAATTTTCAGAGTACTTGAATTTTATGAATAATTTCTTTCAAGTTCTTAAAATAATCGTTTTTGTTAATAATTGAAAGTAAACATTTAATTATTGAATTCTATTAAAATTTTAGAAAATAATTAAATTCTTTTGAAAAATTTTATAACGAATTAAAAAAATTGAATTCTTTCATGAAATTTAATTAAAATTGTATTAAAAATAATAGAATTTTTTTGAAGAATTTATTAAAATTTTAGAAAATAATTGAATTCTTTTCAAAAATTTTATAACGAATTAAGAAAAAAAATTGAATTGATTCGTGAAATTGTTTTTAAAAATAATTATATTTTGCAAAGATTTTACTATTTAAAAAAATAATTAAATTGTTTCGAAGAATTTATTAAAATTTTAGAAAGAAATTGTATTCGTTCGTGAAATTTTATTAAAATTTTGTTTAAAAATAATTGAATTTTTGCAAAAAATTTTACTATTCATAAAAATAATTGGATGCTTAGGAAGAATGTTATTATTCATGAAAATAATTGAATTCTTGCGAAGAATTTTATTAAAATTTTTGAAATTAATAAATATGAATAATTAATTAGAAAATTAGTTAATAATTGAATTTTTTTAAATTTTGAATCTGAAATTATGTATTCAAAAAATTAATACTTAAAAATAAAAAATTTTGTAATTTGCATAATAATAATAATTCAATTATATTCAAGATAATTTTAATAAAATTTCTCTAACAGGTTCAATTATTTTTAAAAATTATTCAATTCAATTATTTTCAAAATTTTTAATTAAAATTACTTTAAAAAATACAAATTTTTATTTATAAATTGACTTTTTGCAAAGAATTTTATTACAATTATTAAAAATAATTCAATTCTTCATAAAATTTAATTACTTTCAAAACTTTTAGTAAAAATTATTTAAAAAAAACCCACTATTTTCAAGAATATTGTAATAAATTCTTCAAATTAATTCAATTTATTTTAAAGAATTTTAATAAAAATCTTGCTATGAATTAAATTATTTTCATTTATATTTCATATTTAATTACATTTTCTCGAAAGAATTTAATTATTGAAAAAATGTTGATAAAACTCTTGAAATGAAATCAATTATTTAAAAATACTGTACAAGAATTCAATGATTTTCAGTACATTATTTTAAATTTGAAAATTTTTTAAAAGAATAATTATGATTAAAAAGTTAGAAAACAAAAAAGAAAACAGCAACTAATTTTAAAATGCGAACAGATTATAATGATTATTAATATAGAAGATAGATAATAAAATTAATATTTTTTAATAACTATTAAAATTAAATTAAATTAAACTAAAATTGAATGAGGCTAATAATGTAATAAAATACCTTTCAATTTTTAGGTGATGAAAACACAACACGGCCCGGAAGAAATGCTCTTTCCAAACAAACAACTTTATCGATACAACATCAGAAATGGAGATGAGATTATTATTGATAGCAAATTAAATCGCTTTACATCGTCAACCTCAAGTACGTGTTCTGTTCGTTCTTAAAAAGAGAAAACAAAAATAACGCCAGAGGTGATTAAAAAAAAAGATTCCGAAGACCATGGAATTTAATTCAAATGGCTTAGTCTGAACTTTCAAAATGCACAATCATTTTTGATGGATCAAACTAATAATTATAAATACAGATTTAGAGAAATCTTTAAAAAAAAATTATTAATTAAGGAATTTAAGTTTAAAAATCATTAATTTAACATTAATTTTATTGTTTTAAAGAAAAAAGAAAATAATATTAATGCATATATTATTATATATGTATACGGCTTTGACGTTCGTCGAATCTCTATAGATTATACGCCATAAATTTACTTACTACATTATACTAACCCATCCAATTAATAACTATGAATTCAATTAAAATACAGTTTTTAATAAGATGCTTTCATTATTTTATCCCTTAATTATAATTACTATATTTTTTATACAAATGAATTTTTTTAAACCTTTTTATCATATTAACAAACGCAAAAAAATCAATTATCTTAATTAGAATATAATTCCAATTTTTCAATTTATTAATTTTATGCAAATATTGCAAAAAAACAACTTTGAAAATAAATTATTTTATTTGTAGTTTTCATTTTTAAATTTTATTTCTCTGTCACGAAGGCTAATTTTACATGTACAGGAAACATATGTTTCGCGAATAAATTCACATAGAAGAAAATTAATTTCTTTTTGTGAATATAATATTTTATAAGACAAAATAAAATAAAAAGTTTACAATAGAAAGCTTACAATAATAATTTCATAAAAATAATTGAAATATTGCGTACAGTAAATGTTTCTACTAATAATTATACACACAAGGCTTAAATTATGCAGAAAATTCAAAATTATTAACTAAGTAAATAAAATTTTATTCATTTATTTCTTTTATTCGAGAAAAAAAAATATTTTCCGAAACACATTCTCCTGTATAATTGTCAATTTATTTAAAAAAAAGTATTATAATTTTTTAATTTTTTTTTTAGGAAAGTCGCCTTAAGTAACAAATAATTTAAAAAATTGACCTTTTTTGTTTTTTTTTTTTATTTTGCTTGTAGAAATATTGTCTTTTTTTATAATAATATTTAAATACTGTTAATTTAAGGAAAAAAATTACAAATAGACAAAATTATTTGTTAATAGAATAAACAAAAGTTTGTAAAAGGAAAAATATTTTTAAAATTTTTACCAGTTTTTTTTTAACTAGTCGAGCATTCTACATTTTACAATTTAATTAAACGTGGCAAGTTAAAACATTAAAAAATCACTCGATTTGGTCAATTTTTCTTTTTTATCTTTACGATATTTTTAAAAATTTTCAATTTATAATTTATAAACATTTGCATGAATATGAAACGGAAATATAAATTTGTATAAGAAAATTCTCAATATAAAGAATTTTTTTCTAAAGACTTAAAAAAGTTATTTTCCGCTCGCGATACATACTTTGTCCCGGGACAAATAAAGTGAATTTTTCCGAATTTTCACCCAACACATTTTCTTTTTAAAAAAAATCCAATAAATCAGATTATATTTCAATTTTTAATTTCTATCAACTGACATATTTTTCTCTTCAATGTGATGTTTATTATTTATTTTTAATTATTCTAATTTTGTAAATTAAAATTAATAACTTAGTAATTTTGTTTATTGAATTAACTGTTTTAATTTTTAATCTTAGTTTATAAGAAATTTTTTTAATAATGAAAATTCCATCCATCGATAATTTATAACTTTTAAAGACTAAATGCACTTTTTAAACTATACAATTAATTTCACGATCGAAAAATTGATTTCAAATATTTTAATATTTAAAAATACAATTTAAATATTCTAATATCTAGAAATTAAATAATTGAAAGCAATTCCATAATACTGAAGATTTAAATTTTTAATTTCATAGAAGTTTTATTTAATAATTTTAGTTCTATTCTCTATTTATAATTCTACTGAAGTATAAATTAGAATAAACATAAATTTTTTGACAATCAATAAAATAAAAAAAAAAGTAATTAATTATTGAAGGATTTGTGATGAACGAAAATACGGAAAAATTATCATTTACACAATTTATTCTCGGTAATAATCACAACTTTCGAATTTTTATCTCGGAAAAAGAAAAAAAAAGTACGTTTTACTTTTTTGTAAGAAAAAAAAGAGTAAAAATTTTTTTCTGCAATTTCATGCGACTGTCAGTAAAAATTATGAATGAAAAGCAAAAGAAGTTGTTTTCTTCATGAAGAAGCAAAAGAAGAAGAAGAAGAAGAATTCTTTATGGGAAATAATTGCACCAAAAGGAAAAGTGACTGTTTTTCCAAATACGATAAAAGGAATTTAATAGATTGATAATTCCCGAATGTAAAAAAACAACGTGTAAATGATTGATAAAAATCCCTTTTCTCATTTTTTTTTTTATACATTTAGAAGAAAAAAAAGGCTATTTCATACAATTCGTTTATCAACGTTCCATTCAGAAGCAATATTTTTATCATTGTACTTTGCATTACTATCAATCTCCTCATCTAATTGTTCCTCCTCAATTATCATAATTGCTTCTTGTGAATCAATATTATCGCTATTTGGAGCATTATCCTCATTATATTCAACAATTTCTGTTTCCTCCTCAACATATTGTATTTCATCCTCCATGTGACTATCACTTTGTTCATTAAGGATATTCGAATTACCTTCAATTACTTCCTCCTCCAATTCTTCCAGTTCCTCAACAACCTCCTCGACAATTTCTTCCTGACACGGAACCATTTCCATCGAATGATACGTCGTGTAACCAAGTTTCTCATGATGGACATCATTCTCCTGAATGTAGACAATCATATCGCCATCTGTATTCTGTTGACGATTATCCTCCTCTTCTTCTTCTATTTCTTCCTCCTCCTCTTCTTCTTCTTGCTCATAAGTATCGCCATCGATCAACATCAACATCTCCTGTTCCTGAAAACTCTGCGAGTTGGCATTCGACATTTCGGGTACAATATATTCATTGCCCTCGGTTCTCACGACCAATTGCGATTGTTCCTGATCATTGACGCCTAGTGACGTGGCAATACCACTGACAACATTGCTCAGAGCTTCGGCTTCGGTCGATGGTTTCAAAGTAATCAGCGATTGGGTCGTGGTTGAATCGCGTAACTCCTTATGAGCACAATCGAGATGAACGTGTAAATTTGTCATGCGAACGAATGTTTTTCCACAATGGGGACAACGGTGTGTTTTTTCTTTGTCGTTATTTGTACCGTGTCCGGTACTGATTTCATGACTCGCGAGTTCGGCGACGTCTTTAAATGTTTGTGAGCATTGCATACAGTGAATGCTGCCTTCGTTGGTCGATGATGACGATGATTGATGGACAGATGATGATGATGATGATGATGGACGATGTTTGTGATTTATTTGATGTTTCACTAATAGTGTCTCGGAGAGTGCAACGTATGAACAACCGGGACATTTGGGAAAGCACATATTCTTCGGTGGAGGCACATTATGTTTTGTGTAGAGATGATACATTAAAATATTACGTTTCGTCGCTTTATAGCCGCAATGCTCGCAAACACGAGGATCAAATTTTTGCTCGTGCACATCTTGCATGTGCCTTCTGTACATGTAATAATTTGTATATTCCTCCTCGAGATCGCATTTACTGCATTTCCATGGACCAATTGCGGCGCCATCGGAATTCACCGATCTCGATTCGTCGGGATTTGTTATTAAATTATCCGACTTTAAAACAACGTACGAAACTTTTGTCTTTGCCGAAACACTTGGTTGCTTCGATGATTTTGATTCTTTTTGCATTATTTTCAAACGAATATTCTTGTTATTCTTCACTAAATGAGGATATTTTTTTAAAACTTCTTTTATTATTTTCGCATGATTGTCCATTGATTCCGGTGGATTTGCCGTTTTTTCGATATTCTCCTTTTCCTCAAAGTCAAAACGCACTTTTTTCGATGACGACGATGATTCGTCGTCTTGATGTTTCATTATTGACTTTGGTCCTGTCCATTCGTCGTCGGAAAAATCATTTGAATTTCGTTGTTTGTGTATCATTTCACTGACAATTGAATTCCTACGATCATCGTCTATGTCGTGTATATTTGAATTCGTGTGATTACTATTTTCGGGAGCTTGAACTATTGGTTTTGTATCGTATGTGATGTCGTCGAATGAAGAGAATACACCGAGAGCATAGTCCTCAACTTCTGGAAGATCGAATCTCGATGGACCGGATGTTGTTTCAATTGGATGACTCAATGACGTTCCGCGAAACGATCCCAAATCATAATTCGTTTGCATTAATTCTGGACTTGTGTCTAATTTTCTTTTCCAAATTGGAAGTCTAAAAATTTCATTAATTTGATTACAATTACTTTTATAATTAAAAGATATAATTAAATACTTTAAATAATTATAATTAAAATATATAATTCAGGGTTGCCACAAATCAGGGTTTCTACAAAATTTCTCCTTATAAAATTTCATGATTTTTCCATGATTTCCAAGAGATAAATAATAAAATTTCAATGATACATTAAAACAAAATTTTTGTCAGTTAAGTCAGGTAAATGTCATGAAAAAAATTTTTTATCAGGGAAATTAAGAAAATTGAGACTTTTTCGACTTTTCTTCCAAACATTGCAACAAAATACCACAATTTTTAGTAAAAAAAAGTGCAACTTATTTTGATTTTTACAATGCAAAAAATAATTATAAACAAATATTTCAAAAATTGTTTTTGAATAGTTAAAATTTTGTAAAATTTAATTGAAATTTAGGAGAAAACAATAATGTTCAAAATTTTTAATTAAAATTCATCAAAAAATTCATTCATAAATTCGAGGAATTTATTAAAAATTGTATTTAAAATATTTAAAATTCTACGATAAAAATAATTGAATTCGAGTGAGAAGTTTTAATACCTATTGTGCAAATAATTAAATTCTTGCGAAGAATTTTATAAGGATTTTTTTAATAAATGATTAAATTTGAAACATTGTATGTAAATCTTATTTTAAATAATTGAATTTCTGTGGAATTTTTGTTATTTATGAAAAAAATTAAATGTTTGCGTAGAATTTTATGAACATTTTTTTTAACTAATTGAATTCTTTTGGGTAATTTTATTAAAATAGTAGATATTGAAAATCATTGAATTACGAAAAACTTTTCAAAATAATTGAATTTTAGCGAAGAATTTTGCTATATAAAAAGATAATTGAATTCTTCACGAGATTTTCTTTAAAATTTTTGAAAATAATTGAATTCCTGCGATGAATATTATTATTCATGAAAATAATAGAATTTTGCAAAGAATTTTATTAATGTTCCTGAAAACAAATGAACTTTGAAAAGAATTTTATGGAAATTCCTGAAAATAATTGGATTTTGCAATGAATTTAATTAAAATTCCTGTAAATAATTGAATTTTGTAAAGAATTTAATTAAAATTCCTGTAAATAATTTGATTTTGTAAAGAATATTATTAAAATCCATGAAAATAATTTAATTTGGTAAAGAATTTTATTAAAATTCCTGAAAATAATTGAATTTGGCAAAGAATTTTATTAGAATTCCTGAAAATAATTCAATTTGGTAAAGAATTTTATTAATAATCCCTGAAAATAATTGAATTTGGTAAAGAATTTTATTAAAATCTCTAAAAATAATTGAATTTCGAAAATAATTTTATTAAAATTCTTGAAAATAATTGAATTTCTGAGAAGAATTTTGTTATTTATCAAGATAATTGCGTTGAAACTTTTAAAATAATTGAATTATATTAAAAAATTAATTATGGTTTTTTTAGCGAATTAAAAAAGTTTTATTATTTTAATTTGTTTTTAAAAAATCGCTTTCTATTTCCATTTTTATAGATATTTATACTGTTCTCTAAATTTGAATTATCTAAAAAATAATTAAATTTTTTTAAAGAATTTTATTTCAATTTTTTGAAAATAATCAAGGGAAGTTAGTCACCGTAATTATAATTTTATTTTTAAAAATTTCTTTGCAATATATTCAATTATTTTTATAAATAGTAAAACTCATTGCAGAATTTCAATTATTTTGAATACAATTTTAATCAAATTCCTCGAAAATTAATGAAATGTAATTATTCTTAAAAATTTTATTAAAATTCGTCGAAAGAATTCAATTATTTCTAGAAACTGTAATAAAAATTTTTCTCAAGAATTCAATTATTTCTATAAATAGCAAAATTTTTTAGATTTACTAAATTCTTTTGAATATTATTTTTAAAAAAAATTCTTTACAAGAATTTAAATATTTTCATAAATTTCCATAAAATTCTAAAAAACAATTCAATTATTTTCGAAAGTAATAAAATTTTTCGCAGAAATTCAATTATGGTTAAAAATTATTTTTAAATTCTCCTCGAAATTTCAATTATCTTTATAAATAATTAAATTGTTCTCTAGAATTCAATTCTTATCAAAACTTTTAATAAAGTTCTACACAAACATTTAATTATTTTCATAAATAATAACATTCTTTGGATGGATTCAATTACTTTTATAAATAGTAAAATTCTTTGTAGAAATTCAATTAGTATCATTACATTTTAATACAATTGAATTCATCAAATTTTCAATTACAATTATAAAGAGACAAGATTATTTTGAAAAATTGAAAAAATTCTTTGTTCAATTCAATTATTTTCCAAATTTTTAATTAAAATTATTAAAAAAACATTTTCCAAAGATTTAAAGAAACTCGTCAAAAGAATTAAATTATTCATAAAAACTTTAATGAAAAATTTGAAAGCCATTTGTAGATTTATTTATGTTCGAAATCAAATAAATTTAAATTTGAAAAGAGAAGAAAACCGAGAAAATTATGCCAAAGCCGGGAATTTTGTCAAACGAAAATAGTAGACACCCTGAATTAATATTTCATTTTTTTCCAGTACTTTTGATAAAATTTCCTGACTTTTCCCTGGTTTTCCTGACATGTAGCAATCCGGTAATTACTTTTACAATTAAAATAATTCAACTTACTTTCTTCCAGGTAAAACTTGAGTTGGTAATGAAGAGTTATTAATTTCAGACTTAGATTTTTTTACGCGTGGACTTTCTTTATAAGATCCACTAACTGGACTTGTACTTTCATTTGTTTGTACATTTGTTTGTGAATTGCTCGAATATGATTGTGCGTCAAGTAATTTCGTCAGAACTGTCATTTTCATTTTCTGGGCAGTGCGATATAGTGCATTTTGTTCTGAAGTCCAGTACTCCAATTGTCCAGTATACATAAAACTGAGAAAACATTTTTTATTAATTATTATTTATCTATTTATTGCCCTCAGTAAATATTCAAATATTTACCTTATAATTGATTTTACGCATTCGTATGGCATGTCTGGCGGCATTATAAGAACGCCATCATACGATGGATTATTTTGTATTTGTTGCTGTTCAAGTAGTGTAAAGTAGTCTGTACATGTTGTGATTACAAGTCGATGAGCCTGTGAATATTTAAAATATGATAAAAATTGTAAATACTTGAAACTATTTACAATGAAGAGGAAAAGAAGCCAAATATATTTACTTGTACTGTGATATCACTGGTGGGAAATTTAATAGTAAGATCAAGTAATTGTTCCTCGAAATATAATTGTTGAAGTCTCTGAAGAAAAAATGTTCCCCAATTGTCAACTTTAACTTGCTTCAATCCTGGTTGGGGAATTTCTTTAATGAGATGACTTTCTGATTGCATTTTGAATAACTTCATGTACGCTTTTATTATTTCAAACAATTAAGCAACTTCAATTTTTTTTTCTCTTCTTTTGTCCTAAACTAGAACATTATGTACGAGAGTGTCATTTTCTCATAAATAAAACCAAAACTGGTTTGAAATCTCGTCAAACTTAATTTTCTTGGTATTTCTGAAAAAATATCAAATATTTTTAATTATTTGTTATAAAAAGAAGAAATTCAAGATTTAAACTTCCTGTTCGATTGGAAAGAATTATCGATTACATAAAAGTGAAAAATCAACTAATTTTCAAGAAAAGGTTGTTTAAAAAAAGAATTGTATTTTATTTTAAAAAAACTATAAATTATACGAATTATACTTTCTATTTCTAGACGCCCCAATAACCAAATTAGAAAAAATAACTTTCATTAGAAGTTTAGAATCTTTTTTCAATCATTATTAGAATAAAGTAATAAAATTACAAATTTTTAATGAAAATTAAGTAGGTATTATCAATTTTAAAAATTGTAGCATAAATAGTGAATTTCTTTAAAAAATATCGTTAAATATCGTTAAATAAGTCCAAGCGGGTATTCAATTTTATGTATATACTTACCATACATTTAATTTATACAGTGAAAAAACACATTCTTCCATTTTGGTAAAATTTCTTTTTCAAAAATATTCACTAATTTTTCACACATACAAATGATTGACGCTAATAATTAAACTTTATTAATTAATTAATTAAAGTCTTACATACACAACTAACCTCACTGTAAATCAACATAGACATAACAACAAATAAGATGTGACATTGCAATTTGTGAGTAATAGTTCGTTAACTTAACTGTAGGTGTAACTTGTCTATTGTGAACTGAACCTTAGGATAAAGGTGCTTAGGTCGAGTTCACAATTTGCAAAAGAAAACGAGACGCATGCTTTTCCCTAAAAAGAAAAGGACAAATAATCGAATGAACAAAACGTCAAATGGTTAAAAATTTGAAAAATTTAATTTAATTTTTAATTAATTTTAAATTAAATTAATTTAAAATTTATTTAAATTAATTTCGAATCTCTTTTAGCAAACGTTAGGGTGAATTTTCATGAGACAATTTAATCCTCAAGGCGAACACTTAAAACGAGTACATGACCTTCTATCGAAATTGCGTTCATTCCTTCGAGCCTTGTTGATAATAAAAGCGAGAAAATGGCGACAATGCTAAACAATTTAATTTTCTTCGATTTCATATAATATCCTATTATCGTTGTACAATAAATCTATTGTGTACAATAGGTAAGAATATTTTTCTAAAATTTCCATTAGTCGTTGTATTAAATTACTTTTGTATTAAGTGATAATATTTGCAATTTAGCGTTGCCTTTCTAATTTCATGAGTTACGCACGTTTTCTAATAAATAAAAAATCTAGAAATTTTTTTACAACTCTTGTCAACAGTAGAAATTTTAATTTGGCGAATTATTTAATTTTTTTTCATTGAAATTTAGTAGTTGTTTTCAATCATAACCGTTTTTTGTAAAATTGAATTGAATTTTACCCTTTGTTGATATTTATCTTATTGTTGTGTATACTTTCATCTTTACCCTCAATACATATGCTTGCACTTTATATTAATCTTTTTTTTCGCAAAATTGTTATCGTTCATGTAATATTTTTATGATTGCGTAAAAAAAGTAATGTGCTGTTGCCAAGTGGCTCCTTCTTATGTTTACAAAAGACTTGTTTTTAGAATTGACGTTGTCATCACTTTCAAGAATTTGCGAATATCAACTTATAATTGTAACGATCGACAGTATTAATTATATTATAATATTCACCTGTCCTCTTATCGAAAATTAAGAAAATTTTGACTAATTAACTAAAAAAGATAAAAATTTGTTTTTGAGGTTTAATTGAGAAAAAAATAATCATCCAACGTTGTTGACAATCACACTAAGTTTCCTATTTTATTTTTTTCTTTTATTAACAAATTGAAATAACAAAAGTATTTTGTCCAAAATCTAGATTTGGTTTTTCTTTTTGTAAGATCAGAATAAATATGTCTTCATTGGAAGAAGTGACTAATCAGCTAATGAAACCCGTGAAAGAACTCGCAGACTGGGAGTACCCATTGTCTGAGGTAATTAATTTTTTTGTAAATTAATTCAAAATTATATGTAAATTGTAATAAATTATAATTCAATTATTATTATTATTATTATTAATATTAATTTCATTAACTAGCAAAAACTAGCAACTAATTAATTCAGTTTTAAAAGAGTTGCGTTTACAATTTTCATAAATAATTGAACTCCAAAAGGTTTTGATTTAAAATTTTATAAAATTTAAATTTTTGAAAAATTTTAATAATTTAAAATCTTCTAAAATTAGTTAAATTTGTCAATATAGGTATATTAAATTAATTATTAAAAATAATGGATTTATAAAAGAATTTTAGTTAAAAACACTCAAAAAAATTGAATTTTGAAGATGTTGCAAATGATTGCAGAAATTCAATTATTTTAAAAAGTAGGTAATAAAATTCTAATCACAAAATTCAATTACGTTTAAAATTTACAAAAAAATCTCAACAAAATTCCAATTATTATCTTTATAAATAAAAAAATTCTTCAAAATTCAATTATTTTCAAAAGTTTTAATAAAATTCTTGTCTATGATTTTCAATTTTAATACAATCTACTATTTTAATAAAATTACCAAGAAAAATTCATTTAATTAAAATCAATTTTAATAAAATTGTACGCAAATAATTTAATTATTTTCATAAATATAATAAAACTCATCGCAGAATGTCAATTATTTTTAATACAATTTTAATCTAATTTCTCAAAAAATGAAATTATTCTTAAAAATTTTATTGAAATTCGTCAAAAGAATTTTAATGACCTGTCTTTAAAAATTTGTTGATAAAATTATTTAAATGAGAGTTCAATTTTAAAAATTCAATTTTTTATTATAAAAAATGAAGAAAGCGATAAATCCGAGTTATTTTTTTAATAAAACAATTTATTTAAAAATGATGTTATTTATGTTTTTGAATAATTTCGCAATTAAAGAAATTTGTAAATAAATGTAACAGAACATTTTTTTGGAGTAGAATTATTCCTTTATTTTTAAAAAACTTTGAATTTTATTAAAACAATTGTAATTAAGAAATAGAAATGATGTAAATTATTTCCTTATGAAAATTGAAAATTTTCTACAAAAATATTAAGAAACGGAAATATGTAATGTTTTTTTTCCCAAAATAAAAGAATATGAAGATTAATAAAGTTAATTAATAATTGATTATTAATTACTTTTTAACACTAAAAGCAACCAAATTTTGAAATTTGTGTTTTTTTTGGTAAATTTTGCCAATTACTAATGTAATTCAATTATTTTTGATTTATCATTCACTGAATAATTAAAATAATAAATAATTACAATCGTTTTAGATATTGGGAAAGTATTATGCCCTATTGGAGAATCCTGGAGAGATTAATTACGGAGAAGCCGCGTATGTTGTGCAGAATTCCACGGAAGTATTTACGAAAAGAGTTGATTGTTTAGGAAAAGAAGTTTGTGTTCTCAGTGAAAATTTCCTACAACATGAGTAAGATATTTAATGATTTTATTTGTTAATTTACTGCTTTTCTTTTATTTATCTTTTTTTTTATTTTATCTTTTATTTATTAATTTTTACTGTTTTTATTTAATTGAGTCATCACATATTATCCATTAATTTATTTTTCTTCTATTTTAGATTTCCCCACCTATTTCGAAGATTCCTCGTCTTTTTTGCAACTTTTTTCTTATTTGGCAAACAAATTAATTTGAATTGAAAACAATTCAAAGCAAAATTTCATAAATTCCTATTATAAATGAGAATGTGAAATATTTCTATAGTAATTTTTCTGATATGTATTATTAAAAATTCTTAAATTTTCTATATCGACATATTAATAATTTATATTTTTTTTTTTTACTAATTTTGGAAAAATTACAAATATATTCAATTCTCATTTTGTGATTATTTCCAATTAATTTTATTTGGCAGAAATTTTTTTACCTATTTTAATACGGGAAAATAGGTAATGTGATGACAAATTGGTAAATTAATATGTATGTTAATAATTAATTTCCATTAATAGAGCTGAAGAAGAAAAATCCAAGTTGAAAAGCAAAGAAAGAAGAAGTAGAAAAACTGCTATTAATTTCGACAACTTTGAACTTATTGATTTTCATAAGGAAATTGGAAAGAATATTAATTTAAAGCCTTCCTCACAGAAACCAGTGAAATTGTTGAATCGAAGATTTCCACAGTTGGAAATAGCGACGACACAACTTCAAAATCCTGTTGATATTTACGATGTTCATGGAGAAATTATAGGGAAAAAATACGACTTCCGGTGAATACATTGTTTACATATTTTTTCTTTTCTTTTTTTTTGAAAGAGTAAAGATTTAGAGTTTAAAAACAATTTTTAATTTTAATTTAATTTTTAGATGTAATCAACAATTAACTATAAATGGAATGTTAGTGGATGAATGCACACCTAGTGGTGAGTATTCAAATTCCCGAACAGAAAAATAAAAATTAATTATAAATTCTATTTTCAGGGTTGTCACAAGTCAGGGAATTCAGGGAAAAGTGTCAGGAAAAATAAAATTGGTCAGGGAATGAGGGAAGAGTTAGGAAATTGTATTAAAAGTACTGGAAAAAATTTAATCTATAGAATTTATAAGAAAATTCTGAATTTTTTAGCCTTTTTTGTTTGCCTTATAAACTATGAATTTAATACGAATTCTAATACAAAACCTTCAATTTTTTCTATTTCTGATAATAATTTCTTTTTAAATAGCTTTATTCTTGAGTTAAATATTTATTTAAAAAAGAAGTTTTTGATGTTTTCGAATAATTTTACAAGAAATTCGTAAATAAATGTAATAGAACATTTTTTTGACTCTATAATAATTTCTAGAGTGAATCAGAATATTCTTTTGGGTCAGGGAAATAGTCAAAATTTTGTCTGGAAAACAGGGAAAAAGAAAATTAAATTTTTGTGGCAAACCTGATTTTATTTCAATAAATGAAGAATTTTGAGAAATTTTACAATTTTATTTATTTTATTTACAGATTTTGATACGGAGATTGTACGTATTTCTGATTTGGCTCGTAGTACGCCGACGCTTCAAATTGAAGTTTCAGATTTGAGTTTACCTGATATAACAACCCAAGTGAATGAAAGTACCCAAGAAGACACTGGCTACTTTTCACTAATTAACAGTACAAGCAATGATCAAAGTGATATTCAAAATTCTCTTCTTGACAATCATGAAACTTCCGTAATTGAGAGAAACACAACGCTCGAATCAATTCAAGAAATATCAGAAAATATTCAAGAGAATCAAACAGAAATAGCAGCAGACGAACAGAATAAATCCCATGAATTGTCCGCAACATTTTCCGAAACCATCGAGGAGACTCGAAATGAAGAAACTGCAAATGAATGTTCCACTAATCTTCAAGGGAGTAATGAAACTGCTGTAAATGAATCTGCTGTTCAAGAGGAATCAACAATTCAGAATGAATCAACAATTCAGCAGGAATCAAGCGAAGAAGTTTCTTCAACTATTCAGGAGAATGAAACTGTAACAGAAATTGAACAAGAAAAATCACAGGAAACTAGTGAAACACTGTCAGAAACTTTGAACACTACCCGAAATGAAGAAAGTACAATTGAACTAAGCGAAAAATTAAAAACGAACAAGGATATTTTAGAAACTGTTCAAGAGAATACAGAGACAAATATGGAAGTGGATCGCACTGAAGATTTGTCTGATGAACCATCTCATTTTGATGATGCCGAAATGGATCGCGATGATGATGAAGACGATGTTAATGAAGAAGTGGGAAATTCCGAAAAATTGGAGAACGGTAAAACTCGGACTGAATGTTCAAATGAAAAATCAAAATTAACCGAAGAAAATCAAAAAGAGTTAATTGAAAGTAATGAAACTGATTCTGGTTATCGTTCGGGTGAATCAGAAGATTTCGAGATTCCACGCAGAAGGTATTTTAATAATTTAATAAAAAATGAATTCACTCACTATCGAATCTTACAAACGCTATTTTCTTATGACTACTCGGAAAATCTTTGCAGACTTCGCACTCGATAAGTATTTTAAAAAAGTAGCAAAAAGTAGTTTTCAAACTAAAAAAGTAGTTATTAAAAAAATTAAACTTGACGACCAAAAAAAAACTCGATTTAGAAACTTTACAAAACTGACAAAAATTACATTTTATATTTTATTTTCCTGATTTTTTTTCTAATTTTCATCAAAAATGCTAATAAATTGAATTTCTGCAACGAATTTTATTATATTCATGAAATAATTTAAATATTTATAAAAATAATTTAATTCTTGCGAAGAATTTATTTATAAAAAAATTGGGAATAATTGATTTCTTTCAACTAATTTTATGCAAATTCTAATTTAAATAATTGAATTCCTGAGAAATTTTTATTATTCATGAAAAGAATTAAATTCTTGCGAAGATTTTTACAAAAAATTTGTTAAATAATTGAATTCTGTTTGGAAATTCTATGAAAATAGTAGATATTGAAAATCATTGAATTACGAAAAGTTTTTAAAAATAATTAAATTTTACAAAGTAAAATTATATTCAAAATAATTGAAATCCTGCGATGATTTCTAGTATTTATGAAAATAATTGAATAGTTGCAAAGTATTTTATTAAAATTTTCAAAAATAATTGAATTCCTGAGAAGAATTTTATTATTTATGAAAATAATTGAATTATTGCGAAAAATTTTATTAAAAAGTTTAAAAAGAATTGAATTTCTGTGAAAAATTTTGTTATAAAATCAACTCGAACGTTAAAGATTTTTTTAATAAATTTTTTCTTTTTCTTTTATAAATATTACAGAAATTTTATAATTTTCAGGAGTAAACGAACTGAGAATATGGTTTGTGTCGCTAAGGATTTAAATGAAAATGTCTGGAAGCCAATACCTTTCGATCAAGGTATTCCACAGAAATTACCAAAGTCCAGAACAAAATTCAAACTTCCCTGTCATATATCTCTGTTAAAATCGAAACCAAATTCGGTGAGTTTACAAATAAATAATTTTGAAAAGTATTTTAAATAATTCAATATTTTTGACTGTAGATGCAATTTTTTAATTCAATTTAAAATAATGAGAAATTTTTTACTGCAGCGTAAGCGAAAGCTTCCAACCGAGGAAAAGAAGAGGAAACGGAATTTATTGGGATTTTTGACAAACGAATCTCCCGAATCGCCGTTAAAAAAATTGAATATGTATTCACCATCGAGACCATTTATGCCTCTAAAGACAGGTAAGGGGATCACTAATTTTTTATTTAATTTACATTTTAGAAATCAGGGCAAAAGTCAAAAATTCTGTTTGAAAATCAGGGAAAAGTCAGAGGAATGCAAAATAATTTTTTGTGGTAACTCTGTTAATATTTTGAAATTCTTTGAAATAATGAAATTTTTAATTAGAAAATACATTTTAAATTTCATATCCAAACAAAATTAAAATTTAATTTATCTTTTGTTTGGATACGAAATTAAATTTAATTATTATAAATTATAAATTAATTATAAGATACTTAAAATTTATTTTATCTTCTGTTTGGATATGAAATTTAGAGTTGAAAAAGTTACAAGATCTGTAAAAATAAAGTTTAGAAATTAATTTGAAAGAAATCAATAATTATTTTAATTTTAATTACAGAGGAATTGAGTGATTTTCAAAAATCATTCGAAGACTGTTTCAAGAGTAGACAATGTTACGATGTCTTTCATTACGAGGCGGCAACAACAATTACAATGGATCTTCTCGGTTTTTTTCCAACATTCACAAAAAAAGATCCCCTCTTACATACAACGGGCTTCAAAACACTTGCACCAACACCCGAGCATATCTCAACAAGTGGCAGTGATGCTGGTTTCTCACCACGTCCATCATCGCCGGAAATTGTTATTTTCGACACAACAAATACACCACCCGATTCGCCACGCGTCTCAGAAACATACGAGGCCGAAACATTTGAGACTGAAAATTTTGACCTCGATGAAGAATCGCCTCTCCATTCAACATTGAATTATCAAAAAATCATTGAATCGCGAATGAAGGAAATACATCAAGAATTCGACGTGAGAACTGATTTAGAGCAGAATGTTGCTCGATGGCATGAAATGATTAGGCCAAAACTCGAGGAAATTGAGAGAAGACCACAATTTAATATTCACGAATACAGTGATTTAATTATCAAAAAATTGGAGGAAACAATGGAACGTGAAATTCCTTTTGAACAATTGATTGTTGATCAATCGCCCGGTGAAGCTGCACGTTATTTTTCAGCTGCATTACAATTAGCAAATACTTATAATGTCGATATTAAGACAAGTGAGAAAAACACCGATATTCAATTAACACTTCTTAATAATGATTTAACTCGACATGAAATCTCTTGTGAAACACCCGAAGTATCGAGATCGAAAAAGAAAAAATCTTCTAAACATTTAGCATGAGAAATATTTAATTTCAACGTGCTTTAAAAAAAAAGAAAATAGTGATACCGATATCATGTACAGTTTATAATACTTGATATATAAAAAATTATTTATCTCGCGGTTGTGTCATACTATTTATGACAAAAAAAAACAAATCTTTAAAAACGAAAATATTGTGATTCATGGTGAATTTTTCTCCCGGTAATTAACACAAATTTAAAAATGCACGTCTTTAGACAAAAAAAAAGTTAAGTACTTTATAAGTACAAAATTATATTTAATATATACACGTTAGGCATTTCTTTTCGTCTTTATATTTATTTTTTAATTCATGTGTTAGAAATTAGAATGCACTTTTTCATTAATTATTATAAATTAATTTTTTTATCACTATTGTCCAAAGTTTATTATTCGATATGAAAAATAGAATTTTTAATGTTTCAACATTTTCGTCAACTATTCTAATTTATTAAAAAAGATAAATATTTAATTTAATACAAATTAAAAAAAAAGTTATGTAACAAAAATACGTAAATTACCAAAGAAAATAAAGATGTTGAACATTAAAATACTAGAATATTTTTTAATTCTATTTCGATTTTTTTAAAATTTTTAAGTAATTGACTATAATTTAATAATTGTAGAAAATTTTACCTAATTGTATCGAATAATAATACTTTATTAATTCCAATAGAAGTGATAAATAATTATATAATTTTACTTCTTAATAATCATATAATTTTTCATATATTATTGTAAAAGGTGAAAAATAATTTAATGTCAATTTTATGCATGAAACACAGGAGTTATAGACCGAAAAATTGTATTTGCACAAGTTAATTAGTTTTAAATAGATTATTTAAAATGTAGATAAAAAACAAATTACCAGAAAATTCGTGATATACATAATTTTTATTTTCTATATAAAATTGTACTCCATTTTGTACAGAAATAACTTATATATTTTTGAATACCTGTAAAACTTTCAGAAGACAAAAAAAATTATTTAATGAAAAAATTAAAGTTAAGAAAACAAAAATATTTAACCAAAAAAAAGAGAAAATTCGTTGTATATTTAATTGATTTCACGAACAAATTACAATTATATGTCTTTTATTACTTTTTAAGAGTGGACAAATTGTATTCTGCGTAATGAAATATGTTTTGAAAATTATTTATTTTCAATGATATATTTCCCGTACTTATTGTAAAAAAAAATTACTTCTATTTCTTTTGTGAAAAAAATGTGAATTTGAAAAAAAAATATCTTTAAAAAAGACAAATTAAAAATAATTTCTGAAAAATCAATAAATTTCTTTTTTTGTGGTCTATTTTGGAAATAATTTACAAATGTTTTAGTGGAATTAAGTTTTTATTTGAATGTATTTTACAAGTTTGGTTTAACTTTGGCTTGCGTAATTCATTGTTAAAACATAAAGAGAACAAAATCAATTTTTTAGAATTTGGCTTTTAATTAGTTTATTCATTTGCCTAGAAATTAAAGCAGGGTTTCTACAAGTCATGGAAAATCTGGAAATTTATCAATTTCCCTGACAATTTACTGACATTAAAATTACTTTCCCTAACGAAATTCTTTTTACAGAGGAAAATATTAATTTTTACGGAAAATGAGTAAAATTTGTAAATTTAAATAATTTCTAAAAATTACAATTATAATTCTTCCTGAATTTAATTATTTTCTACAATTTTCAACTGAACTTCATCTCTGAATCAATTAATTTAAATAATTTTCCAAAAGTTCTTCTAGAATTCAATTATTTAAATACAAAGACTAAATTTTTTATAATAAATTGTGACTCTCCATAGTTTTTTTTTAAGTTATTAAGGTATAATATTTTCAAAAAATTTTAATAAAGAAATTCTTACAATTAATTTTTTAAAAATATTTTGAAATAATTTTTGAACGATAATAGTTTTTCAATTTTGAAAAATTTCCAAACAATTAAAATCTTTTAAAAATAATTGAATTTTCATTTTTTAGTTTGCCTAAAAAGATTTTTCATTAAAATTTTTGAAAATTCAATTATTTACAAAATTTGCAATTAAAATTCTTCAAAAGTTGATTTTTAAAAATTGTAACAAAATACTTGAAGTAAATGAATTTTTTTCAATTAAATTTTACAAAATTTTAACTATTGAAAAACAATTTTTGAAGGATTTGTTTATAGTTATTTTTCGCTTTATAAAAATCAAAATAAGTTGCACTTTTTTACTAAAAATTGAGGTATTTTGTTGCAATGTGGGGAAGAAAAGTCACAATTTTTGAAAATAAGTCGAAAAAGCCTCAATTTTCTTAATTTCCCTGACAAAATTTTTTTTTCATGACATTTATCTGACTTAACTGACAAAAATTTTGTTTTAATGTGTCATGGAAATTTTATCATTTATCATCTGGAAATCATGGACTTTTATAAGAAGAAATTTGTAGAAACCCTGTAAAGACAATGGCTTTTTGAGTAAAATTTAAAATTTGTTTCAATTGTTAATAAAAAGTATTACAAATTTAACTTTTAAAATTTAAATACACTTTTCTTTTTAATCAAACTTTTCTAAATAATAAATATTTGATAATTTTTAAATATTTAACGATTCCTGTAAATTTACCTGATTATTACGAATACAATAATTTACGTAATAACAATAACATTTTGAATACATAAAACAGATCTAAATTTTTCTTTTCTCGAAATAATTGTCACTGTCATTCATACTTGCTTGGGAGATTCAATACAATATAATTGCATTTAGTGTTGTTTATATAAAAAGTGGAAAAAGTCTTTTCGAAACTTGATATATAGACTATACTGCATTGAATTAAATTTTAAATATCGAGTGTTTTTAACACTTTAAAATTATTTTATTTTGTTGTTGTTGTTGAGGCAGTGCCTAAGCGATAAAATATGTAAGATAATTAAATAAATTATATTACCTATAATACTGCCTTAAAATTTTTCTTCTAAATTTTATATTGTTTTCTTTTTCATTTTTTTTCTCTCTTGCCGATTATAGTATTGCACAAGTTTTATTATATAATCAGATCTCAGAAGTTAAAAAAAATTCGCCATTTTTTTAAGTTCTATGATGCAACGGAATGAACAGTACCAATTTGATATTTCCAATCGGCTGGCACTAATTCGTCTAATCTTCGATCTAAAAATCCTACACACGTTGCTAATTGAGAAGCAGCTTCCTCAACTGCTTGAATATGAGCTGAAGCAACTTCCGGTAATGCGCACTCAGCAGCCATTACCTGAAAAATATTTCAATTTTTTTTTCTTTTCATTTATTCTCTTAAAAATTAGAATTCATTTTGAATTATTATATTTTAATTATTTAAATTCAAATTAGTTACTTTTAAGTTCATCAAAATTTTAATTTATCTAAATTTCAACTGATTTTAATTTTAATGGAAATTAAATCTACTAAACTAAAAATTTATCGTTTTTATTTGTTAGAAAATTAATCGATTCGAAGGTAAAATTATCCAAATTCTAAACTCTTTGAACTTTAATTATATTTTAATTATTTAAATCCAAATTAGTTACTTTGAATATTAATTTTTTCTCGCATCGTTTTGTATTACCTGTATTCGGAAAATAATTTTCATTCTCTATGAAGAGTAATCATCTAAATGTCAAATGAATAAATTTTCTTTTCTTACCCTTTTTTCTAAATTTGCCAATTTTGATTTCAAGGCATCAATATATCCTGGTGGAATAGTTCGCTTTTCCACTGGACCTGTTGAGAAAATAGAAACTATAGATGATGATAATAACGAAAAATTTGTATCTGCATTACGTTAGTCTTTGTTTTAAATACTTGGATAAATAGAACTGAAAATAAAAAAAAATGAGAAAAATAAGAGTTGGATACTTACAAAATTGGTGAACACGAACAATGTCAATAATAAAAGGCCTGGAAGAATAAAAAAAAATCATTTTCGAATTTTCTAAACAAAGAACAAGTGATTAAAAACATAATGAACATAATGAAAATACAAACTTGTCTTTTGATGATCCACTAAGTAAACTGGAAAGTGGAATAAGATTATTGTCGTGACGTCTAATTTTTAAAACCCTAGTTGAATCCTCCTCGACACCAATCCAGGAATAAATTGACGATTTCAATTCATCTAATGTTGACCCAGAAGGCAATGTAACACGACGTAAAGTAGATTCTAAATCTGTCACATCTTCCTCAGATTCTGAACATAAATTAATGTGCCTTGAATTTGTAATTTGTAATTTTCAATTTAAATTGTAATGTTTTCTTTGTCAGTAAACTTACCAAGTTGATCGTATCTACGAATTAAAACCCATAAATTAATTTCACTAATTCCCATGTTGACGATAAGAATTGTACAATTGTCCACGTATCGTATGTATATTAATTAGATTTATCAAGTTACAAGAAATGTAACAAAATCATCCAAAATGTTGAAATATTAATTAATACTTTTTATCGCATGAGTAAATATGTCAAAACACTGAATTTATAATTAGTGTCTTATAAATACGTAAGTATACATGTGTGTTTATTTTGGATATTATTAAACTTTACGAGTCTCGTATATATGTTTTAGAATATTTTTATTAACTTTCTTCACTTTCTTGAAAAACACCGTTTCACAGAAAAAAAATAAGAAAAATGTTCCAATTTGGAACTACTAATTAAAGGGATAACGGGGACAAGACAACAATTTGATAACAATAGATCCAATAGATATTTAACAATAAACTTTTAAGATAAAAGCTTCTGCTAGTTTTTGCGACTGCGCATTCGCCTTTACTCAGATAATAGCGCTAAAATTCAAATTTACAGTAACAATAATTGTTATAATATAAAATACTGATTTAATATAAATAATGAAAAAATTTGTCAATAATTAAATGTCTTTGGGAAATTTTATTAAATTTTTTTTGAAAATAATTGAATTCTTGCGAACGATTTATTACAATTTTTTAAAATAATGGAATTTCCAAGAAGAAATAATGTATTACTTTTAAAAAATAATTGAATTATTGAGATGAATATTGTTATTTATGAAAATAATTAAATTTTGAAAAGAATTTTATTAAAATACCTCAAAATAATTGAATTTTCGGAAATAATTTTATTATTTATCTTTAATAATTGAATTCTTTCGAAAAATTATTTGTGTAAATAATTATAGATTCTTAGAAATAATTTTTTTAAAATTAAAAAATTATAATTGAATTTTCTTCAAGAAAGTTTTTGAATAATTTTGAAAAAAATTAAATTCTTTCGAGGAAAATTTGTAAGAATTAAATTGAAAATAATTGAATTCCTCAGAAGAATTTTTTTCATTCAAAAAATTCTATTTAAAATAATTGAATTTTTCCGAAGAATTTTTAATACAATAATTTTCGAAAATAATTGAATTTTTTTTAAGAATTTTATTAAAAAATTTTTGCGAAAAATTTTATTGAAATTATATTTAAAAAATAATTTATAATTTCTTCGAAGAATTTTATTGAAACTTTAAAAAGTAATTAAAATTCTGCGAAGAATTCAATTCTTTATAAAAATAATTGAATTCTTGCCAAGATTTTTAATTATTTATGAAAATAATTGAATTTTTGAGAAAAATTGTATTAAAAAGTTTTTCAAAAATAATAATTAAATTGTTTCGAAGAATTTTTTTTTTTTAAATTATATTTAAAATAATAATTAAATTCTTGAAAATAAAATTTATCAAAATTTGAGGAAAATAATTTAATTATTTAGGAAAGTTTTATTTTAAAACTTTTAAAAATAATTTAATTTTTTTTCAAGAAATTGAATTGAATTAATTAAAAAATGTAAAAGAAGTAATTGAATTATTTCCAAGAATTTATTTTTGCGAAGAATTATATTAAAATTTTAGAAATCATTAGATTCTTTCAAAAAATTTTATGAAAAAATTTTTAAATACTTGATTTTTTGAAAATAATTGAATTCTTGCGAAAGATTTTATTAGAATTTTTTAAAATTAATGGAATTTTCAAGAAGAAATGTATTACTTTTAAAAATAATTGAATTATCGAGATGAATATTGTTATTTATAAAAATAATTGAATTTTGAGAAGAATTTTATTAAAATACCTCAAAATAATTGAATTTTCGTGATTAATTTTGTTATTTATCTTTAATAATTGAATTTTCGTGATTAATTTTGTTATTTATCTTTAATAATTGAATTTTTTCGAAAAATTATTTGTGTAAATAATTGAATTCTTATAGAAAAAATTTAATTAAAATTTAAAAAAAAATAATTAAATTACAGAGAAGAATTTTATTATTTTTAAAAATAATTGAACGTTTATTAGAATGTTTAAAAATAATTAATTGAAGTTCTGTGAAAAATTTTATTATTTTTGAAAGTAATTAAATTTTTCATATATGAATTTTATGAGCATTGTTATAAATAATTAATTTTTTTTGTCTATAAATATAATAAATATTAATGGAAATTTTATTTTAAATAATTGAATTCTTGTGGAAAACTTTATTTGTGAAAATAATTGGACTTTTTCGATTAATTAATTTAATAATAATATATAGTTTTAAAAATAATTGAAATTCTTCGATGAGTCTTTATTAATCATGAAAATCATTAAATTCTTATGCTTATAGAATTTAATCAAAAAATTTTTTAAAAAAAATTGTATTTTCATGAAAAATTTTATTATTAGTAAAAGTAATTTGAATTATTAAAAAAAAAAAATTGCATAACATTTTCTAAAATAATTGATTTTTTCGAAATTTTTTTTTTGAAAATTAACGAATTAAAAGTAGTGGAAATTCTCTAAAAAAAATATTATTTATATTCTTTGTTCAAAAAATTGAATATATAATAATTTTTTTACCTTCTCTATTCTTCAAAATAATTAAAATTTTCGTACTGAAGATTATTTTTTATTTTTTCTGTAACAAATAACAATTTTTGGGAAATTCAATTTTCCTTGTACAAGAAAGTTTAATTATTATCAATTTTGAAAATCTGATGTCAAATTTGAAATTAATATTAAAATTTTTGTTAAAGTTTTTTTTTATCTGTAAACTTTTAAAATAATTTCATTATTTGTGAAATGTAATTGAATTCTTGCCAAGAAATTTTTGATGATAATTAAATTTTTTGAGGAATTTATTTAAAAATTGTATTAAAAATAATTGAAATCCTATGAAAAATTGTATTATTTCTATGAAAATAAATAATTGAAAGCATGGGAAAAATTTTATTATTTTTGTAAAAATATATGAATTCTTAGGAAGGATTTTATTAAAAAATTTTGTGAATAGTTTAATAATTTAATTTAATTTAATTTTATTTCTCCATTGTACACTTTACATAAGTTTTACAATATACTTTCCCGCAATACTTAAATTTAAAATATCTTATAAATAGTAGTATTAATTCTCTATACATTTAAATCACATCAGTTAGATTGAACTTCATTTAACAAATTTATTATAAATTTAACAATTTATTAGTACTAGTATAAGAATAAGATACGACTTTGTTGAAAGGAGAAATTAAAATAAAAATATGTGACGAATGAAAGATATAATATTCTAAGAAAATTATCGGTACACTTTACATAATTTTTACTCAAAAAAATTATTTATTTATTATTATTATTAATATATATCTATATATATATATATATATATCTATTATATTTCGATTTATTTTCAGCCATTCTTTATCTATGAACTATTCTTCAATAAATTATATGTCGAATAGGATGCTTTTAATATCTGAAATTAAAAGAATTATATCAAAAATTTGTAAAAATATATTACAAAATTATTATTTTTACAGAAAAAATCAATTAAAAAAATGAAAAATTAATATATAAAAATATATCTTTTATATACTTATTTAAATTAAATTTATTTAATTAATTTATTTATCGTTTGACAGAAGTTATTAATAATTTTATTATTTTCAAAAAAATATTAATATTCACATAATATTCACAAATACGAATTGAATTTTTTTTCTATCAAATTAAATTGAAGCAAAAATTAATTGACAAAAAATTGATACACACTTTCATGAAAGTTTCTAATGACATGACGATAATAGAAGCAGCAGACAATTTTATTGGTTGTACAGTTCGCATCATTAAAATAATCAAGCTTTTCTTTGTTCTTATTGTTAATGAATTCCAATTTAGAAAATATGCTGCTGTCCCAATTTCCGTACTCTAAACACAAAATAAAATTTTTTTTTATTAATTAGGAGGGGAAAATTTGTCATTTTTTCTCCTTTTTTATAATGATCCTAAAGTTCTGAACGTTCAAATGAACAAAATTTATTTATTTTCTTCTTTAATTTAAATATTTATTACAATAATTTTTTGTCGATATAAAATAAATGAAATATAAAGTTTCTAAGTGTGAAATTTAAGTTTTTAATTTTTATTGCAAACAATAAATTATAAAAACATTTCTAATAAAAAGTGTTTCGTTCATTTGAACGTTCAAAACTTGTGGATCATTTTTTATATACCTTTTCAGTGATTTGTTGACCAAAATAACAGTAGATAAAAATTTGTATTGTATATGAATTTGCGCAAAATATCATTAACCAACTGTGATGACTATTTAAATTCATATTCGATAAGCTAAAAATAATTGTACAAAGACTTATCGTTGAGGCGAAAAATTGCATAAAAATCGAAATTCCAAATTGTTTATTTACATTGTCGCCGATACTGTAAAAAATATTTTCTTTTTTCCTTTTTTTGTTTTTCTATTTACTTCTTTGTATAAAAAATATTATATTATATAGAAAAAAGGCTTAAATTGTTCAGTGTTTCACAAATAAATAAATAAATTATATAATAACTTACGCAAGCAAATGAAGATGCTTTTTTAAACATTGCTTCAAAATTTCAAGTTCCTGATTGTATTTCACTTCATTAATATTTTCGGGTATTTTCGAAAGTAAATTCAAACGGTACATCACTATTTCCAAATGACCGCACAATTGTAATAAAACTGCTATTGCCAATGTTTCAAGTGCCACGTTAACTTTCACAATCAATAATAAACTAATTCCTTCATGTAAATATTGTAAACAGAATACGACATCAGATTCAAGAGAAAATGGTGTCCATGCTGGATATGGTAATGTTCTAGTTGATTTTGATGCAAATGGTGCTATAATGATCATTGTTGCAGTCATACATACTGCCACAAAAAAACACAAAGAATACTTCCTATAATTTACGAAAATAATTCAATTTAATCTCAAAACAAACTTTTTTTTTATAATATTGATACAATTAATTTTTATACCGAAAATTTGATTTTAAATTTAATCAGCATTAATTCAATAAAATAAGTAAAATAAATAAAATAACTAAACTCAATACATTATAATAATCGTAAGTTTCCTTCCCGTTAGCAAATTATCTGCATTCATTCATTTGTTTTGAATATTAATTTTTGTGGGTTATTTTTATTTTTTTTAATGTCAAAAAAACGAAAAAAAACTCGTTTTATTCACTTCACAAAATTGACAAAATTTCCATTTCATATTTTTTATTTTCCTGACTTTTTCCTAATTTTCATCAAAAATATTTACTTTTTTCTTATCCTGCTTATAAATTGAATTTCTGCTACGAATTTTATTATTCATGAAATTTAAAATAATTTAATTCTTGCGAAGAATTTTATAAAAATTTTTAAATAAGTCATTTCTTTCAAATAATTTTATGCAAATTCTAATTTAATAATTTAAATAATTGAATTGATGAAAATTTTTATTATTCATGAAAAGAATTGGATTTTTACAAACCATTTTTTAAATAATTGAATTCTATTTGGAAATTTTATGAAAATAGTAGATATTTAAAATCATTGAATTGCGAAAATTGTTTAAAGATAATTAAATTTTACAAAGAATTTTATTAAAAAATTTGTCAATAATTGAATGTCTGTGGAAAATTTTATTAAATTTTTTTAACTTAGAATGTTTTCAGGACCTTAAAAATTTTCAATGTTTTCAGGACAAATTTATTTGATTAAATTTTGTTGAAAATAATTAAATTTCTAAAAAACATTTTATTATTTATGAAAATAATTTAATTCTTGCAAACGATTTACTAGAACTTTTTAAAATAATGGAATTTTCGAAAAGAAATTTATTATTTTTAAAAATAATTGAATTATTGTGATGAATAATATTGTTCTTTATGAAAATAATTGAATTTTGAAAAAAATTTTATTAAAATACCTCAAAATAATATTGAATTTTTGGGAGTAATTTTTTTATTTATCTTTAATAATTGAATTCTTTCGAAAAATTATTTGTGTAAATAATTGAATTCTTAGAAAAAATGTTATTAAAATTTAAAAAAATTGAATTATTTCAAAAAAATTTAATTAAAATTGTATTTAAAACAATTAATTTCATTCGAACAATTTTATTAAATTTTTGAAAATAATTATTCAATTCTTTCATAGAATTTAAAAAAAACATTTTTTTAATAAAATTGAAAAATAAAATTTTCAATTATAATTATAAACAGACAAGATTATTTTTTATAAAGTTAAAAAAATTCTTTGTCTAACTTAATTATTTTCCAAATTTTCAATTAAAATTATTAAAAAAACATTATTCTCAAAAATTTTAAGAAATTCGTCAAAAGAATTTAATTATTCATAAAAAATAAAAAAAAATTTTAAAGTCATTTGTAGATTTAAATAATAAACACCCTGAAAACCATAAAATTTTGAAATATTTTATTTTCGCCAATGAAAAAATGTTTAAAACTGCGAGTTATTTTTCTAGAAGTGATTAATATAACAATAAAATATGCTATGTTTGCATAAATTTTGCTTTTTAATTAATTACTTTTTATATAAATCACACTTATAATGTGTATGGAAAAATATTGTTTGAGACCTGGAAAACCTGGAAAAGTCAGGGAATTTCATTCGAGAAAAATTGTAGCAACCCTGAACTGTCAAGGTTAATATATTTATAAAAAAATTTTTTAGAAAATTTTAAATATCTTTAGGGAAAAAATCCCTATAATTTGTTAATAATAATCGTCGTGATTCCAGATTTCCGGATCTCTGTCCACACTTGAAGTTAGTTATGGTTATTCTTTTGTTTTTTATACGTTTGTTTTGAAAATTAATTTTTGTGGGTTAAGTATTAGCATTTTTTATATTTTTAAATGTCAAATTTTTCAATGTTTATGTTATTATTGTACAGTGCTGCCAGATTGGAAGAAATATAGTAAAAACTTGAAGATTGTTTGAAAATGTTGTGAAGGCTGTGTATATATCAAGTAATTATGAAAATATTTATAAACATTTAAATAATATAAATAAACCATTTTTTAAAGATAAATTATAATTTTTGGTCTTTACGTTTTTATGATTATAATAATAAATGTAATAATTATTAATTACTAAAGTAATTGTTACTGTTCCATTTATTATTTTGCAAATCAAAAAATGTTATATTTTCAAATATAAACATTAATTTTTTAATTTCAGATTAACTACATAATTAACTATTCTTGTTTATTATTTTCAAAAATGTTAATAAGAGTTTTCGAAAGAATTTAATTATGTAAAAAAAAATTTTTATAAAAATCAAATGACTAATTATTTCCAAATTTTTCAATAAAAACTTTGCAAGATTTTAGTCATTTTCAGTGCATTAATTTTTAAAATTAAAAACATTGAAAACTTTTACTTTCAAATTGCGAACAGATTCAAACACAGCAATATTAATTTATTTCTTTATAATTCTTTGTGAAATTTATTTTCTTTTATCATATTCTAGAAAAAATTATAACCAAAATCTGAAGAAAGTTTTTTGATTAATTTAAAGATTTCTGAAGATAAATAAGAAAATTCTGAAGATTTGTCGTTTCAATCATCTGGCAGTACTGTTATAGTGTTTGATTCAATTTTTAGCTTTACAACTATCATTTACTCTAAAGGTAAATACTTTTCTATAATTTAATGTTAAACATTATTTCAATATATTGAAAAAAGTTATTTGATATAATTTACATTCAATTGAATTTTATTTTTATAAATTTCTTAATGCAGAATATTTAATTTTTTAACTTTTTAATAAATTTTTAACTTGCAAAACTCTAAATAATGTAATTGTTAAAAATATAATATTTATTTTTCATAATTTAAAATTATTAATTATTTTCATAATAATTTAAAATAATTACTATATTATTAAAGACTACAACATAAATTTAAATTATCAAAGTATATTTTATAAAATAGTAATTTAATACAAGTTTTATATTTATATTTTTTATTACATAAAAATATTGTCTAATGTCATGTTTATTTTATGAACTTTTAACGTGTCTTAATTTTCATATGTTTTTAATTAATACGTGATTTATAGAATATTCAACAAATCAATGAAAATATATTGTCAATTTTTTCAATTAAAAATATATTACATCAAATATCTATTCCCAATATTTAAATAATGTTAACATTAAATTATGGACACATACCTGCCGAGTAAATAATAATAATTATAAAGTTAAAAATTCAATTAAACAACCAATATATAGAATTAAAATGTAGGGGCTATCATACGCCTAAAATTTATCTGAAATTTTTTTTTCTTTGTTTCTAAAAACGAATTTAGAATATTTTTTTTATGCTTCATTATAATATTATATTACATCTTGTAATTAAATAATTAATGCAAGTTATAGTTTGTATTTATACTATAGATATTTTGTTTTCCAAAGAAATTAGAATTAAAAGTTGTTAACTTTATTATTTTTCAATTAATTTAATTTTTTGCAGTTATGGTAGTTTCAAAAGATACGGAATTTTTTGTTTAAAAAGCTAAATGAATAATTATTTTTTTAATTTTTGGAGTAATTAAAATTTTCGTAATCAAAATTATTTTGAAAATAAAAGTATAAAATATGTAACAATTTTTGCGAGATTCAATTTTCTTCGTACAACATGAAAGTTTAACAGCAGTAATAGTATTTTAACAAAATTTATAGGATTCACTTAAAATTCGTTTCTAATACGTTAAATATGACATTAAAATTTAGAAATTCAAAATAGAACTTCCATTTGTCTGACTTTCTTCTAATTTATCGGACTCAGTGATTTCTGGGGTGAATTTGGTAAAGTTCTAAAATGATTAATTTCTATGTTGAATTCGTTATTTTGAATTTAGAAAATCTGATGTTAATTTAATTATTTTTTCGTTATGCACGACAAAAAACATTTACCTGGATAAACTACAGATTTCACTTTATTAGCGAAATTTTTCAGTGCTTCAATTAATACTTTAAAAAGTATATTTAAATTAAAATGGCTTTATATTGTTTAAAATAAGCAATGTAAAAGATAAAATTTGCTCAAAAAATAATTTTTCACCTCCTGCTGGTTACCGGCTGTGGCTATTTTTTTATTAATTGTGAATTAAATTAATTTTTATGACCCAGATACTAATTGGAATTTTTCTAGCATGGTGGCCACTAAAAACAGTAAAAAAATTTCCCTGACTTTTTCCCGACTTTCCCTGACCAATATTCTGGGTGTTTTTAACTTGGTTTCTAATGAACAATAATTTAAATAAGAAATATATCTCTCAAATTATTATTAATAACTACTATTCATTTCAAACAGTTGAGAAGGATGTTTTAAGGATTTTTGAATCAATTTGTAGAAGTAGATAAAATTCTTTATTTTTAAAATTAAATCTTTAATCTTAAAGTAGCTGAGACTGCGGCTAAAACTTAAATTTTGAAAAGATGTTTTTTAGTCAATAAATCCGTTTAGATGCAAAAATATATAAATAGATCAATCTTGTATAGGCCAATTGTCCTCACCAACATTTAATAAAAAAGCTTCTAATATTTTAGCGTAAAATAAATGTTTTGCTCTTTTTTCAAAACTTTGATTTTGTAACATTTAACAATTATAAATTTAATAAACTAAAATTTATTTATAAATAAAAAACAAAATTATGGGTTTAATTGTCGTGGGCGGTTTCGTTTTTCGGCCGTGTACTTGCCTAATGACATAAATACACTGAAAAAAATTATTTGATTCAATTAATTCGAATTATTTGCAAAAATTTTATTTGGATCTAATAAATATTTATTTGCTTCAAATAACTTGAATTATTTGAATCACATTTGTTTAACTCAAA